AGTCTGCCGGTACCAAACCGACCATGGGAGCAGATCTCTCTCGACTTTATTACAGGGCTTCCATCTTCGCAGGACACCAATGGGAAGATGAAGGACAGCCTCTTGGTAATAGTGGACCGCTTCACGAAATACGCACTATATATACCGACGAAGAAGAGCCTTACCGCTGATGGACTCGCTATGCTGCTGGTGCACTACGTCTTCACTGTGTTCGGGATCCCAGTGACTATGGTATCCGATAGGGGTTCCCTGTTCACAAGCAAGTTCTGGGCAACGGTGTGCCACCTACTGGCTATCAAGAGGAAGCTGAGTACCGCATACCACCCGCAGACCGACGGGCAGACAGAGCGACAGAATCAGAACGTGGAAAACTTCCTGAGGGCGTTCTGTAATTTTGATCAAGATGACTGGGCATCGCTACTACCGATGGCACAGTTCGTGTACAACGTGGCGTGGCATTCGGCCATCAACATGGCACCAGCAGAGGCGCTGTTTGGCTATATGCCAAGGGGGCCACATGATATCGAAAAGGACGGTACTGGGCCGATCCGAGCTATTGCAGCGGATGAAAGGGTCCAAGAGCTCCAGAGCCATAGGGATACCATTGCACAACTCCTTGAGAGGACGAACAAGGACTATGAGAAGTGGTATAACAGGCGACGAGAGACCATGTCCCTCACCGTAGGGGACCTGGTGATGCTATCGACGAAGAACGTGAGGCAGCGCAGACCGTGTAAGAAGCTGTCGGACAAGTTCCTAGGTCCATTCAAGGTGCACCGGGTGATCAACGGTGGGAGAGCCTATGAGCTGGATCTACCACAGAGTTACCGCATCCATAACGTCTTCTCCCCGTCACAGCTCGAGCCCTACAAAGGAAAACCGGTTGAGCACCAGGTGATACCAGTGGAAAGCGACGACACCTTAGAATACGAGGTCGATCACATTGTAGCACACAAGGGACCGCTGAAGAGCAGGCGATACTTAGTCCGGTGGAAGGGCTACGACGAGTCAGAAGATACGTGGGAGCCGCAACGACACTTGTCACGAGAGCTACGAAAAGAATACGAAGACTCGGTGGCACGACGTATCACCGGGTGACAACTCGGACTGCAATAGTTGTATCAAGGGCACGCCGGCCAAACAAGTCCTCATTGACCGTAAGAGGAACTATTGCCCTCTATGGGGCTATGAGAGCACAGAAACAACACCACCTGCCACCTAGGAGTAGAACAGGTTAGCACCAGTGCCTCAGGAGCGGCACTCAGGGAGGGGGCATGAACGGAACAAAGATCACAGGTAAGTCACCTATTATCACATCTACATAACTACGAGGGCAACGGTACACCGTTGGGAAGCCGGTAACAAGCAGGGTCTCTATGGCAGAAGATGGCGGGAAGCACTGTGGTTAGGCCACAAGTGTATACGTTGTCGTGCGCGACTGTCAGGCAAAGGTTTTCGAGCAATGGCTGGACCGATGCTGTGACGTGTGAGAGCGGGCGACAGCGCGAAGCACTGTGGTTAGGCCACAGGTGTATACGTTGTCGTGAGCGATTGTCAGGCAAAGGTTTTCGAGCAATGGCTGGACCGATGCTGTGACGTGTGAGAGCGAGCGACAGCGCGAAGCACTGTGGTTGGGCCACCAGTGTATACGCTGTTGCGCGTGTGTGTCGAACATTGGCTTGCGAGCGTTTTACTGGGCCAATGTTCCGACGATTGGGAGCGTAGGGCCACCGGTGCTGTTCCGGTAGGCACCTATAGCTTCGGAAGGCGGGTGACAGCGCGGAGCACTGTGGTTAGGCCACAAGTGTATACGTTGTCGTGAGCGATTGTCAGGCAAAGGTTTTCGAGCAATGGCTGGACCGATGTCATGACGTGTGTGTGCGGGTGACAGCGCGGAGCACTGTGGTTAGGCCACAAGTGTATACGCTGTTGCGCGTGAAGAGTTACGGGGTATACACCGGAGGGCACCGGCGCGGCATCGGAGGATGTGGGAATAGGAAGGGCCGGTGTTCTACGGGATGAGCGTTGAGGCCCTGAGGGCAGGGCCTTGTCAGGGGGGGTCGTCGTGTCAGAGAACAGAATGCCATAGGCACCAGTGGGTGTCAGGACACTGAACGCAGGACACCGGCGGGCCGCCGGAGGGGTGTTTCGGACAAAAGACTCCCGAATCATGATTACAATCTATGTGAAGCTTTGGGATGACGAGAGTCAAGATCCTTGGCATCGCCGACCCTGCTGTTATGCCGGGTCCAAGCGGCGGCCTAGCTATCTATATAAGGACCATCTCGAAGTAGGATAGGGAAGGAGTTGTCAGAGCCACAAGTGTCATCCGAGGCGGGCCGGCTTCCACCAGGTAGGAAGCCGTTTGTGGCGGCTAGAGAGCCGCTTGTGGCGAATGAGAGCCGTTGAAGCCGTTTGCAGCGGATAGGGAATCGCTTGGTTGCAGATAAGGAGCCGCTGTCCAAGATATTGGCCGAAGTCGGAGGAACACAGACATACGGAAGCAAACATCCAGAATCCAAGAGAGAAACTCGGCTGGCTATAAGTAAGGAGTCGAGACGGAGGAAGATAGAGAGGGCAGAGATCAATGCATCACCGTGGGCACCCCTACCTGAGACCGCCAGTGACCACCCGGTGCTACGTAGGAGGGACGCCCGTTACTCCCCATCACTCTGTACTATTGCCTTCGGCCTAGCCGTACCCTGACACCCCTGAGGACGAATTTAAGTGCCACATTACCACGCTTATCGGTAGTTCAGGCAGGGGTTGTAGCACAGACTTAGGGAGGGACAGGAGGTTTAGTAGTCGTTTGGCTACAAGTTTACCTGTATAACCGCCCGATGCGGCTTAAGGGCCCGCTATATCATCTATAGCCCCTTAAGGGAGTACTTGTAGAGGTACCGAGGGTTAACACCTACGGCGTATTTAATATTATTTATTATTTATCTGTAGATTCGACTAAGTAGTGCTCTTCCGGGCCGCTGAGGGGATTTAACACGACACCCTACAGTCTTTTCTCAGTCGGGATTCAGCATTCCGTGAGATATTGACGTGGGGTTAGGGTTTTTGGGTGGTCGTTTTCGTTTTTTCTGGTTTCAGACGAATTATGTAAGCGTGTTCTTGAAGGGTACTTAAGACCTTATGTACGTAGTCACTCTCTTGAGAAAAGATAGAAAAAAAGCGGCCTTTTCCACAGTAATCTGAACCAATTTCTCTTTACTTGGACAGGCATTCAATGTCTGACGTACCTGTTGAGGTACTTTCGTTGCCCCTATAGATCTGATTGTGCCTGTTGAGGTTCCTTTTCTTCCCTAGCCTGCTGAGGCTCCAGTTGTTAGTACCTGTTGAGGTACTTGTCGTTCCGATCAGGCAAAGAGCTCTTGATCTTATTATTTCTTTCCACCTTCCGGATAGTAAGGTCTTGTTGAGGATCTTGTTGTCCGTTGCCATCATCATCACACCTTGAACCTGCGGGTGGTTTCACTGCCCGTCGTCAATATACCTAGCGAATAACTCCCGGCGGTAGCAAAAGCCAAATACTTACACACACTGGTTTCACAGTAGGCCCTCTATTGTAGTGGGGCCAGGCCGGACGTTAGGAAAGTAGGTGACGGGGGCTAGGGAGGACTCCCCTATCTCCCTTACTTCTTAAGGGATACGGTAGTAATAGACGACTTTTAATAACTCGTTATTTTTTTTCATAATCTTATTCTAATAAACTTAACTTTTATTTTCGATTCTAGCTAGCTAGCCCTTTAACTATACGGTTTATTCCTACGTGCACTTAGATACTACTTTCGAAATCCTACCATCCCCCACCACCCCACCGGTAACACCACCCCACTGGTAACCAAATTAGCAGCACCTACACTATAATTACTTCAACTTCAATTATACGGATCTCAATAGAAATTGAAGCTATTTACAAGCAGATTGCACGAATAAATAGCGAATTGAATAGAGTTTTCAATTTGGCATTTTTAGTAAGGTTATACGATACTCCACATCGGTACTACGGAGTTCCGGCAGCCGTAAAATTCTGATTCTACTACTTTTGAGGCCACGATGCCCCTTTGACTATTATTCTATAAGTACTACGCTTCAGTACACCAAAATGCCGCGCCGTAGCTGGACAGAGGACCAGATAGCTGAGGCTATTCTAGATGTTACCGATAATGGCCTGTCGCAGTACAAATCCGCCCAGAAGCATGGAGTGCCGCAGCAAACCCTTTCCGACAGAAGTCAGTAAATTGGATAGAATGACGGATGCGGCGCCAGTTGATAAAGTCAACTTTATCCGGTGTTATAGTACTGCACGCAAGGCTATAACCGATAAGGTCAGTAAATCTGGCTGGAGAACTACTGGAAATTGGCCAATTTCAAGGGCCAAGGCACTACGGCATCCAGAAATCCAGGTAGATGTTGGTAAAAGGGGCACTCCACCGCCGCCAGAAGCCCCTGGACTTGACAGTGATTCTACACCCTGTACGAGCCGTCAAATCCGCAACTTTGCGAACAAGTCAAGCCCACATAGCCGCTATAGGCTACGGAAGGTTGCCAAGGGGGTTGAAACCTTAGAGGCAGAGTTGGTAGCCGAACGCACTAAGGCTACGGCATTACAGGAGGAACTAGACCGCTTGAAAAGGGGTAAAAAGCGCAAGTCACTGCCAAATCCGAATCGCCGTTTTATAACAGTATCAGAAGAACTAGCTGCAGGGGAGCCTATACCCCCTAATAACCGTCAAGAACCAGCCAATAATGGGAAAGTTGTGGAAGTTGAGGATGAAGGGGTTGATTCATCAGAATCAGAGGCTACGGCCGATGATTTGCCGGCCGCTGTAGTCACACGAAGTGGTCGTACAGTCAAGAGGTGGCGATATTCTTAAACTCCATAACAATAGCTACATAATGGTATAACTACGGTATAAATAGCTTCAATATGTACGGAATTATGTGTAAGTAAAAATGTAGTGTTTTTGCAGTATTGTGCTCAATTAACGTTACCGGTGGGGTGGTGGGGGATGGTACGCGCCTATGGCATTGCATTGCCAGATGTCGATGAGATAGCCGGTGATGGGATCGCAGGTGGAGATTTCGACGAATTGGAGGTTGAGGTATAGGGGTACCCCGGCGGTGCCCTCAGTCACGTCCTCGCGGGTCAACACGCCGGCTACATAGTATGGACCGATCGTGACCTCGGACGCGAGGGAGCAAGTCGCGTTGCCACTAAAGATGGTGTCGAGGGGCGTGTCGCTGGTGTAGCCTAGAGCGCTTTCGTCGTGCGAGACGGCCATCCATCTGGCGAGGGCGTCGACGTCGCGCTTGTTTTTCATGGATTCTGATGTGATTGTTAGCATACATTTGTGCGAGGAGAAACACAAAATAGTATGGCTTACTGTCAGTAAGAGCTCGCTTCTGACGAAGATCCTGCGCCTTGGCAGCTCGATGGGCAACTGCACGCTCCTTCAGGGCCAGAGAAGACGGGGTGTTCGCGCACTGGGCCAAGGACTGGCGACCCTTGATTTGAGCAGCCTTGTGCTCAGCGATCTCCCGCTTGATTTTCTCTTCGCCAGGGTGTGCGAGAGCGGCTCCGAACAGGGAGTAAGCCGCCAAGAGGGCAGTGAAGTGGTGGAAGATGAACATGCTGCCCTGGGGGCTTGGATATCTGTAGAGATTGCAGAAAGAACAGACGAACTTGGTGGCTTCGTGATGGGAGTAGCACCAGAACATCTCGGACAACTGGCTCTTATACTTTCAGTATCCTCATGGAGGACCGAACGTGGAGCTTAGAGTCCAGACTGCACCTCGCGAGTTGGTCAGGTGGTCCATAGACATCACCGCCAAGATCGGCCATACGCAACACGAATGCCAAACTGTAGCGGCATCGCGAGCGGTTAGGAAGATGAACAGCAACCATCGTATCTTGGAATTTCTCCGTAGTTTATATCATAGTTGTTCCCACGAGCTACTGCTGTAGCGTGACATTAGTCAGGGTCGCAACAGGGTAGATGAGAAGGGGTAAGCCAAGTATCGTCCAATGGCAGCAAACGGATCACTAACGCATGACAATGGTGCCCCTAATGGCGCTAAAGACTTCGAGGAAGGTAAGATGTTTAATCATCAACCAGGGAAGTGTTTGACGCGACAAGGGACCAGAGACGTCAGGATGTAGGCGAGCGTACGCGGCTCCTATTTTCGATGAAGACGTAGATCGACGCCAAATTCGGTCAAAACTGAATAATGCCATTTGAGAAGCTCACAGTCGTTTGCCCGATCACCAGTACAGGCCTAGGCAGACCGAAGTCACGATAAAAACATCCTTTTGGGGCTTTATGTTTCATGTGGATCAACTGAGAACAAGTATCTGGCATACAAATTCTCCAGCATAGGGAATCTGGAGGATAGAGGCGGACAGGACGCCAATCATACTCCGGGTCGATCGTCTCGGCAGTTGGGACGATGGTTGTTTGGTGGGCTACTGTACCTACAGGGTGCATGCATGTTTCTGAATCGGTCAAGCAACGGACTAATTGACAAATCGTCAAAGGTACATGTGGAAAGAAGGCGGGAATGCGGCAATGGCTGTGGCACTCCATTGAAGATCCCTCGGAAGCGGGCAACCATGATCGAGATGTAAATGCAAGCGTGATTCAAGCGACGTAGTCATCAGCATTGTGGAGAAGCTTCAGGGTAAGGGTGGAGAAACACGACCGTTCGCCTTCCGTCCAAGAACATGACATCCCGATCCAGGGAGAACATCCGTCCGAACGCCATCCAGAGTTCGACCTATTTTCCACGATCCAGTACCTCAATGAAAATGATACCTCACTGCCCTTATGCCAGTTTCCCAATAACATAGGGATGACCTGCACTGAGGCCTCCGTCGACCGCCCAAGCCTGGCCATTGACATAACTTGCCTCATCACTCGCGAGGAACAATGCGACACGTGCAATCTCGTCGGCGACACCATATCGCTTCAGGGGATTCAGCTGCCCAATTTTCTTCTCCGTTCCCCGTGCTCGCGCTGCTTCGAAAGTCGGTGCCGTCATGCCCGTCTCGATGATGCCGGGACATATTGCGTTGACGCGAACGTTGGTTCCAGCAAGCTGGTATGCGCAAGTCTGCGCGAGCGACACGACGCCTGCCTTGGCTGCGGAATAGGGTGTTGATCCGGCGTTCGACCTGATCCCGGCAACTGAAGCGGTGCCGATGATGCTCCCAGACGAGACCTTTTTGTCGCTTGATGTCTTCATCATGGCCGGGGCTGCATGTTTCGCCGCGAGGAAGACACTGTGATCATTCAGCTTATGCATCTTCAACTTTCACATATAACCAACTGACCTTGCGACATTTGTTTCCATTACTTTCATGAAATCATCCTTCGACACATCCTTGAAATGTGCATGCGGGCCAACAATGCCAGCATTCGCAAAGAACACATCGAGTCTTCCGTATTTGCTTATCGCGTCTTCCACGACCTCTTGCACCGCCTTCTCCTCTGCGGCATCGAAACGGCGAACGTGGATATGGACATTGGGATATATAGAGTTGATCTCGCGCTTGTGTTTACCCAGGTTACTCTCGTCGTAGTCGCAGATGTAGATGGCTTTGGCGCCATTCGCGGCGAATTGGTGCGCGCTCGCTCGACCAATTCCGAGTATCGAATTGGCGCCTGATGCAAATGAGATCAACATACGCTCAGTATCCAGACAATCCGGGTTTAGCTGATTCTCGTACCAGTGATAATTACCACTTTGCTATCCAATCGCAATTCGTTTGCAGAACCCGCGACCGTTTTCACAACCGGCATGCCCTCGAAAGTGGCACCCGATTGCAGCTGCTTCCCTAGCGCTTCAACTCTTTCCTTGGGAGTCGACATCTTGGAACACAAGACCAAAGGTCATTGGTGAGGGCTTTATTGTTGTTGACAGAGCAATTCATCCTCTGTAATGCCAGGAAGCTGACCTTGGAATGGAGATCATATGTTTCCCCGCGCTTCCCCAGGTTGTCTCCAAGTGGAATCTGCAAGCTACTGTGGGGAACACTACCAACAGCCGAGGTGTGACGGCATTTATGGACCGAGCGTATCTGTCGCAATTGTTAGTGTATTCACCTCTCACAACTTTACGCTCAGTTGACTGCAATGAAGCCTGGTCATAACAATCGGCTGCTTCCAATGCTACGAAGTTTCCATAGTCCATTATCATGCCAACACAGGTCAATTGCCTGCTCAAAATATTTAGCATCGTCTTCATTTGGACCCGACGAGCTCTGAAGTGCGGAGCAGTATCGAACCGACGAGCACTGCTGCGAACTCGATGAGACAAGATGCAAAATCACAACTCGAGTGATGGAGTGGTAAACACCGAGCTGCCATGAGACTACCACAGCTCCTTGTGATGACTGAGGCCGATTCTGTTCAGATCTTCCTGGCTTGAAACTGCTTGCCAAACAAGTCCAACTCATTCTAGAAGCTCACAACAAGTTCTTCCTTACAGCCCTCCTCTCAACCACTTGGCACACCCGGCCTTTCAAATGAGCCAGTCACATTAACAGCCAGTTTCATCGTTCAACCATCATGTGCTCGAATCAACCCATATCATCAAATTTTCCACCCTAATTAACTCGTCTCCCTATGTGAACCCCCGATGTAACCCGTCCCTCTTTCGCAACAGAAATCCCAAAACTCTCTCTCCGGACCCTACCAAGCCTCCAAAATGCAATCCCTGTTTCCTTTAAATGTCGTCGCATAAGCTGTAAGGTGATTCCGCCAATCGTGGTACTTGAACGTTCCCCGCAATCTAGGCCGTACTCGGTAGACGGACAAGGAGGCTCCAGCAAACCGAGGCGTTTCGATGGAGGGAAAATTATCTTTGACTTTGAGATGTTTCACTCTACGTGCAGATACGACTTTGCTTGCCGTGAGTCGTGAAATGAGTTGAGCGGCGATGCAACCATGAGGTGGACGGTCGTCCAACAATGACACCTCGAAGTCATGGATCTCGAAAGGGACGTTTAAAAGGATCAGTGCCGCTGCCGGATATATCACAATAGAGATAACGAACATCATTCCTTCATCGCTAACTCCTCATCAAAAACTCCCCACTGGTACCCTTGTTCCTCATCTCCAACCTAGCGACCCAGCCCACCATGAAGTTCTCCCTCCTCGCAACGGCCGCCTCCCTCGCCGGCCTGGGCTTAGCAACCCCAACACCTACCATCGAGAAGCGCGCGAGCACCTACTGCGGCCAATGGGACTCGGCCACAACAGGTGCCTACATCGTCTACAACAACCTATGGGGCGAGGCGGCCGCGACGTCTGGCAGTCAATGCACAACGTTGACGGGCCTGTCGGGAAGCAGCCTGGTCTGGAGCACGTCATGGACATGGGCCGGCGGACCGTACAACGTCAAGTCGTACGCTAATGTCGTAACGTCTATTGCGTCCAAGCAGCTATCGGCTATATCCAAACTACCCTCGACTTGGAAGTGGAGGTGAGTAAACAACCTACCAACAGGCCAGCCTGTCTGCCTGCTGGTCCTCCCTTCAGTTTGACACATGGCTAACTTGACGCTCAGCTACACAGGTACTTCTATAATCGCCAACGTAGCCTACGACCTCTTCACTTCATCTAGCGCTAGCGGCAATGCCGAATACGAGATCATGATCTGGCTTGCGGCCCTGGGCGGTGCAGGCCCCATCTCGTCCAGCGGCAGCGCCATCGCGACCGTCACCATCGAAGGCGTGAGCTGGAGCCTTTACAAGGGCGTTAACGGTCAGATGACGGTGTTTTCCTTCGTTGCGTCGAGCCAGCAGACTAGCTTCAGCGGCGACATCAACAGCTTCGTCAAGTACCTCACTGGCAACCAGGGTATGCCCACAAGCCAGTACCTACTGAGTGCCGGAGCGGGAACCGAGCCGTTCACTGGGTCGAATGCAGTGTTGAAGACTAGCGCGTACTCTTTTTCACTCAGTTAGATGACGAGCGCTTCCATATACCAGCCAGTGTTTCCGGTTGGCTTGCGAGTGGGGATCAGATTTTGGATCTTCTTGTACATATTAAGACAACATTCAGACAACCTGTGGATATTATCAATGTCCGGTTGCAGGTGTCGATGGTGACTTCAACGCCAGTAGTCCGAAGATAGATAGCGCGTCGTGCTATCCGTCCGCACCAGCTCGAGCTTCCCCGTCCAATGATCAGCCGTTCCCCTCGTCCTAAGACGATACGCCTTGATCGCGGCACCGACGTCTTTCAGTTGACCCAGCGAAGTTGCTATGCTCTTCGCATCGGGCGGTTGTTTCGGATAGATCATGGAGTCCCATGCCGCGTAGAAGATGTAGGAGCCGCAAGGGACTCCGGCGGCGACGTGATTTGGTGACGCAGGTCCTACGTTGGTGTGCAATCCCGGGTTTCGCAGGTTATTCATGTACTCGTTCACAGCAGCATGAGGACCAGGGATGCCATTCCCGATCCACACTGGAAGTGAGAAGACGTTGCGGTTCCATGAGTCCCTTGAGTCGACGCGATGGGTGATATAATCACCGTCGACGTCCGCATGGCAAAACGTGGGAAGGTTAGGACTGGGAGGTGACACGATCTCATTGTCTCTCGATCGAGGATATGGCGAAGCAGCAACGGGTGCACGGCTCCGTGAAGTTATTCCCCACGAGTAATTATCGAGGAGACCGGATGAGCTGTCTCCAAAATTGTCGCTGGCCAGATCCAGGAGCTGATCTACATTGTTGTTAGCACACCCCGACATGCTCGGCGACTCGGCGGAGTGATCGGGTTCCAACTCGAGGCGAATGTGACGAAGGCCAGTTAGAACTGTTGGACCGCCACGGCGGAACATGCTACGCGTTTCGTCAATAGCCTGTTGTTGCGCCGACGCCAGGTCCAAGAATCGGATAATCTCATCAATTAGGGGGCCAACTGAACGGGCTGGGATGCCTGTCAGTGTGATGGAGGAAATCCGAGGATTCATGTTCGGGATAAATGTCAATGGATACGCCATCGCCATCCGTTCACGAAACAAAGTTTCAGCAAGCAACGCTGCCGTTCTGGCAGTGAACGTGTCTGCTTTGAGACACGGCACATTAGTAATAAGGGAATGGTGGATTCGGAGTGAGCGCAGATTCGATGACATGACAGGGCGGAAGAGGTGCGAGGAACCGAGCAAGCCGAAAACCTGTATTGATCTCGGGAGGACGCCACGCGCGCATACGCATGCAGGTAGGAAGCGTGGCGAGTCGCACTCGAAATGTTCCAATCGACCGGACGAGGCACGGAGCAGCCTCTCAACGCCCGTTGATGTGAAGCTGTTTCCATTCAGGTAGATGTGCGTAATACCACTCTGGCTCGCTCGTACATTTTGATGAAGTTCTCCTGATGTAGTGACGGATTGGGCGATCGCGTCGCGCAGGAGCAACCGCTTGATTTCGTCCGCGTGGTCCTGTTTTCGGCTTTCGAGACCATCTAACCGTGCAACTTGCCATTCTTGAAGGGCTTGTCGATCTGCCCGCCTTGAGTATGACGGAGCATCCGACATGAAGCTATCGGGATGGCCGAAGGTGGCACTGAACTGGGATTCCTCGACGAAAACAAAGGGGCCATGGTTTGTGGTACCGACATCTCGTGGACGGACCAATTTCCCTTCGGTTTGGAAATGTGAGTCGGAATGATAGGATATCGAAGAGAAACATGTCGAAAGTAGGGTGTCGATACTTGCATCTGTCAACTTATTGTGGGAGATATCAAGAGTCCACAGGCGTCGCTGAAAGGTGCGGAACAATAATGATGCCGTCGCATCATCCATTTCGCGACCTTGTACCTTCAATACTCTGAGCTCGGGAAGACATCCTGGGTTCAGTGATGATTTAACAGCAGTTTTGACCGATCCAGGAGTGAAACACACATCAAGGTAGACCAAGTCCCTGAGATAGTCGGACATAAAGAGCTTCGGCGACAACTCGGTGGGACAATGGGCCAAATCGAGAAGCTGTAATGACGACTGAGACAGCCTTGGTAAATTAGCACCCGAGTTTTGTATCAGACTTCCAGGGTCAAGCTCCGGGTGGCCGTCTACGAGTAGGCATAGCAGGCCCGGAAAGATGCGCGGGAGATCCTTGAAGCTCTCCGAGATAGCCCTTTCGCTGGCTTCGGTAGAGTAAAGTCCGGATGCCAACTGAGCAAATTTCCGGAAGTCCAGTGACCGGACTAATCCTCGTGTGCTAGGTCGCACCGACTTTATGTGTTTGCTGATGAAGTAGCGATACCAAGCAAGATCTAAACCAGATGTGAGCTTGCAGTACATCCCGGGTGGGGGCAAGTGCCTGAACAGGGGCCGAGGGGTTTGCGACAACCAGTAATTGCCGATAAAGAATTCTTACCATCATTTGGATGAAGCCCTAACTCTCTGACTGTTACCAACGGGTCTAGCCATAGACGGGGCGCAAATTGGCGATAGAAATGTGTGTTCACCAGGCAGCATCGTCGCCACTGGCTCGCAGGTATGGTCGGAGCTACGAGCCCGAGCCAGTCCGGTGCATTGGTCGCCTCTTCATATGAGGGTAGAACCTCCATATTTCAAGTGATCGCACCACATCCGAAAGAAGGTAATATGAAATAGATAATGCGTGAGGGTGATGGTTAATGTGAGGGGTTTATGGTTTCAATATTCAAGGCTGATTTGGTTGACTGATTGACGTTATGCCCATTGCACTGCCACTTCGAAATGCCCCAAATACCTGCGTCTGCCGGGTTAACCACGGGCCTCAGCAACCAAATCAACCAATAAATCATGTGGCCACCCCTGGTGTGCTGACTTGATGGTTCTTTATTCAAAAAATACATTTTGGCATTTGCCTTGTACAATTCCAAAACAGCTGTCACAATCGCCAGGGCTAGAGTGCAAAGCTAACGAATCTCAAGAAATCAACCCCCTGAGCCCCTGGGCCTCTTGCAAAATGTCGAAAGCTCCATTCATCTGACGTGCACGTATGCACAAGATCGTATGACAATACTACCCCAAAGACAGAAAATTGCATTTAATGGGTTGATTTGTTTGTTGGGTCGTTGATTGCATCATCAGATCTCGTGCCTTGTTGATAGTCGATGTCGTCAGGCTAATGAACAGCACAAAATAAAGCCGTAGCAATGTTCATACTAGCCCCATATCAGCTACATTTTAGTACTTATAGTGCATTTGGTAGCATTTGCTGAGCTATCATGGATCTGACTTCGAATTAGCGCTTATACAGTTATGAAAATGTGTCATCACTACCGTGGCCGAAGTAGCGTTGGGACGTCGCAAACAACGTCATATTTTGCGTCAAGTTCAAAAGGCCATAGACGGTGCTGAGGAGCCTGAGGTGGCTCGGGGAAAACATGTTGAGCGACCCAGAGAACACCCAGAGGTTGAGGTCGACAACTTGATGAAAGTCTGTCGGATTTCATTACGGAAAGGTGGAAAGGCGTTCGAGATAGATCTCAAAGTCAGTTTGGGTGAAGACTCTCATATTCTCAAATCCAGGTTCCCCGACTTTACGGACCGGTTCGCAGCGCAAATTCAGCTGATCGAGAAATACGAATTCCTCTACGATACCGCGATCTCGGTGCTAATGATTCAATTTCACAACGATGCTAAGAAACTCAACAATGAGACGCAATTCAAAATATGGCAAAGTCTCCAGTGATTCAAAGAGAAGCGAACAGCGACTGATTGTACCAAGATGCTCTTCGATTCACTTCAACATCCGCCGGACCCAATGGACATAATCAAGGCCCAAGGGTGTTTGTTTCAATACTGGAAACCTGCGCTATACACATATGCTACATGGACAACATGGACAGTGACAGGTCTTGCAGCCGACTTAACTAGTCCTTCTAGAAATTCATTCTAGTTGGCGTTCGGGATGGGTTCTTGGTCGAGTTATGCAATAACTCGGATGACCTCAACCGAGTGTTAGACTGCTGGGCAGAATACAGATCGAAAATTGAAATGGTTGAGCTGCTCGAGATAATGCAGATGCGAATAAAGGAACCTAAAGCGAGTATAATCTAGGGCTATGATACGGAGATACAGAAAGCTGCAAAAGCTTTTCATTCGTTCGAGTATTATTAGGACTGTTATGAAATTTACCATATTGGTTTTTCTTGAGCGTAGATTGAATGATGTGATCCAAGACCATTTTAAGTTCTGGGCCTTGCTGAAATCTATAATACCGTGCAATAACTCTAGTTCGATAGTATTTCTGTTACATATATAATTCACCTCCTCGGCCACTGGAGGAAGAGATGGCTCACCGGAGCAGAGCATCACGATCGCCAGCGACGCGCTATCGCTGAGGAACCGGAGGGCCCTTCGATGCAGATACCGAAAGGGGGCAGGTATTTCGGCCTGAACCGACTGGAGGCGTCTACGCTGTGCCAGATCAGGACGGAAAAAATAGGACTAGCAGCCTTCTTATTCAAGACAGGGGCTTTTGGCGTGTACTCGCCGCTATGCCGCTGTGGCGACGCCCCTGAGACGGCAGAGCACGTAATCCTCTTTTGCGGGCTGTTGGAAGGACCGAGGGAACGATTACGGGCCGCCATCGCACCACGGCCACTATACTCTCGCAGAGACCTCGCAACGGCAACAGGAGAACCAGTAGTTAGTGGGACTACTGTAAGGTGGCTGCTAGGGACGGGTCGGACAGCTTCAAGGCCCAGATAGCATCGATCTTCTCAGGGGGGACTTTGTTGGTAGGTTGAGAACCAACGTAGTATGGTAGTGGACGTAACGCAGTCGCCAATAGGGCGAACCGACGACGCAGCGTATGTATTTAGTCCAGCCATTAGGGCACGGTTTGACATACGGGAGTACTAGTAGAGGTACCGGGGGCTTCGAGCCTACGGCGTATTTAATAATAATAATATATAATTCTATTAATTGACTGTATCAAGTATACTGTTTTTCCAACCAGATATACTCCTCCACTATAACCATTTATATATGCAATATAGGTTGGTCATCCGCACCAAGATGCTAGGCAATGTGCCGGCACTGTAAGATTAGAGTAAACGATTGGATCGGTGAATCATAGGCTTACTCTCTGTTTAAAGGGTCGCTACCCTGTCTCTTATGTTCCAGATTTAGGTACACTTAACTAGTTGACAGCACGCTACACCTGAGAGCGAGTTTGTAAGCAGGTTTCAGTTCCTATTCTCAAATCAGGACATCCACGGTTTCGTATGTGTACGTCGCAGCCTCACCATGCTGCTCCCCTAAGGCGACATATATCGTGCGTATGGTAGCTCGATACCTTTTACCTCCGGAATGGATATATAAGCCAACTTTGGAGCAACAAGCTGACTATAAACGATGGCTTCAGCTATATATCAATGATGAACATCCAATAGCCTCCTAATCGTTCAAGATTAATGTGGCTTACTATTTTAAGGGTGTTTACACGAGGATGTTTCACAAAACCAACGACTAGTCATGAGATGCTGCTAACGCAACAGGGAAAAAGCCCACAAAATCCTCATCGCAGCATTGCAAAGAGATATATGACTCAATAGCACTGAGGCCAATATTATGAGACCAGTTGCCTACTCCCATTACCATGAAAGTCCCACCGACATCTGTGGCCTGTCTTGAATGGAAATCTTTGTAGGCCATTGACCGAACGAACCTACCGAAAGGACTTGGTCATCGACCGCCAGCACTACTGAATTTCTTTCAAATCAAGAAGCTGTAACGGACTCGGATACTGGCCGAGAAGGCACTTGACAACTCGGGAAACCATTCACCGAATTACCTACATGAATTGTGTTGTGTCGTGTCGCAGGTCGTACAGCATCTATTAGTCCAACTCCTTCAATGACCACGTGCAGCATATCGGCCGAAAAACTTCCACCGGTGGTTTGACTCATATGCCGCGTTATCCACTTGAGTCTTTGTTGGCCCGATGTGGCCGAGTGTATGGTCGGAATGTATATTGAAGATAGTGACGAAGATTCTACACCGCCGACGGCTGGTGATTGTCAATATCCACCAATACCACGTGCATCCGATCGACGCAGTTGATCTGACCACTTACTGACCATGCGCGACACTGGAACTCTACGGACTTGACAGGTGTAGGTGAGAATTAAAGCATACCTCAAGTGTGACACACGTCACAAAGCAGGTATGTGGCGCATTTATTCGCCTACCGGCATGACAAGCCTTGGTTGAAGAAATGAGTTCCGACCGGGCGGTTCCAGACGGTCGGAACGCTTTACCATATCTGATAGAGTACGGCCGCATAATATTATTTCAGCATAAAAAGATTTCGAGCAGATAAACCGTGACTATTGCCAACTAAAATCCGGATGTTTATGTCATTAAGAACAGGCACGGCAATAGCTTCAACAGATTTGACAAACTTCATTGCAGCTTGTTTGTCTCTCGAGTTGACTAAGTCCGCTCCGCCCATATTGAACCCCTTTTAAGTGAATGTTCCAAACCATCGGGTCTAGCTCATGCACCCAATTTATTTGAAATGCAAATGGCCATCCATCCCACAGCCCAGCAGGGGCACCACTGCCCCACCGTGGGCAGGCTGAGGGCAGCTGCATACACACTGACAAGCACTGCCAACCGCCGGGTGAGGCCAATCCCCGTTCCTCTTCCTGGCCAACATTTCCATGTTGCAGTTCAGCCCCAAACCTGTCAAGCCTGTCAGTCACCCCGCAATCCACGAAGATCCCGAGACGTTGACGTTAGTTTTATCCAGGATAAATATGCCGAGAGCCGTGAACTTTCGTCGGGCCGTGGCGTTTTACCAAGTCTAATTTGGCAATAATGTTAGTTTAGAGGGATTCCATAGGGATGCCGTAAGCTGAAACTTCGCCAACAGCCAAATACCTTTTTTTCTTTCCAGTCCTAGTTTGGTGTGTGTGGATCGGCTGCGCTGCACAGGTTATCAGGTGTCGATGGAAGCTACATACAACGCTTGGGGCGGTAAGCCCGGGAATTTATTTCCATTCTTGTTTGCAACTGCATCATGCAAGCTCGTCCTGCAAGTCATGGACAGATAGCCCTCGGTGAACCCTGCTGTCAGACCAGCACGCAAGCATTGATGCGCTGGCGCACACCACCACTTTGACGCCTTTTCTGTCTCCTATTGCCAAGCTTGCCTGCTGATCTCGGCCCCTGATACTTTGCGGCTCTTCTTGTACTTTTGCAGCGTTAGCCGCGGCCGTTGACCACCAGCAAATCTGGCGTCTTACTTCCTGGATTGGATTGGACTGGGGGGGACTTGCGGTGTGTACCCTATCCTTGTGAAGATCACAAATAGCAGTAGCACGTGATTTGATCTCTAAGCGGCAACGTGTGATGCATCATCCGCTAATCGGGAACTGAACACGCGCATTTTCTGATGTGAATGGTGTACTTCAGGTTCTCTCCACCATTCCCCTCTCCCCCCCAAACTCCAAGTCAAGACACCCATCAGGGTATTTAGTCATTGAATTGGCGGACAGATAGGTGGAATGTACGTGAAAGATTCCAATGTTTTGTAGCAATTGTGCCATCGGGAGCGGTTCTGTATGTCGAAAGCCTGGGGCTACACCATTACTCTTTCCAGACTAGCGGATGGCAACCTGACTTGACCTAGCCTAGCCCATATTCTAGTGGGAGAGCACCGCATATCTGAGACAGGGGGGGCACTCTTTCAGTACCTTGGTTCGTGGGGGTGGCATGGTCTCGATGCAGCCCCAATTCCGTCGCGTCAAAGGCTTCTGTGGATGTGTGTGGATGTGCCATTCAAAATGATGCGCATGTCGCGTGTAGAAGAACAGCAGACGGATTCCTAGCGACAGAGATATGGAATCATTCGCAAAAGGTGCAAGTAGACGAGGAAGATGGAAAGCAAACAAGTCTTGAGGTAGATATCTAAGATTTTACCAGGTTGCTCCATGGCTGCAACTGATAATGATATGGTACAAGCTGCACATGTACCTACGCCTTCCGAGTCCCCCCAAACAAGTGAGAGGGGCTTGGAGCAAACTCGGCGGCAACCAGGTCCTGCCTCCGAGGCTAACGAGAAGTTGGTGATACAGTGAAAACACTTTGTTGAATCCGTCGATTGTCTTTTGCTCCCCAGGACCCCAAAAGATCACAGTTGTCAGCAATCATGCAAACGGGACGCCAGTGCATTTGTTGCCATCCTTCCCCACCCAAGTAATGTCAAGAACCCCCAACCTCCTGAATGTGTGAAGCGCAATGATCCTAAAAAAACAAAACATAAAGTCAAGATATGTGAAAAAGATATCATCTTTCCCTAACCAAAAAGTCGAACGAACTCCGCCTGTAACATGTTTGCCTGAGCCACCGATCCCAATGTTCTAGTTGTACCAGTAAATCCAGCTTCTGGCCTAGAAGTCAAGCCAAGCAAAATGAGAAACGAGCCGTCATGGTATTTGACACCTGCTTTATGCGTTTGTGCCGCTTTGGAAGACAACAGAAGAAGAAAACATGAAGATGCATATAAAGCGGAGGTATTGGGAGAAGGAAGCAGTTGGCGTTAACACTCATTCTACTCCTTGAGCTCCGCCGCGGCGGCCCCCTTCTTGAACTGGCTGCGATGTTTCGTCTTCCTCATCTCCTCGTCATAGAGCTCCTGTGCTTTCGGGTGAAAGTCAGTGCGCGAGATGGACCGGCCCTTCATCGTGTGCAGCTTGAGGTGTTGGCGCCAGTTGTCGCGCCGGTTGAATTTCTTGCTGCAGAAGATGCACACTTCCGATACCGAGTCTATGTCAGGGTTATGGCAGCTGTGGAGATGTTAGTACCTTCTTAGATCTTGGTTGCATGTGTAGGTTGAGGTAGAAACTTACATAGCGGTGGTTATGTGTCTCTTGAGGTGCTCTGAGCGCTTGAACGCCCGCCTTGCCGTGCAGTTCGGCAGAGTGCACTTAAATGTACCGGCCGGGATTTTCTGCACTCCAGAGGCCAGCTTGTTGTGGTAGCTTTCACGTTTAAAACTGTGAGGACGGTTGGTGAGTCGGGATTGTGCGCGGTTGAGTGCTCCCGTTCTCTGCTGTGCGTGTTCTATTGAGAGCCGCCGCCTACCGTTGCTAGCCAGGTAGGATTGGGGAACGTAATTCCTGTCCCGCATGGCCATGTTCTGTACTGGTGAGGGTTTCATGACCTGGGGGTCATATCTCTCAAAGAACATCATATGGGTGTCATCTTGGCAGTGCCAGACAGAGTTGTCGAATGTGGTGTCTGTTGTGTATGAAGGTGTGGGCAGGTGGAACGGCGGGTTGGTCATCGGGTTTGAGTATGGGTAAGAGTCCATCCCGTTCGTCTCCAGGCCTTGAGGCGTCAAAGTGGATGACAGGACGCTGTCATAGTTGTATTCCATGATGGGCAGTGTATTCCTCTTGTCAGGTATTCCTGTGAGACTGTCGCGCGCTTCTGGTTTGATATAGGCTGAAGCAAGTCCGTCAGATCTTTGGAATGCGGGGTGTATTTCATAGCCCGTGGATGACTGGCAGGTGACGTGGTCAAAGGGAAGGACTTGCTGTGGTGTTGAGCAGCGCGATGCAGAAGTCGGTGTGAAGGGTCCGTTGGTGGTATATGAAGAGGCGGTGGACGCAGTGGTGGAGAAGCTGCTTCCAATGGACGAGGAAGAACACGAGACGGGCTGGCTTCCGAAGTCGAAGTCTTCATCGAAGCCCACGTGCTTATCTTTGGGAGGATGGTCCATGGTGAAACTTGAGATTTCGAACTCGTCTGCAAGGGCTGTTTATACGGTCAGGCCGAATGATGCTAGTAGCTTTAAATGAGTGAAGGACCTTGATGAGGAGCGATGAGGAATGAGAGGTATGCTCCAATAGATATACAAAATTTCGATGGTTTCGAAATTACAGTAAACTGAAATGGCCCCTTTCCCTACCATGTACTAGGTTGCGCCAGGGTACTAAGTTGGGATTGTCTTTCTCGATATAGGTATTACGTCTGGGGGGCACTGCAAGGACTCTCTGACAGCTTCGTGGAATGTAACTCAAAAGCAAACGTGGTAGCGTGCACCCAACTGTGGAAACCGGCGGGCGCGCTATGTCCAAGGTGAGCCGAGACCCCGAGGTACTTTAGGAGTATTTGCTTGTTGATTGTTGCTCATAAAACCTACCAGGCTGGGGTCGGTAGCTTCAAGAGAACGGTGTAACTAACCATTCACACTTTCACTCAGTTGAAGTTGGGGTCCGCCTGGGTCTTCACCTTGTCATTGCTCCGCATTTATAAATGATGTTCAACTATATCTCAAATGGCCGCACTGATATAGCTAGTTGATCAGGGCCAACTGGAGATGGACAGCTTAGCCCAAAGACCTCGTTCTGAAGAGCCTTGCAATCCCAATAACGGACACTAATAGGCCACATGTTGAGTTCCTCGCATTGCGGGGTGGCCCTTTTTTATTATTAGAAAATCAGAGAACAGGATAGCAGCAGCAGTAGCAGATGAAAATGTCTGAGATGGCCGCGCTAATCTGAAGATGGACACCTTAACCCAAAGACCTGGTTCTGCAGGGCCTCGTAACACCCAACGATGCACAACTAATAGGCTACACGCAGTGCTCCTCGCATTAGTGGGGTAGCCCTTTTTATTATTAGAAAATCAGAGGCAGGAGAGAACAGGATAGCAGCAGCAGCAGATGAGAAAACGTTTCATCGTCGGATCGAGTAATAGGCCAATGAAAGTAGTCTTGTGGTTCTTCTAGATTGGGGTTGGAAAAACAGCAATCCATGCATTAATACGGTACTTACCGGTGCATACCCACCTGTCGCGATCGGCAACACAGGCATACGAGGAGGTATCGCCAATCCATCGCCACTAGGAGGAAATTTAGCAGAGGTCTTATGAAATGTGGAATGGAAATGCCATACTAGATCATAGATTGCCCCGCAGTCCGTTCCTGGTGCAACGGCCCAGTCCTTCAGACACGGGGCATCACCTTTTGGTAGGGATCCAGGAAAGCCGGGACCATCGAGTAATCGACTCCAGACATTGATGGAGGGCAGGTGGTCAAACATGGCCAACCCTTGTTGTGTGCACGGCCAACGCAACACCGTTGACGACAGACTAGTGAGAGAAACGAGTCGTGATCAGTGACGAGATCTCCAGGCCAGAACCATCATGGCTTGAGCATGAGGACTTCTGGATCTGCAGATGTTTGCTATCTTGCAGCACCGTCGCAGCCTGCTTAAGCCTCGTGATGATCTAAGAAAAGAAACAAACCCGAGGGCCATGGTGAATCCACTGTGCGCAGGTTAGTAAATTGGCCAATCATAGGTGTAAAGCCCGGGGGCACTTGTTCGAGGACACATGGAAACGGGGGGACAGCAGGATGGAGATGACTTTGGACGATAGAAAACGGTGCGCTAGGGCATTGGGACACTATTGCTATAGACGGTATTTCAATTGCATATTACCGTGCATCTCGCCACCTGTTGTCGTTTCCTAGTTGAGACTTGCATTGGTCTCGCAGTGCCCAGGTAGCTCCGCTTTGTCCACTGCTGGGGTAGACCCGCTGAAAACAATCCACTATAAATAAAGTATAGTTTGGTTGGGCCTGTAGTTCATATTAGCGCGATGGGACTGACCTTAGGCCAATGGGCTAGCATCGGAACTAGCATCTCAAATCATATGGGGTCGTGGCTTTAAGTCGACGAAGTTACCCCACCTGGGCAATCTTGTACAGCCAGTCTCCGATGATTCCCAGTCTCTTTGGACCCCCATAACCTAGCCGCTAACTGGAACTTCTAGAATTGAATCATCACGGGTATTGCGAATTTCGTAGTGTTAACTGTCAGACCTTATAACTACCAAAAATACCTCATTCTACAACGAGTGGGTCCCTCGTCTTTTGACGGTCAATTTGGTCCAACATTAACGTTGGCATCAATGCAGAGCACTGTGTAGTGTTCTTGCTCCTGAGGAGCTTCTACACCGATAGATTGTGTATGAATTAGTATCAGATCATGAACAACGCCATTCTGATAAGGATTGTCGAAACATATTGTTAACCACCACTGTACCACCCTCGGATCCAAACAAGCACCAGGGCAAGGATGGCATTGTAATTGTAGGCCTTCTCGTCATTGGGCAAAGCAAATGTCCCAGTGTATCAGTACTTTTTAAATGCGCCACACACGTAGCCTGTTCTGGGGAGAACATCGCAAGGAATCGAAATCACTAAAGACATGCGATTCAATCAATGCTGAATACTGACAGATGGGCAATCGAAATGATTTCATACTGGATGGTACAGCGTCTCCGAATTCGGGAGCCGGCTACCTTGCATCTTGCCTTTAAAGCGCCCAGTTTCTCCAGACTCAACGGCAGTAATCAAAAAACCCATCAATTCCCCTTTCCCCAAGCTGGTGCTCTTGACCTTCAGGAGTTGTCAGTCAAGCAGCCACAGATCGCATTTGTCCCCTTTCGATCATGACTTTCTACCGAAACCAACACTGTCGATTCCCGATCTGCACTGTTTCTCCCTTGCCACAGGCTTATATAAAATTACCATGGTAGTCGCTAGACTTGGGCAGCACCCCTGTTCTCTGTCGGTTCCCGCTGTCGCATTTCGACGACTTAGATTTAGCCGTTGCGGTCGCAATCCCGTCTGGGTTTGCTACCTCTGAAACTGACCTGCCCCAATCTCAGGACTCTATGTTTGGTTTTTCCTCGTCTATCATCGCCCTGTCGAGTAACTCATCTTCCGGCTAGCACAAGCATAGCCCCGCTGCTGTTAATAACACCGAACTAGAGCAAACATTTTCTGTCTTCGGCTGCTCCACCACGTGGTTCGGTGAGAGACGACGCGCAGGTTGAATGTATTCGTTATTCGTCGGCGAATTATGACAACTTCCATCTGCGATATAGAGCTTTTGGCAGGATAGCTGTCGAGAGCACGAGAATTTTCGTTTCTCGGATGATTCGACGTTGGCAGGGTCTCACGTGGTTTGGGATTATAAAGATCGTTCGCCACTTGAGAGTCCCACGAATGAGAGGTCGTGGCTTTTCGGCTGCTGGATCTTGTACTACGCTGAATCTCATCTGCCCGTCAGATTCACTCAAGCCACGGTGCTTCTTGCCGTTCTTGCTGCGGTTCGGATGACATGGATATGTCTGTGTTTTGGTATTAGTCAGTAATATACAAATCAATCTCTATATTTGATTTGCTTCAATAACTTAGGACTATTTCCAAAACTACCCTGGAGCCGGAAAACATTTATCCAGGTCACTGAGATTGTAGAGTTTTCGAGTTCCCATGGTATTTTCAATCCATCAACCCGCCAGTCCGTTAACAAATCTACTATTACAAGGATACCTACAGCAAATAATATCTGCCAGGAACGCGGCATTAGTATCAGATGACGAGTTTATATCCATTATTCCGTCCAGCATGACAAGTCTTAGAGTCCATTACGGAACATATAAAAGCCAAATGCCATTTTACTATGTGAAGTCAAGTCGACTTAGCTCATTAATTCTCCTTTCTTGTTCTGATCTTTGAATTTACATAAACAAATCCTCCCTAACACTAATTACTCGGCTGCATACATATCTTCATATACACGCTGTACCACCCAGATCATGTGCAATATCCACGTCTTCCTATACGGATGTCCTGAGCATCACGTTCACTACGAAAAGCTCGGGTGCTGCGATGACCCCGGACCATTGTGGCAAATCAAAGGAGAATGAGCTCGACTAACACCAAGTGCGAGGAAAACATTGAATACAAGTCACGGTTAATGAAACCTTGCATTGCCCATTCTCTGGCAACTAGCTTAATCAAATCTATATGCCATATGACGAGGGTACGGCATATCTGTGGCGGATTGAGTTTATGCCATGATTGGTTGTTTCAATGGTTTATAGAGTTGGCATGTCATAACTCCACTAAAAGTTTGGATATACACAGCTACTAGAGTATCATTACGACCTTCACCAGTAGTGTTCGATTCGATATTGTCAGCTCATAATGTAATTCATATTTCTCATCCACTGAGAAAGACGCCAGAGGATGACATGGATCCGCCACAACTGTCAGCAGTTACGCAAATTTACAAAGGGCCGACATAATGCGGGGATGATATCGGGTCGCTACCGACAGCGTCATCCTTCACATTCCATTTGAGCGGCTACTTGCCAAAGAACACCTCCCCGAGTTGGATCCTGATGAGGGTACGGCTGCCTCTTCGAACAAGAACAAGAGATGAACTCGCAATGAGTCCCGCAACATCTGAATGACCTCAAAAATGATACTAGATATGGCTTACAGCTGCGACATAGTGGCGCGGGGAGTCTAAAACCCTGCCAATCAGTGACTTACATGATCATGGCGGTACAGTCGGGCGGAGAACGATCGCATCGGAATCGTGCACTTTCGGAGTTATTGCTCCAAAGGATACCGTCACGATCCAGCGGAGATAAAGGTCAACACTACTCACGGCAGTGGCGGATAGCGTCAGATCAATCATTATTGGGAGAATTTGCGAGCAGTTTTCCTATGCCGAGCTCACCTCTGGGTAGTTGCAGACCAAGACGAAGGAATCCAGCCAACTCATATTATTCCGACGAACAACGAACCACGCCCACGGAAAACGCTGGGCGAACCCCAACCATTGAAATCGCATGCCAATTTCAGAAATCATCTAGAACACGCGATATGCGCTCGAGAGTCACCAGTGACATAATCGTGCAGCGAAATAAAGCCAATATGCACTGATTCAGGTTCTAGCCTCAAAAATACGATAAATCTGGTTTGACACAGCATGAGGCCCCCCCTCTCAGCATTGAACTTGTTGGCTGTAAGACCCTACCTGATAAGTGTTTGTAGGACCTGTTAAATCCGATGCCCAATCAGCACTGCCCATACCACTGAACCCCGTAATCCCCAATCCTACCTCAAACAAGCGACAACATGGTGGATAGCACATGGCAAACGGCCCCCCTCTTACCCCTCACCGCATCTAGAGATGTCAAACGAGCAACAAGCATACTCCCCAGAGAGAAGCAGGTTGGCACTGCCCACCGAGATGAGGAAGTATCTTAACTAGCCTTCGTAGTCGAGGAATGCGAAAAGTGGGCCAATGCCCTTCACCCACTATGCCAACCCATAACCATTCACTGAACTTACAAATGGGCCGGTATAGTCATGAAACGCAAAGAAGGCCTGCAGATTTCCCTCACTTGGATGCCACTATACGAGCTTCAACCCAGCCGACAATCCGTCATGTTTGTCCGGTAGGTTATTGCAAAGCAGTCCTGTTGCAAATGCTTGTCCGTAGCCTGCCCTAAAGTCTTGCTGGCAAATAATGACCTTACCAATCCAAGGTTAGTGATAATCATGATCATGATGAATCTCAAGAACAGGGCCCAGGTCCAGGATCAGGGACAAGGGCAGGAAGTCGGAAACTCAAGGCTCCGAGATTCGACCAAGATGCTCACATTGCCAATCCAGCCCTATTCCTTGACAAGGGCAACACCCATATGAATGATCTGAGCAGAACCCCTGTCTGAACCCTGACCCATGACCCATGGAACAACTTTACTACCCCATCAGTGATCATCTACCTATATTTACGAGGACTCCGTACTCCGGCGGCCAACGCCGCTTGGTTCGATAACCAAACTGGGTTAAGCAAGGTACTTTTGGTCAACATCAACCAAATACTTTGATTTCTTTGATCTTCGCCCGCAATGGCTGAAACCCTCTGTTCGTCACGATATTGAAGAGGGGTAGTGCGAAGCCAAGAGAAAAACGCTATATATTGGTAGCTTTATGACCGCTTTCGGTGTAGTTGGCGTTCGGAGCTTGGCATGCACAATGATTTGACGATGCCCAGGTTCTGTTTGTCCCCCATGACATATGACCATGATCCCCTGTGAAGGCGGTTCTTACTATTGTGGGAGGGGCCAGCGATCATCCCACAAGGATGCCAAACTCGTTCGACATGTGCCGCAATGGGGGAACCTAGCTTCGCATCATTTTATCTACTTATGTAAGCAACTACTAGGTACTGCGTACATACACAAGCCTTTCTCAACTGACGGCATCTCCAGTGTATGTCTTGTGAAAGATCTCCTGTCGTAGCAGAACCAATCCCAACGCCTTGTCGTATGTTGGTTTCGGATTCTAGTTAACAAGATTGTTATGGGAATTTCCCAGGTCCGACATCACGCACTCAATTTGTCAATACGACGTAGCAATACCCAAAGCTGTGGGAACAACCAGAGGTGTTGCTGGGCATAGAACCTGTATGATTGGTCAAATTTCGCAGCGTTGGGCTGGGGCATCATCCTTGTGGCAGTTACTTGATTCGGTGGCTTGCAGAGTGATAGCTGCAGGTATTGCATGGAAACCTGCAGGCGCAAACCTTGGCAGGCTGCCAAATGGCGAACACGGCGTATTCATCACCGCATAGACATTGCTGATGAAGGCCCGTATGTTACATGGATTATTGTCGTGTTTAACTGATTTCTCGAGACTGGATGCGCAGGGCACTAGGTCATGCCCAGACTTTCCCTGCTGATTTAGAATCTTCTCAATGTATTCACCGCTACATTTCGAACTCCTCATCTGCAAGTGCAAGGTCGTCGATTTCTTGTTGGGTGGCTTCCAGGCCCTCGCTGCTCATGAGTCTGTTATCCTTGTCCTCGGCTAGAAAAGTTGTGGTCAGCGATCGGCATACCGAAAAAAAGGAGCAGTACGGAAGACTCACTTTTTGGCTCAACGAGCAAGTTCTCCTGTACCTCACAATTAGTGAGGGTGCTGCCTTCCCCAACCACACTGTTTTTCCCCAAGATGCATCGAGTGAGCTTGCAGCTCTTTCCGATCACCACACCCTCCATGAGCAAGCACTGAAATAGCTTTGCGCCTTCCTTAATTTGGCAGCTGGCCCCCACCACACTTTCCTTGATCGACGTCTTTTCGTCAACCGTCACGTTCTCGGCCAACAGGCTGTCTTGCCGTGTGATCGTTGTCCGCGGCTTCACCCCTTCTGGATACGCGACTTTTTTGACATGCGCGAAAGGCGATGCATCGGCGCCTGCTTCTTCCACCGAAGGCAGTTTTGCCAGCTGCAGCGATACCGTCAGTTGCAACTGGGCATCGTCGACGCGTCGAATGATCGAGCCGCCCGATGGATGTATGTAGGCCAACATAGGGGGTATAGTTGGCGTCCGCAAGTTGCCAATAGCATGCCTTGCGGGTCGGGGTTGTCGTGTAGTCGGTGAAGAAGCCGCATCATTGTCGTCCCCGTGAGTTGAGCCCTCTTCCGATGCCTCCACGTTATAATGCAGTATGGACTTCATCCCTAGCTTCTCTGCAAGCCCGGTTTGCCAGGAGGCCTTGGCCCACCACCCAATGACATCCTCGCTGATGCTGTCGAAGCGGGGGTTCTCTGCAACGAAATCCATAATCCACTGAGGGAAGATATAGATGTGAGCATCTCGATGCGTCGTCAGCAATCTCACCTTAGCATGTTTGCCAAACAATGCATGCCGTATCGGCAGGCCATTTTTCATTTCTTTGATATCGCTCAGTGTGTCGGTGGGCATAGCGATGACCAGCTTCGATAGATGATGCAGGAGAGAGTCCTTTGATGTAGGGACGGCCGGTTGGGCCAGGGGCGCCGTCGCGATGAAATCGGTCATTTCACTCTTGACGGGCGTAGTAACAGTCTTGGTGTCATACCAGACCCCTAAGCCTCCGCTACCACGTCGCGAGCCATCATTAAGGGCTGAACGGTCCGCGGCCCTGACCATCCATGTCTGTAGTAGCTTGTCGCCGCCCAGTTCACAGACTAGATCGCAGGGCAGAACGAGAAAGTCGGTCGTGACCTTGGCACGCACCTCGGGCAAGCGCAGTATCTCTGCTGTACCTGCGAAGTCGTTAGTATCTCGAGGTGCAAGTCTACTCTCATCGATGAGCTAGCTCAGCTTTACCTGTATTTTCATCAAGATTCTCCGGGGCCAAGAGCTCCGGCCAGGGGTGCGGTAGATTGGTAAGGAATGGATTGGTTTTCAGAGCCGTATCAATGGCGGCCGCAGCGGTTGGAGGGCAAATGAGAGTGATGTCTGATACGTCGTCAGTTCAGCACCCGACTAAATCTGTAAATTGAACCTGCAGGGAACCGTGGAAGCTAAAGAAGAATGTTCGAAATCAGGGGGCCGAACGGCTGAAACTGGATCGGCACCGAAGGATCCGTGCGAAGGCCGGGTGAAGCAAGTTCACTGCCGGAAAATAGGAACATTTGAGGAGCAGTGCGGTGCGGAGGTGCCGGTTGCTCTTAGCTAAGCGGGTACTGAGACTCCTCCATGAACCTCAAGGACTTTTTGATCGCAATGAGGCTAACAATAGTAACAAGAAAATCGGCCTTACTCGTGATGCCCATTCGATAGCAAAAGTCGATGGGGTACCAGACCATCGGGCGGTTAGCGATGGGTAGCAGAGCCTTGGGGTTCTCATCTAGGTTGGCCAAAAAGGTTGTGAAGGACATGCCCGGCCCACACAGAATGAGGGCCTGCAGGCCAGGCGCCGGCATATTTACCGCGTGCGGCATCTTGATTCGGTTCAGGTCGTCGATCTTTCGGAATGAGTATATGCAGGCCGAATATCTAACATGTTTTTCCTGTTTTGTGCTGCCAAGTTGGTGTCAACGGACGTTGTGGTCCTGCAAAGAGAGTCGGAGTCACTCACCAAATATTTGAGCAAGGGCCAGCAATGATGGAGACAGAAGATAATATCACGTGATTCAATACGCTATCTTTGCTTCAGTGCTCAGTGCTGCTTGCGGGCCCGAATTAAACACTGGACCCAGCTTTCGACAGGGCTGCAACTTGCCCCGCCAACCAGATCGTCAGGTCCGTGCTCTCGGTGCCCAAGCTCCATTGATTCGGACAGGCAGTTTCTGCATGAACAGAGTAATTGCCATTGCGAATGACGCATGTGAATCTTGGGCAGTGATGTTTCTAGCAATTTGACATATCGCGTATGTCTGCACAAAAGCTTCATGATCTTCTTGTTGCTCGTGGTCATTCTCACCGCTACAGCGAAAGTCAAAGATAGTTCAATACAACCAGCAGACCAGCAAGCATAATTGCGGAAATGCTGCGCAAGATGGGGTGTCCAGTCTTTCGGCCGGGATTGTCAACACTAACACCCAGCCACCGGCGATTGGGAACCTGCTTCAGCTGCATTAATTGACGACTGCTCCGTCCCAGCCTTGCCAATTTCTCAAACCGGGCACCACCACATAGCACATTTCTTGAGCATTATCGAAAATCGTCAGTGCCCTCTCTCTGCTCTGTGTGTCGTGAGCTTGCGCGCATGAGCCGCTCAAGCATTATCGAATGAATAAACCTTATTTGCAATGAACCCCCCTCCCGCATAAAACCCCCCAAATGTCGTCTTCCTACGATTCGTCGCGCCGCCGGGGCGTCTGGAGCCACTGGGTTCCGCTGGTGGTGACCGTGACAGTCGCGACGGTGGGTGTGGCTGCCTGGGCCTGGAGCCAGCGCACCAACGAGGAGGAGCACGATCAGCCGCCCCCCGACCTCGATTATGACCATGCTGACTATGGCGACAATCCGCCCTACGGCGCCGGCGACAGTACCGACAAGAACAACCCGAATCGCAGCCTGAACAAGGCGAGCTCGACCATTTCGCGTGCCGAAAGCGCTACCTATGGTGTCACCGAAGCACATGCCGAGGCCAATGCGAATGCCGGATGGGGACAACAGATGTCGGGGGCTTTGCGCCGGACGCCTAGTCCCCAGCAGTTCCTCACCAACGCGGGGAAGACGGTTGCGGCCGGTGTGGGAGCCGTAGGAGCAGCCATGGGCAGTGCGCTAGCCGCGATACGAGAGGAGGACAAAAATGCATATGCAGACCACGAGACGTGGTCGGAGGAGGCCGAATCGCGGAAGGACAAGCCCGCTGCTACGGCTGCGTCATCGCGCGATGTTAGTAAGCATCGCAAGACAGTCGCGGTGGTTGTCTCGGCCGACACAAACATGGATGATTTCGATGAGGACGCATTTCATGAACATGCGGTATGGCCTCACTGTGCAAGGCTGATAGAGTCGTGGGCTTTGTTCGTTTGCTGACTCGCTACACAGTCCATTCTCTCCCATATACCCCAGAACACGGATTTCTCCAAGATCAAGCTGTTTGTCTTGATCTACTCACCCGGTCTCAAGGAAACGGTCCTTGAAACCACTGCAAATAACCTGCCTCCAGCTTCTCTGAGTTCGTCATTCTCAATGATTGGCCATGACCAGGGGCAAACACCAGGGTCTGAAGCGAAGAGCCCACTGTAAGCATGCCTAATCGCAATACATCCGATGGTAGACTGACTAAGCAGACTGAGATCCAACGCGGACCCATCATTCAATGCTGTCTATTCGCAAGCTCTGAGCCTAGTCGAGAAAGAGTCGATGGTCATGCCATTCACATCAGCCAATGGGCACGTCCACATATTGCGACATCTCGGTCCCGAAGTCGTCTACTTACAAGAGTCCCTAGCCGGTGACAGCGGGAGTTACATCACGCATCTCCAGACCTGGCTGAGGCATGATGTCATTCTGGTCGTTGGCGCAGACGGTGGTCACGGCGGCCTCGCAGACAGCGAGTCGGAAGCAGAGAAGCCAGAAAAGACAGAGGTGTGGTGGCAGAAGGAAGACCGAGTAGGGCGCGGAAGGGGCGTCGTCGTCGTCGATAGCTTACGGGTCGGTGATGATTGGGCACGCAGGGTACAAGGTCTGGAGTAGACTTGCTTGTTACGACTTTAATACACATATAGCGCTTTTAGGGATATGAACATGAATCGAGTGATATGGTCATCTCATCATTACTCTCTCTGTATACCGAAAGTTGACGCGATTGCATCTCGGCATTATCTTGGCGTTTACCTGTAATTTACAGCCTTACCCCTGAACCGGGGGTTTGAATCATTATCACATGGACAACTACTCATGAGGTTCATGAATTGCGTTAAGCTCACTTGTTTACTTATGGACTAACCCCGAGCCTGAAGCTGATTGCATTGATGAACGGTGCTTCGACCAAAGGCCCCACGCGAACGCAACTGCCCAGAAATGAGTTCTGATATCCCTGATAGAGACTGTTGTTGATGTTCACCTTTATTTCTACAGGTCATTCTCTGCTCATCAAATGTCCATGGTCGAATGGCGATTATGTGATCTCCATTCGTACACGGCCTGCCCTCATCTGTTTGGGGAGGCTTTTTCTGGTGCACAACGTTGAAGAGGATCGTCATCGTGGCTGTGAAGATTGCATCGATGGCAGTCATAACCCCTCAAATTCGCTCATAAAAGTACATTCATGCGTACTATAAGCAGGAAGTACAACATGCATCGAGATTGCCCACACGTAGTGCGAACATTTGAACGCTTTATTAACCTAATTTGTTGGAGTATACTGTTCGCATCAAGCCAAGACATCACAATGCCGAGCCTTCCCATCGAGTGAATTAGTAAAATCCACCTCGAGGAACCACCTGCTAGTTTACGCTACCGTGTCAGTAGGCTGGAAGAAGATGGTAGAGCAGCGAACCCTCAGCATTCTACATCTCAAATTAGACCGTCTCGTCCCTGCTGCCAAGAGTGTTGAGCAGGAGCTTGACTAATTCGTGCTTCTTGGCAGATTCGTGAGCGATTCGTTTCAGTACATGGCCAGGCATATGGAGGTGCAGAATTTCCTCAGTATTAGACTGTTAATTCGCAAAAACGTACGAGACTAGTTCGAGGAGATGTCAATAACAACAGTGGAGTAAGACTTGAGGGAGGGAAGTTCGACCTTACTCTATCCAAAGTGTCAATGAGAACAACGACCAGGCTACTTATACGCATTAAGTCCTCAATAATGAAATGCACTGATTTCGGAGAATTCAATTCTTTTCTCCGTATTTCGTAGGCTTCAGGGGCCGTTTGGCAAACACAAGCTGCGTATGAGGTTAGAGGTGGTCGCAATTATCGCCACTTCATCCTCTTGCGGCGTGAACCATTGCTCTACCTTGTTTACATATTCGGTCACATATCCAACGTAGGGTTGGCAAAGACCCTAGCTTAATAAGCCGTGAGAATTTCGTCCAATGTACCTTCAGTATTCAGTTATAGGAGCCACTCCTCCAGACGTCTAGCGGTGCGCAGGGGTATTTTTTCTGGCCCAAACCCAAACTCCGTCCGATATGCCCACTCCTAATGAATTGCAAAGTTTCCTGTTTATCTCGATGACACCATGTCTCGGCTCTTGCATGGGGTTGTCTGACCAACCAGCGACCGCTCTAAGCCTCCCCTTCACCTCAAGAGTAAAAACATGATAATATTGAAGGGAGTAGCTAGCGCAGATGCGTATAGATGGATCATGGGAAGGATAGAACGAGTCCAACAGTGGTTGATTTCTCTGGTGTCTAGTGCCAGTATATTTCCACCAACATTGTATCTCAATTGATCCCGGTATGTATGGGAAGAGCCAGGCACCGCTGAGAAGGATGTTGTGCAGAAATAATGAAGGACTTTTCAACTTGGGCCAATAAGGTCGCTCGCTTGGATACTTATGTATAACGCAGAAAATTTTACCGTTGACTGAAACAATGATGGTCAGGTCTGTAAGCTGTTGAAACACTCGCTGAACCGAGCAGCTACGGCGGTCGCTGCCCTCATCCAGGACAGGTTCGTGACGTCTAATAACTTCGTAGACCTCACAAACAGAATCGAGATTCCAGCGCTCATGGGACAAACTTCGTTTTATACCTGTTGAAGCCTTTGTTCTTCAGCAGCACCGTCCAAGCCTCCCGATGTTTCTTTGTTGCCACGTGCAATTCAGGTCCTTCAAATTAGGCAGAGCCTTATTGCTTTTTCGATAGCTTGACTTTGACATATGGCGCGTAGAGAGGCTAGTATAAATGGTGACCATGGGCTTGAATAAGCCGAAAGCCATCTTTAGAGATAGATCTCACCACAGCTGAGCAGATGTGGGTAACTTGTCCTCAAGAAATAATTCTAATATTTTACGCGCTGTATGTAATCTGACATGTTATGACGGAATAGAGGTTTATCCCTGTTTTGATCAGCGTCGAATTGTAGGTGATCTGTCGGGCAGTACGTGACAAGCTCGAAGTTAAGGCCATTAGCTCTTTTATGCTCAGAATTCCAGGTTCCAAGAATCTTGAAGCAATTCTTGATTAACGTAATGGAAATCGCATATTATGAATTTCCTCAAACCCAGTTTTAAAGTGTATGCATGGGTCTTAGCTGTAATCATTGAGAACAATATGCACGCTGATCGTCTCGAAGGTGCAAAGTCGCCTCAGTATTAGGATTGCTGGTGTCTTCCATGGCTATGTTTCGAAATCTGAGTCAGAGATTGCTCCAGAAGTTATGTCAGTATTGATCATCGGCCCAAAAGCAGGTAGGGTAGTTTCCGCTGATTTGGAATCATGCCCAAGAATGGGTAAGCACATATCGTCGAACATCAACTGCTACACTCGATGCAGATTGAGGTGCGAAATCTGAACAGTGCGCTCTTCAATTATGGCTTGCCACTTTCTTGACAAGGTGGCGTAAGTGCCGAGCGGGCCTTCCAGATGGAAGATGATCCAACGGGGGATTTTGGGCCATGTACTCAAGGCAAAGAAAGTGAGAAGGTAAATAGCTATGAGGTACCTTGTAGTTGGGATCGAAGTCGACTTTAAAGGGCTAGTTGTAATAATAACGGCTTGGTGAACCAGCTGTATTCGTATGCAAGTTTCAAACCGACGAAGAATAGCACATTATTATGGTGTGTCAGATTGCCACCAACGGGGGCTTGATTGATACTACGAACGTGCGTGGGGACCAATGACAAGTTCGCCCCCGTGAGGTCCCTAAATACGAAAACCCGTACCTGCCTGCCCCATATTCCTCCATACCTGAGGCCACAGCTTCCTACATGATATATGTGTAGGATAAATTAGCGTAGTAGTAATTGGGTGGACTTGTTCAGATTTGCTTCCGAGTATGTAGGTAAAATATGAAGCACTTAACTGTGAGAAGCTGCAGTTTATACAACTAAGCTAGTGGCTGACGGTTAAGTTATAAAAGTTGGAGGTTTGGTACTCAGATGGATCCTTTAGAGAACTGACGCTCAAATATGGACCAAAAGTAGTACAAGTTAGTTTGATGGGGAAGGTTTGGCAGTCGGATGGATAATTTGACGAAACCAGAGTATAGACTAAGGGCATCACATATACGATTGAGCAACGAGGTTTGGCGATTTAATGAACAGAACCATAACGCACAGGCGTTGGCCCAAAGCATCATAGGTGTGATTGAACGAGATGATTTTCTCTCCCATTGGAGAAAACTTTATCAACGGCAAGGTGATAAAAGCGAGGTCGATTCAGACAGGGTGAAAGTAGAGAAGCAAGAAACCTGTCCTAGTCAAACAGTGGAGTTAACATTTAGTATTGGCTTATCTTCAGAGTGGATTAAACAGCATCGATACCGCATGAATATATCAGCAGATATAACTCTGTAGCTGTGATAAGAGGACCGCCGAGCAGATGTGGGTTCTATTTAATGCTGTTAGTAGGATAGTTGACGGATTTGATCCTTACTGAATACTGTGGTTTCTCAATGGTTTATATCGCTACTTATGTTGCAAGGTTGATCGTATTTGCAAGGCCCCCAATTGGGCCGAAATCTTTCTTACAATATGTCCACACTTTTCGCAGGCGCGCTGGCCTCCTTAAGTTGTCTAATCCTCCGTGTTGTGCCAGCGTATTATCGGACAATAGTCTGGTAATACCCGTCCACAGCAGTGGAAACCGAATTGATCTATACTGTTCCACCCCAGTGCGCCGTTCATTCTATTACTTACGACAGTACCTACTTAAGGTGGTCATCTAAAATGTCAACAAGATCGGATGCGGATGTTGTACGACTCCGCGGTTTAGAAATGCGGGGATCACGTGGAGTAATGCAGTTATTGGTCCGAGCGCTTTCTTCAATGGATCGATTTTAGCGCGAGGCGCCTTCAGGTAGCCGCCAGGGCCATGCGGCTCTTTGTCCAGTTCTTAAATTCAACTCCCAGTCAACGAACCCCACACAAAGGCCATCGCGACACGCCATCGATTGCGGCAAAGCAATAAACAGGGAGTGCAATTCAACATCATTTCCGAATATCGAAGCAACCTGCATTTTGTGGACGGACACGGCATTCATTTTCCTCAGTTGATGCCATAGCCTCCGCGCGCCCGTGGTGCGACGTCACTCGCTACTACGGAATCCAACGAACGACCCGACCCACCGTGCTACCTTGACCTCCAACATATAAACGCGCGACATCACCACCATCATCAATGCTCACCATCGTCGCTGCGGTGTTATGAACTGCAGAAGTAGTTGGCGACGCGTCCACAGGCTTTCACAATTCTGCGACGAGCCGCAGCCATGGCTCCGGTCGTGGCTGCCCATTCGACAACCGCCCCAAATCCGAATTCGAACCCCAATCCCAACAAGATTAAGCGCCCACCCCCTCCCGGCATTCAGACGAATGGCGCATCCTCTTCGCGGTCATCACCCTCAAAATCTCCATCCATGTCGGCGAAGCGACCGCCTACCGCCGGGGGAAAACCGCAACTGACTCCGACCTCTGCCTCTGTGAACGGCGTCAACGGCGCGGCCAGCCGGCAAAGCATCAGTCGATCGAGACGCGAGACGTCCACTCAGGCGATAGGTCGCAATGGAAGGAACAACGGCCTGCGGTCGGCAAGCATGGCATTTGACATGTCTTTGCCCCAAGCCTTTGAGCCGCGGCCGGAGGTCATAACCGACTCGTATATTCTCAAGAAATATGCCGGCAATCCGCCATCACTGATCATACACCTCTACCCTAATCATTTTCGCTTCGACAAACAAGACGGCATATTCCCGTACAAATCACCGATGCGCATATTTCTCGACCATGTCCGGAGTCGCACTATTCCGCATGATCTTCTGGTTTATCTGAACGATTGGGGTATAGTCTTCTACGATGGTCGCTTGATTGTTCAGATCCACGACCACAAGTCGGCGGCTCAAGCCAAGGATGTTGCGAGACCGACATCTGCATCCAGCAAAACTACTCCTTTCTCTATACATAACTATAACCCCTATATTACACCCTCGCCCTACGTTCCATATCCTAAGGAGAATTTGAATGGGGGAGATGGTGGCAAACCCGCCGAGAGCAAATCCTCGGGCAACAACGAGTCGCACGATCAGGAGAACATGCCTGCACCCGCGGTATCAGAAGGCCAGAAGTCGAAAGACCCTCCACAGGTCAAGATTTTCACCGTCGTTCTCCATCCCACACCACAGAGCCTGCGGATGGACCTGATGATCAAGGCTACGACCCCAGTGGGTTCTGCGGATGCAAAAGCTGGGGATGGGTCCAGTATGATCCCGCCCCAGACTCCAATGTCGGCAGTCCCACCGACACCCACCGCGACGAGTATGCCGCCGCCAGCCGCCAAGAAGCTAAAACGTGAAAAAACGGAATTGGCGGCGTGTACCTTATACGCTGCGGAGGGTCAGATTCTTCTCGCAACCGCAGATCCTCTATATTTAGAGCCGACCAAAAACGTTGAGGAGACTATCGCACTCCTGGAACATATGACTGACGCCAGGCACTCGGAACCGCCACCCAAGCCGAAGACTAGGAAGCGCACGGTAGCAGAACGCGCCGCCGACGAAGCAATAGCAGCAGAACATGAGAAGTACATGCTTACTTGGGATGATCGATTGTCCTCAAATGCTGGCGGGGCACAGGGCAGTGCAGACGGTGCTGAAGGCAACGGGCAATCGGGTGGTGCGGCGTTCGAACCGCGCTTCGAGCGTCTGAACGTGATACAAGACCTACAACGTGAGCATCTTGCAAAGAAGGAGCAGGAAAAGGCAAGACAGGCCGAGCAGGAGCGCAAACTGCAACAGCAAAGACTTCAACAGCAGCAAGAGCAAGCTCAACTGCTACAACAACGTCAACAAGAAGAAAGAGTTCGTCGCGAAAACGAAGCCCGGCAACAGCAGCAGGAGGCCGCTCGACGGCGTGCCATGCAGCAGCAACAACAACAGGCTGCTCAACAGGCCCAGGCCCAGGCCGCCCAGGCCGCTCAAGCTCAAGCAGCCGCAGCACAATCTCCGCCCAACATGCAGCACACGATGTCGCAAGCATCTCATGGTCATCCTACGCCTGTGCCTATGTCCAGCGCACATGCAGTCCAGGCAGCCCAACGCTTCTCCCAAGCTGGTGTTTCCTCGCCCGTGGTTCGGCAAAACACACCGCAAAACATGTCATCGCCTATGGTTGGTCATGTTCCCATGCAGCAGACCAACAGTGGTATGGGAGGCAGCCCACAACGACCCTCATCTGTGGTACAAAACCATCAGCCAATGTCCGCACCGATGGCTGTTAGCATGTCAGCTAGAGGCAGTCAACAGAGTCACGCTGCCGGTACACCGCGGATGCCCAGCGCAACTCCACAGATGCCTCACGGCACGCCTGTCAACCGACCCATGCAGCACACTCCGCGCTTAAGCCAAGCGAGTCCGACCCCGAACATGATGGCGCAGAACTCGCAGATGGGCCAAAACATGCTTATGGGCAACCACATGCCCCAGCAGATGCAGCAGAACAACATGGCAACACAACATGCGGCGGCACAGGCAGCACAGCAACAGCGTCAACGCATACAGCAAATGCAAGCAATGCAACAAAACGGCATTATGAACGCCCAGGGCCACCAACCGGTGCAAAATTTGCAATCCGTCCAACAACAACACATGCTTCGACAGCAAATGATGCTCATGCAAGCGCAGAATGGCAACATGCCGAATGCCAACGCCGCCCAGATGCATCAACTACAGCAACAGCAGCGGATGTTGCAGCAACAAGTTGGTGGCATGAACGTGAACGGAATGAGCCAGGCCCAGATGTCTGCTCTGCAACAGCAGATGCAGCAGATGCAACAAATGCAACAGCAACAGCAACAGCAACAGGCCCAGCAGCAACAACAGCAGGCTGCCCAACAGCCACAGATGATGAACGCGCAGCAACGGAATATGCAACTGATTAACCAAAAGACTCAGCAGCTCTACCAGCAGAACGTCGGCAAGTGGGCGGCGCAGTTTGGTGGTATACAGAACGTTCCCCCCGAGGCACACGACAACTTCAAGCGGCAATGCCGTACTAAGGCCCAGGAGTGGATGCAGCAGCAGTTGGCTATGAGGAATCAGCAGGCCCAAATGGCGATGATGCAACAACAGCAGCAACACCAGCAGCAGCAAGGCATGAATGGGATGAACGGTATGCATATGGGCATGTAAAAGGTTATTCCACTGACATCGCTCGATACTCCATTGGTCTAATGAGCTATTGAGCAGCATAACCGGTTGTTTCAAAAGCACAACTTTTATCTGCGCCAACCGGACGCAGAGGCTCGTCTCGCTGTCCAGTCAGTGTGGTGTGGGATAAGTCATACGAGAGGGTAAATAATCTGAAAGGCGTTTTTGGTTGGTCATGGTTGAGGGTCCGGCAAAGCAAAATATGGTGCGGCTTCAAGCCACGGCTCCTTTTTCTTGTTCTGTATTCTCGTGGTAAGGCGGCGTTCCCGGTCCGGAAAGGGTGGAATCATATGTGTAGCGTCTTTCATATACCCCACGGAATAGTCATTGAAGGCGTGGAAGGCAAGGGAGGCTGGCTCACTTGTATAGTTGCTGTGCATTAAGTATCGGTAAGGGAACTGTCCTGACGAGACGAAATAGAATTGGCATTGCGTTCAATGTCTTGCGAGATGTATAGGCTGACTTCCATGCGGGGTAGTATGCTTGTTTTAGTATTATATCTATAGTATAAAGGGGTCAATTCAATGTCGAATCGAAGGTATAAACCTACTAAGGAAACTGCTCTAGTGTAATGATCGGGTCATCCCATTTGTTAGATGGTTATTGGTGATTCTGAGAGCTGAATGTATAAGAGCATAATTCATTTAAGTGCATAGCTCTATGCATTAAGCAAAATGGCTACTGTATTGAAGGCTGCGGCGTTAGCGGGTCCCGATACTTATGACGGAGGCTTGGAATCAGCATTTGATCGCGATGCTGTCATTTCACCTGATCAAACAGTGTCCATAGCAAGCGAAACGTTAGGCAATTGAGCTCGTGCTCATTCCGCGGAATCTTTGAGAGCTTATCCTGACACGCTCAGCTCCTCCTTCATCTCCTCCTGCATCTTCTGTGCTTTCCGACCTGCATACCCCCTGATGATTTAGATGAACAATATCCCGGGCGTTAATTCTCCTACGCAAGCGCAGCACCCTGAAGGTTCGCCGCAACCTTCCCGAACTTAACTATATTTGCCTGGGAAGCTCGACCTCTCACACAAACCCCCCGACTTCGATCGTTGCGCATCAGCCGTCTTCTATAATCATCCCCCCTTCCACCGATTGAATACACGCTCCAAATGAAGTTCGCATCGATACCAATGCCCGACGCGGCAGCCGTCGTCCTGTTGCTCCTGGTATCTGTCTCGCCCGTGGCATCGATGCTACATTGCAACCAGATTATCGCCGATGGGAAGAAGTTCGATTTATCCAAGCTCGGGGGTCCTCACTCGGTCGTCGTCTCGGAACTGGTGGCGGGCAATTACCACAACACGACTTTCACGACCGACATATGCCGGCAGCTGAAGCGCAAAGGCACTGTGCCGGAAGGAGAAACATGTAGAAATGGGGCCCGAGGTGAGTTGCGCCTGCGGAATGGATGGCCCGCTCCCTCAAAGCTTGCAAATTACTTTAGATACTGACGTGCACATCTGGATAACAGTATGCGCAATCACGCGGCTGATCGGCAAAGGCGATGACCACGAAGTCATCGAAAAGATCGAAATCGCCGGTGAACTGGCCGACTACGGTGGTGGTCACCTCGATGCCGTGGCCCACAATCTGGGCTCGTCAGACTCCATCGGCGACTCAGGCAAGGAGGGCGTGCGCATTACCATGAACGGTGGGTTTCGCGAGGCCTATGGCCAGAAGCGCCCGCAGAAGGCTGTTATCGAGTTTCTCTGCGACAAAGACCGCGAAGGCACCGAGGGCGAGTGGGATCCCGAGGACGATAAGTACGAAGAGGGCGACGACCCGCTGCGGATCCGGAGTTTTGGCGCCATGGAGGATGGCGAGAAGGACGGGGGTGAGGGGGACGGGAAGCCGAAGTTGGTGCAGCTGGGACCTGCTAACGCCAGTCTTGTCTTTGAGAGCTATGGCGCGGTTGACGAAAGTAGCAATACCGACGTTCTGAAACTGACGTGGAAGTCGAAGTACGCATGTTTGGATCAGGCAGACAAAGATGATGGACAGGCGAGCAGTCATTGGGGCTTCTTTACTTGGATTGTGATTATGTGAGCATTCCTCCTTCAGCTGCCCCCCTTTCCCCCGTCCCATCCACTCCCCTTGCCTCCGGTCAAGTAGAGTCATGGCTTTCATACAACGCAAGGGCATGTAGGGACTTTGAAGTAACTGGCTGACCACCGCTCCAACCTATAGCGTCTTTCTCGGCACCGCGGCCTACCTCATCTTCGGCTCGTGGCTCAACTACAACCGCTACGGTGCCCGCGGCTGGGACCTGCTGCCCCATGGCGACACGATCCGCGACGTGCCTTACCTGATGAAGGACTGGACTCGCCGGGTCTTGAACACGGTGCAAGGCAGTGGCTCAAGGGGCGGATATAGTGCGGTCTGAATAGCGGGAAAAAGGGAAAAGGTATAGATTGGGGCGCACTGAACCGGATGGAGAACTTGTCCATCTGGATTCTGGTCGCCTTTGGTTTCCTTGCTTTTGGTTGGTGGTGTTATTTGGTGCAATAAGGATTCGGGAGTAGTGGAGGTGTAGTATAGCAGGAAGATGAATACAAACGACAGGACACAGCATGCCCACTGTCTCGAGCTATTTCCCATAGTATGCCTTCTCACTCCTGAAAATAGGTCCCGTAAAAAGCGGATTAGATCGTAGACCTGCGAAGAATTCGGAATGCCCCGGAACCACCTTTATTTTAATTAGTGACTGTTTCACTTGAGGTTCAGCACCACACTAGCTTAAGTAACCACGTTTTTACTTAAAAGAAACTCGGAGTACTTCGTGCAACGCTTTTTCGGAACGGTCGGTACTATTGTTTTGAACCATATGCCCAGAATTACGGTACTCTTCGGTTGTATGTGGCACCATGGGATATATGGAAAAAATCACGTTAGCCGCCCTCGCCCAGAATCGAAGCCACAGGACACACTACTACATTATCGAGCATAGTAACTGTCAGTAGTACGTGTAGGGGTAGCTTTGCTTTGGCGGCGATTCATCGCTCACTTTCGCCATTACCTGGGTTTGGATACTCGAGTAGATATAATGATATGTTGCCTGGAGGCATTGTGTAAATCCTGAGATTATACGTTAGGTAGAGATTGGAGTATAGGAGATGTTAATACGATGACAAAACCTAGTTGTGTTATTCCTCCTCCTATTGTTCTGGTTCGTCCATATTTTATTCGGTGTCTTTCGTCAAACTTGCGCTAGGTATGGCTAGTACAGGAGTCATTGGACTTCAACTATACCAATAGAAGGCATTTATTTGTATCTATTTGATGTAGTCTTGAAGAAACTCTAAAGTGTGCATCGAGAGATACTGACCCAAGGGAGACTTTTATTAATGAAAATCCAGCCCACTGACGTTTCAGCATGCCAGGGGTTATGTCAGTATTAAGGTTGTTGAAGAGCCGGAAGTCCGACAAGTCGCTTAGTTATAACCCATGATCTCGTGTCCGTTATAATTACATAGTACATGTCCACTTACGTACTCAAGTATTAATCATGCGAATTCATGGGTAATATTATTATTATTATTATTAAATACGCCGTAGGCTCAAAGCCCCCGGTACCTCTACTAGTACTCCCGTATGTCAAACCGTGCCCTAATGGCTGGACTAAATACATACGCTGCGTCGTCGGTTCGCCCTATTGGCGACTGCGTTACGTCCACTACCATACTACGTTGGTTCTCAACCTACCAACAAAGTCCCCCCTGAGAAGATCGATGCTATCTGGGCCTTGAAGCTGTCCGACCCGTCCCTAGCAGCCACCTTACAATAGTCCCACTAACTACTGGTTCTCCTGTTGCCGTTGCGAGGTCTCTGCGAGAGTATAGTGGCCGTGGTGCGATGGCGGATGGGTAATATTGAAGTGAGATGGTGACCTACGTTCTACTAAGAAAATGTGTCGGAGGATGTTAGAATTGTGATCTACTGGAAGGTTGATTGCTTCTGCATCATTCTGAGGGTTGAATCTGTGCCTATGGTGATGTATATGAGGCTTGGGAAGTTATCGCAAGTGTTCATATGGTAAGGTACCAGTTTCGATTAAAACTCTATTCGAGATCTGTGTGTTGAGTTGGATAAGACTTATGCTATCCGAAATTCGACTTTATAATGGTGCATATGTCCATTCTGATAGTGTGGCTTATTAGACTCTAAGCAGGGTTTTCCAAAGCATAAAACTGAGCATCCGAATTTGAAGATCAGTTAACGTCCCACACCCACATCCGGGACACCCCCACATGTGGGACACCCAAAAATGCCTCATCAACACCGCTAGCCTCTAACTTCAACCTCTTTTTTCTTTACTAATATCGATTCAATCGTTACGAAGTTTTACGTACGTCTTCGTTACACTAATGAGTCAATATACCGAAGATGATATTTATCGAGCTCTTCAAGCAATAGCTACCGGTCAAAGCCTCCGAAAAGCAGCATATGAGCATGGTGTCCCAAGGTCTACTCTTTCACGACGGATTCAGGGAGCCCAGTCAAGAGATATAGCCTTCGCTGACTATCAGAGGCTCTCTCCAGCCCAGGAATATCATCTGGCTGAATGGGTTCGAATCCAGGCTGCCCTAGGCCTCCCACCAACCCATCAACAGCTCAAAGACTTCGCCGAGCGTATCCTACAGATCCACGGAAACACCGAACCACTTGGAAAGAACTGGGTCCAGGCTTTTATCAAGAGGAACCCTTCATTCAAGGTCCAGAGAAGCAGAGCTATCGATTCCCAGCGTACTAATGGAGCCTCAGCTAATGTGATCAGGCAATGGTTCAAATACCTCGCTATCCCTGAGATCAAAGCTATTAAGGCCTCGAATCGATACAATATGGATGAGACAGGTATTCTAGAAGGCAGAGGATCAAATGGTCTTGTTCTAGGATCATCTGAGACTCGTTCTATACGGAAGAAACAGCCTGGATCTCGAGCTTGGACATCTCTTATAGAGTGTATCTCTGCGACTGGTACTGCACTACCCCCACTTGCGATATACAAGGGGAATTCTGTCCAGCAGCAGTGGTTTCCTCTGGACTTGACTCCATACGAAGCCTGGAGATTTACAGCAACAGAGAATGGGTGGACGTCAGACTCTACGGCTACAAAAGATCTTTATTCCTTTGACCCAACCAGAGAACCCTGAAGAGACTAGGTTACTTATCCTAGATGGGCATAGTAGCCACGAAACGACAGAGTTTATGTACCTCTGCTTCATAAAAAAGATACACTTGCTTTTCTTGCCGCCACACACATCCCACGTTCTCCAGCCTCTCGATCAGTCAGTCTTTGGACCCCTCAAGGCAGCCTATAAGAAGGAGCTTGGTTACCTTGACCGATGGGATACTACTACTGTCGTAGGGAAGAGAAACTTTCTCCTCTGCTATAGAAAGGCACGTCTAGCAGCATTGACCGCTAAGAACATTATCAGTGGATGGAAATATACTGGTCTCTGGCCTTCGAGCATAGCTATACCCCTTATGAGTCCCCTGCTCCTTGAGAATACGTCAGCACCAATCAGACAGCCTAGTCAGACTTGCAAAGGGTACTCTTATAGTAAGGATAGTCAGGACTGGGCGTTAGAGATATCAGCAGTAGCCTGGTCAACGCCTAAGAGGAGAGATGAGCTCCAAGATCAACTCAGCTTATTCAGCAAGCTTGATAGTGATCCAAATACCCAGCGGCTACTCTTTCGGAAAGTTCAAAAGGGCTTTGATGAGAAGGACTACCAATTAGCTGTCGCACAGCGAAATATTAAGGCAATAGAGGCAGAGCTTGAGGCTAGTAGGGCTAGGAAGCGGAGGAAGGTCAAGATGAGCCCAAATTCGAAGTTTACTAATATCAAGGCTATTCGGAAGGCTCAAGTCGAGGCTGGTGAAATTGAGGATAGTACAGATGAGTCTAGCGAGTCTGAAAACCCTAGTGACGGTGAAAGCTGTATTGTAGTCGCATTAGAATAAGTGTAAAAAAAGGTTGAAGTTAATGGTTATAATATACAGTGTCATTTTTAGGGCGTCCCACATGTGGGGGTGTCCCGGATGTAGGTGTGGGACGTTATACGTATGCAGAAAATTCATTTTAAACAATTCTTCGCTTCTCGGATGTAGAATTTCTTCCCAGAACTTTTCAGTTACCGACAACTGGGCAAACCTGCCTATTCACCTGGTGATCAGACCTCCAACTCTATCCATCCAGGCTGCGCAGCGACGACGAGACCTGCTCCAGCGTCTTAAACAGCTAGTCTATCAACGGATTTTCGAAAAGGGCCATCAGCTCTAACTAAAAAGGGGGAATTGCGTGTTTCCCTTTGCCCGAAGTATCTCTTCGTGTGCGAATAGCGAAAGTGAGACGTATGATAGTATTCATATAGGGAACTATTATAATACGACAGATATTTGGGCCTGGTTGGACGGGAGATTAGAGTAGGGTGCCAGGATGGAAGATGGTGGGGGAGTGTAGGATTATGGAGAGGGCAGTGAATAGAGACGGAAAAGGAGTGGGTGAAAGGCAGGCTGATGCGGAGGGCAGCGTAAGCCTTGCAAGGGATATTTAATCTTCGCTGATAACGGCATTCATATGATCGGTCATATTGATAGCTGTACTTTAAGAAGTTCATAGAACACTAGCGAGATAAATCGAACGAAAGAGCAGACCAGCCTGAGACCTACTGTGATATTAACTTGTAGATAACCAAAGAGATAGACCGAGTTGGCAACATATCTGTTTGAATTGGGGGTTTGAGAGCCAACTCAATGGTTTAGCTTCTGCGGACCTTTGATTGAACAACGCGAAGCCCCTCGAACCACCGTACCATGAAATTGCAGAGTGTTTATCTGATCAATCATATGTGGAACTCAAAGAGACAATGCCGCCGATACACATAGCTCTCATTGATTCGGAATGGCGTTGCTCTGCATTGTTTTATTAACGCGAACCCAACGGGCTGAACGTGATCATTCATCCCTGTCTTCTAATGATATCAATTGTGGAATTGTCTAAATATAGCGGACTTAGATTGAAGACCTAAGCCCCAGGATAATTCAGAGGACACCGGAATATTGATGTTGCCTGGACAGCCCTCTTGCTAGAGATATTCTGGATTTCAATCTAAGGAATGTGGTATCAACAAGCCCCATACATCTATGACGAAGCCGATCTATACAATAATTGGCTTTGTGGAGGTACAATAATTCCGAACCCTTGCCCTCTGCTAGTAGTGTGTGCATGCGAAGGGGCAGAATTGAGCTTCTCCTACATATAAGTCGAAGTATAGGCTGGGGTTCAGACCTGATTCCAAGGCGAATAGAAGCACTATTGATCTAGCGGTGGTACGAAAACTATCTACTATGGGACCACTGCGGATACCATACCGCAGGAATTATGTACTGGGAGGCTTGGGACCACACATTGGGCGAAAACCTTCGTCATATACGCAACTAAACAATCCAATTTATTTGTCGGAATAGCTGGAGTGGACTTGATAAGAAGATGCAAGCCTCTGCTGCAATCAATTTGACTGGATACTGTGGGCGCCCTTGCTTCTGATAGTAGATTTACGGGAAAACGGCAGGGTGTGTACATAGCAGTGGGGTGGCTTTCAGTCATTTTTCCATATCTATCAGCAGTGTGCCTTCAATCAGAACCTTGATGAATAGAACACACCTATGAGACCCAGAATTCATCTTTGATACGAACGTTGAAGTTGCACTGGGTATTGCAAGACAACGTTCATGCTGGAGCCCAGTTGCACAAATAAAGCTTAGCGATGCAGCATGATCAAGCCTTATGAGCAGTAGCCAATGTGAACATGGTAGACAATGAGCATCGGAATAAGAACATCCCGTGCGCCATGACATCATTGCCGGAATTTGCGCTGCCGCAGATTGGTCATATTATCGTGGAATGGGTGTGTTTGACATGCGGGTATTCAAGGAAACTTCCTTGATGCAGCCCGCGTTGGCGTGTCTATACCCCGCATGATACACATAATCATGCAACTAGGATCCCCTGGCAACGAAAACAGATAGAACCGACGTACAGCGAATACACAGGACGAAGGCGCAACAACCAAGCAACAGTCCCATATCTGACCCAAAGCAACATCAGGCGACCGCTTGGACGTCCATCCTCGCAGCTGGGTATTAATCCCAAATCCCGAAGGAAAATATTGTTCATGTACTATGACGAAAACGCCGCCGAAATGGGCCAATGCCGATAAGGCTGTTGACGTTCGCGGACAGGGCGCAGGCTTACTGCAGTCAGCCACAGCTGCACGAGGAGCTCCGTGAACGGCCTCTTTTTCCGAATTAGGCAATGCGCCGTTGCATTCCTTCTCAGCCTCTGTTTACACCTCCAATCGAGATGAAGATCGTCACACACACTTTACCAATACCAGGTTTGAGTGGCCGGGCAATCATAAGCTTATATGCTAATTATGGTATGCAGTACACAAAATGACGCCAAGCTAGCTCCCGCTGACTACAATGACTCGGTCAGGTATGTTATCAATACACTTACATGTTGGGATCGAGTGCGGATGACCCTGACTCGGCGTCCTCCAAGTGTGGGCTGCAGATTGGAAGTTTGCGTTGATCTCTGGGTGAGCTGGTCTGTTAATTTCTGGTGTGAATATAATAGAAGAACATGGTCGTCCTGGATAGTTAGAACATGAGAAAGAAGCAAATCTCCAGCTGGGTACTAAGACGTTCTGTCAATATGCATATTCAGTTACTTTTCGGCGTGGTGCTACTCTCTCATGCTCTTGCTGCACCTCTTATCTTAGAGAGGCAGTCGAGTATCCCGTATGGCACTGTCATCACAAGATGTACACAACCAGGTGTCGTCGCTCTGACTTTCGACGATGGACCTTTCATATACACCGAGGAGCTGCTAGACACTATTGCAGCAAGCGGGTTCAGGGTGACGTTCTTCGTAAACGGTAATAACTACGATAACATTAACAACCACGCTTCGACCATTCAACGTATGGTCGCTGAGGGTCACCAGGTCGGATCTCACACGTAAGACTCACCTGAGTTCTCCCCTCTATCAACATCCCATACTATACTGAAATTTGACTCTAGATGGGACCACGGAGACCTAGCCACCATGGACACCGCCGGAATCACCTCCGAAATGACGCAGCTGGAAGATGCTTTGGTCGGCATCCTGGGGTTTTTTCCACAGTACATGCGCCCGCCCTACTTCAGTTACAACGACAACACGCTTGCCACGCTCGGTGACTTGGGATATCATGTGATTCAAGCTGATATCGATACCCTGGACTGGCAAAACAGCACGCCCAGCACCATTGGTGGTAGTGAAGAGATCTACGAGGAAGGGCTCGAGAATGGAGGGACGCTCAGTCTCATGCATGATGTGTATCAGACTACGGTGGAGACTTTGGTGCCTCAGGCTATCAAAGATATTCAGGGAAGGGGGCTGACTTGTGAGTTTGTTCTATGACTGGATATGCGATGGTGTGTACTGACGATAATAGCTGTTACTGTAGGAGAATGTCTTGGCGATCCTGCTGCCAACTGGTATCGGACGTCGCGCTAGTGGGGGGGGCAATCTCGAAATGGATTTAGCAGGGGAAATGCCCCAGCCGGCCATGAGTATAAATTGAGGAATTATGGAAAGTAATCACGGAAAATTAGTTATATTTCGGATTATGATGTAATTTAGGTGCTAGTTAGTTAAATACCCTGCCTAATCAATAAGACGCAGATGTTGGTAACTCATCTAACGAAGTGCACATAAGTAGTTTGGGAGCTGCCAAACTGTGACATAGCTGTGTCGTTTAACGGCGATGCCTAACTTTCTGCTTTTTGTGCCGCTACGCTTTCCATCTCGTTGTCAGACCTTATAACTATCAATATGATCACATTCTGCAACGAGTGGGTCCCTCATCTTTTGACGGTCATTTGGTCCAATACTCGTCTACAATCAGCTTCGCGAATTATCCTTGCCCAAGTACTAAACATTCCCATATACGAACAGAGTTCTTCGTTTCACTAATACACTCCACCATCGCAAAGACGAGATTTTATTTCATCTATGGCTTCTTGGACTCTTCGTGATCATCCGTCTTCTTTTGCGGTCGGCTGTCAGGCCATTTACGGAACAAGTCCCTCAGCTTGTCGATCGGAGCAGCAAGAAAGGCAGCCGCATTATCGAACGGCGGCTTATTCGGTGCCATCGGGTGGCTCCGAGATGGAACAAAGTACTTTGTTTTTTCAAAACTTTGGCAGAGCTCCTTCGACTCCGTCAAGGTAAGTGCCTCTTCCAGCTTGCTCAAGTTCTGCTCCTCATCGCCTTCCACGTGGATCTGGAAGCCCTTGAACAGACTTGCGAGGCTGGGAATGAATTCCTTGTCTCCAGGTTTGAGCTTCTGGAACTGCTTGAGTTGTTCCTTGATCTTTCGAGGGTTAGTGTTGAATCTTGAAGATAGGCTTGGGCTATTTATCACTGTACCAACTGATGGCTCGCACGATCCTTCTCCACTCTCTCGCGTCCTCCCGGAATGTTTCGTTCCAATACCGGATATACCACAAGCTCCTTCGCGATGGCAAGTCTCGCAAGTTCCCATATGAACAAGTTTTGGTAGCGTTGTTGCTGGTCAGAGTCGTTGGAGTTGACCATTTTGTGGTAGCTTTCCTCTATTCGGTGATGATCATGTTGGATAGCTTGGCTGAGCTTCCAGATCTGACTGTGCTCCAGTGCTGGGGTACGCTCACCTGGGAAGTGATAGTCGGCAAAGTTTCGACCAAGGACTTGCAGCACCGTTTTAGGCCGTAAGCTGACAATGCCAAATTTTGGAGGTGAGATCGGACGAGCTGCACGGCGAAACATTATGGTATGTGAACTTGAATCCCTGGCCCAAGACGGCAGCTGTCGTAAACGTCGAAGTAGAAGCTGCGGGAACTAGGGGTATTGGAAGTATGGTGGAGACTTGGAATTCGCTCAAAAGCCCCTTTCACCGGTCAAACGGCGCGAAGCTTATATTATGACGACGCGATTCAATGTCTAAGCGTCACTTTCTATGGGGCTAGAATTAACCACAACTAACAACAACCGGCGCACCAACGTGAGCGATCGCTACCCGTCCGGCTTGTGTCAACATATGTATACATGGCGGTGTACAAACTGCAAAATATTAATTTCAATCCAGTGACTGAGCTAATTGTGTAATCTCCATATTAACACTACCCGATGCTTGGTTTTCTTCCTTTTGGGTGTCAATGTCATTGTTGAATAGAATGTCAACAGTATTAGTAGTGGAGATACTCCGGGCGCCAACTTCGACCTGGCCTTGAATAACAGACGGGAAGAACCAACGGGGGACCTGAATATGAAGAACTTAGATGTCCGCAATAGGAGCGGCAATGGAATTCATAGCCACTGGGTACCATGAAGATTAGCCGTGAGACTAAAACAGCAACTTTCAGCACAGTTTAGACTGCCAGGCACATGCGCCAAATGCACCCTTTTAAGGTTAGCCCATAGCTCATAGCCCAATAAAAAAAGAAACTGACCGAACACTTGTTTATTGCCTAATTAGGAAATCTCAAGGTCTGTACCAGAAGTACATGATGCAGTTGAGAGGCTATATGCTACAAGTGAAATATGAATAATAGTATGGGGACCATGGGTGCCTGCAAGGATGCTCCCCACCTCGCACTCGAAGTTCAACTGGTCTCATTTTATTGCTCAACGGCAGATTGTACTATTAGCTCAATAACTTGAAATCATGAATGCCCCCACCCTTCTTGTATTGTGCGGGTGATCCAACGACCAAGGGCAACGGTGACGGCTACCTGAGCCACTGCGACAATATGTCGACCACGTGGCACTTGGTGCACTGGAACCCGCTGGGAGACCTGGGTTTATACCTGAGGATCAACAATGTGAGCACAGTCTGTTTAGTGCATGATACTTTATTGTGTCATGGTATAGAATAAAGAAAGGAGGCACGATAAAGGAATGGGGTAGAGGAAACCCGGTTCGTCAAACCTGGCGTGGTTTCCAGCAGTGAGAACTGCCTTCTCAATAAAAATCCCGAGGAAACTGGGGAGCCTTATCTACCACGCCTTCAATAAATACACTCAAGACGGCCAATAAAATCCCCTAGAATACTTGGTATCAAAGGGCGTAATCGAGCGTACTCAAGAAATGGGTGGTGGAAGTGAAGGACCTGGGCGCATGCTGAACCACAAGTATCCGACCGCATGCCTAGCATTTTCTCACTCAGCATATTGTGGGTAGCGGAGAGGGATGTCAGTTCTCGATGTACTTCAAACCGGTCAAACTCCCAGTGGGCAACTGCATCTGCCGCTACGAAAAGTTGAAAGGAGACTACTGGGAACCGACGCACCTGAAGAGCTGGAATCATGGCTCCCTATCCAGAAAAAGAGTCAAAGCAGCTCTTGTAGCAGATTACTCCGCTCAGGCAATGGGCAACTACGTTGACATTAGGCACTGTGGAGCCCGAGACCTACATGCATGCGAAAATCATATGCGCCGTTGATAGTGTTGCTTCAATATTGATTGCAAAGAGTCTGCGCTCTTTAAGGAGGCGTAGTATGCTTCTGCATATCACGAAGTCTTCCAGCAAGGATGATCTGTAAGTAGCAGAGGTAAGGCCAGCAGAGCATTTGGGGCCATTCAATGGTCTGGCGAGTACGCTATGAATATTCTTGAAAAAGCAGTTATAAATGCCATGGCGTCGCCTCAAGTACCAGTACTGTGTTGCGCGATCATTCCTTGATCATGACCTTAAAGAGTTTGGGAATTGCAGAGGGCGTGGAGTATAACTCGAATTGGACTATTGGTCAACTTTTCGATGGAATTCTGAATGAGACGAAAATGAGGCGGAAATTTCAGGGAAAGAAGTGCGTTGTGATGTGCGATTTGCTTTTACATATCTATCATGATCAATGATGACTATGTAAAAAGTACCCGACCAGACAGGGGCATATCGTTCCTAAAAGACTTGAATCTTGTTTTGCTTTAAATATGGAAAGACATGATTTAGAAGAAGTCCCTATGTATAACACCAGTTACGATCACAGGTATCTATGTTTTTCAAATATACGGAGTGATTAAGCGCGTAACAAAGTTTTCTATTGCCCTATCCAATATGATAGAACTAACTGGTACCAAACAGAACTCCGGATGAATCAAGCTGGTAACTTGATATTCCACTTGATTTCGGATTGATTGACTTCCCGAGTCACATCTTGAAACGTCTTAGCCCGCTGCTTTAGTGTCTACCCAAGCCTTAGTGTCTTGTCGGACCGCACCAGACTTTCTAGCTTTAACTTTTCCCTTCACATCTCTTTCCTGCTCTTTCATGCTCGATGGCTGATTTAGAGTTCTTAAACTTGCTCCATTACAAGCAGCTAAGAGGCAAACTTTTCTGTATCTAAATGCCTTATGGCTACCTTCACTCCTTTGGGCTGGAGGAGATTAGAGACACATTCAATCCTATGCCTCGTTAGAGCTTGCAATAAGTCCGATATGTTATATCTGATGGAGTGCATATGGGGTGTGAATTGTTGTATTGGGAAAGGATGGCCAGGTCAGCTATTCTGGCCTGGCAGAGCTCTTTTATAGCTCTTATCTATCTTATCTCTAGCTATAGGGCAACCCCCCATGGGGTCACGTATCAATATCCGATCAACCACGGAAGTCGTATGTCCCTTCTTCCATCATTGGCCAGCAACAAGTAAATATGTAGCTTGCTTTCTTAAACATGAAAGCCAACAAGCTGTAAACCCTGAGGAGCTTTTTGAGGATCGGAAGCGGAGCAGCATGGATAGGAGGAATGCAAGATAATGAACGAGTTAACCATTCTTACCTGTGTAATGAAGTTTTGAGTCGAATTTCAAAATTACATAGTGATTCTCCCTTTCAATAACTTACAGTCAGAAAGATTCCAAACTACATGTAACTTGTGAAGTCTAATTGAAACTCGATAAACACCCAAAGTCACGCTTGTGTACCTATGTTGGAAAGTAAGAGGACTGTATTAGTAAAAACTCAATGCCATCCCTAAAAAAGACTTCGTCAACACCGAGGTGGTGAAAATGAGAAGAACAAAAAAATAAAGCCAAAAAGCACAACCAGGGTTTTCTCTAGCCAGCCCCAAGCAACAACATCATGACATTGTGTATTTAGCTGCTTGATATTTCACACATTAGCATAGCAGCATAAAAGCCTCCCATGGTTATTCCAGGTACAACAGGTGTTAACAACGCTTGAGCCCGGGTCTCCGAAACCCGGGTCAGCCTTGACCTTCGGAAAGTTGCAATCCCCTGCGTTGTGCCCCAGTTCAGTTTCAATCCACAAGACCCGAAAACCCAGCCCGTATGATATTCTCCTTCAAAGTTCCGTTCAGGACGATACCAAAAGGGCCTTGTTCAAGTGGGCAGAAAGATTTGTTGCCGGGCAGCTTGCCAGTCTGGAAGTAGGCGCTTATTTTGGACAAGCCGCAGGTGTTCCTTGTAGCGATGGTTGTATGCTTTGAACTGATTAGCATCGTAAACCAGCTCTTGGCCAAAAGTGATGAACTTACGCCCATTCCATCTACCGTGAGTACCTGAGAATTTGGGTAGTGTGGTGCCGACGAGAGTGCGCTGTTCACTGCAGTCAGCTTCAAGGCCGTGTTACAGGAGGAGCGGTTACTCGCTTATCAATAGGTGTCACCGGGTCGTGTGTGTTGCCGACAAAGAGTATGGGAATTGCTGTATCGCCGCCAAATGGCCCAGTGAAAATCTCGGTAGCTTTGATGGGCCAACCGGTACATCCCAGTGCTGACTTGATCCATATTTCCCCGATGATACTTTGGTGCTCAATCTCTTCGAGCTGAGGTCTCAAGTCTTCCAGCGTCTTTTTGGATCACGTATTGTTCTGGTCAGAGCACAGAACAGCGAGACTCCATTCCGGGTGCTCATAGCCAGCCGTTCTGGGGTCACCAAATATTGTCATGGCTTGTTCTGCCCAGGGGCTGATATGCTGTGTTGAAAGGGCACTCTCGAGATCCACCAGGGTTTGGGGTAATAAGCCGAAATACGAGAAGGGCTCGTTCGCTGTGCTCAAAAGTCCTACTTTCAAGACTAGTAATGCGGTCTCAAGATCTGTAGCGTTCGACCAATTATCAGCTTCCGCTTTCCGCGGATCAAGCTGTACGAACGACCGGTTGAACCGCTCATAGATGTCCTTTGGGGTTGATCCAGTATAGTACGAACAGTCCGCCGGCCCAGCCTTGTGGCAGTAGATGAAGAAGGCAGCGATGATTCCATCAAGGTGGTTGACGCTTTCGGAGGTGTAGTTGGTCAAGTAGCTCTCTGGACTCATAACGCCATCCAAGACCACGTTGCCCACACTTTCTGGAAACATGGAAGCGAACGTTTGACTGAGAAAAGTTCCGTAGCTGACTCGGTAGAAGTGTAAAAGGTGATTCGGTTTGGCGGCTCTTTCGCCATCTTCTGTCTCTGCGAATGCGTTGACAATGCTGAGCATGTCCCTTGCAGTGGTTGCGGTAGACATATGTGGGCCAGCATCCTTCTCTCCTCCAGTGGTCTTCTCACATCGCCCACCCAAGTCCTTGCCGAATTGGATGAAGCTGTTATAGAAGTCATCAGTTACTCTCGGAACGGTTTTGGACCTCAATGTGATAACCTGGTCTGAAGTGATATTGGCTGAGCAGTCGGCTACAGGTTCGCTCAGCCACATGCCCCGGGGATCGAATCCGACAATATCCCAGTTGGTGCCTACCACGGCCTAATAAAAATATGAATGTTAGTTGGCACTCATCAAATAATTCGAGAGGGTTAACATGGCTCAAGGAGGGCAGTAAATACTGACCTGAATGGTAGATGCATTGTCCAGAGCTTCGCCCACGCCTGAAACTCCAGGTCCACCAGGGTTGAGAAGTATCATGCCTTGATAAGCTCCAAAGGAAGAATTCGATTGGGCGGGCTATTTCACAAGAGCCACCGAAGCTCGAGCAAGACTGGCGTTCTGGTAGTCAAGCGGCACCTGCATAACTCGTTCAGCATGCAAGACAAGGGCAAAGGGAGAGCAAGCTGACATCAAGCCTTGCACAAAAGAACCCCTCATTGCGAGGGCACCAAGTGAGCGTCTGAGATGGGGATATCTTGTCAAAAGTACATCTTTCAGAGGAAGTTCCTATTACAAGGTAGAACAAGCCCATTAGGGCGAGAACGAGTGGAGTGGCCATCATGAAGGTAGCTGGTAAAATACAAAAAGAGTGAGCAGTGAGCAGTGAGCAGTGAGCAGAGGGTCGAGAACAAGTCAGAGAGTTGAGGTAGACGAGATAGACGAGAGAGACTGCGATGGAGAGAGTAGACAGGCACATATATACACAGATCATTTTGCTCAGTTTCAATAGCTTTGCTTGGCAAGTTTATGCCTTGGCGAATAACATTATGCAGGTACAGCTACCAAATAGAGGCATTGGAAACTTCCTTGGCAGATCGTAGGGACCCTGTCGTGTAGCTGCTTTTGAATTTACAGATACGAAGTACAAGCATAGATGAGCAAGGATAATGAAAGCCCGTCACAAACCCAACAAGACCAACTTCTACCAGAGTGGGCCTTTTAGCGGGGAACGGTCTGTTGGATATTCGTCAGTACGCTTAAACAGCAGGGTCCGTACGAGACGACCAATCAGGAGGTCGGGCTTTAATAAGGAGACCAGTAGGATCGATCATACTAGCTCAGCTCTAGAATCCTTTAGGTACGATACGGACGGCCGCCGAAAATAGTACTACCAGACCTCAGAGGCGCGGCCAGATAGATAGTCTGTTGCTCCTGTTTTCCATTGTCCAGTGACTCTCCCACTGACATATTGCTGCGCTGAGAAAATAATCTCATATCTCAACCGGTGGGCCATCTCGAGCTCCAGATGCCCAAGGTCGCTAAGGAAAGAGAAAGCGAGCATATCGGCCGAAGACCAGGTCGGGGTGCCTCACTTGTCGAAGTAAGAATCCCAAAAGTGGACCAGAGATCAATATCCATTCTAACCGATTATACAGTAAGACGAGTCAAATGCGACGAGGCACGGCCGGCTTGTCAAAAATGTACATCGACACGCCGTGTCTGCGACGGCTACTCTCACGTCGAACTACAGCACTCGTCAGGGTCGTCGCATTTCCAAACAGTCCCTGTGGCTGTCATGGCAGGTCCTTCGTTTGACATACACGCCTCCACCAAATCAAAGAGGACATTTGCATTCTTCGTACAGCGGGCTAGCCCGCAACTAGCCGGGTTCTTCAGGTCAGACTTCTGGGAAAGAAACGTCCTCCAAGCTGCACATCATGAGTCGGCTGTGCGTCATGCGATTGTCGCCATAGGCTCACTCCACGAGCTGCTTGAGCAAAAAATAACAATAACAGATGCAAGAGAGACCTTTGATTTGGAGCAATACAACCTCGCGATTCAAGACCTGCTGGTTTCTCTGTCTCGGAATGAGAAGCGAGGCGTCGATGTTTGCCTTATTTCGTGTATTCTTTTTACTTGCTTCGAGGTACGTGTCAATTCCGCATATACGTAGCTGTTGTGTCGTGTCACTATTTATCCATTCGTGAATGCTGATTCTTGTAGAACATGCGAGGGCACCATGCCTCCGCCGGATTCCACATCCGAAGTGGTGCGAAGCTACTGCGCGAAACCGTTTACGACCACCAGAATGGCGTATTTCAACATAAAGCTCTTGGGAAAACGAATGATTTGGATTCCTACGCTCCGCTGGAGGTTCTTGCTGGAATCTTTGCAGGACTGGATCCACAAGTCACAATGGTAAGCGGGTGTCGCTACGTACCCCCAGGCTCTACCTTGGCTCATACATGCAGAGCAGATACCCAGAGACTACAAGTTCCAGCTTTACCAGAGGTACTTTCCAGGAAACGGGTACCACGACGCCCATTTCTCATTTTCGAGGATCGAAGAGGCCAAGAGCATCTTTGATTATGGTTATTGTCTGTTCGCCAGCAGTCTCGCCTCCCAACTACCATGCGACCCTGAGCAATTCTCTGCCGCCATTGAAGCCCGCATGGGTTACTGCACAAATCTGCTAGCAAAATTTCTCGCTCGCACTGCTGGAATTCGCCGAGTCAAAACGCCCATCTTTTACTCCAAAGCACGAATTGGGCATAGCTGTGCTCCAACTTCACCTGCTGAACACCTATGTCTCGTTCCATCTCGAGCATCTACCTCCACCTTACTGGTCACGTTGGGATATATTCATACCGCAGATGCAGGAAATGGTCCTGCTTGGCGAAAAGATCGTCTCTTCCACCCGCCCTGAAAATAATCTGGGAGGGCATACAACGTCCTTCTGCTTAGACATGGGCTTTATCATCCCACTTTACACCGTGGCCAGTCAGTGCCGAGACCAGATAGTCTGTCGCAGAGCGATTGCCCTTCTTCGTTCTACATCACGGCAAGAAGGTCTTTGGAATAGCCTGCTGGTTGCAAAGGCTGCTGAGAGGATAATGGAAATTGAAGAGAGCGGATGGGAAGAAATAAAGCCTTGTACCGATGACGCGAATCGGTCGGGCGTGTTGAGCGCCGCTAAACCGATCTTGCGCCTCGATGAAAGAGGAATGCGGTTGCAGTATAGTCGACAGGGACAAGGGAATAATGCTCAGACGACTGCCGTTGAGGAGTTGGGCAGTTGGGCAGGCATATAGGTCTCTGCGATGTACAAAGGAGGCAGTAACGGACATTAAAAAGAATGTACCTCCATTTAAATGCTCGTCATCCCATTGGGCTCCGCGTACGTTGACAGGATTGCTGATGCCTCGACTATACTAGTATAAATAAGCGGATTCTTGACGTCCCATTTGCAGACAAACCCAAATCCCACTATGGAACACTATCACTGGCCTCTAATCAAACTTACTGTTGTTGGGAGTCTCAAGTTGGCTTTCTACTCCTGGATGATGGAAGAAGTAGCACAAATCCGATGAAATAAGCCGAGGCAGAATAGCGTTTCACACTTAATCAGACCCAACAATAAACTAACCTCTAGGCTGGCAGACACATCGGTTCTCTTTATGATTATGTACAGTATACAATACAAAAGGAAACTTTGACCGACACCTTCTCAAGCTGGGCCACCAGTCTATATTGGGTACAACGTGCCAGCGAGGTTGTTTGACTTCTATCCAGATATGTGCAATACCATCCATATACCTCCGGTAAACAGTTTCGTGTATAAGTAGAAAGATTTACACTGTCAGCCCTCCGCTGTTCTTCTGCCTTGTTTCACCAACCGCTTCAAATACCCCTTGCGCAACCCGGATCCCCTGCACAGCCGAGACTCCTTCTCTAACCCACGTGACATTGTGGCCCTTCTCACTCATGCTGGCCACGGTGGCATTGTCAAATGTGACCTCGAATTGAGCGATATCTGGCATCAACTGATCATGGATCCTGGGCTCCCTGATCGCATGCTCCATATCCATTCCATGCTCAAGCACTCTCCAAGCGACTTGCGTCGTGGAACTGATGATACGGGAACCACCGGCAGCACCCACAGTGACGTAGAGCGTGCCATTGGGATATTCGACAATGACGGGTGTTATCGAAGACATGGGTCGTTTCCCAGCTCGAATGAAGTTGGCGGGCGAAGGGGCATATCCGAACTCGTTCGGCACCCCTGGGATACTGAAGTCGTTCATCTCGTTGTTCAGGATGACGCCCGTCTCGGGCACCATGATCAGGTTCCCGTAAAGCAAGTTCACCGTCGTGGTGCTTGAGACTGCCATGCCATCTGCATCCGCGGTGACAATGTGGGAGGTCCCGTGTGAATCTGGTATGTAAACCTCTGGGAAGTCATGCGGATGGGTAAGATAATATCCGACGGGGTGGGTGGTTTTGTCCGAGATATGCTTCCTGGTCGCGGCCGCACCACTGGGAGACAGCATCAGGTCTTCCAGGGCTTCGATAGAATGCGTGTCCACGAACTCTGGATCGCCAAGCTGCTGATGAGCTGCATAGGCAAAGCGCATAGCTTCGTCAAAGCGGTGGAGGGTTAGATTCTTGTCTTGAGTATCCTCGACGTCGTAGCCGTCCATCGTCTTGAGGGTAGACAAGCACACGGAGCCAGAAGAAGGCGCTCCACTTGAAAATAACCGATGCCCACGGTATGATACGCTGAGTGGCCGGCGCACAAGCGCTTTGTATTCGGCAAGGTCATCGAGTGTCATGGTTCCATTCGTCGCCTGGATGGCGGTAATGGTCGCATTGGCAATCCCGCCGGTGTAGAACACGTCGGCTCCACCGTCCGCAACGGCGTCCAACGTGTCGGCGTATCGCCTCCGCGTCATAATATCACCAAACTCGACGAGCTTGCCATTGGGTGCGAAGTCCATTGCCCAACTAGCATCTTCGACCAAAAAGTTTCGCCCGGCGTACTTGATTCCGTTTTCCATGTATCGCACCGTATCCTCTGTCACTGGGAACCCATTCCTGGCCACATAAGCTGACGGGTGAACGACAGCCTTCCACGGCAGGCGACCAAATTGTTTATGGGCGTACTCGAGGCCGCGCAGTTCACCGGGGACAGCGGCTGCCAAACCACCGAAAATGCTGCCGATCACATTGCCTTGGTACATATCCTGGTGTGCGGCGGCCGGTGCCGCTTCCCGGAAGTCGATGACGGTATAAGAGCCATTCTTGTCCCGGATCAAGCTGAATCCACCGCCGCCAAGACCTGAGTGATGCATTCCAGTTACGCCAACGCAAAGCTGGGTTCCGACATAAGCGTCCACTGCATTGCCTCCGCGGGCGAGCAGGTCAATGCCGATCTGGCTGCATATTTTGCTCTCGCACGCCACGGCACCATGGCGCCCGGATACAGAAAGCGGCTGCTGATCTGGGACGTGGCCTCCCGACTCAAATAACCATGGTGCGGCAGCAAGAGAGTTTGATGCCGCCAGGAGCAGAATCAATAAGCCTCGGGGAAGAACTTCCAAAGTCTCTGGATAACGAAGTCAGTATAAAACCTTCCATATTCATCACTTTATTTACTCACTCATGGTGGTTTTGTAATTTGTCAGCCGTGGGAATGCCCCCTGATGGTCCTTTTCGGTGAGATAAGTAACGAGATAAGAACAAAGCCAACAACAGCATACACAGTGCGAAACGATGATTATTTACAGCAAAGCAGGCCTCTCAGCTCTGCAACTAACTCCCGCTCTCTGGAGCTGGAAGAGAAAGATTGATGGGAATGGAAGGAAGGCGTGACGGCTTGACTCGGTCGCCTGACCGATACAGAACGGAGTTAAATCGATAACCGATGCCGCGATAAGACGCCCACTATTCGCGATAAGGACCCCTGGCTTCTAGACCGCCCACCCGTGCAGCTGGATCCAATCATAAAGCTTGATTTGCAAGCTGAATTTTTGGGTTTCGTCCAATTCGAGGTTTTCGACAGCTCTCCACCCTCCTGCTTTGGCTCGTTTACTTGGTGAAAAGATAGTCTCATCGATGCGGCTTCATCAAGCGATCTTCTCACATCTAGTCACTAGGGGCAGGCCTCTCATCACACCTTTTGTTCGATACAGACCATTTACCGCCATGGCCTCGCCTGCAGTCTTGATACCGAGCGAGTTCATGTGCGACCCAGGCGCACCAGCTCAGTCTGTTCAGAAACAGCAGAATGGTCCGCAGCATAATGGCCAGCAGCACAATGGCCAGCAACGCAAGCAAGGAAAGCGGCCATTCCAGCAGGCCAACCAGAATCATAAGAAGTCAAAGAAGCTGCGGAAGCGTGAGCGTGACATGCAATCTGGATCGCACGAAGATGTACTTGCTCTGGACATTCAGGCCTTGAAGTTAGCGAATGAGTCAGTTGGGGACGAAACTGAATATATTCTGCCAGAACAGGGCAGTGAAATTGAGGTTGAAGTGTTGGAGCTTTCATCGACTGGCGACGGACTTGCACGACAGAAAGGCTCGAAGGAGATCTACGTCGTGCCCTTCGCAGTGCCCGGCGACACGCTCAAAGTGAGAGCCTACCGCCAGCTCAAAGACGAGGGATATACAGTCGCAGACTTCCTATCGGTGGTCAAGCCATCGCCCATGCGCGACGACAGCAGGATCAACTGCAAGTACTTTGCGACTTGCTCTGGTTGCCAGTTCCAGTCGATGGATTATGCCGATCAGCTGCAACACAAAAAGCGCATTGTGGAGAAGGCTTTCAAGAACTTCTCTCAATTACCCCCAGAACTCATACCGGCCATCCAGGACACCATCGGCAGCCCACTTCAGTATGGTTACAGGACGAAATTGACTCCCCATTTTGATGGCCCCCAGGGGTGGAAGAGGACTAAGGAGCCCTTCAAGAGCAAGCCAGCCGTCGGCTTCATGCCCAAGGGCAAGCGGACTACCATGGACATCGAGGACTGCCCCATTGGTACTGATGCTGTGCGAATGGGAATGAAGACGGAGCAAGCGAGGATGGAGGTTGAGTTCAACAAGTACACCCGCGGTGCCACTATTCTGCTTCGTGAAAGCACGGAACGGATACCGAAGGATGCTTCTCCGCCTCGGCCAGCCACACCAACGGATGCCATCAAGGTCGAGTCGGAACCCTACACAGATCTGAAGACGTGTATCACCGACAACAATGCGACATCGACCGAGTATATCGGTGACTACATCTTCTCGAACCCAGCTGGTTCCTTCTTCCAGAACAACAATTCTATCCTGCCTCCATTTACGGATTATATCCGGCAACACATCCTGCCACCATCCACCCCAGTCAAATACCTCATCGATGCCTATTCTGGATCTGGGCTGTTCACCATCACTCTCGCGTCTCTATTCCAGGGCAGCACGGGCATCGACATCGCCGAAAAGTCCATCGAGTTTGCGCGTACGAATGCTCGTGCGAACAATCTCCCCGAATCGCAATGCAACTTTATTGCTGCTGACGCAGGTGAGCTATTCAAGAGCGTCACGTACCCCGCCGATGAGACTGTCGTCGTTCTTGATCCTCCGCGGAAGGGGTGTGATGCCAGTTTCCTGGGTCAACTGCTGCGATTTGGGCCGAAGCGGGTCGTGTATGTCAGTTGCAATGTGCACACGCAGGCGAGGGATGTCGGGATGCTGGTCCGAGGTGAGACGGGAGTTCCTACTGATGGAGCAGCAGGTGGCAGCCATAAAAAGAAGGTCAGATACGAGATCGAGAGTCTGAGGGGCTTTGACTTCTTCCCTCAGACGGGCCACGTGGAGGGTGTCGCGGTACTGAACCGAGGCGAGATCGCCGCCGATGACATCGACGCAAATGATGACGCTACTGCTAAGGTCGAGGATAACGCAAGCGCTGCTGTCCAGGCTGAGGCTGAGGCGATGGAAGCCACCCTGATGTAGCGTAGAAACGGGGAGAACATTGCGGGAAATATGAGGCATGAGGGTGGGGCTTAGTTGGCTGAACTGTACGGATAGACTCAACAACGAGGTACGGGGATATTGTATTAAATCCGACAGCCATAGCTACCGATGGGGATGGCTATGGTGCAACACCGACCACTTTGATGTACGCTTTGGTCGTGTTCTTCCGCTCAACCACTATCCAGTGGTCTCATCCTCGAATATCGGCATATGGCAAGCATATTCACGAGTCTGCTGACAGGACTAAGCAGCGGGGCAATGGGATACTTGTAACTAAGCCGTACAAGCCGGGTTTATGCCGGGGTAGTAAATCAAGTGGCTATCTAGTAAAGTTGTGATATACTCATAAGTGGAAGTATAACAATTCGATGAAAAAGGACCCTGTGAAGATAAATCCAAGTGTCTCCATATTAATCATACAAACTCTTATAAATAAAAAGTTTTTAGGGACGTACGTATCAAAGAGCCGCGATATAGATATTGAATACTAAGAAGGACAGTGCGGTCTTTTTTACTGTACGTATCGTATAGAAATTAGAGATATCTGAAGAGTAAGTAAGTGACTATACCAAGCCTTCCTACCCCCTTTTTATGTGCTCCTATTCAGACCAGCCTTTATTCATCATCGAATGTTTGGAAGTCGGGCAAATACGGCGATAACTAAGTATGCCGGTAAAAGTATCCTACACAACACATATCACTCACAGGCATTGGATGCCAATTTTCCTTACTCAGACCAGATTTCGGATAATGGTAACATGTTTCATCTCTCGCTCCATAACCCAACCAGCAAATACATTCCAACATAAGTGAGTCATCTCGAGTCGTCTCGCATGACCACCCAAAGATGGGAATATTTGCGTAAGAGCATATCTCTGTAGAGGATAATTGATAAAACAAAAACCCCATCAAAAAACCCGAGCTGATGCCCGCGCAAGGCAAAGTGATGATCCAGCCCGCATAAATCCAAAATATTGTTTCTTATTATGGGTGATAGCATTGATTATGTTAGGTCTAGATAAATGGCAGTGGTTAGTAAGTACGATGCTACAATCGAGATATGAAGACAACTGATGCCATGTGTTGGTACCCTTGTGATATAATTATCTTGGCAATGAGGAAATCCATCTTATAGATGTGACAATGTGAAGCATCGTAGGGAGCCGGCGACCGATTCATGTTCCTTTTCTCGGCGTACTATAACTATACATGATACTTACTTACCAATCCATTTATTCTACGTTCACATGCTCAACGCTATCGCAGATTCCATGAATCATGGGTGTTTATTTGAAGTTTTGATGTACAGCATGGTCAATACCATGTCATCATGCTGGGTAGATAGACGTCGTGATTAAAGCATCGAGTCGATAGCTTAGGGCATCAAGACAAATGAACGTCAGTATTGAAAACTACTGTACGCAAAGGCTCTATAGCAGGATCAGAAGTCAAACTTCAATGATTCAATAGCTCGCAAGTGAGACTACTACACAGCTCCGTGGAATAATGAGCTGCCAGGCAAGTAAAAACAACCCTTTGTCAAAAATTTGACCGTCATCAATTTATGCACCTGTACTACCCTTGGGTACTTGCGAAGAATTATCTGTAGCTGTCTGCGCAGTCCCAACAGTCATCTGGCCACTCAGCTTCGGCATCTTCCAAAACATATTCCCCGTTTCGACTTTAGCAAGAGGATTCCCCTCCCCCTCCCCTGCATTCCCATACTGCTCCTCAAACCCAACCTTCTGGTAAAACCTGTCTTTACCCCTCGTACTAGCCACTGAGGCACAAATACCTTCTTCCTCAGCGCGGTCAAGTCCCCATTTCACAAGCATCCGGCCCAGGCCTTTCCCTTGGAAGTCAGGATGCAGAGCCAGGTATTCCAAGTACCACGATTCCGCCCGCTCGCCAGACCACACGTCGCCGAAACACGGATATGCTCGCTCAACGATGTCTTCGTCTATGGGATCGCTGGCGCGGTTCGGCCAGATCAGGGTATGCAGGCCCATGGCGGTGCATGAGAGGGGTTTGAGGAGGTTACCTGTTTTCACCAGGTCAGAAACCCCACCAGAGGAACACAATATTGTACGCAAATGATTTTTCGATGCTGGCCAGGAACCTACGGGGATCAAACCACCAGCACTCCATCTTCTTCCCCCCGTCCCCCAATCGTTCCCACTGCGCAATACCCACGATAACCTCTTTGCCGTTCTTGTCCCTGTCCACAGCCACGACCCATCTCCACCGGTAATCCCAGAAGTTGACACGGGCCCGTCGCAACCAGTACAAATCCACGTCGTTGGGAAACTGGTTACGATGCGGGTGCACTATGTCTCCAAACAAATTGTCGTCGAAGAACGCCAGGGCCATCACGTGGGCGATTTCGGGAAGCTCGCTATAGGAGGCATAGCGTAGCTTCGGGGCTGACATTATTGCGCAACTCTGAGTAGTAGTAAGACGGAGCGCCTGGCTTCTTTCTTTGCCCGAGACTGTCGGCGTAACAATTTTTGCAGAAGGAGGCCTAGAAGAGGAATTCTGGTCTGGCGCTTATTGCGCAGGTTGTTATGGCACAGTGTCGTTGGTAGTGCTACGCCTAATTCGGAAAACAGGGTTGCAGCTGTATGCTGCCAAGGGTGAATGGGGAAATTAATCGCTGGATTCCTTACCGAACAAACGAGTAGCATTACACAGGCTGTGCCGCGACCTTGCATCAGGAAAAATCAATGTGACTGTGCAAGACGAAAATTTCTTCCTTGCTGACATTCTTCTTTGTCCATCAAGAAGCGCGGGCTCATGCAGTTGGGAGAATTGAGTACGGAGTAAGCATGTAGGGTTTATTACTAAATGCTCAAACTTGCATAACCATGAGCGAGCCACAAAAATCCTTTTGTGTTCCTTGGCTATGATGCCATTGTGGGTATTGAACGAGCCTGAGGGAAGTTGACGGAGAGAAATGATCTATCATGTCGTTCTCGGGGGCCGGCAAAAGCTGCGAGATCGAATGGCTTTACCCGTCGCTCTCAATCAGTTCATGTCTATCGAGTTGACTTCGCATCGACAGCAAATCACACCTCACAAGATTCAAGCCATGGTCCATGCCGGGTAGAGAGTAAAAAATGAGATACCGCGTCAAGTGACGGGAATAGGATGATCCCACTCCTCCGAGAAGCAACAAATACATGAGATCGTGTGCATAGTCTAAACCCAAAGTGTTCCAAAAATACGCGACGGCTATCTCTCACCATGGCTCATGGCACACATCCCACTGCACATCCCGCTTGATAATCAACTCCTGGCTATCTTTCCTCGTCATGTAAATTTCATGTCCCGTGGTATCACTCGAGTGGACGACTGTTACCATGTTCTCCAGCCCATCCGGTCTGAGTTTAAGCTCCTGATTATCCCTATCCTTGTCATCTTTCCGAAAACTTCTCTCTCGACTAGACAACGTCCCGTCGCTACGGGACGTTGTTTTTGCCTTGGTACCGCGCCGAAACGATCGCAAGGTGTAGGTGTTGTTCGAGCTCTGGTCGCCGGTCCTCATATTTATCTGAAAGCTCAGAATCATAGAGAAAGACATCATAAAGCTTTTGAGATTGGGTATAGTGGCCGAAATAAGGGACCACGTCAGCATAACTTGTTGAATGAGGAGACTATTGGTGATATCGAACTGCGGCTCGGCGGAGGTAGGGTACTTCTTAAAGTAGGCTAGGTGCAACGCCGAGGCGACGATCAGGGGAATTCGAAAGCTGAACGCAGTAAAAACTTGACATTTCAGGTTAAAGGACATGTTAAGAGACCACACCAGCGCGATGGGGAGGAGGCAGATCAGTAATTCGGTGATGATGTCGATGGCTGTGATGATTTTCCAACGAAGATACTATAACTGTCAGCACCGGGAATCAAACTGTTCGCAGGCAGGATAATATTACCTGCTGAGGGCACTGAGTGTTGTTATCAGTCAAGATATCCACTGCACTGCAATTGATTGCCAACCCAATGATGGATCCAACTCCCCATGCGGCAGCTAAGAATAATAATACAGCGCAAAGTAAATTTTTCCACATCTTGATGGCAAACATACGGAGCATGAGGGCGATAACCGAACACTTGGCCAGGCAAAGTGCCAGTATTGAAAGAAGCTCGACAGCGAAGAAGGACTACATGTGTCAGCTGTTCAGTACAGCATCTTCTCCAGACGAGCACAGGAGCAGTTTGACCTTCCCAGATAGTTGCCACTGATACTCAGTGGTGATTGAGTTGAACTTGGCAAGACCATTGTTTAACCCGTAGAAGACGACGGCTGACTGTGCTAGTTTCACAACCTTGAATCGTCAGCTAGGAAGCTCTCCAACCTAGGCCTAGTACACAAACCGTGGCGGATAAGAGCAAGTAGTCGTCGATGCCGTGTTTGCCCCATTTTATATGAACCCTCAAGATTGCCGCCAGAAAGCTGTAAATCGTGGCCAAGATGGTGATGATCCAGAGGTACCCAGCATGGTCGTCGGCGTGGATGGGCGAAAAGCGCAAATGATCCTTGCCCGAGGGCTCTGAGCTCATCTTGTCGGCCTCTAAAAGGTCGAAAGCGTATTCTATTGGAAATATATCGTAATATGTTTCTTTAGTCAAGAACTCGGGTTCAAAGTGTGAGGGCGATTGCTCTCCTTGTCACTACAGGATGTGCTGAGGCGATAATTGAATGTCGCAGTGAGAATGTGCGAATTGTCGAACTCATACAGGAGTTTCCCCGGGCACTGTCACAATCTCGTATTTCAATACATCATCACAATGCCAAACGCGATAGTATTGGGTGCTGGTATCAGCCAGGAAATATTTGGGAGTGCTGCCAACAAGCGGATTGCGGCGTCCTTCAGAATGTCGTTTTTTCTGTGCAACATTACAGATTTGCAGGGCCGCATTCCAGGCATCTACGAACGTTGCAGCTTGGCAGACGCGGACCTCGTCGTATTATGAGCCATTCTTACGCCCCCACTGGCGCCTTTTGCTTCAGATGGCCATTGGTTGACCGAGAAAGCTAGACGAGGTTGCACTGCAGTGCGACAGAGACTTCTGGATCGGCTCGGATGGCACTGCAGAGACAAGGGTGGGTGTTCCACCCAATTCCCACCCTCCAGTACGGAGTAGCATTCAGACAAATTTCCCGACTGCCTTTCCTCTGTTTGGGTTTGCAACCACTTGTCCTCTCGTTGCCTTAAGATATAGCTTCAACTGCGACAGCAAACCAACAATATGGCCACAAAAGTCAAGCTAGACATGCATGCCGAATCGACGCTGGTCGACCAACAATTCCAAGACGATGTCGTCGATGAAAAGAGAGGAAACGTGGATGACCGTGCCAACATGATGCGGATGGGCAAGGTCCAGGAGATGAGGGTCTGTTGATTGTGAACGCCAAAAAGCATTGGATAAAATTGCTAACACGGATCAGAGAAATTTCCGCTTCTTGTCTATCTTTGGCTTCTCCATGATTCTCATGGCGTCATGGGAAACTTCTCTGAGGTGGGTGGGATTACAAGCTGGAATCGAGCATTGTTTAACATTGCGGCAGTGTTTCAACTATTGGCCTCGTAAACGGCGGTACCGCCGGTCTGATTTGGATGTTTTTCATCTGCTGGATGGGCTTCATTCTTATTAACACCTCGATGGCCGAAATGGCCTCTATGTAAGTTTTGCGCACATCGGGCATCAGTTACGTCACTAACTCTACTCCAGGGCTCCAACGACTGGCGGGCAATACCACTGGGTGTCTGAATTCTCCCCTAGAAAGCACCAGAAGTTCTTGAGCTACCTCATGGGATGGCTCTGTGTCCTCGGATGGCAAACCTGCTGCGCCGCAGCCGCCTATCTCGCCGGGACTCAAATCCAAGGCCTCGTCGTGCTCAACTACCCCAACTACATCCCCGAGGGCTGGCACGGGACCCTCATCACAGTAGCCATCGCCGCCTTCGCCGTTCTATTCAACACAGTCCTAGCCCGAAACCTGCCCTTGATCGAGGGCATCGTCCTCGTGATCCACATCTTCGATTTCCTAGGCATCCTCGTAGCCCTCTGGGTTTTGTCCCCGCGAGCAGACGCTAAAACCGTCTTCACAAAATTCAGCGATGGAGGCGGCTGGGGCAGTTTAGGAGGCAGCACGCTCATCGGTGTTACAGCGGGTATCATCCCCCTCATCGGCGCCGACGCTGCCGTCCACATGTCAGAAGAAGTCCGCGATGCCGGCAGAACCGTCCCGCGCTCCATGATCTCAACGACTGTCATCAACGGCGCCCTGGGCTGGATCATGATCATAACGTACTGCTTCTGCCTCGGCGACTTGGAGGAAGTCCTCGCCAGCCCAACAGGATACCCTTACCTACAGGTGTTCTACAATTCCACCCAGTCGATCAGCGGCGCGACGGTCATGGCGGTTTTCGTCATTTTCATGGCTATTTTCTGCAATTTGACGATGGTCGCCACCGCGTCGAGACAGCTGTACGCTTTTGCTCGCGATGATGCGATTCCGTTTAGTCCGTGGTTTGCACGAGTTTCGCCTACGTGGGATGTACCGCTCAATGCTATTGTCACGACTTTTGCTGTGTCTAGTATCCTTGCGCTCATTAACATTGGCTCAGCAGCAGCGCTGAATTCCATCACGTCTTTGGCAACTACGTCGTTGCTTTCCAGCTATATTTGCTCTATAGGCTGTATGATCTGGAGGCGTTGGACGAAACAGCCTCTGCTGCCTTCTAAGTTCAGTTTGGGCAGGTGGGGACTTGCCGTCAACATTGCCTCGGAGGTTTTTCTGGTCATTGTTTTCGTTCTGGCTTTCTTCCCTCAAATACCCGCGCCTGATACGGTGGCTATGAACTGGAATATTCTTATCTACGGCGTCGTGGTAGTTTTCTCCATGGTTTATTATTTCTTTTCTGGGAGGCATAAGTATGCTGGACCTGTGGAGTACGTGAGGAAATTGGACTGATGAACTATGGGACATGGAGAGAGCATGCCTTGGATTTCCTAACTGACTTCGATATGGGGTTCTTATCAAAATTTGAATCTTCGGCAAAGTATTCAGAGTTGATGTACCTCAATAGAGCAAAGACTAGATCCTATTCTGACTGCGATACGAAATTTCCCAATCGTTATATAGTGACAGGCCAGATCTACCCTATCCTCTTTCTAAGAGTAGCCCATGTGGCTCGAAACCGGTGTCTCTCACAAAAAAAACAAAAAAGAGCTAGGGAATAAGTGACGGTGTTGCCGGAAGAATTTGACGAAAACAGATTTGGCACCATGTCTTATTCCGCACTTCGCGGATGTCAAGCTTCAACCTTCGAGCTCTAAACTCGTGTATAAAAGAACCGTAGAAAAAATCCCACCAAATCTTCCAGCACGTATTCCATACTCTCTCGCTCTCTATCTCATACCGCGGTGATGTGCTGTCCGTGAAATCCGAATCCAACGGCAAAGTCGCACTCCGCTCTGCCTAGCTCCGTCATGGTCTTGGCGTCCAAACAAAGCAAGTAACTCGTTTTCTTGTATCCATCCAGAACAACGCTAAGCAAGACTCCGTCGTCCTCGTCGAGAATCTCTTTCTGCTTCTGACAATCAGCAACGGCATGCGCACCGGCAGCACGGGGTCGAGCAACGAAAATAGCCTCGCTAGGCGTGTGCCCCTTCGGTCCAGCCCAAACTACAACTTCCCGTGTCTTCGTATCGATCTTAGCAATGGAGTCGAATAGTGTGCTGAACCCGCGGCTGGTAAGGTTATAGACGAATCTGTTCTCAAGGCAGGCATACTCCGTGTTGATAGTCGGCATATCTCCAACATACGGACACGAAGCCAAGACTTTTCTCTCCGGCTGCAACAACGCGGGGGCGATGTTCTGCTTATTCATCGCCAATGCCTCGATATCATCTTTGCGAAATCGGTATCTGACCAAGCTGGGGCTCGACCCATCCTTCAGCATGCGCTCGCGCCAGAACTCCTTCCCCTTGCCCTCGCGGTCGAGGAGGACGTCGTAGTACAACCCCGAGATGATATTCAGGTTGGGGTACTCGACTAGCTCGCAGATAATATCGCCGGAATCGTGTTCTTCGAAGGCGTTGGTGGAGTGGAAGAAGAACGAAGCAGGAGAAAAGAACTCGGCAAGAAGTCCTTTGCCGTGGCGCTGATCGATAATGTACCACCTGCAACACTCAGTAGGGTCGAACGGCTTCATGGCGTCGAGGATGCAACCCGTCCAGATCATTTTGAGTCCGAATAGCTCGTAGTGCGAGACGGGTACGCAGAGGACCACGTGGTTCTGCGTCATGAAGAAGCTGTGGATGTAGGCCGGCTTGGATTTGATGGTGGCCAGGATTGAGGTCTCTCCCGTGGAAGCGCTGATCCGGAAGATCTGGTACTTGGCTAGGGGGCTGACGAATTCGCAGTTGAAGCTGATATAGTCTCCTGTCTCAGGGTCGAGCTGGCCATGGGCGGGCCCCATTGCTCCTATGAGCTTACTGTCCAGATATCCTTGGTTGATGTAGCGACGTGGCTCCATGGTATCCGGGTCGATCTCGCAGAACCACGCTGTGTCAGTACCGAGAAGGACGGATTTGGTAGCCGCACGATGACCTTGGGTAATGTCCTTGTCATTCGTCTTGCTTTTGGTGGCGACTTGGGCAGCTTTCTCGAGTGCGCTCATGTTGGCATTGACAGTGACACAGACATTGTCCTGTCGCTCAAATCGACGGAAGGTAGCCATGAACCTGCCGAAGATTCCCATACAGGGGTCGCTGCGCTGACCAAAGCAGATGGCCTTGATCATACCAGCGTTTCTAATGGAGTCCGCCAGGGCTTCAGCCTGACGGCGAGACGAATACAAGACCCTGACTTTGACGTCGCCATGGTCAGTGAGACCATCATCTTTGACAGCCAGGATTTCGAACTTATGCGTGTGCGCAAGTCCGTCGAACCAGTGAGATATGTGAAAGGTTCCGGACTTGGTGTCCTCGACCTTGCAGGCTCCGGGCCCGGTTCGGTAGAGTGAACCTGCGGTCCAGGCAAGGATGTTACCCTTGACTACGAGCTCTATTGGGCCTCGTTGCTCGGCCAAGCCATCAAACTAGGAAAAGTGTCAGTATATTGTTAAAGGCCTGACTGAAATGCAAGGAAGACTTACGCCAGCCTCGTTGGGCCACTCGGAGAACGCTCCTTTCTCTAGATTCTCCTCGAACAGCTTGACGTCGGCTTTCTTGTCGTCTGCAGTGCGCCGGATAGTCTCAGACTCGTTTCCCGGCGTCGAGTTCATGGTGATCATGAATGGTTCTTACGTCAAGATTGAGGGCAAATTTTGTCTGCATTTAAGACAAAGGTTTCCACGGAAGTTCGACTTAAAAACCCATTAAGTTTGGGAATGTCGCAATTTATACCCTTCGAGGACAATTGTAACATTGGAACGTTGACTGGGACTGGATCTAGGAGTCAAATCAGTCCGTTATTATTTGTATGTTTGCTCGTGGCACAGCTGTGGGACGGGTTGTGACTGGTTCTTGCCCCAGTAGCTTACTTCCCTTGATCTTTCAGCACCTGTCAGAAGGTTTGCCCAACCTGATACTACTGTCATGGGCTTATTACTGTCCAGATAGTAATTGGAAACAGGAGAGCTCACAAGTCCGGGGTCTGCATTCTCTGCAGCCGCAACCAGCAGCGCTGTTCGATCGGAAACTCCGACGATGACCTCGATGCGTTTCAAATTGCAATCCGCCTACACGGGTTGTTGGGCTGGAATGCTTGCGCGTCATCTGATAAGAACAACAGTTTCCGAAGACCATGGGGTAGACGAAGTCAAAATCCTGGACGCTGCGGAACGAGGGACGAAGTTCCTCATAATTCCATGGCAGCACAACTGCATATTTCAATGTTATGGGTGGGTGGATTCCCATCATGGTGGCTTCTACCACTTGCAAGTATATACCTCACGTAAGATCTGTATTTGCATGTCCACATCGCCGTTTTCAATGCCATTGATGCATCGTGTTTTCTGAGCTATTATGGCCATGAATTCTTACCGGAGTACTCGTTGCAGCTAATCATAGAACGATGATGACAGCGGAGTCAAGGTTGGGAAAGATAGCATTTCGGGGCGCCGATACAATACTTCAGAGCCTTCCTGGCATTTTATTTAAAACCAGCTTTGCGAATGTAAATTAATACAATTTGCTCCAAGAGGAGTATCTTTGTCTTATTGGGCGGCACCTACAACTTCCGTTCGTAGTTGACAAGCTGGATTGTCACTCTTCAATGAGAGGCCAGAACGAGAGGCCGGAACTATCTAACAATAGCTTCCCGATATTAAAATCTTCAAGGACTTAGGTGATACTCGAATCGAGCTCTGGGGTCTTGGAGGGTTGCGCTCACCACTTTATTTTCACCAATCTTACCGCTACTGATATCGTCTTACTTTACCTGGGCCGCTCGCTCAGGATACCTCGTTCTATCAGTTCCTCGGTAAGACTTTACAATGAACTTCTCGAAAGGCATATTTGGTTTCAGGAGACAGGAGGCGAATGAATTCGCCGGAAAAGGTGGAAAAGTCATGTATTTTGCTAAGGGAAAGAGTCTGCATCAATCGGATAGCACTATAATGTTTGATAGGGGAAAAAGCAAAGATAATCTGGAGCAGTTCGTGATGGCATCAAGATACTGCTCGGCTTCCAGGAGAGTTCCTTACTATACATTTTCCTCCGTCAAGGCCAGGTGGTTGCTGCTGCTCGTTCGGTCTTTTTTGGCCAGAACATTCCCACTTAGACAACCCTGTGTACAACTTACAATGGATTCCCGAGAACAAGCAAAAACTTGAAGATACTGAACCCTCCTCGTCACTGGGTGTTATACGTGACCACATCTCAGTCACAAAAGGGGGAAAGCACGACTCTGTTATTCCATTGTTTTGCCGAGGGCTCCTTCCTTTGAACTTTTCTTTATTTTAGGCAACCCCTTGCACACCAACTAAGACACGGGTCGCGTTGCTCTCACCCGCGTCGTTGCCTTCTTCTGGGAAACCGTGATCACGTCTTTGCCCTCATTCTCGCATGCCGAGCTCACGTCTGCGGGTGCGCCCACATTGGTTCTGAGCCCTCGACGTACATATACCAACTTCACTTTCCGAACACGTCTTCTTATCAAGTTGCAACTGGTTCACAAATTGACGGCCAATCCCCGAAGCACTCTCAGCTACAACTCATTCCGTGCATCGGCTTCTGGCAACGCCTTTGGCAACTTCACTATATTTTACCGCAGCTGGTCTCAAGAATCCGTGGTCAGTCCCCGGTGCAACATCTACGAACGATTGCGTGAATTGGCAACTAACCATCACTCTATCAGTCTGCGGAACCTTCTGCTGTCACTGACAGCACAGATTCACTTTGTAGTGTGTTGCTCAACTGCGGCTCTTCGCCAGCACCATCGACTTTCATATTGTCCATCATCCTTGGACTGCTATGATTCACCTTCCACTGCAGTTACGCTTAGGCACTCATTGATTTCGCATTCTAACGGACACATAGTCGCCTTTTCACGTATTCCAATCAGAATCACCTCCTTTCAATTTTCCTGACTCTGGAAGTTCTACTGCTCATCCTCCAGATCATTCATAGACTTCCACCGTCCTTTCCCTCAGTTGGCGACAGTATTCTGAAAAGAAAATTCTTTTTGGAGTCTCTGGCTGTTGGCCCTCTATCAACCACCACTCTTGTCAGCAGAGCGGAAGTCTTTGAGAACTATCAGCCACGATGGTGCTTACTAAGGATCCCCTGCCCTCGGCATCGCTCCTCCTGAATATTCCTATAGAGGTATGTCTTCACTCCTTCACTTTCTCTCAAGCCAGAGACTTTCCTCATTCATCTCGCGAGGTTGCTAAGCCCGCTAAATGGTTCGAATAATTCCGGCTAACTCCCATCAAGGTCCGTTTCAACATCTATGAGTTTGCTCTCGCCGAGGCAAAGCCCATCGAGCCTCGCCAAGTCTGCCGCCGATCCAACAAATTTGTTTGGGGAAATCACGATTGTAATTATTCCGACAACTTCAAGCATTCCGATCCTCTAGACTTTTCAAGGGTACTATCCTCCACAGAGGAAAAGTGCCTGACCATTACGCAACTTTCACAAACATGCCGGACGGTATACCAAGAGCTGGAGGGAACTCCTTTCTTCTATCGAGTGAATGAATTTCATTTCGCAGAGCCGTACCAGCTGCATGTGTTCTTGGTGGCCATTACCCCTAGTCGCCGGGCCATGATCCGCAACATCACCCTTGGGCGAGCCAATGACAGTGACTTCTACTTTCATACTTGCTTTCCCGGAAAGCTCGTTCAGTTCAAACTTGGGAGCGAGTTTGACACGACTGGACGTGCAACAGATGCGGGAGGGTGGGTCGATCGCTCCTTTGCTCGAGAGTGTATTCACGCCTTGACGATGCTCTCTGAATGTACCGACCTCAAAGTACTCACCATTGTATTGGAGATCAATGAGCGCTGGGGTATACCGATGGTGGAACAAATCAACAGTCACTGCCATGAAGTTTTGAGTATCGCCCTCTCGACTGATGATCACTTTGGCTTTTGGAGCCTGCCTGAAATGAAGTTCTGCACTAGGATTACGGAGGCTGCTGGTCATCACGAAATCAATCTCTCTAAGCCCATCGTCCCGACGCTCCCCTTACACTCAGAGCTCATGAAGGAGCCCACAGCGAGTATGATCCGCATGGTCCAGAATGCCATGGTTGCTCGCAAGAAGCGATTAGAACAAGAAGAGGAAAATGGAAATGGCTGGAGAAACAAAATCACCAGATCTATGAGACAACATGCGTTCACGGACGCTAAAATTGACTTCCCAGGCGAAGCTCGAGTCCAACAAAGCATGGCTGACACCGAAGTTGGAGCTGTGTCGTCAAGAACCAGACGTCGCTGCCACGTCTCCAATGTGAACTCTTCGGGTATCATTGAGTTCCAGCGTGGCAAATACTCGACCACTATGATAAGCCCTATGGATTCCTTCTACATGAAGATCGAAATGGTCATATGGACCGACACCGGCATCAAATGCCAAATCTCGCCCCAGGTGGTTCTAGATGGAGAAAACACTTCTTGGGTGCCACTTGAGAGGATCGACGCCGACTTTGCCATTGACATCCTCTTCAAGTACTACAAGAATCTCATGAACGGACAATTCAACAATTCTGCACACCTGCAGGAGTTGCAGGCCATGCCGACGCCAAAGGAAATCTCTGGGGTGACCAAGAACATCCTCAGAGACAATACGGACTTGGAGCCTCGATCAATCAAGAAGCGACTCACATCATGGAATACCCTAGAGCAGCGTTACGAGGCCTTTGTCGCCAGTCTGGAGGATCAAGTCGAGTCAGAACAGCAAAGGGATGCCGGAACAACTGTTGCGGCGACAACAGCTGCCACTACCAAACCCGTCTCCAAAGCGAAGGCCAGAAATGCTTCCGTCGGCGAGCGCAAGATGAAGTAGACTGGGATCTATTGAATCCTCCATGAAGTCTGACTTCCACATCGGTATTCAAGCACCAAATTATGAATAGCAGTCAACAACCTCTTGTTGCCAAGCAATATCCCTGCATTCATCCGTCATGACTCTAGTACCAAGATTGACAACAGTTACATTACGGTACCGGCTTTCACGGCCGTTAAAATGTGAACCCTTGATCACCTTTTTGTATGTCGCACAGCTCTCGAGATTCATCCTTGTATTGGCAAATCTTCCCCTGCCTTTGATTGTGCGGTCACATCTTGGCATGTTAGGGCAATCCTGTATTGGCCATTAGGAAAGGGAATTGATGTTGGCAGGTTGGGAAGCCAACGGGGATAGCTATTTGATTTTCTTTTCAGCTGCATGTTGATTCAAAGTTGCCTTGGGGCACAAATAAACGTTTTTGAGATTAGGTGGTAAAACTTTGACAATTCTCAAGGATATACGACACCTTTTTCAGCTGGGCCCAAGACCAGTCTAGTTTCGTTTCTAGTCATAATGATGATCTCTTTTCTCCTGACTTTTCTTTTCCCTTCTCCTTCTTCGTGACGATATAATTAACCTTCTGTGAAAACTCTGTCGCGAAAGTAATTACAAAAACAAAATAGTAACATATCTTCAGCATGATCGCAGAGTTATCCTATCTTGAACCCCTGGATTGCACCATATATTGTCTATGTACAAAGCAATGCTGATCCAACGCCACCTCCAGCATCGAAGTCTATTTGACTTAGCAGTTTACGATATAGGCGAGCTGGGGTTGGCCCACAGAGTCGGTAAACTGCCGAACCCAGCACGGGTCGCCGCATTCCGGCACTGTAAAGCAAACCCAGTGTCAGTCCTTGTGACAAGTCTATTCGAGAATGTTCTGTTCAGGGGGCTAGCTATCTGTGGAATTAAGTACGTTATACTGAGACATTTGAGTGTCAGCGAGGCACGTATTTTCGTTGGCGTTGTGGCAGAGATAGTTGCACAAAATACGATCATCGCCAGCGGCAACACTGCTCAAGACACAGACCCCGCATGGGTGGCGCTGATCAACATCTCGCATATCTAGAGGCGAATGTTTTGGTATTGAATCGTGCTCTCAAAGTGGTGATTGGGTGTAGGTGTATGCCTTTATGTAGAACAGGACTATATATGCCGCCGTAGAGCACTATTCGTGGCGGTCATCCCCAGGAAGCTATAGCAGAGACCGATCAAGGAGAAACGCATGATGAATTTAAATTAGTGAACATTTTTGATGGTCCGAAGCTAAAAAAGCAGACGATTTGGTGCGTAATGAGCGAACGGGGTAGACTTTACGATGTCGCACAAGATATGCTGGGAGGAGGTTCCCTTCCGAATCTCAAGGAACCTCTATCATGTAGCCATCTAGTATAATCACAATGAAATGTAAATTCTCACATGCAGGTCTTCCTGCTGTCCATGTTTTTAGTTGGATTTGCATGCAAAAGACCAACCAACCGACAGGGTTCTAGATCCCCCCTTTTCCCAAAAGCTCGTCGCCCGCTTGAACAGCGCAGTTGTGGGAGTAGAAAATTCTCCTGTCGATAAGAATACCTGTGCTGGGTTCTCTATGCAATCAATCCGACATTCTGTCATATTGATGATACATGGAACTGCAACTGTAGTTCATTCCCTTGCCACATTCCAATGTGTAAACCATCGTTTTGCGGTCTAGAAACAGTCCACCCCGGATTCGAGCGAACCATCCTCTGTTTCATCTCTGGTAAAACGATTCCGACTGATTTAGTTGGGAGCCGGAAATTCGACATCGCTTTTTCGAATTACATAAGCGCCGAGACGAGGCTCAGAGAATAAAAGTATCGAGCCAACTTACTGGTACGCATGGCTATTGGATTTTCCGGTGATATGTCCGACGGCCTCAAAGCAAGTTAAGCTCAAGTCTGAAGAACCCCAAAATCAAATATCCATCATTCAATGCGGAAGGTATCAGGTCAAGCTTCCATATGCCAAATTACCGAACCCATCTCAACGCAGATATCCAACTCTCTGCTCCTCGTTCATCTCTCTGCTATCTCACTTACACTCTCTCCCCTCCTTATCCGATACTCGAAAATGGTGTTGTTCCCACGATCCTCTCGGCCAGGCCATCGAGAATCTTAAGCTTGCCAAATCTCAAAAATGGTATATCCCGCCCCGCCGTCCTCCCAATTCAGTATATAACCTCAACTGCGATCAGAGATTCTACACAATACGCACCCGCCCGGGACCACTCGCATTGATATCCTTCACCATCATAGCCAGGGACTAAGCTAGTTTCCGTAGTAGTGCTCCTAGGACACATCGACGGGCTTTTTCCACGGTTATCTCAGATTTTCAAGTGCGAGAAGACTGGGTCGCGGCTCCAGAAGGCAAGCTGCACTTTTTCTTAGTCCCCACTACTCGCTAAATTGCTGCCGTCCTCACAGGAAATCGAGTATGAAGTCGTGACCAAGTGGGCACCAGCAGCTAGGGCAATCTGCGCTGGTGTTACGACGGCGATGTCTAGCATGGCGTTCAGATCGGCCTCCTGGATGTTGAGTAGGGATAGCCGGGTCAGATTATGCTCCTGCACGGAACCCGCGTTTTTGGCTACGTAGCCAATGGAAGCGACCTTGCCAACATCTATAGCCGTGGCTGATAGGCTCAGGAGTCTGCGATGCGCCGTTGAGACTGGTAGACGCAAACAGCGGCTCAGTTGGATCGGTCTTGTTGCTCATGAAGTTCACAGTGGAACGTGGCACGAATGATTCATTGTGGTCGATTTAGAGTGGCAACATTGGCGGGAAGCGGGCGGGAAGCGGGCGGGGACGGTGTGATATCTCGTTTTGAGCAAAGCTGAGCAAAGGCACATCATATGATTCGAACCGCCGCTGAGCTCAGAAACGCTCAATATGACTTATAGGTAGGACGAGGCAAACTAGACGGCTTCAATACGAAGCGGTTTAGAGCAAGATTTAATCGTTAGAGATGTCAAATAATTTGCCATGCAATAGGCTTATTGTTTGGAGACGTTACTTGGATGGAATAGATGATCCTACTATGTCGACATGTTGAAATCTCCGGAAAGGTTTTGTGTTGCGTGTTAGCAGCCGTGGAGAAAAGGGTTTTGTTATAAATCATTAGAAGATTATCATTCGAATAATTTTGTTTCGTAAAGCAGACAACGAGAAGAAAGTGCATCCCCATCACTTCATGTGCACGTTGTTGATGTCCAAATGCTAGTTCTCGGCCCATACTTATTATAAAGTACCCAGAGAACATAAAGAGCTCATCAGTTGAAGTCCGGCGGATACCGCTGCTCAACGCATTGCGGATATGTCCAATAAACCAGTCCAGTCATGAGAAGGTTCATCAGTCTGCCCCTGAGAGGTATCTGTGGAGCATAACGTTTCGTCAAGTCGTACTCGAACATTAGAACAATATTACCAATGAAATTGAGTAAGCGGAAGATCCTGAACCAAAAGTTAGAAGGCATATAGAAGTCAATGCGCCCAAGTAAGCAACTGAACGCGTAATGTGATAACTGCACTTACATATTAATAGCGAAGAAGGCCAAAGCAGCAACTGAGCTACCCAGAATCTCCCGTTGGACAGCTTTCGAAACGGCATAAATAGGCGGAATCCAAAGACCCACGATGGCCAGCTCGAGCAACCCGACCCAGTGGTAAGTCCGAACTCGATTGCCCCTGAGGACCAAGAACGTCATGCATATCCAAAGCAGGATGAAACTTGCCTAAATTCAAGAGACCATCATTAGTACCAGACAGCCACTCGAGGAGTCCGTAGCACCCGGCCTAAAACTCCCAGAAGATGGAATAGCAACTCACCACCGCCGGCCCCAAAACCACCTTCTCACCCTTAAAATACCTCAACGCCAGGGTAGCCGCCACGACGCCCACGGCAAACTGCGCAAAGCCCAAACACATGAATATCCACAAAACCCGACAATATCGATCATAGCAACCGACATGAAACTGCTCATGCGCCCAACTATGCGGCCCAACCACAGGCCAACCACACCACCTGCAGACCCACGCAATCCCCGAATTGGCCAGGGTAACCGTGGTGCCGACCCTCAAATCCCGCGACTGCACCGCACACCGGAAACACTTAGCCGTGGGATGGTTCTTTGGATGTAACGGGTGCGGATGACTCTGCGAAGCCCTCGACACAGGTGGCCTAGGCTGCAAAACCAGTGCCGACCGTCCGGGGGCATCGAGACACGTCTGGCAAGTACTCGTCAACTGGCCGAGAAACCCGCCCTGCTCGGACTTTTCGAAGAGTTCCCGGATGTACTCATGACTCAGGAGCATACGGTAATAGTGGCACGTCCTGCGCAAACGCTCGAGGTCGCCAAAAGCGAGAGAGCTGAAGATGAGGAATTGAAGTTCCAAGGGGAGGGCGAGGAGGCGCGATGGCGCGTCTGGATTGATGGAGAGAGATCCCGTGGAGGAGGCCCCGGAGGATTTGCGCTTTATGCGGTCTGCGAAGGATTCGAGCGGTTGCATGGATCGCCGGAGCGGGGAAACCGGGCCAGCGGAGTCCGGGTCATCGGGGTCCAAGACTGGAGTTGTGAGGTGCCGAACCAGGTGGTCAATGCCGCTGGTCGGCGTGATTTTCAGCTCGGGCCCCTTGTCCAGGGACTGCAGGGAGCGGACGGATTTCCGCTTGTCCCGTTCCATGGAGGAGCGGGATCTGGAGCGCCGCTTTGCTTTCTGCGTGGTCATTGATTGTTGATGTTAATTACAGACATTGAGCAGGTGCAAGAGCGGCGAGGTGCATCTCGGTTATGAGTGAATATGTAGTCGTTGATAAGTGTGAGAGACGTGTGGGAAATAGGGTCGCAGCGGCGGATTTGATGAAACATGAATTGTGTGAAGGCCCCTGGTGGGGGTTGAGAAACACGATTGCCGACGTCCTATTAATTGAAGGTCCGATCACAGATGTTTCGAGCCAAGATATCGGTTCTCGTCTGAAGTTGGGAAATATGTTTATTGTTTTCAAGGGGAGTATCTGTGTGTTGATAATTTTTTATTCAGTAGCTGTTCCGACTGGATGGTACACAACTTCGAGGAACCACTATCATAGAATCGTGGTATGGGAGAGTATAGGTCGTTTCCGACATGACGTGGGTGTAAATGGCGAGGCCTTTTGATCTTGTTAATTCAAGTGCAAACTGGCACTCGCTCAGTGAGGTCAATTACAGAGATATAATGAACTAGGTTAGATGTTTGTGGGTGTTCAAAAAGATCCACAGACGAACATCGATCGAGAGCCAACCTGGGTTGGTGGGTATAATACAATGGATCTTCCTCCCTTAAAAGTTATTAGAAGCAGTCGCCTAATTGCTGAATTCCTCTTGTCGCAAGTTGCTTAGACATGTGTAGGAGGATTTACCGAAACAGGAGCGGAGCTCTCGCAACGTCACGGCCAAGGTCTTGGCTCCACATATGAGGGCATATGGAGACGACCGAGTGATGTTGCAAAGAGCAACGATTCATTATCCATCTTCAAGTAGATCTGCAGATCTGGAGGATTTGAGCTGATTTGGACCGGGATATACGAGTTCCATTTGCGGGTCATAGCGCACGCTTGACAGAGATATCCGGGCAACTAAGAATACTCGGATGTATACTTCGTATGCGTGCATGTAAACGTTAGCTACTAATTTTTTTGACTGGTAGATGCTGTCCCGCATTGCCCACCGAGGTGATGTTAACGTTGGTCGAGTTGAAGGCAACCGCCGGGGAGTTGTGTGGTCGTATTTCTCGACGTTCAGAGCGCTCATCCTCGATACACAATCCGGGTCCGCATTTCGAGATCCAGTTGTCGCATATTTAGAGTTCATAAACCGGATCAGGCAGATGCTTGGCTTGCCGCCTCTGATGGGTGACGCAGAGGCTACTATGAGCCCGCGTACGTAAAGTAAAGATATAGTAGCGGCCATCGACACCGCGGGGCACTTGCAATCACATCAGCTTGCCAGCAGAATTCATCGTAGTTGATGGGCCATGATAGTTGCTTTCCTGTCTGCCTCGCTTTTCCGTACATGACAGCTTTTGACACCTTTCGCCGTCTAATTCTTATAAACAAACCCCTTGGGCTAAAGAAACTACGAACCACCCGGACCTCCGAGCAGGGCAAATCTTCGCACGATTCCTGGACCATATTCGTCGTACTATTTATTCGTTAGTTTCAGACATCTGCATGATTCCGGAATAGGAAGTACTCACCTCAGCCTTGGTGTGGCAGTATGAGCGGAACTCGGGTGTCTGTCCTAGCAAGCTGCCCCCGAACCACGGTCCGTGTCTTTGGCGCTTGTGGCTGATAACCTGCACTTCCAGACCACCACTTCTTGCTCCGCCACTCTTTACTTCGCTGGCCCGGATTCTCGCGTCTACCAGATGCTTGACGTCCCGCTGCAAACGTCGGGCGAAATCCTTGTACAGAGTGCTACCGCCGGAAAGCACGATGTTCTTGTAAAGCCCACGACGCACATCAATCGGGCTTTGCTGGATTACACCATCCACCACGACTGGGAGCGGGGTCAGAAAGTCGGAGGAGTAAATTTCGGGGTTGAAGAAAATCTCGGGAGCAAGGAAACGTTCGTAGCCTACGTCGACGCTGACTTGGCGGCCGCCAGGTTGCGTCACGGTGTGCTTGATGAATTTGCTCGGATCACGGTCGTATTTTGCGAATTCTTTGACAATATCGGGGCACACATAGCTGTATTCCTCCTTGATCTCCTGGGCCGTCTTCATTGAGCTGTCGGCCTCGCCTCGGTCTCGGAGCATGGACTGCACGAAGCTGGTAAGGTCACGGCCAGCAATTGGAATCGACTTGATCGAAGAACCGATGACATATCCCTCGGCAACGGGGATGACGTGTGTGACACCGTCGCCCGAATCAATGACGGTGCCCGTGAGCGATCGGTCGTGCACCTTTGCTGATGTCCACGACGCTGCTAGAGCAAGTACAGCTTGGACGGCAATATATAGACCGGCGCAGTTGAAGGATTCGAAAAAGATCTCGGCTGTGTTTTCTCGGTTCTCGGGAGGGTTCAGAGGCTACATTGACAATTAGTTCCTAGTCAGGACGACCCAAATGCCCAAACCCGAACACGGTACAAGAAGTAATAACGTACTGGTTCCGTTAGTAGGAAGTAATGGTCTTCGGGTTCCACGCGTAGGTATTTGAAAATGGAATTCGACCAGAAACGTTCCATATGGTCCTACATCGCCGTCAGTTTGGAATTGACATTCCCCGTGTCCTCGGTGGTGCTGCCATACCCAGTTCTCTATTTGACCATGTCGAATAGGCCAATGTGTTCCGTATCCTAAGATCGTCTCAGTCTCTGTTGTAAAGAACCGCTAGGATATCTGCCTACCCGGTCCATTTCCTGCCGCGAGAGCTTCGTCGCCGATGAAGTAGTCGAGATCCTCGGTCCCCCGCTTCCCTGATAGATGACCAGTCGGGCCCGCACCGCCAGTTAAGCGGGAAGGTTTGTTCGCAACAGCAGGTCTACCTGAACCAGTCCCCCCGGAGCCACCCGCAGGTGCTTTTGTCGCTATTGCAGTCGGGAAGACGAAGGACGGTGAGTCGTTGCCGGCGAAACCTGGAGGCGAGGGAAGGTCTGTGTCAGTAATACTACTTGCGCATTGAGGGCAACTCGTGGCCGAGAGCTCGAGTCTGTCTTACCAAGCTTTGAAAAGCCCGTACCGCTGTAGGTGCCGGGTTAGCATCACGATGTGTAACTTAGAAGCTCCAAGTTGAGTGAAGGCGGCGGGGGTTCAGGAGCAACATACTTGTCCATGACAACGGCTGGCGTTTGGTTCGCCATGATGAAGGAGGTCGGCAAAAGATGCGCAAGTCTATAAACGATGTCGCTACAGCGCAATTGAGAATGATGAGGCAGAAGGCTGTTGGCGGGTAGCTGTCTCGGACGACAATGATGCGGCGCCTACAACCATCCAAATTACGATGCCTATCATGACTTGGAGACGTTGGGCCGCCGCTCAACTGTGATGTCGATGTGTGGCTGTGCTGAGGGCCAAGCTTGCAACAGTGGGGCGCAGAACCCCGCCAACAAGCCAAGGGAGGCTTATTACGGCAAGCGTGGGGGACCTCAAATGCAATTTGAGACTTTAGACGACAAGAAGAAGCTCGCTGAAAACCTTTCAAACTAATGTCTCGAGTGAGCGCGACAGGCTGGCTTGCTGCTAGTGAGTTACAACGTCAACTCATTTCAGGCAAGCTACTAGAGAGACACGATGAGATTCGGACCACTATTCATTACAAGCCCAGTTTAGAGCACTTGGCCAGCTCAGGAACCCCACGTCCATATCTAGATGGCAACTGCCACACAAACGTCAGTAAAGCAAGCGAGCAAGATAAAGAGGAAGGCACGGCAGACTCCTGAAATATGCTAGTAGAAACAAGAAAGAGCGACACTTCTCATTCAAAGCCCTTCGGTCGGAAGAGATCCCGATGGTGACTCTAGGCTGAGCTGGGTAGTTTCGGGGTTTTTCGACAACATACTCGCCAACCTCATCTTCTCCTCTCCTTCTGCCTCATCGTCAACTCCCCGCGGGACTGACAAAGGGAGACACATCAAATACTCCAGGGGAATATTCCTAGTTCCAAACAATCATTAATCAGTATACCTCTTCACTGCCCGGTGGCGCTTGGTGCCCAATTCGACTGCAAATCTCTGTCCGTCCGCTTTCATTGGGCCAACCTACTGATACGTTCGGGACGTAAGACCACGACCGCTAACGACCAGGCGTCATAAAGCCTCTCTCCGTGTCAACCATCCTCGCTATCCTCGCCATAATTTCAAAGATTCTGGAAAGTTCGCGAATCTCTCGGCCCAGATGAAACAAACTCAACAGTCGCATCCCAACAGCTCCCGACTTCTCGTCATTCGGTTTCAGAAGTAGAGCAACGCCTATCCTTTCAAATCTCTTGAGCAATAAATCCGAATGAGACAGTCGCCAAGTTCATAAGATAGCACAAGAAAGAGTTAGAGGGCAGCCTTGGAAACAACAATTCAGCTTTGCAAAATCTGGCACGGCTGTGACCTCGATTGGCAGGTTGAAGCCCGTCCCATTCGGTCCTCGCACCCTGCGGCCTTTACAGCACCATCATAAATTGCCTGCCTGTAAGGAACAGATTAACGATACCCCTGGTACAGGACATCGACTCGTCAGGCTTTGGAAGACATATGAATACGTGTGAGAATTACGCGACGGCTTACTAACTGGTGCGTGACTTGCGAAGGCTACCTGTCCTATCCACACCACATTTCTCTTTGCCCAAAGCTGCGGGTTGATTGCTTTTATAAGCCTGCTCTCACCAATAGTTTCCCTCGCTGCTGGCACGACTGTCTAGAAACAAACCAACCAGTCAGCCCCAGCAATCAATCCCAATGACGCACACAGCCAAAGCATGTGCTCCTCGATCGCAGCATTAGAGATACTTTGACAAGATCCGCCCATTGCTTGGGAAAAGATACCGTCACAAAAGCATTGCAATGTCTGTTCAGGACCCTTCACTAGACGCCCTTGGGGCAGCATCCCATCCTCCGGAGCTTGCCACCGAATTTACGCCTCTTGTTGCGGACCAATGGAGTGGCTTGCCAATCCAAGATGGAGATGAAGCACATTCGGGTTCCATCTTCCCATCTGGTGCAGAGATAGAGTCCTGGCACCAAGGTTCCTCTGCGGATCAGAATCTGTGGACGGATGGAGGAGCCGATCGCTTTGGTAGGCGTTCAAAGCCTGTCTCAGCTATATTTATACACGCAGGTGCTGGATACCACAGCACCGCAAATGAAAGAATACACCTTGAAGCGTGTAGCCAGTAAGTTATCCGCCAGATTTCGATTGAATGTGGCTCCGTGTTCTATACTCACCAATCCGAAGTGCAGCACGTGCCGCTATGAAGCTTCTAAAAGGCGGAGCATCTGCCATTGACGCTGTGGAGGAAGCCATTAGGGTCCTTGAAAACAAGGAGATCACGAATGCTGGGTATGGGAGTAACCTAGCCATCGACGGAACGGTTGAGTGCGATGCAACCATTGTTGACTATCTCGGACGAAGTGGGGGTTGTGGTGCTGTCCCGAGTCTGTCTCTTCATCCAGCGTTGTGACGCTTCGAAGACTAATATTTACTTTTCCCAGACATCAAGAATCCCATTAGCCTCGCCAAGCTGATTCTGGAACGGAGCAGTCAGCCTCTGTCTCTTCGACGGGTCCCTCCCAACCTCCTTATTGGTGACGGTGCGAAGGAGTTTGCCTGGAAGAATGGCATGGCACTCATTCCCAATGACTGGCTCATTTCCCGCAATGCTAGAGACCGCTATGTCAGATGGCAGGAAGATCTGAAACGGGCCGACATGCAATCGCGAGACGTCACTCCATCCACTCCGACCAAGACTCCAAATCCGGAGTACGACGAAGAAACGCATCAAAAGGCCCAGCGAGACCATACGACTGCTATCCTGACAGGTACTTGGAATGAAGGTCAGCCAGACTCGCCAGTACATCCCGCCACGCCCTCAGACAATGGACCACCCTTGGCACCCCATGTTCCCAGCCCACTGAAGGCCCAAACTCCCCAGTCAAATGGTTCGACTAGTTCACGGCTACAAGACCGGAGTCCTCTGAGCTTCCTGGGCTCCAAGTATACATCTAAGACGGACAATTCTGAATCTCCAAAGACAGGATCTCCTGATAGGAAACGGCCGCGTTTCCTGGAGCGTCACAGCACCAGTTCGCCACGAAATTCTGATGTCGGGAATCCAGATGCGATGGATACCGGTGATGGGACTGGATCACTACCAAACGACCGATCCACGATCCCTTGTCTTTCCGACACTGTCCTGAAGAATTTAGGCACTCTAGTTGATCCAGCCACGGCGAAGGAAGTTGAAGACCTGTGTACATCCAACCTCTCACCCGCCAGCCGCAAAGACTCGATCTTCGACGGCGAGTATGACGAAGATATGATCACCGATACAGTAGGTGCGATTGCTATTGATCAGGATGGTCATATGGCTGCAGGCTCATCATCGGGAGGAATCGGCATGAAGCACCGTGGACGCGTCGGCCCTGCGGCTTTGGTTGGCATCGGCACAGCTATCATCCCAGCTGACGACAGTGACCGCGATAGTGTCACTGTTGGTGCGGTCACCAGCGGCACGGGTGAACACATGGCCACCACGGTGGCAGCCCAGAAGTGTGCCGAGCGCTTGTACCATGGTAGCGTCCGAGGCGAAGGCGGCTTCGACGTGAGGGAGGATGACGAGAGTGCCATCATGGAGAGCTTCATTATGCATGACTTCCAGCTTCACCCCGGTGTTCTGAACTCATCTTCAGCCGGTGCAATCGGCGTCATGGCTGTCAAGCAGGCTCCCGGGGGCTTCTATCTGTATTTCGCCCACAATACCGATAGCTTTGCGCTCGCGAGCATGGGTAGCTCTGACCGAGACCCACACTGTGTCATGAGTCGTATTGATGAGAAGAGCAGAGATCGTATTGCTCAGGGTGCAAGGAAGATTAGAGTGGATTGAGATGCACAGGCCAAATGCCTTTATAGTCTCCATCTTACTTCGCCCCTGGACCATTTCTCGTACTTTACGTTCCCGCAATCCCTAAGGTCGGCTTTGATGACTTCGATGGAGGAGATACCCTAATAGACTGCGCCACCAACCCTGTCGTTAGATCAGATAGAGATACCATGATATTCCTTTGCATTAAACTGTGACAGTAGTGGCTAATGAATATATCTGTGAACCTCTATTGCCTTCGTGATGAGGCTGTCGCGATATGGTTATTACTACCCTCTTTTATAGTAGTTCAACAAGCTTAACATTCTAAAAGTCATTACATGACTGACCGTAATTCAATGTCCTGGTTAGCATAAGGACCCACGGTAACTTACGTTGGTTATCTAATCCCGCCATTGCCAAAGAGAATGAGATAGCAGCCTGCTGTTTACAATATGAAGACGCATATCTCAAGACCTACTATCGGGTGGAATTTTGTGCACCTATCTTAAGTTTGACAAGGAAATTTTGATGGCAATCTGCATGTCTGAATCGATATCTTGCCTTCTCTTGGCCTTTGAGATGAGAATCCCCACACAGCTAGCTCATGGTGAATACTTAAGCATGTTCGAACACCACGCTCTACATCTTCCGCGCCGCACACTTGAGCAGATTTCCTAGTGACCATTTGATCTCTACTTCGATATCATAGAGCTATGTTGCTGCTATTTCATTGTTGAAGGCTTTGCTTTGTGGGGAAAGTTCGAAAATCAGGGGCTGACAGGGCCTCTTCTCTTTGCGGTCAGGGCATACGAAAATACAGGAGTCGATCCTGTATTGACCGCGTCTCTGAGAGTTTCAGACTATATATATGCTCATTAGATTCGTATCAAGGGATAATCTAGATATTATTACATAAGCTGAGCCTAAGTCCATGCCTTCCAAGCCGCGCCCACTGCCACGCACAATTCATCACATCTAGGAATTCATCACATATCTCGACTACCAGAGACAATATCGTTCGTCTCGATTAAATATGGGTACATTTGGTACTATGAATATGATCTTACAGTGAAGTATCATCGACTTCGTTCACATGGCAAATCACTTATACATGTTTTGGAGTACCTGCATTGCCAAGCCTGAATCCAGGAATTGAAGATAACCTATTTGTGAAGCTCCACATGTATTTTCCCTGTAACGAGTATTATAGGTGCTTTATATCTACTAACATGATGTCGTTGAAGTGGATACCATCACCGGTAGAGTTTGAGTCTCCAGTCGAGTTCAGCTCAACTGTCTAGCTAGTCATATTTTGCTGCCTTAGATCCGCCGTTGTATATAGATGGCTCTGACATCAAGCCGATACATCGGATATAGACTTCGACACTGGGAAATTCTCGACGCAGAGAAGGTCTAGAGGTTCTATACGGGGATTCTGAGGCCGAGGAAGACCAACCGCTCTAGGTGATATACCTGACGGCAAACCGTACTCAAGGTTTTTCAATTCATAGAAAGACTCAAGGATTTTACCACATGTGCTCCCACAGTGAAACCGACCCAAATATCAGACCATCGCAATCAGCCTCGTTTATTTAAGCTAGAAACTACGGTTAAGATCAACTTGAGTGGCATGACAGTTGGAATGGCTTATCATTATGCAGTTAATTCGCCATGAATTTGTATTCCGTAATACCCTTACCGTGCATCCATGTATGCCGATGTATATGAGACTGGGGTACCTATACGTCGCTAACTACTTGATGCCTGTCCAGCAGCCATACGTTCAAAACGATCATATGATTAGATGAACCGATGATGGGCGAGATATGGTTCATGAGAAAAGGGCATGCGTAGGCGGGGTTGAGGCTCTCACAGAAGCTTCCAATGTGCCGGGAAACCACCCGCGGTCGATGTGAAGATTCCGGACCGTTCCGTGCCCACCACAATTCATATGCGCCCCTTTCCCCGCGGGTTGGTTACTTTGCGGTCCTAGCGGCCGGCTCGGCATGACTTAGCACATGACGGATAAGCCATTATAATGGCTCGATTCCCAACCAAGGTCACCCCAGCTTGTGCAGTAAGCTAATGAGCTTGTTTACCGGAGAGAAACCAAAGGGTCGGATACAGAACCACTGATTTCGTAAACATCCTCTTTATCCTCATCGACCTCAGCGATAACTCCTAGCTACTTTGACATGGGTGCTCGCAGTTGCTTTCACCCGGACTCAAGTGTATAAGATGAGCGTTGCCACGACTTTTTTAACGGAGTTTCCCTCCACCTTCCAAAATTTTTCGGCCACCTGGGCGTGGGTTATCGTACCATGACCCTTCTGTAGCAGTTCTGCCTGGTTCATTCTGGTCTGACGCTTTGACGAAGTCGTAAGTCTCAGCACCATCGAGACTACTACCAGAAACAAACCAGAAACCCAATATTTCTTCACTCGAAGGAAGCTATTCTTCAAAAACACCAACTTCATCGCGTACGATAAATGCTTCTTTTCCATCATTGGCTCCGCCGCCAAGGTAGAGCATGTGCAGCCCCTAGCGCTGCAATCTTACGAAGCACCCTATTATAGCCCTTCGACGCATGAATTCCTCTCTGTAGAATGGTGTCCCCCGGATGGTGACGACAGCGTGCGCCCATAGCAGTACATGCTCAACACCAAGAACAATACATTCTGGAAAATTACCACCCGCTCAACAACACTCAACTTGCATGGCTGCGTGTTCGACGACGCTTTCTACGCCGTGACCGACGGGTCCTTCAACACAGCCCAGCTCGCCAACATGGGCCCGGTGCCCCTCGAGATGACGGTGCTACTGCACAATTTCTACCAGCAGCCCTTCATAGGCTTCAAAGATTCGGAAATCGACCCCCAGAGTAACTTTTGGATCGCCGACTCCGAGTTCGGCTAGGACTGGGACGTGATCCTTTGGACCCCGCCCACAATCCGACGGCATACTTCGTAAACGGGACCACCATGGTGCCGAGGTCGATCCACATCACCACGAGAAACGCCAACAGCGTTGCTTCCACTATCGCTGGGGATGGGAATGGCCTCAGGGTCGACATCCAAGATACGGGCGCGTTGCAGCAGAATCTGGTTAAGTTCAAGGACCCCTGTGGAAAACACGTCTTATACGCCCAGGATAGGTATCCTGGCGGTGGCGGCGTCTTGATGAGCCGGTGCATGCTAAGCAACCCGATTTCGAGCTTCTACGATGGCTCGGCAAGAACGCATTGAATTCCTCGGGTGCTGGGGATGGCGTGAAAGTGATTAGTCCCACTGACGGCTTCACGCTGGGGAGTATTCGGGTTGGGGTCGGGAAAAACCTCGCGGTTTTATTAGCGTTTGGGGAATGAATTGTAGATTGTGGGTGGGGGTGGGTGTGTGGCATGTAAGTGGGTTGAGCGAGACGACTGGGAAGGACTGGTAATGATATATAATCACTGGAAGGTGAACATGTACATTTACCCTCACGTTATTGCGTCATACAAGCCTTTTAACTATCTTGGTTTATATTGTCACCCCAATGGAGTGACGAGATGGGTTCGCGATGTTCGAGCTATTACAAAGTCTGAGCCCCTGGTGTTGAAAATGTCGAGAAGAAATTCAAATGGCGCATGACGTACCCTTGGCTGCGGCTGGGCAGGACTCGAGCGTTGCGAAGCAATGCGGAAGGGAAATTTGTACTTTCCAGATTGGACGTCTAGGAATGTTCGTCCAGAGGACAGTCAGGAAGTAATAGACATAGAACGCAATGTATGATTTCCTATGCTGTACAGCAGTTTTTCTTTTATGGCTTATATGGTATCAATCCAGATCGGACCTACTATGCAAGCAAGGAGAGCCCATATGCTCCCAACGCCGTGCCCATCCCCTTCCATGCAAGTTAGCTTGGCATTACGGCATTATTTTTCAACCTGCAACCATTATGCAACTCAGGTCCATACAGATCTCGCGAAGCTGCCGAATATCAACAAGGCATTCGGTGTCGGCCTTTTGAGGTGCATTATGACAAGATGCAGCACCAGGCCAGCCGACCGCCGAAGCCCGCCCGATACACCAGTACCTTTGTCTTCCAGCATCATTACGGACTCCAAATTGTTCACTTGGTGACCCCTCTCATCATCCAGGCACAGGCGTTCCCGCCGCACTCCCCGATGCGTCTCTGTCCATCACCCCATTGAGGGCCTTCTTTCTTTTCTTCTTCTTCCGCGGCACCACGGCGGGGTTCGCACCATAGCTTCCAAGCGCTAATTTCGTCCCGCATGTAAGGCACTCGGCTCCTTGAGGCACCTCGCAGAAAATGCTCAAGCAGATGCTACACACGAACCCTGTGTCGACCACCTTGCGGTGACAGAAACACGCTGCTCTAAAGTCCACCGAGTCTTGTGTGGGAAGGGTGACGGAGTTGCGCGCTTCGGCGTCGGCAAGGAGCCCAAACATGAGGTAGGTTAGGAGGCCACGTGGATTGAGCGCAGCGGACAGGAACACACCGCCTGTGATGACGGCTGCCTGCTGAAGGAAGGTCGGACTGCAATGTTGGGACAAAGAGAGCGTATCGATGGGTATTCGCGCGTGACTAGCGGCGAACACAGCGTTCATCGTTGGTATGTATTGTGAGGGCTCCGAATCCGAGACGGAAACAATGAGGATGCGAGCGTGTAACGTCGGTTGAGAGGGCGTGAGGGTTACTGCTGTAGATGGGGCGGCTGGGTCGGTGGAAGCTTTTGGCGGCGCGAACGAGAGGGAGGTTTTATGGATATGTGACAGCGATTGTGACAGTGCGCCGGCGATCAAGGTCGTTGGTGGTAAAGTGGATGGCAGTGTTGACTTGATGAGCGACTGCAGCGAAGACAGAATCGAGGACTCGATCGCACTGAATTGCGGGTATTTGTTTGCGTTTCCACGGTCCTTGTCGTCATCTACATCCTTCATCTCGACATCTCCATCTGTTGATCCATTTGGTTCTCTATCAGAATGGGGCGACTTCGGATACAGCCACACGGCCTTGTTGCTATGCGCTGCGAGAACAGCGACCTGGTTGTCATTGCCGAATGCCAGGTGGGCATTGATGAAAACAAGTATATTTGCGATGGCTTTCGAAAATGGCAGAGTGTCCTTCAGCGCTGCCCAACCCCGCGGGTTTGTATCGATAACAATGGTGAGGAGAGAGGGGGTCTGGCCCGTAGCATTAACTTCGACGTGGGAGGAGCCATCGATCGCATTCATCTTGACAATTCGCTGTGGTTACTGGAAATGTGAGATGGTCGGGCTACATGTACAATTCAGGGTCAGATCGTTGTCTGTCTTCAACGCTGATCTCTGTTGCCTGGATCCTTTCTATCCTGATCAAATCAACCACCCGAGGCCTGAAGCCCCGAGATTTGAAAGGATAGCAGTGTAGTAGCCGACAGGAACTATTGAAAGGCGATGGTTTGCACGTTTTTACACAGTCCTGGACTTGGGCATTCGTCCCTTTGTTGTCCTGAAACCAAACCACCTGCAGTCTTGGAATGCGGATTTGCGCATCGACCGCGTTCAAAGGTCACCACAGGGAAACGGGCATTCACGTGAGCCTTTGGGCCATAGCTGCGTCACCTTAATGCCAAAACAGGCTAGTCCAGGTGCGGTCGTTTTAGGCAACAGTTTCGACAGCCAACTTTGATGCGGGGGAAAATGTCAGCTTGCACTGTTTTAGCAAACATCAATGGCATTTGTAGGTGAGGGGCAATTTGTAGGTGAAGTTGGAGGGGTTGGGTGGACGCCTATTTGATATCACTTGAGAAGAGTTGAGACACATCTGAAAGACCAAGAGATATTGCCATCCCGCGTTCGGCACCAAATCTCCAGGAACCACCCACGCTCTCTTTATCGGAAGTCGCTGCTGTCAGCCTATTACAAGGCCACAACACAGCATCAAGGTTCTTGTGACTTGATTACACTTTCTTGTGCTTGGGACATTCTGAAGGGAATCCTGCGTCACGTCACGCATGTGCACAGGACCCCCAACACGAAAAAGGCAGGCAAAAGGGTTTCTTCACCCAAAGTGCAAGCAGCAGAAGCTCCTACGAAAAACATACTTTTTTTTCTTGTTGCACATCTAAGGGCAGCCGGCCAAGCGAGACATATCATCTTCCATATCAATCCAGGCAAGCACCTCCCTTCCTAAAGTTCACCCCACCTCTAGCAAACCTTCCACCCATCCTCATTCTACCAGCAGGGTTTTCTTCCCTTCTTCCTCCAAATAGATGAGTCGTGTGGTATATAATTTTTTAGTCTTTTGTCTTGTCATCTAGAATACTTCCTCGTTGTGCCACGTTCTGTTGACAGTTGGCACTAGAGCCAACGGCAGTGCAACGTGCCCACCGTAAGGCGTCTTTGATATATCCGCCTAAATCCGTCAGCAATCGTAAACCAGCATCAAGACCAACAATTATGGACGAAGCACACGTCGCCACTCCCCAGGAGGAGCTGGTGAAGTTATCTAGGGTCGAGCAAGCTCAGCTCATCCTCGCTCGATTGATGGAGGGCGGCCAAGAAGACGATGAGACTTGCCGAGCTTTGGACAAGCTCACCAAACTACTCAATGATGACACTGAGGCCCTGAAAAGGGACAAAACACACGAGCCTATCGTCGACATCATTGACGATGTCTGCGTTGACACTATTTTCGGCTATCTTGACATGAGGCAGGCCGAAATTGTACGCGGCCATGGAACTTTGACTGCTTCTGCCTTCTTCAACGCCGCGGGCGAAAAGGGGTCTGGTGCTTTGCCTCATTTTTTCTTCGAGCGTATTAAACGGGGTACCTATGACGACTATATTCTCGCCTTCTGCGTGGCTGCAGCTGTATTTCCGATTGTCCCTGGTATGACATCGGACATGTTCTTGACCGAGGGTTTCCTGCCGAGTCTGGGGCCATTGATGCGACGGAAGTGGAAGTCGAGAAAGGTGGAGACGGCTTGTCTGGAAATGCTTAATGCCGCATCGATGAACTCGCAATGTCGAGAAGCCATTGTCAAATACTGCACCGAATGGCTGGAGGAGATTGTGGATCAAGATCCGGCCGAGCTGGACACTGCTGTCCACCATGCCGATGCTGGAGTTGACATCCAGGGATCTATCGCCATGAAACGCCATTCCGAGGCAGTACAGAACCTGGCTGCAGTTATCCTGGCTAAGTTGAGGGTAGGCACTCTCAAGTTCCCGCTCGCTTCACCACCAGCATTCGAACACCTTCACTGGAAATGAACACGGAGGCAAGCTGGCTGACCTGCAGGCTTCAGGCAGTACCATCGGCACAGGCCTCTACAGCAGCGGCTGGACTGGAAGGGACAAGGATTCAACCCGCCATCACCAGCATCGAGGACCTATCCAAGAAGTTCACGAACATGATACTAACTAATGCGGAGCATGAGAGGCAGCACTCGGTGGAAGGTCTGGCATATGCAACGATTCAGCCCACCGTGAAGGAGGAGGTTGCAAACGATAAACAAGTTCTGCAGAATCTGGTCAAAATTCTGGCCCAATCCCCGCCAAAATCACCACTCACCTATGGAACCCTAAGTATCTTCCTCAATCTCACTCGCTACCAACCCAACCAGTCGGAGGAGGAGAAAAGGATAAACCAGCTGAAGGCCTACACAAATGCGGCTGGCAAACTGGCAGCACCAAATCCGCTCAACGATCACTCCCACGTCTCAACGAGATGCAAAGCCGTCTTCGAGTCGAATGTTGTGCCTGTGCTAGTGACGCACAGCAGAAACGGCTCCGCTGCCTCCCTTTCGATCATAATCTCCATCATCCACGCTTTGGCCGTAACGACGTCCATACGCGGTCCGTTAGCTCAGCAGGGAGCAGTGATTCTCCTCATCGCCGCATGGACAGCGTTACCTGAGGCGGAAGCGCCCGCCAAACGGACAGCAGCACAGGCTCTGGCACGCATACTCATCAGTACGAATCCGTCACTGGTTTTTGGAGGAACTCGGGCCTGCCCGCAAACATCAGCAATTCGACCCCTGGCCTCCATCATCCCTCCTGACCCAGCAGCCGAGACCCGTGACCTGCTTCCTTCCTTTGAAACTCTAATGGCGCTCACAAACCTCGCGTCGACTGATGATGACACACGGTCAGCAATCATTAGAGCCGCATGGCCGCAAATAGAGGACCAACTCCTCTCATCAAACAACCTGGTTTCAAAGGCCGCCGTGGAACTGATTTGCAATTTGGTTCAAAGCCCCTCCGGTATCGAGCTGTATGCTGGTTCAGGGGACGCCGCGTCCGATGGGGCTGCAAGAAATCGCCTCAATATTCTACTTGCGCTTGCGGATGCCGAGGACGAGGGGACACGAAGTGCAGCCGGGGGAGCGTTGGCCTCCTTGACATCATATGAGCCGGTTATTAAGAGCATCTTGAGTCGTGAAAGGTGGGTCCAGGTTGTGCTTGGACTTTGCAGTGAGGACAATGAGGATCTGCGACATAGAGGTGTTTTCGTGGTGTACAACGTGGTCGCATGTGACGGAGAGACAGGGAAGAAAGCCATAGAGATGGTCAAGGCCGAAAACGGCATCGAGATACTGAAGGAATGCGCAAAGAAGACCCGAAGGCCCGAGGTCGTGGAGGTTGCTGTGACGGCTTTGAAGATTTTACTTGAGAGCTAGTACGTCTCGCCTCCTGCGCAACCAGCACGGAAGGCCGGGGCAATTGGTATCATGAAGTTCGCTTTATCAACCCTCCTCCTCCGAATGACACAATTCTCGAGACAATGCATCTTGGCGCCAGGTTAATACCGATGCTGCCATGTGATTCCGGCAAGTGTTCTGCGCTTGTGTCTGCCGGCCTGAGGCACTACTGCAGCTCAAGTGTTAGTTGCACGTGATTTGAGATTTTTTTAGATGGGATAAGCCCTGCGCCACTTCTTTCGCTCCTTGAACTCCTCTCCAGGTTTTCTGCCCCACCGACATAATGGGCACTCCCGATCGCTCGACCCTCCTTTCTCTTGCACCCGAGCTCCTGTTAATGATCATCGACTGTCTGGAGAAACTGAAGGATAAGCAATCATTGGTGAGAACTTGTAAAGCCGCGCAACGTCTTACTGAGCCACATCTCTACTGGAAGATCTACACCAAGATTGGGACTCAAAATGACACGGCTTGGTTACTCCGCTTCCTGGACCGAAGACCTGATGTGGTTCCCATGATTCATTACCTTGTGCTTGATGAATGGGATCCGCGCTCTTTCCAACAACTTCTTGCTCGAGAGTTCCCCAATCTCGAAAGCATAATAGCACAGCACGAGGGACCTGTTACGGATGAGCGAACGGCGACGGAGAGGCGTGCATTATGTCGTGCGGTACGCCCGCAGCTGCGCATGACCAACTGTCCGTAGATATATCCATCAGAGTGTCAAGCTGCCGTTGTTCAGACAGGCTGCTGACTCTTATAGCAGTAACGCTCTCCGTTCAGCTGAGTTTGGACACCGCTACGAGGGCGACCACGTACTACAAACTGGAGCGCGAAGACCGCTCTATCTTCCGGCACCCCAGTTTAACCCGCATCAGACTGTCCTACCTCGACTTCTCCTGTCTAGCAGATACCAGACCAGACTACCTCATCCACGAAAATCTGAAAGAACTCCACATCGAAACCTCGATGTACACAGAGCAGGCCCTGACCCGCCTCATCTCGCCATCCAAAAAGCTCTGGAGATTCAGACTTCACCACGACAGAGAACTCCCCTTTCCAGCTTCACTGTATCCTAGAATCCTCTCCTCTGCCCGAGAATCTCTCGGCATGGTGTTTATTCTTTTGCGATACATGCACCCCACCGACGATGTCAGAATGGACTTCGGCTCCTTCCCCGCCCTGAATTCACTGACCGTCCACCCACGCTACATCCTAGGCAATGACTATGGGCCCAGCCAAGCTTCACAAGCGATCATCCGACAACGTCTTAACACGCATTTGCCCCCTAATCTACAAGTATTCGGACTGGAGGGCCTGGTACCTATGTGGCCATGTCCGCCGCCGGGTATGAAAGTGGTGTTGGCGGATCGCGATTGGTGTCTGGTGCACATGCTGCTTGCGGAAAGGGAACTGGTGCCGAAATTAGTGCTTTTGGGCATATACTATCTAGAGCGCTTGACGTATCCGGTGTATTTGCACGGGCTGGCTAGGGAGAGGGGGATCAAATTTACGGGGTTATATTCTAGTGATGAGCTAGGGGTCGTAGGAACGAATTTGACGAAGATGGAAGTCTTCACGGATAGTCAGGCGGTTTTGATTGAAGAGGACGATAGGAGTGGCCGTGGAAATAGGAGTAGGGAGGGTGGGGGTTGAAGTGGAGAGGATAAGAATATCAAGCATCATAGCTGAATGATAAACAATAGTTGACTCCAGATGCTTTTTAGAATATGTATTTTCATTGTAGCTGTAAACATGCTGTTATGTCTTTCGGGTTTGGTGCCACTCCCGACCCCAGCTATGCAGACTTGTGGAATATGTATAGGTACTGCCGTCCATTTAGGTCTTCTGTATTCTCAGATTTGTTCTTCAACGACGGAACCCATGATCCAGACTGAAATCCAACCAGCCGCCAAAAAAATATGGATAAGAAACCAGCGACGGTTTGTGGCTGATATTATTGCGCAGCTGCTGCGGTACGAGACGATTTTCGCATTGTAGCGGCGCGATGCTACCTGGGTCAGGAGAGACGTGAGGACTTTAATCCTGCCATTTTTTCTTAAGCTCAGCTGGGCGAGAAATACTCTTTCCAGCCCCGAGGCTCTATCTGGAGGAATCCGGCCTTCTTGACTGGGCACGCGGGCCTTTTTTGTTTTATGCGCTTTCTCTGTTTTAGTTGGGCACTGGTCTGGTGCTCAGTACGTAAGGAACACAGGTTTGCCGTTCAGTGCTGTTTCGTCCCTTTTCTGTCTCTAAGCATGGGACACCGGCACAGCATGACTCTGTTGCGTGCCCTAGGCACACTGCCTGTGTTGTGGGTGCAGCGCTTGGGCTACTTATCCATAGAGAGCCCTTCCGGAGCTGCAGCCTTTGGGACTTAGTCCTATAATCATCATCACCACCAATACATCCCTCTAGCCTGTATTGCCAACATACTCTGACACAAAACTGCTATAGGGCAGGTTGCGAATGGAGCTTAGATTGAGTGCCTGGAAAGATCCGACCTGAGAAAGTAATTCAGTTACATCAGTTTATTTTTGAGGGTATTATGCATATCTGTCCATGCCTACATAGTCACACACGCTGGTAAGTTTGGTCGTTGTTTTAGCTTGTTTTTTCAACGGAAAATATTGCCTACATACATGTCCATGTATCCAAGTTGTCGCAAGACGAAGTAAATTCGATGAAAAGCACAATCAACTGCTAGGGGAGTGCGCCACAGTTATTGTGTCAAGACTTACCTAACGAAAATTTTCTTCACAAAATTTGATCATTTCCGAGTTCAACACTTTCGCCCGATGATCTCTATAACTTCTACATGCTTTTATCTTGATAAAAGATTGGCTCGGAGCGTTATACACATGCTAGAATCGTCATATTTGGATGATAGTTGTATGGCCTTAACGTGTTCGAATTCACTTATCGGTCTCGGGCAAAGTGCTGACATATTAAGCGTACGCACTAACCTTGGTACGTAGCGACACAGAAGTAGTCCGTCGTTACTGACGCGAATGTCGAGAAGGCTCTAAATATTTTTCAAAAAAGAGGCTGTCTGACGACGTCTCGAGCTGTTGACTTCATCGTATCCTGATTTGGAGTACCGACAATACCCCATAATGCCGCAGAAGGATTATTGCAGCAACCGGGCTCATAACCATCGGACTTATTGTGTGCAAATAATCTTGCATCGAATTGAAATAGGTCTCTGTCCTCCTGGATCTATCAAGAGAACGATTTGGATATTAGGGCCTTAAACATACAAAGTGATGAAGTCAAATGGGGATCTTGTATGTGTTAAAATAGTTTATCCCCATGCATATATCGATTATAAGTAGCACTGTCCAGATAGTTGTGGGTGGCACCAGTCCGCCAACGAATGGTTAATATCAATATTGCAGCCTCGACACCATTTTGCAACGGGCCTATGGTAAAACCGCTTTACTCCAAAGTTTGATCAGCGGTAAAAGCGGTCCATGTAGGAGACAGAGGACGTAGGGATTATCAATTGGCGGCTGGTCGCTGGAAAGGATTGGGATGGATCGTAGTGTGACCGTAAAAGGGGAGGTGTCAGCACAGTGCTCTAGGCAGCAATTTGCAGTTCATGTGTCTGTCCCCAATAGGCAGGATACATAAAGCACCTTTGGATATGGTACAGGAGTATGACAGTGGGTATGAGTAAGCTGCAGAACAAAGATCGATGTAGATCTCTTCATGTGGCAATCTGTCTTCATAATCTCGTATAAGAGGTGCCTTTAAGCACGGAACACCTGATAACCAAGCCTCGATGTTATAGCTGTATACGATTCTGTATAGTGTGAAAAGTTGACGCCGAGCCTACATGTCTGTTGCATAAGGCCTCATGATTGAGTGGCTGGGTACCTGTAAATCTGGGGCTGGATCTTGGGAGCCATGCCTAGTTCCCCCAGTTGGCTTTTTGAGCTGCGTAGGCTATCATAAAACACACCACACAGGGCTTTACAATGGGATAATACCAATTGTACGCCCTCTCCTCTCTGCAGTATTTGCAATCCCAAACTTTTACTCTCCTGGTGCCCATACAACTCCAAACTGCAAAAGACGCTAGTTTTGTCTAATTTGTTCCTCTCGATGCTAAGTTAGTCCTTGAGATGTTTCATGGCGCCTCTCTCGGATGTTATCCAGGGCACCCCAGACCCATATACAAAGGCCATCCCATTGTCGGTTCAAACCCGTTAACATCTTAGCCAGCAGCAATTACATCCTCGGCTCAGGCGAAGCGATGCTCAATTGGGATGCGACACTCGAAGATGCCATGTAGGGGATTCGAATATTTCCCACTAGGAATATTCTGAAAAAATAATGCCCGCTCTCTCTCCTCCCACACGGAGTCTAGGTTGAGTTGGTGGGACATCATCACACTACATTGTCACACTTCTGGGTAATGGCTTTCCCTATCAGATAGTATATGGTATTTGGTAGGAAACTATACCGACAGCAGACCACCGCTACCTTATGCATCAAAGTGCTATCAGACAGGCACAATACATCATCAAACCCTCGTTCGGGACCGCTAACGGAACACCTTCTGCGATGCCAACAATTCTAGCATTTTAAACTTTGTCACGATTCTTCTTCTGCTCATCAATATAATCCCATTTGGCCTCAAAATGTGTTCATCAGTATCCTTATGCTTCATTGCATTTTTGACGTTCCCCTTCTTACTCCGACTCCCAGCCCGCACCATGCAAGCAGCTTTTCCCTTTTCTACATTAGGATCGTAAGCAACAACCATCTTCTCGTCCGATGTGTCCAGATTATCCGAAAGCTCTAAGCTCTTGGTGCGAATAGTCCGCGATGTCGACGATATCTATCCTCTCGAGACCCGACAGCATTTGAGTCAACACATCCTGAATGGTGTTAACCTGCAGCATGTACTTCAAAGAGCCACCAACGCCCTGTGAGGCTGTGTTGTAAGGTATGTATATCCACTTGAAGTTAGTTGGTGCGCAGATTCGCTTTGAACTCACACATCGAACTTCCTGTTCTTGAAGAGCATATTCGCAGTTGTGTCACATCTTATAACTCCCAATATGACCACATTCTGCAACAAGTGGGTCCCTCGTCTTTTGACGGCCAATTGGTCCCAAAAGTTGATCCATTAGCAGGGATAACACCCCCCCTGCAAGCTCATGTGTCCCTCAATGCGACAGCTCACATATTCCACCTCCACATTGGCATCTATAGTACAAGTTTTCTATAGAACCCCCCGTAGCAGATTTTGGAGACGGGAAATAGCTACAAGCCCAAGCAGAGGTGCTACGCAGTGAAGATTTGCGATTTCATGACAACGGCAGGATGTAGGTGCTCAGTGAGATCATACTTGGCCGGTTCGAAACAGGGGGGGGACAAAAGTATGGTATGATACTACTTGAACCACAGTTACAGTTGACCTGCCAAAGGGTTTGAGGTCTACATATCTTGTCACCTCCCGTCTCGTGAAATCTGATATTACCAAACAACACTTCGATAGCGGGGCAGGGGTCAGGGGGGTCATTCTCATATTGGAGACTTCTGACGCTTAGTTTTAAACATCAAACTACAACTTACGTCTCCTCATTTTTCACAGTGTTCAAATCAGAGCTTGTTTCTGGCATCCTTCTCCCGCACAACTTGTTCGTCATGTATGCCGTCAAAGTGGAATCCCGTGTCCGCAATGCCCGTCTTGTCGCCTCTCCAACGCGGGCGTTCAAATTTGGGGTTTGGTTCGAGGAAGGCTGCCTGAGCGCAAATCTAGGTCATCCTAGTAAAGGTGCCAGTCGCCCGCGCCAGGAGCAGGGCTCCGGCTAGTAAAGCTTTCTTTCTTAGGCGGGAGGCAAGTTCAGTGGTGTAATCTTAGTTTTAGAAAGTGAGGTTGAGGCAGAGAGCCGTGCGATAAGGCTACGAATAAAGTATGGATAGCTATTATGTCTTCTAGGGCTACAGATACTATCGTTGAGAAAATACAGCGGGTTCAGAAACGACACAAGTGCAGTGGTGATCAGACAGACCGGACAAGCTGGGATATCTACCAACTGCTGATTTATATGGTTAGTCGTGTAATTGAACCTCGGGTCGAGATCGGTTTAAGTATTAGTGGTAGCCGCTTCCCATTCAATGACATCTTCCATTGATTCACTTTCCTGGGAAACCCCATTGATGAATATTAGTATGGAATGTCCTGGTATAGCGGGATAATCACGTCTAAGAAGTGGCAGAATGTAGTTGTTGACCTAGAGTTAGAGCAGAACAGAACAATAATTGTCTGAACGTGGACGCGCAATTTCTTTAGCGCGCCAAGTGCAAAGGGGTATCTCATCCACGACGCCTTTCAAAACACAATTGCTCAAGCCACAACATCAGCATCCATCTCCCCGCTCTTCGCATTCTCCATGTCTTCTATCCTCTTCATGATATCCTCTTTCCAAAGGCGATACTCTTCCCGCTTCCGGTCTGTCATGACCCATCGGCTCTGGAACATGGTATCACCTCGTTGCGTGAGAGCTCGCTCCCCTGCAGCGCAATCTTGACCTTCGTTCGTTCCATCGACATCCGCTCCGTCACGATTCGTAGGGTTTTGGCTGTGAACCATGTCCTGGATTCCCGTAAACCATTCCTCGTCCTGCCACGTACTTTCAACGACCTTATTGACAGCCCCATCGACATCCTTGGTCCCAATGTCGCTCCAGCCATCCCAGCTATAGTCGTCGACCTCGGAGTGGGCCTGCTCGAGAGCCGCTAGGATCTTCCTTCGTAACTTCGTATACTGCTTAGAGTCGAACTCCTTCCCCGTCTCGAGAATAACCACCTTCGTCACGACCAGGAAATAGACTGCTGCCAGCAGTGACGTTAGATGCGCGTTGACCCAGTCATCCTTGGTGCGCTGATTGGACGGTGCCACAATGGTCTGCATGCCAGCTAGAACGGTACGGCCAATTCTGTCACTGTCAAGCTGTGTACAGATTGACTTGATGGTAGGCCGTATCCATGTTGGAAGCGGATTGTCCGACGCTGTCGGCGCCTTTCGCTTCTTAGCGGTAGATGTGGACTTGGTGGGCGTGACGTCCCCTTTCTCAGGCGATCTAAACTGTGCAAGCGACACATCTTTACTTGGAGTCTTCCTCTCCTTGACCCTTTGTGTACTTGCACTCCCGAATAGACCACCAGCACCGCCGTCCCTCGCCTTCGAAATTGGCGTCCTCACTTTTGCTGATGGAGCAATCAACACACGGTCTAGATGATTGTACAGCCGCTTGTAGATACGTGGCGGAACAGGCGGTCGGGGTTGAATGGGCGGCAGATCAAGCGAAATCTTCAGGCGCTCGCAGGCAATGTGTGCGCAGGCATACAGGCGGCTAACTTCTTCTTCGGCTTTGAGAGTGCTAGCGTTGTGGCGGGATTGGGCTAGGAGCGATGACGCGAGCTCGAGAAGTTCACGGGGAAGAGAACTCGAGGACGGAAATGTGGGTAGGAGCGAAAGGAGGGTTGGCTCCAGAGACCGAGACATCGTCGCTGGTGCAATGCCAGTTCAAGGGCTCGGCGCGGGCTTCCTGTTTGGTGATTGTTGAGTTCGAGGACGCGAAATCAAAATCGAAACGCGTTCCCCAACTCGAGAGCGCGACTGCTCCAAGCTGTCGGTTGGGTCGTTGGCTGTTGTTTTCCGAGGTCCGGGCGCAACATGGACGTCAGCACGATTTGTGGCTGGAATTTGGCATGCTAGGAAAATACGATTTGGTAATGCCGAATGCAGGGATTTATATGTTCATTCAAGTTGGCGACGTTGACACATCACGAATAGGCGTTGCGCATTACTGAGGATTGGGACTGCTTGGACGCGTTTCCATGGGTCTGAGTCGCCAAAAACGACCCCTGAACCCCTGACGTAGCAACATCAATCAATCCCTGCAGTGCCGCTGATCGCCCTGCAGCTTACCCAACTTGAACGTCGACTTCTTTGTTCGAATTTCCAAAACTCAAGTCTCAAGTAAATATTTACTTTCTCACCAGTCGCAAGGTATCCTGCTGCCACCATCTAGACCAATTTCCTCGCGCCATTTCGAAAGCCAGCGCAATCGATACTACAAGATGCGCACTATCGCTATCCTGGCACTGAGCTTTGTCGGCGGAGGTCTGGCTCACGGCGACCACGGCGGATCGCAAAAGCCAATGGTCGATGAAAATGCCGACTGGATGACAAAACACATGGCAGGTAAGGACCGCCTTGTGTAATGGGAATGGATGTTTAGTCCAGGTTCCACAGTCTGGATCACATGCATCTTGCAATGGAGCTGCGCAGCTAACAAACAATCTTTTCCCCAGAGGAACATCACATAGCTGAGTTTGACGCCTCGTCGTTCTTCTCCTTGCACGACTTCGACAGCGACGGGCGTTGGGAGCCTGAAGAAATCCTGCGGACATATGGCCTCTTCGACGACTCCAACAAGCATATCCTCAAGTCGCGAAGGGACGAAATCACGCGCCAGCTGCTGGCCCTGCTCGACACGGACAGTAGCGGCTACGTGACCCGCGACGAGTTCGTCATGTTTATCAACGAGGGGAAGCGGCTGCCCGACATGGCTACGGGGCCCGGGCACCATGGAGACGACGAGTATGAGTACGAGATTCACCATTGGGAGAAGTACCATGATGAGAACACCAAGTTGGAGGACTTGACGCATCCTGAGGATATTGAGCATTTTAAGAAGCACGAGCAGATGGAGGATGAGGAGGAGAGGATTGAGGCGATGAATAGGATTCAGATTATTGAGGATAACATCCCAGGCAAGTTCCGAAGAGGTGGTTAGGAAACAAGGTATCGGATGATTGACTGGGTTGGCACTTGAACGGCGTATGCGCATCACCCTGGCCCGTGGGTTACTATTGGACACGAGGAACGACTGGGAGTATACAATAAGACATCGGGTAATAATGGTAAAGGATCTTGAGGATGTGGGGTGTCATGCCGCGCCGCTAGATCTCGTAATGTAGACATCAAACACACAATGCCAAACACCTGGCGCAAACGTCTTGACGAGCTCCACATGCGCCACGACGGCTTTTCCGGATTGGTGCTCCGGATCCAAACCGTCAAACAGCTGCTGAATCTCCGCCTTTCGGGTTTCGATATCCGCAACCCCCACGTTCTCGTGCAGATGCAGCCAAGCCTCCTGGCCATCTCCCTCGCGCACAATGTCCCAGACATCGGCCCAACTATCCTTGCTCGTTGGCAGAAGTCCACAGTTGACATGCCGAACCTCCAAGTCAACAGCTAGTTGTCCCTCCCCCCGGAGCCTCCGGATATCCCGAATCCGTCCCTGAGCTTTCCGGTTGTTCTCCAAGAATACCACGATTCTCTCGCCCCCTTCCATCACTTTCTCCATGGGACCCTCCAGCTCCGCACCCTGTACGACCTTGACGCTCCACCCATTCACATCTGCGCCACGCCGCAATCCTTCCACACTCCATGGGTTGAGCTCCCAACAGAGGACCCGCAATCCCATCTTAGCATAGCAAAAGACGAAATACCCAATGCCGGCATACATATCTATCGCCCACTTCTCCTTGACGTCTCCAGCGGGCAATACTCTGTGCGGCAAGGCATTCTGGCTGTCCGAAGATGCCGCGTCATGGAAAGACAGCAACCGTGCCTTCTCCTTGATGTTGCCGCGGCTGAACATAGTCCACCGAGGAGCCCATGTTTGATATATGCCATTCTGCCTCGTGGACACCCAGAACGCATTTTCGAAATCTTGACCCGTCACAATTTGATCTGGGGAGGATAGCCCGGACGGTCCGAAGTCGCCGTGTAACATGCGTAGTCCGCCCGGACTGCGCAGGATGTTCTCTTCAGGCGCATCATCGTGGTCATCTTGGGCAGCGTGCAAAGAGATGCCCTCATTCACTGCAAGATGAGTAAGCGGCGTGGTCTTGGAGCACCCCGATTTCTTCGAGATTTCGTTGAGAATGGATTGCCAGAGCTTGTCGAGTTGATCTTCAGTCAGACTGCTAATCAGACTTGTCCAATTGGCGTTCGTGAATGAGCCGGCTGGTAGCAATACCATGGGTTCGTAGACAGTCCATCTCTTGGGTGCGTGATCTATGAGATCGTGGTGGACGCCCAAAGTCTCGAACTGGACCGTTATAGAAGGTGTATCCTGATCTACGAGGATGAACCAGGAAATTATTGCCGCCTCAATGGGATTCGAAAATTTCATTTTGGACTTCTTGGGTCCCCTGCGCTTCGAATTGTCGCGTGCTGGCTTCATGATGTCGCGATGTTGACGTTTCAATTTGACAAGCGGTGGCTGCTTATTAGAGTTTACGGGTCGTCCACTTGCAAGCAGTATCCTAGCAGTTCTGAACTTCGAGTCCTAGCGCACGGGCCATTTATCCCGGATAGGCCCCTATTCAAGACTCGAATTCGTCTTAGACTGGGATCTGTTCTTATTGGAATTAATTCGGTCCTCGAGGAACTGCATGCTGACTGAATCACAAGCATTATGCCCGTGTATGTTGTCGGTGGAGTTGACCGCATCTATATCACCCATCGAGCAGGATACCTATTGCCATCTATAACAAAGCATAGATTGAATGTGTCTTTGATCTCCCCAAGTCCAAAGGAGGGGTGGCCATAAGGGACTTGAGTACAGAAAAGTGTGCCTTTTTGAGACGCACGCTTGAGTCAGTTGCTGATACACCAGAGGTTTCGCTCCTGAAGCTCTAACAGTAGGCTGTTGCCAAGGGTGTGGTCGAGGTTCTCCATTATCAGTCAACCGGCTGTAGTAGCGGGAAGCCGTAAAAGACAGTCGCTAGAAGTCATAAGCTTGTGCGGTCCGACAATACCGTCATCGTTGTCAGGAACGGCTAGGCCACAGTAGTACAGAGTGAAGGTCAGAAACAGGCGTTCCCTCTGTTAATCACCGGGTGATCAATGGTGTTTACAGGTAGGTATTCTCTGAATAATTTGATAATCTTTGACCTCCCCTTCTTCTTCCTCCAAGACGCTTCCCTTATACAGATAGCCAAACGCCTATTCTGAACTACAATACCCGGATTCCTCGGGTGCGACGATATTCTAAGACTTCTGTAATATTGTGTGACCCACAGCCACACGGGCCGGGTGCCCACCGGCTCCCGGAAGGATTGTCATACGATAAGCCAACGTCACTACTGGGAACCAAGGATTCGGTGGCAAATCCTATCCCGTGAGTACACGGAGATTCATACCCAATTAATTGAGAATGACACAAGATTAGCGATGCCGATTCTCAACTGCTTAGATCTGCAATTGCCGGATTGGGCACCATTACTCAAGCCTTGTGAGGTGTGACTAGCGGCCAAATGGATTCACAGCCGCAATCTGACCTAAGAAACGGCGTGGACTTGAGAAAACGCCTGGAAACAATGCAACGTTTCGTTTTTTAGTGACGAAGAAGTCTTTTGGGACATCACGTTGTATAGTTGGACACAAGTACCAGGTAGGTTATAAAAGCCAGTAGCTAAGGTCGGGTCGACCGAAGTTCGATCAGACATAAATTCATTCCATCCACATTAACATCCAATTATAATAAATTGAGATATCTATGACAGAAAAGAGAACTACAGCAAAAGGCAATATGAAGTTCACCGCTACCACCCTTCTTGCTCTAGCCATGGCTACTACCGTGATCTCCTCGCCTACAAAGGTACTGTTATAACACTCTATTCCAATCTACCCATTCGCATATTAACCCGGAGGGCAAAGGAGACCCGGAACGTCGTCGAGGATTTATCGAACCTGAAGCGCGACCCCAGCGGCCAGGGCTTCACGTACATCGGTTCCGACAATGTCGCCAGATCTTTCGACTCCCGCTTTAACGTCCTTGATGCTGCGCCCCTCGACTCCCGCTCCACTGGCAGCTTTGCTCGATCGCCCGATGCCGCATTCCTAGAGGAAGCCAAGGCAGCTAAGGCTCGAGCTCTGGAGCACACGTCTAAGCCACGCAAAGAGCGCAATGTCATTGTTGAGGGCAGACAGAACAGCTGTGTCTCGGAAAACTGCCCGAACGATCAGTACTGCATTGACCAGGCTGTCAATGGGTATAATTGCTCGTGGTGCCTTATTATATCAAATGGGATTGGGAATTGCCAGACTTAGGCCTAGGAAGGGACAAGATAGGAGATGGGAGATGGAGGGAGGTTGCTGGCATACGGTACAGAAATACAAAAGTCAGTTGTTTTGCATTGCCTTGAAGCCTTGGCCAGGCTCTCCATAGATTATATTTCAGAATGTCACGCGTTCACTCTCTTTGAACTACTTGGGCAGTATATAAATGCTTGTTTCCGTCAACTTGGCCATATTATAGCCATACGAATTCACACCGTAGCATGAATATCCATAATCCTTGACATTATGAAGGTCACAGTTAAATCACCATTACTATTCAGGGCCAACAGTGCTTACACGCCTAGCTACTTCAGAGAACAGCCGAGAACACAAATTCAAGTGCTTGGCTCTGAGTGGCTGTGCTCAGGAAACACGAGGCGTTCTCAATTCTTTTCAGTTGCGTATTGATGTCGTGCTTATCCTTTGACTTATCGGTCTCTACAATATCTAGAAGAACATTTACCGAGCGATGGTCCTTCTCTAGTATTGTCGAGTATATGCCTCCTCATAGCACGACTGGACAAATTCTGATAATGCCTAAGTTCTCATTCCGAACTTTTATGGAAATTCCGGCTATCCCAAAATGAAGCATCTATGTTATTCCCATGAAATCTTTGTGACTACATCATCTCAAGGGCTTACAGTCTCTCGCGGAAGGACAAATCCTCTTTCGGATCAAAGTAAGCTAGGCGCAGCTTTCTTCTCTTCACTATTCCCCATAATCTCAAGGGCTTACAGTCTCTCGCGGAAGGACAAATCCTCTTTCGGATCAAAGTAAGCTAGGCGCAGCTTTCTTCTCTTCACTATTCCCCATAATCTCAAGGGCTTACAGTCTCTCGCGGAAGGACAAATCCTCTTTCGGATCAAAGTAAGCTAGGCGCAGCTTTCTTCTCTTCACTATTCCCCATCATCTCAGGGCTAGGCGAAGCGACCAAGGCCTCGGGCGGCGACTTCACAGGTAATGTAGCCTCCTCCCAATCGGTGTCGATGCCCCTGTTGGTCTCGATCATGGTGGACTTGTGCACTGGGTCTTAGTTCGGCGTGCGCAGGCACTTGTTGAACAGTTTGCTGGCGTCGAGGTAGCGCACCATCTGACCCTGCATGCCGGCCGGCTTGGCGCTCATGTACTTATCGATCCAATCATATGTGAAGAACATGCTGATCAGGATGCCCCAGCAATCTTTAGGCACCATCATGACGGCTCATGTGTGCTTTGCATCCGGCAGCGGGTTAGAGTACTGCGAAAGTGACCATTTCCGCGTCTCGTGCCTTGTTGGTGCTGGCGGGACAGGAAGATATTTTAACTGACGAGTGAGAGTAATTGGCCGGGCGTCACACTGTATTGCGGCTTGTCAAAGGTGACCGAGTGCTCCTTACCGAACACTTTAAAAGCGGCTTTACCTTCCTTTTCGATGCCTTCTGTGCCCAACTGGATCAGAGCAGGCGTTGAGCCAAGTCCAGCGATATCGAGACTTTCCCCTAAGTTGAATTCAGAGGTTAGTACCAGTTTCCATTGACTCTACCAGAACAAGGGATATTGCAACCAAAACTCACCAATGATGGGAATGATAGCCTTGATAAACTCCATAGGTGGCAGCAAAACCAGTACAATGGTTCTGCAGAAGGCTTTGAAGGTAATATTTAGCGCTGCCTCATCGGCAAGCTCCTCGGCCTTCTTCTCAAGTTCCTCCTTAGTTGGCATCGAATTAAACTCGTTGTAGTAGTAACTATAAATCCCACCATTGTACTTCTGTTCGCTATTCTTTCTGTGGTTATTACTGTTCTACAGCGCCTCGGTCTCGTCGTCGTCACATCTACCCCCGATAGTCGTTTGTGGCTCACTTGTCCGCCGTGGACAGCTTGCCTAGCTGCCCATTAATCTACGTCACTCTGTTGGTGCCCTTTTTGCACGAGGCTCCGCAGTCTGTTATGTACCTGGCTTATCTGGTTGGCATCTTCTTGCCCGTCGTGACGCTTTTGGCCAATGCGAGGCCGTTGTCTTCGTCTTGATCGCACTGGTCCATGGCCCAAACCTGGCGTTATCCAGAGCTAGTACTTGGTTATGTAGGTACGTCAAATTATATAAAAAAAGAATTGACGAAGTGGACGAAAAAACAATGAAGGTCTCACCATGGTCCCTCCAAGACACCGCGAATCCGCAAACTTGTGTTTCTGGTGACGACGGGCAATAAATGCCCGCAGGTTTAAGATGAATATGATGGCAACGGAAAACAAGATCCTCAACAAGACCTTAATATCCGGGAGGGTGAAATAATAACAGATCGAGAGTCTTCTTGCCTGATCGGATCAATAAAAGTACCTCAACAGCTACGAACAATCGGCTGAGCCTCAACAGGTCCTAGAATCGAATCACCTCAGCAGGGGAAAAACAAAATGAAGCCTCGAAAGGCTGGAATAGATCGTCTTGAACAATAAAAGTACCTCAGCAGGTCATAAAAAAGAAACTAGAGTCTCAACAGGCGAAGGGAATGAAATTCAATTACTACTTGCTTGGCCGCTTGCTTTTTTTTCTTCCTTCTTAAGATAGTGACTACCTACACAAGTCCTCAAATACTCTCGAGACGCATGCCGACTTTTGCGAGTTTAACGCCTCCAGAAAAGCTACATCTCTAGGCCGATTTCTGTCACCTGTGAATGGCGAAAATGACTTTGAGAAACGGCGGTCGAAAACAACTCAACTGCCAGCGTGGATATTGTACTCGTGAACTTCGAGCCAAAAATATGGTCGAAAAGGAGTCATGAAGACCCGGGGGCAGAGACACTCACATCTGTGTGCGATACGATGAATGGACCGATAGACTGAGATTGCGCGTCCCAGGCTCCATGCTGATCATACGCCACAATATTGAACCAGTCGAAATTAGGCCGGATATTGTCCAGGTCAAAGTGCTGCAGATACCAGCATTGTTTTTTTGACGGCCTGTCGAAGTTGTGAGTCGGGCTGGATTTGAGTGAGACTTCACTTCAGGACTCACCATAAGGGACTATACAGCCTCCCGCCGTGTCTGCAGGTGCGATCGCAAAAGTAGTAGAGTAAAAAAGGCAAAGGCAAAGGCAAAGGCAAAGGCAAATTTGATGTGCGAGGATTCATTTAGATTAAGATCCTCCGGCGATACGACGTCGCAGAGGCGCGTTGGCCCGGGCCTCGAAGTACCTGATGGTGCGCTTGGTGATGGAATTGTCAGAGAAGCTGGGTCTATTCAGGTCACCACAACCGCCGTAGTCATATATTCGGCCCACGGCTTGCCAGATCTCCGGAGGGACGCCGGCGACACGCTTACGGCACGTACACATGATGAGAAGGCAAAATTACTAGCTGAGAGGTTCTTCCCAGACCCGTATATAGATCTATCGGACCTCGATCGCGGCCTATTACAGACGAGACCAGAGCTGAACGTCCCTAGGGAGGTGACCACAATGGATATCGAGTCTATCATCAAAGGAACGGCTGCTCGGAAGGCTCCCGGCGACGACCTGATCCCCACTGGCCTGCTAAAGGCCTGCGGTGAACCCCTATGGGAGATCCTAGCGGATCTGGCAACAGCTAGCTTTAGGCTGGGGTACTACCCGGAGCGCTTCCGCTCAGCGAGGGTGGTTGTTATCCCTAAGCCTAATAAAACGACAGCTCAGAAGCAGACCCCTGGCGGCTGGCGCCCCATTGCCCTGCTTAGCACGGTAGGGAAGGTAATAGAGACGGCGATGAGCCAGCGTATCACCAAAGTAGCTGAGGCGGCCGGCCTACTACCAAACGGCCAAATGGGTAACCGCGCTGGGAGGTCCACCGAACTGGCAATACGTATAGTTGAGGACGTGGTCTATACGGCGTGGAGACGCGGGGGCATCGCCTCGCTGCTACAGCTAGACATCAAGGGGGCATTCGATACGGTCAATTACAGACGGCTGATTTCCATATTAGCCCGGAAAGGCTACCCGGAGTGGGTTCAGGAGTGGGTACGCAGCTTCGTGGAGGATAGGACGGTACGCCTCCGGTTCGATGGCAAGGAGTCAGAGCCAATCCCCCTACGAGCTGGCGTCCCCCAGGGGTCACCGCTATCCCCGATACTGTTTATATTATACATTTCAACGCTGTACGAGGAGCTAGCGGAGCAGCACCCACTACTTTTAGTAGTCGGGTTCGCGGACGACACGAACCTGCTAAGCGTCGGCACCGATCCAGACACGACCTGCCGCCGGTTGGAGAGCGCATGGGCTACGTGTCAGCGGTGGGCAGTGAGGCACGGGATGGAGTTCGCTCCTGACAAGAGTGAGCTAATGCACTTTACTAGGGCCCGAGAGCCCTTGCCGCAAAGTATTCGCCTTGGGGACGCCACAGTGTCGCCGGTAGTCTCAGCCAGGTTCCTAGGAGTCTGGTTCGACCGCAAACTGACGTGGCACGCCCATGTTGAGCGTGTTAAAACAAAAATGGCAACTCAAAAGCTAGCCCTGACAAAGCTAGTCAATATGTCGTGGGGCTGCGATCTTATACGGGCGAGGCTGTTATATACGGTGGTTATCCGTAGCGCGATTGCCTTCGGGGCGACTGCGTGGCATACTATAAGTGAGGAACCGGCAGGGCCAGCTAAGAGCCTGATGGGGATACAGAACGAGTGCCTCCGGGTAGTCTGTGGTGCCCACAAAGCGACGCCGGTTCGCCACCTGGAAGCAGAAGCAGCAATCCCGCCACTAGACCTCTATCTTAGTGCCCGGGCTGCTAAGTTTGAAGAACGGCTACGGCTTAGCGGGAAGAGAAATCTGCTTCGCAGCGCGAGCGCTAAAGCGTCACATATACTCCGGCAGGATAGGCCGGCGAAGAGGAAGCAGGCGTCGCAGCTACTCCGACCGGCAGGGTACACTATGGAGAAGGAGGCCCGGGGCTCCGAGTGGATGAGTGAGGAAAAGGAGGTCCCGGCTGCCCTCCTCGACCACTGGAGGAAGAGATGGCTCACCGGAGCAGAGCATCACGATCGCCAGCGACGCGCTATCGCTGAGGAACCGGAGGGCCCTTCGATGCAGATACCGAAAGGGGGCAAGTATTTCGGCCTGAACCGACTGGAGGCGTCTACGCTGTGCCAGATCAGGACGGAAAAAATAGGACTAGCAGCCTTCTTATTCAAGACAGGGGCTTTTGGCGTGTACTCGCCGCTATGCCGCTGTGGCGATGCCCCTGAGACGGCAGAGCACGTAATCCTCTTTTGCGGGCTGTTGGAAGGACCGAGGGAACGATTACGGGCCGCCATCGCACCACGGCCACTATACTCTCGCAGAGACCTCGCAACGGCAACAGGAGAACCAGTAGTTAGTGGGACTATTGTAAGATGGCTGCTAGGGACGGGTCGGACAGCTTCAAGGCCCAGATAGCATCGATCTTCTCAGGGGGGACTTTGTTGGTAGGTTGAGAACCAACGTAGTATGGTAGTGAACGCAACGCAGTCGCCAATAGGGCGAACCGACGACGCAGCGTATGTATTTAGTCCAGCCATTAGGGCACGGTTTGACATACGGGAGTACTAGTAGAGGTACCGGGGGCTTCGAGCCTACGGCGTATTTAATAATAATAATAATAACATATATTCGTCAGGGATGAACAATAAATGCTCGACCGATCTTCCTGTGCTCGATGGGTCACTTTTTGACACTGATTCTGGGGAAAGGATTCGAACTACTTCTTCTCAAGCTGAAGCGACAGGAGTATTGCAAACCGGATTGTGCAGATGAGGAAGAATGCAGTGTCTAAGCTACTGACGATATTTTTCAGATCGCAGGAAGTCACTAGTAGAACCACAAAAGCTGGCCGAATCTCAAGTAAACCAGGATGCATATATCTAGTGTTTTATTCCTCGACGCGTGGAATGTTACCCAAATTTCTAGGGAGCCCATTTGAACCAAACATGAAATTTTCCGGGATTTATGCTGGACGTCATGCCAGCCAGCTCACCGTTTTATGCAGGTGTCGTCTCTGTCTATCCCTGGACGAGCCAGCGGCTTGCCTGCAGGACAATTGTGCCAAGGAAGCTTGTCTCCATGCCCAGGAAGCTTGGTTGTCGGGTGGACCTATATAAGTGTGCACGGAGATTCAATATGTGTGTCTGAGGCACAACATTGCAGACAGGTCCCTTGCATTCGCCACCGTTCGATACACAGTTGGATTTATCTGTCATTGCATTACATAATTCGTACCTAATAATTTACACCACTGTATTTCATACCCTTTCATGCTCGTTTTGATGTCAGCGGGTAGAGTTTCGAATAAATTATTGATGTGCCATGGAAAGAACGGGCCTAGTTGTAGTAAGAAACGTAGATACAGATGTACCAGAACATTGCCAATATGGAAAGGAGGCTGCTTGAAATCCGATATGTCGCAGGCCATGTCCTCATTGTCAAGTCCCCGTGGTCACCTCAGCAGCCATGACCTTCCAACTACAATTCGTTTTATCCTCATGTCTCTTCATTCGAGTCAATCTTGCATCATTCAATCTGTATCCAGGAGTCAACCCAGACAAACTAGCTTTGTCGTTAAACTTCACTTCGCCATACTGGCAAGGGGCTTCCCAAAAACTTGGGTGATGTTCCCCAACTACAATCCAGATAGCAGCATGTTTTGGCTGCCCTAATCGACGCCGTTCATGTACAAGAGCTTCCCGAAACTCATCGCCGCGGTAGTTGTCCCGCCACCCGTGCTCCATAGGTCTTTCCCATCGCCTGATTGTGCCACCTTAGTTTTCTCAGTCCAGCCGTTGTGAAAAAGATCAGTCACCTCAGTCTCGTTCCACATAAAAACCACCCTGCTTCTCAGCACGGTTCAGCACGGCTGGCCAAGGACGTCTCCCGGCCATAGGTAGAAACTGCAAGGTCTGGTACTTTTCCCGCTACTTGCGTGCCAGCTGCCCCACCAGCACCGTCCGATCAACACAACACTCGTCCCGCCAGGTCCGCGGATTGTCTTTGGCGTAAAGATCCGGCGGGTCTGGTTAAACAGGCCCCGTCCGGACGCACTTGATCACCATGCCGTCCATAGTGTCCAGCATGAAGCATTCGGCCTCACGATCGTCGCCTGCCGTAACCTTAAATCAGCAGATTACCAGGAAACGAGAAATGTCGAAAGGACTTGCCCATAGTGTTCCTGTCCTCGTCCGACTTGGCCAAGTCCTACACGAAGGGTCTATTTCCCCTGGTGACGCCTACGACAAAGCGGCAGTCGACGGATGAGCGTAGAGCGCGATGCTCTCGCTGGTTAGCTGCAAGGGTCGGAACAACCTCACCAGGCCAACCTGGTGAAACTGTCGGCTCAAGTCCCCCCTGCCATCATCTCAAGTTTGAATCCTGGGATTCAACTGTCTTTTCCAGTTTTATACTATCAAAGTAATAGAAGTTTGTGGACAAAACCTCTTGGCAAGGGGAAATGCGGTGACTTGGGTTGGGCCTCTTTCATTACATATGGATGTTCCTCGAATGATGAAAAGGAGGGGGGTCCCGTCTTGGATTTCCCGCATGCCAAATAAAGGAACGGAGGCGAGTCGCATGTGATATGACTCTCCGTGTGTACGCCAGCATCCCACAACAGTTTCTCGACAGTGGAAGCCGCGAAATCTCCACTTGCCAGTTTGGATCTCGATGTTTAAGGGAAGGCGCACATGCGAAACCTAGCGTCATCTTTTCGAAGTCTTCCGACCATATGGCCTCTCTCCGATTTCTTCCCGCTTCGTCGTACTTATTTCTTATCCAGTCTCCAAACATCGTCTTCACCACCATCTTGATCCTCACAACTTTTGGCAACCCGAGAACATATTCCAAACATCTCATTTGCTCCATGGACTAACCTGAGCATCATCAGTCCCCTCTAATCAGCATGCAGCTCCAAAGCCTCGCCATGTTCGCTGCTGGGCTCCTTGCCTTGACTGTCCAGGCACTCCCCAGCTATTTGGGAAAACCAAGTACGGACACAAACAGCATCCAGAACGGCGGAGGATTTCTTGCCTACGAAATTCCTCAGCTCTCCTCCAAAGACACCCAAGCTTCTGTGGTCACATCTGCCGAGACTTGCAACCGCAAAACTGTCTGCAAGGCGATCGCCAACGTCACAAACCCTACTGTCGCCGACTGCAGAGGCCTCGCTGAATTTGTGGCCTCCCGCCCGGGCTCGGTCTTGAACGTTGATTTCAGCAATCGAGACGCACAGTGGGTTGCACGCCATGGTAGCTGCCTCATCGTCGTGTGGCCAAAGGTTGGCAATGCCAGTACTATGTGAGTGTTCACCAGGGCGGTATCTTGCCAAGAAAATAACGATGTCTGACTTTGTTACTTCACCAGACTCTTCGCTGGCGATATTTCCCAGGACCTGGAAAATGGCCTAAGTTTTGATACTGAACCAGATCCCACGGATCACATGGTGGCAGTGGGAGACACCTCATGTTCATCTGGCTCTGAGGAAAAGGCGTGGTATTGGGCTACTGTCTCGAATGACAGGTGATTCTTCACACTGGTACTATCCACTAGACGTAGTGGATTTCTTTAGACTCGCTGGCTCAAGGATGGCTATGATCACCAACCCATATTACAAATTGGGGTCAAGCTTCATGATAAAGCCTCCCCTCGACGTAACACCTAGCTGGTAGTTCTTATTCAATAACATTAATACAATCCACTTCAAACACTTTTCCTACTATCCCCCGTACACCATTGTTTATTCAACACCCACAAACATGCTGGACAGTTAGTTTTGTATGGGCCGCGGGTCGAACTGCCTCGCAGCATAGTGTTTGTAGCGTTTGGCGTTCTTGAAACGCCACTCCTTGCCCTTCCAGATGAAGGCAAAAGCGAAAACCAAGACGGCGGACCCGATGGCACCGATTGTGTTGAAAACGTTGGCCATGCCAACATCGGCGATCCACGGTGTCATGGCGAAGACGAAGATGGTGCTCAAGGTGTTTCTCGAAAAGGTGAGGGCAACCAGAGCGTCACCGATGATCTGTAGTATTTGCGTTATTATCTCCCATGCTATTCATAGATGGAAGCTCACGTACCTCGTTGTATGCATCCGTCATGTACGTGAGGGCAATGCTGGAAATCGGTGCTGTGCCGAAATTGCAGATGCCGAATGCCAGAGCCACGTTGACCCAAGACTGACCGTCTTGCAGAGCATAGCCAAACCAGAACGCACCGGCAACCTGGAAAGGGATAAAGGGCACGAAAAGCCAAAGTCGCATTTCGGGTTCGTATATGCCGTTGTTTCGTCGCGCAAGTTTGAGAATCACTTGGTCGCTGAGTGGACCACAAATGACAGACCCGAGTGTGTTGCCGATAAAAGGGGCCAAGTTCATGAGTCCGATCTGCGACGAGGAGAAGTTGTACGGTGCTTCGATCATATAAGTGCTTAGTGCTGCTGAAAATACCGTGGACCAAGCGAGGAGCACGGCGTAGACCAGAGACATGTACGCCACTCCCGGGATGGTGAACAGGATGAGAAAGGGTTGGTAGCCATGTCTTGCGAACAACTGCCATGGGCCTTTTGTCGTGGTCGTCCCCAGAAGCATTTCCCAGTACGTCTTTCGAGGAATGCTGGGATCGATCTGGACAATACTGAGAACCGGCGATGGCTCCGACGACGCGTGCTTCTCAGGATCAACCGCAACCTTGTCCCCAATCGTCTTGTCGCTCAACACAACATCTTCCCCCCATGGAGTCCCCTGAACGGCCCCACGCCAGTCAAACTTGGACTCCTCAAATCCAAAAATGAACATGACGAGCTGGATCCCGAACAGAATAGCGCACCACCACCAGACCCACCGCCAGCCCATTGATTCCGTAATGAATCCCGAGGCAACCACGGCGAGATTTCCACCCACATTGGCCACCCAAACATAAATGGAGTTCATCAAACCGCGTTGATGCACAAAAAACACATCCGCGACCGTCATCTGCACCAAACACTCCCCCAGCGATCCCAACCAGCACTGCAACGCATTAATCCCCCACCAATCCCCCGCCGTGCGCGTATGAGCGGCCCACACCATAACCCCCAACTGCGCGGCACTGCTCAAGATGTAAATCGGTCTTAGTCCGTACTTGAGCGCAAACGGAACCAACATGAACGCGCCCAATGCCAAGGTCGCGCACCCGATGGCGTAGGTGTTATTCAGCGTCTCGGTGCTGAAGTTTAGCTCGTCGCCCATGGGACCCCAGGTGGGGCCCGTGGCGTTGATTTGCGCGTATACCATGAGGGCGTAGAAGATGGCCATGCCGAAGTTGAGGTACTTGCGCCATTGGGGCCAGTTGAGCGGGTCATTAGGGTTGGCGGTCGGGCGTGGTTGTAGGATGATTTGGGTGGGCTCGTCTTGGGTGAGCAGTTCGATGCGGACCGTGCCTGGGGGCCACGAGGGGTCGTCCCAAGTTTCTGGCATTTTGGATATGGCTAGGTGGTTGGTAGTCTGGATGTCAAGCTCATCTCATGATCATGACGGACACGTTCGGATCTGCGAGTAAATACATGGTATGTCTTGTGTTTATTTGTAAGTAGGCGTATCGTATTCGGCCTATCTATACCCCTGCGTGCCGGTACTGGATCACGGACGGGGCTCCCATGCTACAGAAGCACTGAGGAGATAAGGGCCTGATAGGCATACGCATACTGACTCGTACGATAGTGATAAGTTGATACTACATGCATGTGGGGAAAGAGTATCTTGCATTACATTTTCCGTTCGTTAATTAGAGTTGAGAGATAAGCGGGATTTGATGAACGGCTGGCTCTGCAGCAACGCGTGGTAACCTTCCGATTGGCCTGATCAACGCCTCCGATGAAAGGACAGTAAGTCTTCAGAGCCCCACTTGGACCGGCTCCGAATGTTTACACCCAACATATTGACGATGCACAAAAAGAAGTTTATGTAAAGTCCCGCGTTCGGGTCTTTGCGGTCCCGCTTCTAGAACTGCTTCTCCAGGTTATAGACCATTGACTAGTACCATTCCTAATACTAACATGGAGTCCCCGCATATTACCGCAGATTGGCAGTGGAGACTCAACTGCCAATGTTGAGGTGTAGGGATATTCCCAGCTTGATTCCAGGCCATCCCTCATATGACGTGCCTAAGTTTCTCCACGATGTGCTGTGTAGAGTCATACGAGTTTAGATCAGAACGGGACCATTACCGCTTGGCGGATACTAGATCTCATCAAATTGCGCGTGTATAAAAATACACATTCACGTCTAGTTGTGTATAACGAGATGCCTGGCACATTGTTACACGCAAAGGTGGTCAAAGATTTGTGAGGTTGTAAAAGCATGACATTCTATCTAGTCCTATGGAGCACGAAGGTTGGACTTAGTCCCGAAGGGCTAAGTCACGTGGTAACCTTGGTGGTCTTGGCAAAGCCCACCAAAGTTGCCTAACACACGAAGGGCTTCTTCTCTCCAATAGGCTAAGCAGGTTTTATTCGTCATCTCCTAAATTTCTTAGAGATCTTGCTAGGAAAGGGCTACAAAGTTCATAGCCTGATTCGACTGTCGTCGTAGAGGCGACAGGCTCTTAATCTACATTTAAGAGACTGATACGTGACCCCATGGGGGGTTACCCTATAGCTATAGATAAGATATATAAGAGCTATAAAAGAGCTCTGCCAGGCCAGAATAGCTGACCTGGCCATCCTTTCCCAATACAACAATTCACACCCCATATGCACTCGCATCAGAGACATATCGGAGTTAGGATGCCTCCTTCAGATCCTATGAAAAATAAATGTTAATAAGTTCTGCCATGTCGCTGCTTCATCTCACATCGGCGTCTCATTCCAAAAAGCTTGATGTGAGTGCATATGGGTGTTACGAATCTACGATTCTAACCAACGCAACAGGCCCGATGGCAGGCCCAGTGGATACAGGACAAAGAAGGAGGGGAAAGTCACACAGGAGTGGCTAGCTGCAGGAGGAGCCAGCTAGTACAAGGATCACAAGTCACGTGACTTACAAGGGTGGATCATTTGGATATGAAATGATCCAACATATCCAGTTAGGACCAATAGTATCCATGAAGGATCTAATGGCCCCAGTTATCAGTGAAGGAGGGAATGGATATATAAGGGACAGGACTCCCAGGCATTTCATAGATAGACAGTCTCTACTTCAGTGATCAATCTAAGCATCAATCTAACCCATTGGTGAGGCAAACTGCCTTGACGACTCTATTCCCAGTTACCCTACTTGAATACTTCAGTTACCCAGAGCCCTATACTCCATACGTCAAACCCCGATATTATTGCTTGAGGACTCCGCAGCAGGACTTACTTACTAGCACAAACCCTTACAGACTCTTTAGTGGTTTACGCAGCTAGACTATTAGAGGTTTCGTTACACATGGATACTATTGGTCCTAACTGGTTGATTGATTGATTGAAATTTAACGTCTCATCACGTGAGACGTGCCGGGCGCAGTGCCGGCATGGTCTATGCTAGTCGAATCTATGTTACAGGGGACTGTCTTCATCTAACATTCCTGTTCAGTGCGATGGGCAGATCTCAGTAAAGAAATTGGTCTCCTCCGCCCATTGGCAAAACAAACGAGCTCTCTTGGCCGTGCCTAGGAGGGAATCTATACTATTCTTGGCCATATGCGCTTTTAGATGACTGGGCGTGGCCTTGCGGCCGCGCTTGCAAAAGTAGAAGTGGACTGGTGTCTTTGTCTTTCCACACCCGCAGTTTAGCAGTGCGTCGCGATGCTGGAGTCTCTCGTGGTAGGTCACGAAATCCCCGTGGTGCGACCTCGCTGCGAGTAATCTGCCTAGGTGTTGCCGGGGCAGGCCAAGTTCGGGGGGTCGCGGGTGGATAGCGATCCCTAGATCTCGATACTGTTGAGGGCAGGTAGTGGCCCATCGATCGTTGAAACTCTTCCAAGTGTAGGATCTCGCGATTCTCTTTATATGTGCGAATGAGGCCGGGTGTTGTGTCTTGGGTGGTTGCTCACAGGCCGCTTTGGCCTGGACATCTGCTTCTTCGTTTCCGGGGATGCCTACGTGTCCTGGGCACCACCAGATATACACTTGTCCCGGGGATGTCCAGGGTTTTCGCTCTCTCTGTGACCAGGTTTTGGACAGCTCTTGGAAGGCGGTGAATTTTGCTTGACTGCTTCCGGGACTTGGACAGATGAGCCTACCCGCAACCGCGAGATTATCGAGGCAGATGTGGACGTTATCTGCCATGCTGTTGGACGGAAGCTTTACAGCCTTCTGAAGCCCCCGTAGTGCTGCGTGGGCTTCCGCATCGTATACCTCTATCTGAGAGCCCAGTAGTTCGGACCCGCAGAGTAGTCTTTTACTGGCCTGATAACCAGCCCAGCCTGCTCCAGCTAAGGTCCTGTCGCTATGGGTAGCCAGCGAGCCGTCTGTATAGATTATTATATCGCGCTTTGAAAACTGGTTTATCCTTTGTAGAAACGAGCGGGCAGCCTCCTCCTTTGACTGTCCTGGGATATAACCGATCTTGGCGAGGGTGATGGACCATTCGCCAGCCTGCTCCCAGGGCGGTATTTGCAGAGGATCTATATATTCTGCAGTATCTGAGGTTAGGCTCGCCATACGCCTTAACCTCGAATCGGGGCCCGTAGGATGTCTGAGCCTCCTGCGTAAGGGATGGCGGCTATCCAGTTTGTGTAATCTAACAGAAGCCGCATAGAGTTTTGCGTCGAGTGCGATTTCTGCTGGCGGTAGTGCCGCTTCCCGTTGCAGGATCGGTATTGGCGTGGTCCTATATACAGGAAGCATGGCTCTCATTGCGGTATTCTGCGTTCGATCCATTTGGTCAGCTAGGGATTGGACCCGGTTTGAGATAATGCGTCCATTCTTGTTCTGTCTGGCAGACGGCCACCATGCTTCCGAGGCGTAGAATTGCACGGGGAGCACGCACGCGATTACAGATTGACGGAGTAGTCGTGTTGGGGCCCCTCTGATTGTGTTTCCTAACGACCGGAGTCCGTTAGCAACCTGTAGAGCTTTAGCTGAGACGAATTTGACATGGGCCTTAAAGCTAAGCTTTCTATCGAAGTAGACGCCTAACCACCTGAGTGCAGCACCGATTTTGATGGGTTGAATAGTGTGGATCGTTCCATTCTGTTGCGTAGTGGTAATGGGTGGGTTTGCATCTCTCCCTCTTCTTGTGAAGTGTATTAGCTCAGTCTTGTCGGGGTCGAACGTGATACCCTCAGACATGCTCCAGTCGAGTGCTGCTTTCCACTCTTCGGCCAGTATAGTGCAATTTTCTTCTAGGGAACTAGAGCTTGACAGTATAGCTATGTCGTCCACGTAGCCGAATCGCGAGCGCTTGCGTCCAGGTCGGCAGGTGCCCAGCTTAAATACGGGCTCGATATATAGAAGGAGGAGGATCGGCGAGACAGGCGATCCTTGCAGAAGTCCACATTCGAGGTCAAAGGTGTCTCCGGTTTCCCCGTCTAGCCGTATTCTCCCCTTTCGCTGCGTGGCAAAGCTATAAACCCAGCGTACCAGGTTTTCCGGCCAGCCTTGGCGGTGGAGGCGCTGTGCCAGTCTGCCTGGTAGGACGGAGTCGAATGCACCTCTGATGTCCATCGTCAGCATAGAGGTAAATTTTCCTTGTTGCCAAGCGGTTTCTATATCATGGATTACAGCTGAAATCAGATCGCCACATGATCGTTTTGGGAGCGCTCCGAATTGTTGGCTATGCAGGACTCGGTGCTTTACTGCGACCCAGGAGAGGCGTTTTGCAATAAGTCTTTCAAGGCCTTTCCCAAGTACGGATAGGAGGGCAATAGGTCGATATGAGCGTACTGCCGTTTTATCCTTTTTGCCTGGCTTGGCCAGAATAACGAGCGTTGCCTCTTTGAAACATGTAGGATGCCATCCAACTTCGACGCAGGCTCGTAACAATCCATTGTAGTAAAAATAAAAAGGGGACTCAATATTGGTCCTAATCAACATAAATACCTCAATGCGCCATTTTATATTATGAGGACACATAGTATTCAGTGTTATGAATTTGAGGCTACCGGTACGAATGAGCTTCTAACAGGGCAACAGTGGCAGCGATAATAAGAACAATCGTAAAGTAGCCAACAAAGAAGGGGAAGATCAGAACATTGGTGACTAACAAAAGTATGTGATTCTTCCTTGCATACAATGGATCGACTTTGTAATGTTTTGACCACACAGGTTTCAAGAGTCATCTAACTGCTAAGTAAATATATGAAACCAAGCATAAATATACTGACTACCGTATCCATTCTGCGCTCTAGTTTCTGCTCACACAGGCGACATAGCACTCTCAGTTATACTCGCCGGTACTACTGCCTCTGAGCTTTCTTGGTACGATAAGACATGTCGATCAATCAAATGCACCACTGAAGAGTCCAAAGACACCCCAGTTGTTCTGCAGATACTCGGCCTCCTTGCCCGGTACGCAACAGAATGCATGGTTCAGGCCATCATCAAGGCACTGGCTATTCTGACCATTATGGCCACTCTGTCTCTTCTGAAAAGCTTTTCCTGTCTGGTTTCCCTGTGCGACTGGAGAGCTCTTCTTCTCTGAACCCAGACTCGCATCAGCATATGCCCTAGCATCCTAGGAAACTTCAAGTGACTCACCATACGGAAACCAAGTCGTTATGGACTTAGCACAATATGCCTTCTCCTGCCCTTTACACTTCGGCTCCGGAATCAACTGCCCAGCATGAGCGGCCCTCCGCGTCTTCTCAGCAGGGGCTTTCATGCTCGGAACTGTGGGGAGTTGGAACTGAGGGGGCGGCTTGATGGGTTCTGTATTCGGAGTCTGTGGTGGCACAACGGGCAGCTCCCATGGTTTGGAAAGGTCAAGACAGCCCAGTTGCTTGCCGGCCCACACGGTGCCCTCGCGGCACTGGCATGTATGGGACTTTTCATCCCAGAGCTGGGTTTGTTGGCATTGGCCTTGGATTTCGCCGTTGGGTATCGCTTGATCAAGGACCGGAGCGCTGACCACAGCAGGTCCAACAGAGCTGCTAAGGCCATTGTTGGTATTTTCGTTGCTGATAGTTGGGGAGTTGCTTTGCGGGATGGGGGTTGGTCGGGCGCTACAGGAGGATACAGCCAGGAGGGCGAGGGCGAGGGTGTTTGTGAAATGCATTGAATGAGCAGAACAGCGAGTGTGGGATTATGTGATGGTGAGGTTTATGATGTGGTAATTTTGGGTCAAAAGCAGCTGGCGAGATGTTTTATATTAGGTTAAGAGACAAGTCGGACGCTTATACATAGTGCTATTAGCTTATCGCTCTGAGCTGGATCGCTCGAATATTTGCTGCACCCGTTCCGTCTCGGCATTCAAGGATTGTGTAATAATGTGGCGTCTAAACTTGCGTCATCCAATCAACCCCCATCCCAAGAACAGAGAGGGTTCGCATACTATCCGTTCTCTGTGCCTTTGACAGCTCAAAGTTCAAGTACTGGATTATTAAATCCAAAGCCTTACTCATATCCAGGCATTAGTTGACCAAACTCCGGCCCCGTTGTTAATTCGGTCTATCTGTTCTTCGCCACTAGCACAGGAGCTGAGTGCGACGGCTGCTGGAAGTCTTTGATGCAGTACATCGGACCAAATGTGACATGGACCGGATATAAACAGCAGAGTTCATCTGATCTGAAAAAACGACCACAATACTCTGGCATTGGAAACTGGGCTCTCAAGAAGGTTTGTGTAAGTCAGGGATATCCAGGCCAGACAATGGTCCGATGAAGATGCTCACCCCGAATCGTCGGGAACTAACCGAGTGCTCGTACATGTCAGGGATGTCGTCTTGATAGATGACTACGGAGGTAGCGCAATTGAACTATACATCTGAACCGCGGGCGAATAGAAGAAGCGAAGCGCGCTGTCACGATCACTAATCCGCATGGCTAATAAATACGTATTTTCCCGGAAGCGCATATCTGAAATGTCGGGTCCGAAGTACGAGCCAGAATTAATGCTATGAATAGGTCTATCTGCAAAGGTGGTAAAGATGCCCCGTGGCCTCAACCCCCCGGAACTGGTTACCCTGTTAAGTGCGAACATTACACAAATCTGCTTCTACTTTGCGGTGACAGTCGTCAACTAGGAGCATTTTTCGATGGAATGAGCTCAAATATATTACGTGTTCGGAAGTGAGATACTCTCCGATCTTGATATTCCAAATGCCAGACAATCAAACAAACAAACTCACCTGCCCCTTGCCCCTCCCAACAGCCCTCACGCGGCCCCCAACCTCCAACGGACTACCCTCAAACACGACAAAATCCCCCATCTGTTCTGCTCCCTTCAGCCCGAGCATCTTATACACATTCCCACCCACCAAATCCAAAGCCTCCTTCTGGCTTAGCCTCTTGCCACTATTTTTATACGCAATACCCGCGAGCAAACCCATGTTGCTAACCAAAGAATCCTCCTCGATACCAATGGCAGTCAGTACACCTGCGTCAACCAGTTTATCGATGGCAGTCCCGTTCGTCAACGGCGCGCCCGTCAGAGCCCGGCGCTGGTCCCAAGTTACACGGTACGATTGCAGCGGTGCAAGAACAACGCCCACTTTCGCCGCAGCTAGCTCGTCGGCGATTAGATGAGATTCAGCGCCGCCGATGATGACAACGGTCAGGGTGGAGTTGCTGGCTTCTTCCACCGTACTCTTCAGCTTCAGCGCATCCGCGATGCCGTCAGCATCATGGACTGTCAAGGCAAGCGGTATGTGACCGGCCACGACCTTCCGAAGGAATGCCACCTCATTATACTCATCGGCCACATTTTCTCCTTCACGCTCAGCCTCAACGGCCTTCAGCAGTTTCTGCCTAAGCTGTCCCAAAGCAGCGGAGATCGACCCAACACCGCTCTTGGAAGCGTCGTCAAGCGTGTAGTGGACGGCGACGTCATCGGCAAAGACAGCACCTTCCTCTAACGAGTGCAGGGCACCGGTGTTGAAACCCACACTGGTACCAAAGTGTGTCATTTTTCCTGTGAACTTGGGCGCCGAGATGGCACGAGTGACACCGTATTTATGCGCGTAGTGCAGCTTCTTCGTGTCGAGACGCAGACCATCGACGCCACGGCTGAAGTGTTCTGTGCTGGCCCCGTTGTCGGTAACCCTTTCGGCGTCGATTGCGTTCAAACCGAGTAGCGAGCCAAAGGCAACGAAGGATGGGGTAACGTGGCCGTTGTTGAGATTGATGACACTGGTGCCCGATTTAGCGGCCGCTTCGAATTCTCGAACGCAAGTGCCGATGCAGCTGATCTTGCCATTGGAGATGACTACGGTGAAGTTTGCACCGCTGTCATCCAGACTTGAAAGGTCATTTGACAAAAAGGATGTCGTAATGCCGGTGAAAACAACATTGGGGGCAGTAATTGGCTCCTCCGGAACAGACTTGATGCTCTTGTCCGTAGCAATCGGTCCGCTGAGAGGTTTTCTCAATTCGACGGGATCCTCGTACTGCGCTGTGCCATCGATCCAAACCTGAACAGGCGTAGCACCAACACTCATCGGGTCGCTATCCCAGACGACGACATCGGCGTCAAAGCCGGGCTTGATCTTGCCCAATCGTTCTCCCAGACCGAGACGTTCGGCTGGGGCAGTCGTAACAGACGCCAACGCGGCATGGTATGGCAAGCCGTATCCGAAAGACTTTGCGGCCTCAAAGACGACATGCTGGGCATTTAAAACGGGGTTGTCACTGACGTAGATGGGCGTCAACCCATTCTCCCACAATGTCTTGCCGGCAAACTCAGACCCGATGTAAGCCTCAGCCTTGTACCACATGTTGTCCGCGAACAGCGCACTCGCTGGCGCACCTCCCCACGCTCGCTTCAAGATCTCAGGAACGAGATAAGTTTGATGGGCGTGGTGGAACGCGCGAACTGGAAACTTGAACTCATTGGTGTGGTCCACGAACGCCTCGAGATCAGGCACCGTGTAGCAGTGCGTGTTGACATGGACCTGGCCACGAAGCACCGCACCGAGTGATTCCCATTTCAGGTCCTGCGGGAGGTAACTATCCATGTGTCTGACGCCGGAGGTCTCAGCTGTGTCGCACCAATCATTTTGTTCGCGAACCAGGGTTGCTGCCGTCTCGAAGGCATGGCGGAACTCGTAGGACTCGCCGAGACGACTGACGGGCCCATGTTCACCCACCTTGCCGTAGATGCGCTTGGCATTTTCACCGCAGGCCATCTTCATGTATCGCCAGGTGCGGTCCGGGTCGGCAAGCATGTCACTAGCCGAAATCTCTTCGCGGCCGTCGGGCTTGCCGACTGCATGCTTGATGACATAGGCTTCTCCGCCAATGTTGTTGCCTGAACCGGGCAGGATGAGACTGGTCGTGACACCTCCCGACTTGATGACTTGGATCTGGTGATCAAGTGGGCTCAATCCGTCGATGGAGCGGACATAGGGAGTGGTGTCAGACGACATCTCATTAACATCCTGGTTTCCGACCAGCTCGGGAAGAGATCCCACTCCGGCATGGCTGTGCATGTCGATGATGCCGCTGGTGAGCTGTCTGCCCTTGGCGTCGTAGACGAGGTAGTCGGATGAAACAGAGCTCAAGTCGAGGTCTTTGCTGACCTGCTTGATAAGCCCGTACTCCAAGTAAACGTCGGCATTGATCCACTCAAATCCTTTCCCAGCCCACGAGTCCTCCGCGCTGGTGCCCTCGACAGCTTCGCCAACCCAGACGGTGGCATTCTTGATGAGTGTCGGCTTGTGGCCATCGATGTAGCGAGCATTGCGCTCACGACCTAGGCCAATTGGATCAGTGGGCTTCGTGCGTAGCTTGGAGCAGGTCCTGAGATCAGCTTCCAGCCTCTCAATTGACAGCGACGTCGGAGCCCGTTTGCTGGTCGACGACGGCGTTAGCTGGGTCCACTGTGCGTAGACGATGAAGCCCAGACAGGCGAGGGCGACGAATTTCACAGCTCGTGAGCGGCGCAACAGTCCCGGACGGCGCCTGCGCCATTGAGGGGTGTCAGCCACAGTGTAGGGCGGCAATTCACTCTTTTCGAACTCCATCTCTTTGCTGAGCGTGAGTAGGAAGAGATGGAGAAAGAGGGGAGCTTTAGGCGAAAGTAGTGATGAGGTCTGATCGGGGAGTTATCTTATCTTGGAAGGTGCTCGTCATTCCGTAGCGGGGTTTCGTGATAGCCTAATTCAATTACACAACCACGCACTGTGGATATCCACGGACGCCACTCATCGTTGCCTTTCGCTTAGGAAACGGTCCGCACCGGGGAATCGAAAACAACAAAGGAGTAATGGCATTAATGATCGATCACTAACTACCCATGCAGCGGCAGACCATGGCCAAATTCACCCCGTCCCTCGGAAACGACTGAAAATAGTCCGCCATATGGCGCAAATGCGGAAGCGTCATATTCGCACTCTGTCCCTTGCCATTATGCGTACTCCGCGTGACCACAATCGGCCCCTTCCCAAATTTCCTGATCACTCTCTCGTCAGCTTCCGCATACTCCGATTCACAGCCTAAGCTCCCTCTGCAGTCTGCACGAAACCAAGATACTGTGATCGAGAGTAAAGCCACCGCTGGCATCGCGATCGATAACGAGAGTCTTCTCCGCCCCGCCCCGTATAGGTCCAAGCTCAAAGTCGCTCCTCAAGTATGGTTTAGCTCGTTCAGTGGCGGGTTGCCAGTTTGCATGTGGGTCGCTGTCTTGACCCAGGCAAGTGTTGGCTTGTCTTCGAAGAGGTGGAATGGGATGCCGATAGCATGGGAATTTGAGGACGGCCGGATATGGTAGAAGACTTTGTATGCGCCGCAAAGGATCCGGTGTTGCGTCGTGTCGACTACGTAACCAATGTTAAAGCAGTAGGTGGACGCTTCGCAGGCCATTTGGGGCCTTGGGGTATCTCCATGGTCTAATCACCCCATACTAAGGATCGAAAGCAAGCTAGGTTAGACGTCTGGACGTCCTAGATTATGAGAAGAAATTTAGATGAGGTTCCTGCAAAGCGTCCTCAGATGCTGGGCCGGGAAGAGGTTTAGGAGCTGGTGCCACAGCCGATTCACCCTTTTCTCAGCGGTATCGGTGTGATGAGAAGAGCCATATGTTGACCAAACAATAATGGTGTGGATTCTGCGCAGGAAGATTGATTGCGAGCATGCGAATGAGGAAAATGGCTGCCAGAGAATCTGGGATCTCAACACAACTGTATCGATACAGCTGTGTGACTAAGGACCAACGGCGACAGTTCTTTGACAGAGAGGCAAAGGCGTGTCCCTTCTCATCAATATCCTAAGTCAAGATCTCGATTGTGTTCTCGACGTAAAGATTGCCAGCGATATCGTCCAGAAGCTTGTTGGGCGGCTTTAAAATAAGTCAAATGGTTTGTCATTGCCTTGTTTAAACATGAATTTGGTCTTACTCAATTATAGTAGTTATTTACTAACTATACTGTAAGGCAAGGTTTGCGACCACTCATTTCCACTTTATGTGAACAAACAAAACAGTTTATCTTCCAAACGTAGATTTTATATATGAAGCAAAGCAAAGTGAGCGTCTATCTTTCCGTACGGACTGTAAGAATAGCATGTATTGAAGTGACCCTGAAGAGCTAGAATTATGAGAAGAGTGGATTTGGCCTGAAATATATAACGCAGTGCATCCGACTCACCAAAAGGGTACGTGCTAGTCCTAAATAGCGGAAGTCAAAAGATACTCCAGCTGGCACCAAGGGCCGAAAACAGTGGCTATTTGGCGGCGAAGGTCCAATATCCTGTCGTGATTATATCATTTACGTGAGTAGTAGGACCTCCCGGCTCTTTAAAAAACTTTATACTGACATAACCCCTGGCATGCTGAAACGTCAGTAGGGTTGTACCTTTATTAATAAAAGTCTCACTTGAGTCAGTGTCTCTCGAACTGGGAGTAAGACCGCTTATCGCTCTGTACATAATGCTCTGATGGCCGCCTTCATACATTCCATCGTGTACAGGCATCATCCGAGGTTACGTCAAATAATATCCCTTTCTGTTGCTATAGCTGAAGTCCAATATGAGTATTTCTTTCATGTCTCGTCAGGTCGAGTGCTTATGGGATCGACTGTTCTGTTCCCTATTTGAATATCATCATATGCCATTTAGGTCATTTGAGCCACCAAGCCCTCGCGGTCCTGCGGAAAATGTTTGCCAATTTACTCGGTCACGGCTTCGACTTGACATCGCAGCACTCATCGCCACCGCCAACCATCTTGCTCGCTGTCGGCAGTGGGTCCGACACCAGCACACTCTTGTTAACCTCCTGCCGACTCTGTGGTACGTCAAGTGCTGGGTTCCGGTCGAAGAAGTCAGCGGGCTTGAGACTAATGGTTGAAATCTCTGAAGGCATAACGGGGAAATCCTCAACCCGGGGGTTATGCGTCATGCCGAAAGTCAACCAAACCACCACGTCCTCATTCCTGACCTTCTCGTTCCGTGCTGCGTAGTCAAACACGCCATCCACCTCGGACAGACTCTGGTTCGTCCACTTGCCTCCTGCCCAGAGATCGCCGTCACGATATTTGGTCACCCAGACGTGATGCTCAGCAAACTTGGCCCGTTTGCGAACGACGGAATTTTCACCCGCGAGGATGAGCTGACATGGTTGCGGGACTAGCTTGTACCCCACAGGATTTCCTGAAATTGGATTCCGCTTCGTCTCGTTCACCATCTTGATCACCCTGTTCGCAAAGGGGTCGGCGTCGACGAAACCACTCGTTTCGAAAGGCGTCTTGACCACGCGCCAGGCATTGCCATGCGGGTTCTCTTCCTCGGAGTACGGCACTGCGATACTGTCCTCGTAGAAAACGGAGTTTCTGGCGCCGTCCAACATAGGGTCGACTCGCAAGCTGAACAGATGTTGATGATTTGGCGCCAGGACCCCTGGGTTCACAACATTCCCCCACTCGCTCGTTTTGCCAGGATCGATGAGCGCGGTTGAGAGGATTCCAGTAGCCCGCGTCTCAAGCTCGACATTTCCATTTTGCATGAAGCACCATGCGAAGATGTACTCGTAATTTCCTACCGTGATGATAGTCTGCAAGATCAAGTTTCTCGCGCGGGCTATGCTCGGGTTTCGCGTTCGAAAATTGGTGTGCTTCCAGCCGACGCCACCATCCTGTTCGTGCAAGCAAATGACATTTTCTGCTTTCACAGGCGCTCCTTCCTCATCATTGAGATAGCCGCTGAAGTAGGCGATGGAACCCAAGCAGTCGCACCCTAGAGACAAACAGTTGGCCGTACTTCCGGCCCCGGCATCACCCAGATCAAATGCCTGCTTGCGGTGGAACGGGCTGCGCGGATCGCCGTAGGGGACTGTCATCTCGCTCACGGAGAGACGGTAGAACACAGGTCGGCCATCATAACGCACATCGTGGACTGTCATGCCCTCGCGGTAATTGAAGCCCACTCTGAAGCGCCATTTCTGCCAAGACACGCAGTTCTCCTCCGTGATGGTGAAGCTTGGTCCCTCGGGTTGAATAACATGCAGTGGCTTCAGATCTGTCCTTGCTGGAGGAAGAAGGTCTGGATGGTACTCGTTCGCTTGGCAGTGCGCCATAGGCTTGTCCGACGCTGTGTCGTATGCAAGTCCATCTTCCTGGCCTCCAGTAGCCAACTTGGTAATCTCCACCACCTTGTCTTCGAATATGTCGTAAAGTGGGGATATAGGCAATGGAAATGCATACTGATTACTGTCCGGGTGGTTGTCGGGTGCCCGCGCATATAGGAGCGCTTGCATGAATTTGTGAGTATCCTTGTTGGAGTTCCTGTCTGCCCCGTACATCCACTGTCACCGTGTTAACTGCATTTGCCAGCAGAAATCAGGGGCAAACAACTTACTGGATCACTCTGAACAATAGTCCCTGGTGGCAAGTTCAGCTTTGCAATAGCCTCTATCACCAATGGATCCTCCAGCATCCGCTGCTGACTATCGCGTACCTCGACTCTACGATATTCTCGAATCAGATTCCGGCGTCTTTAGGTCTCAGGCCCAGGGACTGAACAAAATTCAACTTACCGATCGATAGATCCATGTTGCCCCTTGGCCGTCTGACTTTGAGCAACCTCTGTGCCCGAGTCCAAACTGACGACGCTTTCCACCACCCGGCTCTCTCGATCATAACTCCAGATCGCCAATATGAGTCTCGGGACGAATGGTCTATCAGCCGCAGGAACTCCTGCAGCTTCTGCGTCAAGGTACGGTAGTAACAATGCTTTCGGTGGATCATGCAGCGAAATATTCTTGAACCGCAGTCCAGACTTTGTCCCAATTGCAACACCCTGCTTTTCTGCGATGCTGCGAACTATCGCACTGGCCTTCGTGACTTCATCGGCCGAGATGAGCTGTAGAGGATGTGGCCGCGAAATTGCCATCTTGGAAGCCGATGATGAGTTTTGGAGAGAAGCCGCCTCAGCTAACTTTACGCGAGCAACATAGAAAGGATCACTACGGCAAAATTCTGAAATACTTTGGAATCAATATCGCAAGAGCCAAAAGGACGCCGTAGTCGCATATCGAACTTTCTGATGTAGCTTCGGATCCTCCTTAATTCACCGTCATCGGCTCCCCACGGCCTTCGCGGTAGCTCTTGTCGGTTCCGAAAAAGGTAGTACCAGGTGATAGTACCACGAAGGCTCGACCCACTTCTTATTATATGCTACGGAGTACTCTACGAAGCTCGCCCCGTTGCACGATCGCCGAATTTTTTCACTCTAATTTTTGACGACTGATAGGACCGACCCAACGTTGCGGACACCCCCCGATCGGTTTCACAATGCGGCCTAGCCACTAGTTGCATATGAGTAGATCTTATCGATCGTCAGTCTACTTCTACAGTATCTTTCTCAATATCATCCTATCTATCCGGGTTGATACGGACAAACCACTCATAATGGCACGCAAGCGAAACATCTTGAAGTGCAGATAATCAAGTCATAATACCCCAATCAGATCCAAACCCAGTTCAGAGTACACATGAATAGACCCTTTTCCAAAGCTCGTGCATTAACCCCTTACTTCTTCAAAATCGCATCTATCAGCTTTGATGCCTGTAGGACCTCTTCGTCGTGAAAGTGCTTTCCTGCGAGTTGCAGGCATACAGGGAAACCGTGCATCAACTCTGGATCGTCTGGTAAACCTGTTAACACTCATGCGATTTGTTGTCGTCGGATGCACACTTACAGGCTTTCAATTCCCACTCATCGTGCCCATTTCTCGGTGTGTAGCCCTCATACGGCCGATCAATATCCTTATCCACTTTCACTCCACTAGGGAATATTGAAGCAGGCTGATCCAATATGTTCCAGATAGCAGTGTAGTTCCAGTACTTGGCCATACCCTGCAAGACACCTGCACCAGGATACGCTGGGCAGAGAATGAAGTCAACTCCTCTCTCCTTCATCAAGGCATGGTATTCACGTCGATATGCTTCTTTTTGGTAGTTCAGACTCCAGTTCTCGGCAATGGTCAAAGGCTCTTTGCTGCTGAAGTTAAACGCGTGCTGTGTTAGGGGCAAAACGGGTTCGCCAGTTTCGGCAAATGTGTCTAGATACGGACTGGGACCTTGCGGGAAGTAGAGGGCAGACTGTTCGCTTTATCAGCCTTTGAGATTCAGGAATGCTGGGAAGGAACATACCACAATATCCCAACCCCTTTGGTGTTCGAATGGCTCCCAGTTGACAACTTTGATACCCGCGCTATTGAGCTTCTCGGCTGCTATTTTCAACGCTCGGACCATTGGAGGGTGTGGTTTCACGATTCTAGTCCATTAGTTCTGTCTCTGTCGTCTGAGGGAACCAACTCACCCATCGTCGTACAGAATCCCAACCGTCATCTCTTTGTTCGGTGCAAGCTTCCTCCATTCAATAGGCACCAACATCGTCTCGACATCCCACGGCTTGCCCCCAAGAATGGCGCTCATGAACAACTCCAGATCCTCAACAGACTGGCCAAGGGGTCCAACAACACCACGAATGCTCTCTTGTCCGGCCGTAATACCGAAATTGCCTAGGTTTGGCACGCGAAGTGCTGTGGGTCGGAGGCCGTAGCACCCGTTGAAAGCTGCCGGGGCTCGCACGCTTCCACCGATGTCTGTCCCTACTCCAATGACAGAACACTTCGATCCGACGGAAACACCTTCACCCCCAGACGAGCCACCCGGCGAGAGCTTTAGATTCAGAGGGTTAAGGGTCATTCCTGTGATGTTGTTGTTACTGTCAAGATGCTATCCCTTAAATTAGTCGAACACTCATCTACGGTAGAGATCATCTTACCATTAGAGACTGCGGTTGATTCGTCCGCACATGGATGACAGCCCCAGCCTTTTTCAATAATTGGATGCTCAGTGCATCTTCCTTCGGAACATTACCAATTTTGCTGACGAACCCCGCATGCGTGATGTGGCCGTCCATGCCGATGTGTTCCTTGACCGAGACTGGAATGCCATGCAGCGGCCCTGAAAGCTTGCCTGTCTCCTTGAACTGGGCATCAAGCTCCTCTGCTTTCTGCAACGCACTTTCGGCCAAGAATTCTGTGGCGAAGTTTGTCTTTGAGTACTCGGTCAGCTTCATGATCTTGAAGGCACTCCACAAAGGTCTCCATACCATTTGTTGCATGACTGTGCCCCTTTTCAAGAACGCCGTAATAACCTGCTTCACCGTCCATCTCCCGGATTCGTATGCCTTCAGTAATCCTCCAGCATCCTGTGCCGTCATCTCCAATTCCTCGGCTGACATTGTGCCAGCATCATAAGGCACTGATGAGACATTGAGCGTCTCCTCTGAGGGCAACTTGTCTTTCGACAGCATCCATTGCTTGGGTATAGAATCTTGCTGGATCTTGACGCAGATCTGCGCCAGTTCTTTCCAGTTTCCAGAAGTCTGAGACCCCATAGTGAATACTTGGCTGTTTTGATGATCAAGTGATAAGAGTGTTATTCATGATCTTGGCCAGAAGTGTATAGTAATCGCAGTGGTTGTCCAAGAGTGTATTTGAAGCAATGTGACTATAGCAAACAGCATGACAAGGATCAAATTCCAACCATCGTTCATATCAGCACATCGATGGCAATAATAAGCGACAGGGCGATTCCAAGATTAGGAAAGGCCGACGCAGGTCGATGGATTCCACTCCACAACCCAGCCTAGTTCCGTAGGCCGCACAATGTGCAACAATGTAAGCTGTAGCACCTTGATAGGTTTGTCCATGGCGCCAATATGTCCGATGTCGCATCGCATCGCAGCATGATAACGTTGATCGCAATTCCGCACTGGTTACAGGTGCACAGGCAGGAACCATATCCACTCTCTTTCGTAAGTTGATTCAAATGATAAGAGAAGTTAGGTATCACGCGCCAAGCCCGCTGTGGCCCGGCGAAGACGGTTCTGGGCCATGGAAACCCTGGAACTGTCTGGATGTCGGCTCCGGCGAACAACGTTTCCGAAACATCGTGTGCACTGTGTTTCCTTGAGTCACGGTGTTACAAATGCCAATTTCTTCGACATTGGCGTTGGGTAGACGCTTTTCAACGGTTGCCGTAGGCTACCACCGCATTTATTTCGCACTGTTTGCTAAGGAGGGCAGAGCCAACATCAGTCGCCTGTCAGATATGTTTGTGCACCAGCACTGGAGTTTTATTTCGTGTTGTGATAAGCAAGGGACCTGCAACGTCATTCCCGACATTCATGTTCTAGATATCTCTGATTGCGACGTCAGGTAATCTGTATGCTGCGGATCCGAGCTTTCTTTGCATGTCAAGATTTGTGGCAAATGCAACTCGCATTCGTCGTTATCAACAACTTCAGGTTTCCAGTAGCTTTCTTCATCAGCTGTCCCGAGGCCAAACTGGCGAACCTTAGTATTCGCCATCTTCAACATGACACAAGCACATGAGATAGAGGACGAGCAATTCCCGCCCGGCACTTCTCGTCTGATCGATGTCGAGGGTAATATCGTCACCAAGCATGCCACTGGCGAGGGGCAAAAGGACATCATTTTGGTGCCGCGACCATCTGAGGATCCAGAAGATCCATTGAATTGGACGTTCAAACGAAAACTGCTGGCGACATCATGTATCGTCGTGTACACCATCATGATTGCTATCCCAAGCAGTGCTGTCTATTCGGTCGTTACACCAATCAGAGCCGCCACAGGACTTTCTTTGACTGATATCAACAACGGAACGGGCATCATGGTAAGCCACCAGCTGTGGTTGAAACCGTTTGATTCGAGCTAACCATACTGTAGTTTCTGTTCTATGGATGGGGGTGCATCATATGGCAACCACTGGCACTGCAATACGGAAAGCGACCTGCATATCTCTTCTCTCTGATTGCCAATATTGTATTCCGCCCTCGTCGCATACCAATATAGGAGGCAAACAAGTCTAATACGGACATCTAGGCAATCCTTGGAACTGCGCCTCTCTGCACAACCAGAAACACCTATTTGGCAAACCGTATCCTGCTCGGCCTGTTCGGTTCTCCCGTCGAGTCACTCTGTGAAATCTCTATTACCAATATTGTAAGCGGCGCCACCCTCTTCCAGAAGTCTTATATTGACCATTCGTGCTAGTGGTTCTCACATGAGCGGCCAAAGTACCTGGCTTGGTACGGATGGAGTTTGAGCATGACCGGCAAATTCGCGCCCATGTTGTCCGGCTTCATCAACATTGGAATGGGATGGAAGTGGACGTTGGTAAGTAATGACTGACTTTCAGGGATGAATATCTACTTACGGATGACAGTGGTGGTGTTCCATATTCAACGGCATTGCGTTTGTGTATTGTTTCTTGTTCATGGAAGAGACGAATTATGATCGCCCAGCTCATCACTCGCCGCCCGCCCAAGCTTCGCCTGAAACACATGGCCACGAGTCCAGTGAGACTGATGAGAAAGCTGGGATGAAGACAGCACAAGTTGCAGGTTCGGCAGATTGCGAGTCGGGTGATATAGTGTATCCCCGCAAGACATACATCCAGAAGCTGGGTATTAAGGATAAAAAGAGGGAGAATCGAATGTTGGACGTCGCCTTGGCTGCTTTCAAGGGGTTTACATATCCTCCGGTTGTCTATGCTGGGTAAGTGAGTTTAGCCAAGTCTAGCACACCAGTCCTGCTAATTTATCATAGTCTCATGTACGGCGCCAACAACCTGGTGTGGAGCGGCGTACAGAATGCCACCGCGGGAACAGTGTACACAACGATGTACGGTTGGTCCACAGCTGGTGTCGCAGCAGCGTACTCTGGTGGGCTTCTGGGAACTTGCATCGGTGGCTACTACTGTGGCAAAGTGGGTAAAATGCTCACCATCAAGCTTGCCCGCCGTAACGGTGGAATTGCCGAGGCTGAACACACGCTCTGGCTCTTTGTCGCATCCATGATCCTGGTCCCTTTCAGCATGCTGCTGTATGGACTAGGGGTCACGTATCATATCCACTGGTTTGGACTTGTCTTTTCGCAGGTAACGCTCGCTATCAGCAATTCGCTTTGTGTCGCTGCTGGTTTGGGCTACGCAATTACGTCATATCCTGAGTTGAGCGGCGATATGGTCACAACGTGTGTTCTCATCCGGAACACTCTCAGTTTTGCTATCAATTATGGCATCACGCCTTGGATTACGGCTATGGGGTACCGAAACACATACATCATCGTGGCTGTGATTGGATTTGTGTGGAATGCGAGTTTGTTCTTCATGGTGAAGTTCGGTAAGGGGTTCAGAGTCAAGACTGCGGTGAGGTATTGGAAGGATGTGGAAAAAGCGCGAGCAAAGGGGTTGAGCCACTGATTGTTAGGTTGCATCTGGACTAATAAGCCGTGCCATTTATTTAACATATCATAGAAATACCATTGCCATCAAGATGCGATGCGTTCTAGTGCTTATTAAATGCTTGTCTCCAAACGTCAAACTACACAATCCTCTTCTCGGTATGCCGTCATTATCCGATGGCGTAGCCCTGTGCTACTTCAGTCGTTGGGAAAGTCTTAGACTTGGCCATGCTGCATAATTTGGATGACCCATGGTCCACAACGGGAAGAGGGGTTTGTGGGGGTCATCTGGCTGTGTTCTCATTCCGCGCATCGCCGGTAACTTCAACGTTCTCATCAAATCGAGAGTTGGACAATATGGGCCCTGTGGGCCATGTGGGTCCTATACTTGCCACTATCGCCACCTAGAACGGCGACCATCCCCACATACCTCTATTACGAGAAATGTGGCGAGGATAGAACATTCCCTACTTATCTATATGCTTCTACAACTTGTCTGAATTAATCAGCAAGTCTACCATTCATTGACTATATAAGAACCCTTTTGTTTCCATACATAGACCCTCGAAGAGAGGACCAGAGTTAGCTACAATACATACAGGTTAGGCATATGTGCCCTCCTTTTGCTCCTTCAACGGGAACATCAAATCCAAGTTCGAGCTACGGAGATGGAATTCCGAAACGACCATCTTTGCTCAAAAAAGCTATAAAATGCATCGCCACATTGAAAGACGCATCAAAAGAACATCGTATACCACCACCAAACCTCACATCGATGTGCTCTTATTCTGGCTAGGAAGAAAGCCACCGGAAGTATTTTCTCAGTTTCATTTTACTGTACACTAAGATCAGGTAGTATATTAGAGTCCTTTTTTGGTTTATATGAGATCTGCATTCTACCACCATTAAATAAATGTAGTTAAAATCGGCGATTCATGTTGGTCCCAACTCATGTCAAGCCTTAATCAAAAGTTGCCTCCAGTTCAGAGCTTTGGGATCTGGAATCGCTTGTCGACTTACGTTTTGTTTCTTTCAACCTCGGCAGATGATGATACCATGTAGCATATTGATAAGACAACTTGTGTCCGGGATAACTGCGTCATGACATACTGTATGAAATGTACTTACTGAACAACACATTCTGACTTCTTCCCCCTTTTCCCCTCGACAATGCTTCCACTTACTACACCACCATATCTCCAACAATCTTCACACAACAAGGGACGGTATTTTTCCTGCTTCTTGACGTCACGGTGACCTGGGCACACGTGAGTGTAAGCCTGCGCAGCGGGGCAACGAATAACATCACTCTTTACCTTCTTCTCGTGACTGCAGCCGAACAGTTCGTAGTGGTCCAAGTCGTAGCACATTGTGAGTAATTCCGTGGATAGCGTAGAAAACTGTAGACGTGGTGAGTCCCGAGAGAAGGCAAAGCGATTGGTAGTTGAAAGGTAACTATGCCAATCAGATGTGTTGCTGGTATCGAAACGTCTCGAGGAAGTTTGGGGGACTGATTGTTATATCAGAGACTGAAGACAGCCACAATGCAACTGTCTGGTCAAAATAATGCACGTTACTAGCTAATTACCTTTCTATAACGGTAAAGAAATCTTTCTGGGGAATCTCTTTGTATGTCATAATAACATTGCGAATGGCAGCCATCTGGCGTCTTACCTTACAAAAGTATTGTTTTTCTGGGGTTGGATAAGACAAACGAACGCATAGACCGTGGGTAGCTAATTAAAGAATTGGATCTGGTCTGGGCCCAAGATGTTATGGGCAAAAGACCTCCATGTAAGCGACCAATCCCTTTGTGCTTGTGTGACGGACCTCTTCCAGTTACGGCATGCCCAAGTTTGAGGCCTAGGACTACTGTACCTGCATAGTGACTAAAATACTCAATTTAACCATGAACAAAGGCGCTTAGGGTCGCTTTGTTTCACAATATATGAAGTTCCTAGAATACTAACAAAGAGCGATTGTCGGGCTGAACCAAGTTTTGAGTACCATAATCAACTCCGCAAAAGTATTCCCACCATTAAGAATCAAGAATGCGGAAATTCCTAATATTTTGGAGCCCAGAATAACCTCCTTTCTCTTGGCTCTGAACTAACGAATTTCGCTCGGCAATGCTGCATCAGCGGGACTACACCAAGACCCCTTCATCATCGGATGCAGCAGCCAAAATACAAAGGAAACAATCCAGCTCTGCAGATGGCCCTCCTGCAAAGCATCATTGAACGCATGGCGAGCAAAATCTTGAAACTCGCTGAACACTCTAAAATCTGCGGCGTCGTTTCGGCGCCCTATCACTCCTCGATGCTGTCTTACCTAGTCGGTAAAATTAATGTCAGTATTGACGTCATGCACTATTGAGAAAGTATCGTTGAGAGAGATGGCAGATCATACAATAGTTATAACCTTTTCGTTCAAGTTCGAACGTCTATATCACCTGTTCGAAGTCAAGCTTACAATAGCGATGCTTTTCTGTTATCTGCAATGACCCAGGCAAAAGCAGGCCAAGCGTTGGGTGATGAAGAGGTATATCTCAATACGATCACCTAGCACTCCAACTACTACTTGATCTTCTGAAATACAAAATCCCATTGTGTCCCATGCATCATCATCCACACCCTCCCCGTCGACTTTCATGGGTATCATCGAACAGTGCCTGTGTCTGCAGCAAAGGGCTCTGATATCCAGTAAATTGTTTCCCATACTCGTAATGGCTTGTTTCTTCGGTCATATCGTCAAGTTCCATGCCGTGTTGGTAAGATCTGGGCGCCTCATATATCACGCCTTCTGCCCTTACGTCTTTGATGGGAACGGCTTCGCCACAATCCTTGGGATCACCTGCATTAACAAGGAAACTCTTAGCAATTGAACGTTTACAGACACCATGAATTTAAACCAAAAGGTAGAGGTGCATACGTATAATAATATCGAGCCATTCGAGTAGAACCGGCACCCAAGTGACCAGCGAAAGCGTTTGACCGAATGTCCAGTTCCCGTCCTCGTTAGAGCTGTGCGCTCGATTACGGACGTATTGCCTGTAGACGGTGAAGATTACGATCATGTACCACATCATGATGCAACAGACAGTCCCGTCAACGAGACCCAGAATAGGCATCCCGGCTTTCCAGTGGTACTTCATTTGGGGGCCACGGAGGTTGAAGATTTGGAAGGTCTCGAGTCGGGATTTCAGATAGTTGCGTATACGCTTCGGACTGTCCATGAAATAGTACAGTAGCCAGCCGAGGTGCATACCCAAGACGACGTGGCTTGCCGTAATGCTCTGTCGGATCTGTGCTAGCTGATGGCGGTCGTCGCAGGCCGCCAACCACACAAATTCCCGAAGGATACCCGGTGTTTGCATCGAGTTACTTGATTCGGAAAGCGTATCAATCTTCTTGAAGAACTCGATCTTGTACTTATTCTGGTACTTTATCCCCGCCGTGATGTTCAAGGCTACGAGAGTAAACCAAAGCGCATGCCGGAGGGTGCGGTCGCGAAGACCTTCGGCTACGGTCTGAAGAGCCAGACAGGGAAACACGGCGAACAGGCACATGAAGATGGAACCAATCAGGCGGTATGACGAAAGATCGTCCTCGTTGGCTACGTGATCGAGCGCGGCATATCGGAAGATTGTGGAAGCGGCCATGGAGACGGCGAACACGAGGGCCGAGTCTAGAAACGTCTCGACGGATCCTGTAAAAGCAGCTATGGTTCGTCCAGGAAGCCAGTAAACGAAGCCAAATTGGTTCATGGTGATGACAGTGAAGTAGATGGTCGATAGGATGGCCACTGTTGCTGTTATCATAGTGAATCTAAAGTGCAGGGAATATAGAACTCCTCTTCGAAGAAGAGCAGTGCTCATTATCATCACATACGCGTATAGTAGGATCCCATCATCTGGTTACAGTCGTCAGCATATCTCAAGCCAATCAAATAACTTAGGGGCGACATATTCGGATAAAACATCTACTTGCCCCAGTGCCCGTCACGTCAGCGTCACCTTTGACATCCAGATTATCACAGAAATCATCCCGACAGGTGTCTAAGACAAATATATGTAAATCGTACCAAACTTGATTCCACTCCGTGTTGTTGATGTATGATGAATTGTCCCAGACACCGAAATACCATGCGGCCAACTGATTCCAGTCTGGCGGAGGGTCCATCCAGTCCTCAGGAACTACGTGTCGGAGGAACCTAAGCACATCGGCGAACGCGGGTAGGTCTTGGGTGTTAGATAGGTCGTCAGTGATATTTCCGTCAGAAAAGGCGCTGATGTAGCCAGCATAGAACTTAGCCGAGGTATTGCAGTGGGTGAAGTTCAGGTTGGTGAAGGCCGGTGCAGTCCAGTTCACCACGACGTCAATGGGGGCATCCATCTCGTCTATGGAATTCATGAATCAAAGGTGGATCTCGGATGAAATCTCTCGTTATCAAGCAGAGAAAACTCAAGAATTTGCGTAGCGCTGGTAGAATAATACATATTGGAAGAAACTTCCACAAGGCTCGGGGCGGCAAGATCGATGATTTTCACGTCTGCGGCCGTTGGCCCCCAATTTTGGGAACAGGCATCCGCGGTGCACCTGAATTGTGGCGATTAATACTCTATTGAAATTTATAGGATTATTGGGGGTGGTGGCAGCTATGTGCATGTCAGCCGCAACGTGCACCAGACCCCTGCCTGAGTCCGAAAAAGGGATTGGACCGCTCACATAGATCGTCGCATGAGATGGAAATAAAAGCCGAATCGTGTACTGGTACAAATTGTACGCACAAAGTATTGTTGCAATACAACGCAGACGATTTACCTCCTTTCGACTGGCTACACAGCTACTAGGATGGATTTTAAGTGTCATGGTCGCTGGGATTCTCGATAGAAGATGGGATCTGGGCTCTATCGAGCTAAAGCTCTATAATACACCCTAATAGGTAACGTCTGTAGCATCCTACATCATTGTATTGGATGGTACGGTAGTTTGTTTGCAGGTATTGACAGAACACCGCGCGCAATTTGCCCATGGAAAACCCGGGCTAGCATGCAGATTAGAGCCTCATCATAAGATGTGATGTTTATATAACGAAGAATTTCCCGCCAGTGAACAGATATCCGAAGCACGGCATCGCCGGCAAATTTGCTGACGTGAGAATAATTGTGATTGGATGAAGAAACCACAGCCGTTATGATACACACCTAAACTGATGTGAGGAAGCTAATTTTAACAAGCAAGGCTGGACAGCATGAAAGATAACAGATTTTGAGGTCCAGTAGTTTAGCCACATTTCTTATTGACAGTCTGTTGCAAGGGGTCCCAGTTACGACTTATGAAGGCCATCAGGCTAGCCTGGATTGCTCCCACAAATCGACTACAACAGTTATTTTTGATGACTCAGACATCTGCAATAGAACGATATTTATTTATGTTCCACACAACGTGAATCTCTTTCCATTTGCATACGGAAGACCTGAATCATCTCTTACTGTTGATATGCGCTATTCTAATTTCCACATAATGGAAGTTATGGGGGATCGTACATTCAGCAAGAGAAAAGTCGTACCGACTGCGTTATGTCTACCAAGCCCTTGGATGATGGGTTGACCGGCTGTTGTAATAGGCCAGATGAAGAGAAGAAAGAGTAGTTGACCCAGTCCCGTCAGCACCCGGGTCAATCCCTCGCAGCATAAACTTTACTGCAGTACAAGAAGAGGGCTTCGTTTCTGAATGACCCTGCCCGTGTGGAACTTGCATCGTTTACGTCTTTGATGTGTTTGGCCTAGCCCGAAATCATGACGAATTTTTGCGCATCTAAACATTACAGTGGTTAATATTCCATGTTTATGTGATCGGTGTGCGTGATATATACGCTCCTCGTGTTCAAACTACTGACTAAATTGTTTAACGCCAATTCGTAGTCTATACAGGTAGGCCCTGTCACGGAACAGAGGTGTATCACCCCAATATTTCCTTCCCCTTGTCCTATTATTTCTCTTCCACTGCAGGATTTACAGGAATTCTCGGCACATGGCCGTGCGTATCTTCCGACGAATGTTTCTCACGATTCTCTTGCCTGCTCTTGCTTCCAGCAATCTCAAGGTATGAACCTAGCAACTCGTAAAGCATACGCTCTCTATCTACAGCCCGACTGCAACTCAGCTTTTTTTCACAGTCTGTCACTACCTTGAGTAAGATGGTATACGATACAATGTCTAACTGTTGACGCGTCAGAGTCAACCGGATTGGTTGGTCACACCCCAGAATCGATTGAGCGGTCTGGGCATTGTTGACCAACCCCAGGAAAACATCCTCAAGCATATCGTTGTCGACAACCAGCCGGATCAACAACTCATGATCGAGATTTACCAGATCTGAACACCCGGGCTTCAGCCGATGTTGCGCCATGATTGCATCCAAGATTTGCTGGTAGATGTCGGTGTTCCTGAAAGGTCTCGAAGGAATGATGAGACGATCGTAGCCAACCTTCTTCCTCCAAAACATATTGCAGAACACCGAGCCAAAGATGCAGGGAATCAAAATGACGTATCCCCACCACCTCGTTGAGCTGATGAGGGAGCCGATACTGGAAACCACCAGAGTGACAGCGTTGGTCACGGCGTATATCTGATGGTTTCGGAAGATCTGACGTGCACGCTTCTGCATTGGGTTTTCTTGGATGTAGTCCGTGACGAGACGGCAGTGGCGCCTGCCCCGCTGCCATAGGTAAACAGACCAGATGGCGTTGATGAGACCATAAAATGCCACAAAGCCGTTGCCGACGTAACCCGAAAGCAGATTGCTCGCATGGAAGATGCGATGATTGGCGCCTCCAATGGCCATAATGGTGCCGGTGCCGACTAGGATACCAGCGAAACCGACAATACCGTCCATAGCTACCCTGTCAAATACCTCCCACCCAAGCTCGCGAAAGTTGGCCGACTGGCACGCTTGAAGGTAGTTACACGGCAAGCGCTCGGTTCTGGCTATCTCGGCACGGAGAAAGGCGCGTTCCTCTCGCAATAACCGTACGTTCCGCCAGCTCCGGCGAAGATCCACGAATGCGAGGCAAGATGCAAGGATTGCCAGTGTCCCCCCTACGATCATCAGGGCCATGGCGAACTTTTTAACCGGGACCTCGTTCCAGACGTTGGCCGGAAAGTCAAGGGCATGGAAAAACTCCAGGTACCCAACGAACATCATAAGGTCGTTCCGCCGTCGGACTTGCTTGGCTGGGACATATTTGGATTTCTTCGGGTTCCAAACCAAGGTGACAGTATGACTCTGTTGTTCTCCGCTTTCCTTCGTCTCGCTGCCTTCCTTTGGGGAGCTGTCCGTGGCGGTGTTGACTTTCCCGCCGATTTTTGCCTTCTCGTCCTCGTCTTTTGATGAATCGTTCGGAGTTGTATCGCTTTCTACCACACCTTCGGTTTCGGAACCTGCACTGCCCTCCTTGCGGCGCCGGATCTCCAATGAGTCGCCAAGCGCAGTATCTTGAACGGTGATCGACATATTTGGGCGAATAGTATCGAAGAGCATCCGATTGCTCGGATTCGACAAAGTGGAAGGTGCCTAATCCACGATGGTATAAAGGACGTAGCGACACCCAAACAGATGGAAGAGTTCGGCAACGTTTGATTTCGACCGTGACGCCAACAGAACGTTTCCCGACCAATCCCCGAAGTTTGTTGGTGCTAAATATGTTCGCAGCCAATGACGTCATTAGAGGTATTTAAAAAAAAAAAAGTATATAAATAAGTATCGGCCGCCTGCTGGTAGACTTTTGGTGAGTGGAAGGCGCGGTTTTATTGGTTCAGGGGTTTGAAGAAAAGGGGCGAGAGTTACTGCAGCGACTCCCCACCAACACGGTCCTGTTGTCGGAACCTGACTCAAAGAATGAAATGTCTCGATTCAAGGCACCAAATTCTAGAGGACATCAATTCAGAGGTTAATTACGCATCTGGGTTAATATACGTATGATCCCACTCAGCTTAACGAAGTTTGGACGGGAAATAAGGAAAGGCACAGAAAATCGAACATGACTGGACACCCTGAATACAGTCTACAAGCCGGCCCGTTTGGGGGATGCCGCACAGCCGAGTTAGCATAAGAGATCCCTATGAAACGGACGAGCATATTGCGAGGCTAGCTTAGTTGGACTCCATTCTAACAATATGTCCTGATGGTAGAGTTATTGAGCTCTTTTATTTGATCCTCTAGGCACTAGAATGTGTCGATAATTGGGTAATACTAGACTTGTTCGGATGCAGACCACGCAGCAGCAAAACTAATAATAGCCACTGGATTCAGCAGGCTAGCATTCGTATTATAGTGGACGGTGATAGATGATTGCATTACTAGCATCTCCAATAGTAAAGACGGACACTTCCGTTCTCCGACTAAATAGGGGAGCTTCTTACGTTTGTAAGAGTTTTACTTACCCACAGACTTGTATATAATAATATTCTTTCTGGGGGATTCAATACTCTATTGATGACTCTGCGTAGATCCTGTCTTGATTGATCTGTCTGTCTGCACTATTGTGTTGTGTGTAGTTATTTTATCTACGAGGAAGGGTTTTGTCACGGGATTTCAAGTGCAAAGTGAAGGACGAGAGTGCTCAAGCGAAACAAGCTGCCAGTCACCAGGTAGGTACCAATAGCGTAGTATAGGGGACTCAATAACGACAAGTTAATCGCTGCCCCCTCTAAAAGAAGAGGGGTCACAGCAGCCTAGTTATACATTTCCGACCCCTGTCCAGGCCAGGCCACTGTGGCTTATTTGCACCTGACAGGTTTTGACCCCGGCATAACCGTGGCTCAATCCCACACTTTCTCTGGTTTTCTTGTATTTCAGCAAGCTAATAGAGCGACGTCTGTACCTACTTTTCATGATGTACCTAAACATGTTAATAAGGCTGAAATTTCCGAGTACAACATAACCTTGTCCTCGCCGTCAGAATCATTATAGATATCAAATACTAGTTGTTACACGCAAAGGTGGTCAAAGATTTGTGAGGTTGTAAAAGCATGACATTCTATCTAGTCCTATGGAGCACGAAGGTTGGACTTAGTCCCGAAGGGCTAAGTCACGTGGTAACCTTGGTGGTCTTGGCAAAGCCCACCAAGGTTGCCTAACACTAGTTCTATCCTGGTATAAAGAAGTGTACTAAACCTACCACTAGTAATGGCTATTCAAGCTAGTCAGCGCTATATCCCTGCTTATTATAAGACATCACCGTGACGTAGTTAGTTTAGGTATAATTGTAGAAATCCTCATTATACGGTGGTTGATCCCCTTGCATATTCGGTAAATTAACGCGCCCATCTGCGGCAAGGGGTCACATGACCTAAAAAAGAGTCACGTGAAAAACAGCTACCGGAACTAGCCGAGTTTCCTCTGCAGACCAGATGACAGAACACGCACAACAGTCAATCGATTGCAATGAACAGTCACATAACCGTCACATCAAGGTCACACCGCAAGATGCGTGAATATATGACACGTAGGGTGCTACACGGCACATATTTCATTCTGGATAACCGGCGCTGCGATCTACCATCAAGTATATCGATTTTAGCGTCACGCATACGTGTTTTAGTTGAGATGTCCGTAGTCTGTAACGAGGATACCACACGTCTCACAATATAATAGTCAGGTAGTGCAAAGGGTAGCTAGAAGTAGGCCAGTGTATGGGTGCGTATATTGCAAGACTGTGGCCTGAAGAATCTAAACTAGGTGCGAGCGTCTCGAGTTCTCCTCTTAAGCTGGGCAGTTCCGGGGTTCTACCGGATCGGGGGCGAATCCCTCCCGACTCAGCTTGTCAGCTGAGACCGGCCCGCCACAACGGCTCTTTCCCTACATAGTCGCAGGTAGGGCTGAAGTAGAACAATACGTAGTTAAGTTTTCTTATCAATTAGACGCGTAGCTGTGCCGTTATATGGGAAATAGTAATGGGGATGCATAGGTTCGCGTCGCGTCGCGGAGTAGGCGATTAAGTAAGGTAGCCGCAGATGGGTACGTGAATATCGGCGCCCTTCTCTAGGAGTAGCTGTATGATCTTCTCGTCGCCTCTTATCGACGCCGCCTGTAAAGCCGTCCCGTAATGTCCAGCTTGTACGTGAATATCGGCGCCCTTCTCGAGGAGTAGCTTTACGATCTTCTCGTGGCCTCCGAATGACGCCGCCTGTAAAGCCGTCTCGAAATGTCCAGCTTGTACGTGAACAACCGGTTATGCTGCTCAATAGCTCATTGGACCAATGGAGTATCGAGCGATGTCAGTGGAATAACCTTTTACATGCCCATATGCATACCGTTCATCCCGTTCATGCCTTGCTGCTGCTGGTGTTGCTGCTGTTGTTGCATCATCGCCATTTGGGCCTGATGATTCCTCACAGCCAACTGCTGCTGCATCCACTCCCCGGCCTTAGTACGGCATTGCCGCTTGAAGTTGTCATGTGCCTCGGGGGGAACGTTCTGTATATCACCAAACTGCGCCGCCCACTTGCCCACGTTCTGCTGGTAGAGTTGCTGAGTCTTTTGAATAATCAGTTGCATATTCCGTTGCAAAGCAATTCCGTACTGTCCAGCTTGTACGTGAATATCGGCGCCCTTCTCGAGGAGTAGCTGTACGATCTTCTCGTGGCCTCTGAATGACGCCGCCTGTAAAGCCGTCCCGAAATGTCCAGCTTGTACGTGAATATCGGCGCCCTTCTCGAGGAGTAGCTGTATGATCTTCTCGTCGCCTCTTATCGACGCCGCCTGTAAAACCGTCCCGTACCTCTCCAGCTTGTACGTGAATATCGGCACCGTTCTCGAGGAGTAGCTGTACGATCTTCTCATGGCCTCCGTACGACGCCGCCTGTAAAGCCGTCCCGTAATGTCCAGCTTGTACGTGAATATCGGCGCCCTTCTCGAGGAGTAGCTGTACGATCTTCTCGTGGCCTCCGTACGACGCCGCCTGTAAAGCCGTCCCGTAATGTCCAGCTTGTACGTGAATATCGGCGCCCTTCTTGAGGAGTAGCTGTACGATCTTCTCGTGGCCTCTGAATGACGCCGCCTGTAAAGCCGTCCCGAAATGTCCAGAAAAGGGATGCCCAAAGACTGCAACATCAGTGTGGGCGTCGCCGCCTTCGCAACCAGTCCCCATGTTGCTTTTCTTTACACCGATGTCAACAGTAACAAAACCTATGTTTTGTCTACGAAGGGATGCTTTTCAACGCTTCTGCCATCTGGAAAAAAGAATCCAAAACTGAACCTGGAAACCAACTGGGAAGACCTGCCCCAGACTTCATACGAGAACCTAACGCGGATATCCGTACCGAAACCACAAACACTGGGGGAAGACGAGCTTAAACTCCAAGGAAGCACCACGATCAACTTCAGATCACTCCTCTCCCAGGAGAACATAGATGAATCTTTGATGAAACAGATTCTGGAAAACGAAGACAACATGAGGACGCTTGCGATAACGGCCAAGACCAGAGGCGAGACGAGCAAGTTTTCCCATTGGCTGGACAAAGTCGATGCTCAATTGCAAGGAAAGCAACACGACAACGGAGATGACATGGAACTAGGGAAAGCGTCGTACAGCAGGTATTGGGAACACGTCCCTAGAGTAGTCCCCAAGCCAGCGGGATCATTGCACGTATTCTATAACGGTCGTCAGGACCAAAAGAACAACCCATGGGACGAATTAGAATTTTCAGAGGACGAAGAGGCTCTACCGCACCAGAGACATCCAAATGTGTTAGTGTCGCAAGACATACCAGGGCCAAATACGCTGGTCGGCGGGTTCAGACCTGCGGATCAGGCCGGCGATGAGGTCATCTATCGTTCAGTAACGAACCGAATGCGGGCAATAGCCTTGACTGATTGTGGCGATGCAGACTCCATGAGCTCCATTGGCGATGATTACGATCTCCAAGAGGCAAGGGCACAAACGCAGATTTCGAAACCATCGCGACGTAAACATCGAGGAGGCGGTGCATTGCCCGGTCCGTCTCAAGGGTCGGAACTGAAGTCTTGCCCTGGCTTTCTAAAGCCAACAAATGCCAATGATTTCTTCTCCGGAGAATGTGCAGTATGTTCTGCTAACGGATGTGTATTAACGCTGGCTCTTGAGCCCTTTTTGGCGTCGCATTCGAAAACGGAGAACTTTCCCGAGGTGGACAGTTTTTCTAAACAGCTTTACCCTCTCGCCTTAGGCAATTATCCCGAGAGAGACATTTTGTCAGACAGTCTTGTCTGCGATAACTGCCGGTGCGCTTCAGGCAAACCGACGAGTTCCTCGGTTATCATGCCATTAGTTTCGTACAGCCACAACCGTGGGGCTTGGCTCGAAACGATCAACCAGGCCACGGGAAGGCGCTTCGACAAGTCCGACCTCCCTCTCATATGGCTGGCTATCGTATATACCAAATTGGAAAACCTCGCCCTTAATACTGAGGCTAGCTTTAGCAAGTATTATCGGGAGGCGCTCGAGTGGGAATGTAGCATGACTCAGTCCTCGGTCCAACTTCAAGCGCCCTCAATTCAGAAAGGGATGCCGCATGATCTGGACAGGGGAATCATCCAAGATGCGGTTCTACTCAGCTTCCGAGATGCCTTGGTGAAAGATAAGGTACCAATATTTCTTTACTACCCCATTGAAGGCTTCATCGTTGCCAATGCCATTCTTTCCAACTCACGACGCAGCGGGGCACTTGGGTCGGACAAACTGAGAAGAGTAGTCTTGATGCGGTTTCTATTCCACATCGTTGAATCACTTCACCGCATCGATTATCCAACCGGGGAAATCCGACAGTCCATGATCAAGTTGTTGCTCATCCGCGACGACGAGCGAGGATCGCGTAGTCCCTTACGTTGGAGCTCCTCAATACGCAAGATCTCCGGGTACCTAACGGCGCATGACAGTAGTCTCGGGAAAAGATCCACCACGTCACTTCTGACGGTGGTGGCACAGAGCGCATACAAGGTTACAATATCTGTCGCGGAGCTGGTGGCTACAGATCTAGTCAGCACCGAGGATCTGGCGAGTTTCCAGAGGCTGGGACACCTATTCAGCTGGATCCAAGATGGCAGTGCTGGCCATGCTCTTGCCGTCTTCGTCCATTATATGCTTCGAATGAACGGCGAAGAATCTGAGCCATTAGCTCACTTTCAAGTTATCTTGGCGCAGCCCGAGATCCAAAACGCATTTTCACAGCCAGAATTGCTCAGCGCGCGTGGTGTGGTGCAAAGAATCAAGGCCCTTCCTAGCTGCGAGGAGTAGCCATGGGTGTTCACGAAGATATATGAATGGTGCGGCAACAAGCTGCTGGTGATTTTCTAATCTGATGCTTAACATCAAGTACATTTCGTTTTTTTCAAGGACTTCCCCGAGAGCCTTTTTATGGGATTTGTTCGTTTAAGGGCATCTTGGATTTAAATCTCTCTTGATTTTCCACTCGAATGAGATGTCCCTAAACCTTCAACCAGTAACACTGTCAACAGGCCTTATCGAAAACCGCTTAAGTATTGGAACATACAGTAGTTAAGAATAGCCATGGAAGTCGACAGCTGTTCTAGGCCCCTGATCCTCTGTAGGGTGTTTTTTTAGACCACTTTGTACTACAAGTACTAAAGAATATCAGTCACATTCATGACTGCGAGGTGCAAGGCAGTAAACCCCTACTACAGTAGATCTCAAGCTTTTAAGTGAGGAAATGCCGGAGACCTGCTGGATAGGCCATGTCGGAGAGCGCCACGGAGTCATTTCTTCGCGCACATTTCATCAGGATCTTTGTGGAATGGCTACCGTTATGTCCATATCGAAACTTGCCACTGCCATCAGGGCTGAAAATAGGCGGATAATAGCGCTTTATGCTGACCGGAAGCTCCAGATTGAGATCCGAAACTTAAGACCGTCTGTAGGCACTTTACTCGCTACCAGACCAAAGCAAGTAGAGAACACCGAAGTTTGAGTCAGCAAATATCGGTGCGGCTGGTGGGATGGCTACGTCAGTCGTCCCAGCCAACGCTAAGGTCAGCCCACGATCTCATCCGCTGAGCTATCTCGAGCACCAGCTCGTTTGAGAGGCGTGGAGCTGAGCCATCAAGTGGGCTGTCGTTGCTAGGGTCCTATCAACACATCACTTGCAGCAGATACCGAACAGAGGAGTAACACAACTTCGGAACCTGCAATGTCGCTTGACGACATGGCTAAAACTGAAAGATTTGTATCTTAAGAAACAGATCCTGCAGATAAAAATTGAAAACGATGGAAGTTGGGACAGATTCACGAAGTAGCCCCTGGGGGCTGATGTCGCTTGTTGGTTCGAAGGTAAAGCAACATTCGCCAGCCAATCATATTTATTAATTCCTCCTTGGGACCCCGGACAACTGCATAGACTATACTGAAGATGTAACACACCCCTGCCTGAGTCCAAAGCTGCAGATGTCCCGCTTTTACGTTGATGGCACACTGGATGAGCCTAATCACTGACATATTGTTGTGACAGTTTTATAATAAGACTTCGTACATGTGTTTCACTCATATCTGAGACTACCACAGTCTGGTCACACTATTTGACAGAATCACGCTATACCGCTTTAAGTATACGACTTGACACTGGAGTATACGTGCCAATCATCGGAAGTTGCAACACGACATAATTCTTGAGCCATACACCAAGTGGGGGGATTATATAGCAAAATGAAGTGATTCCCTCTTTGGCAATTTGTTTACCTGGCCGTGTTGTGAAAGCATTGCATTTTCAAGAAATCACTGATTCAAGACCAGTCACGGTCTTTATGCATATTTTGTTTTATTTTCCGTTCCTATTTGGTACCCTTTTGAGTTTCCTCCTTTTGTTCGTCGTCTACGTCAGTGCCAAGGCTATAAATTTATCCTTACTTCCTATGTTTTCCGAACATTCGCAGTGGGCGTGTTTCTCGTGTATGAGAAGTCCAGATCTTCAACAACTGTTGAAGATCAGTAATTAGTATTAATTCACGCTGTGGTCCAGACGAGACTTCACACGAATCGAACAATTGACGGCCAATGTACACGTACAATTTTGCGTTGATACATGGCGAGCGTGAACCAAGGACGCCTTCATGGTGTGCACAACCCTCCCAAAACAAAAATAAGACTCCTCTATTTTTTATATTACACGACCGTTGTGCTGCCTAAGAAAAATTGGCTCCCGCCACCAGATGGAAGCCCAGGGGTATCATCCGGATCTCGTCCTATCTACCTCCTATGATTTGTCCATGCCCATATTCTTACAACTCTGCGTATAGAAACGCGATGGTCTAGCTCTCTGAATAGCTATAACCAGGACTTACATCTAGCCCTTATGAGAAAAAGCATCACGAATTGCTCTTCTTCAGGGCAACTAGGTATTCCATCTGAGCTAACCATTTCCGTGCGAACTCTTCCTCCGTGAATCTCGTTGCCGAGATGCGAGCTCGTCGTCTGACGGATAGGGGGTCTGGAAGCGAGAGCGCCTTCTCAAAGCCCTCAGCGAATTCTGTTGAGGTTGTTGCATGGAAGCCTATCCAATATTAGCGAACACGTGCCTACGAGTTTTCAAAGCGTGGACAGAGGACGACAGGAGCGGGATCATTAATAGTGGGAACTGGCGTACCTGTGGGCTCACCGTCGACTTCAGTGACGATGTCGATCTTGGGGCCCCCGCTGTCATGCACAACGCAGATTAAGCCCGCAGCTTGGTACTCAACGACGCCGATGCCGAAGTGTTCGTTCCACATGCCATTTACTCCAACGTACGCCTTGCTCAACCACTGCAGGATATCGGGCCAACTAGCATTGAGCTGGAAGATAACCTGGTCTTTGATGTGCAGTTCATTAACCAGCAATCTCAACTGGTAGACACGTTTCGAGTCGGCATCATCGCGGACACTACCCACGAGGACAAGCTTAGCGTCTTTGGAGGCTTCACCCCCGCTTGCTACAAACTCGGCGAAAGCGTTGAGTATGAGAGTATGATTCTTCTCGGGTCGGAACTGCGCGATGTATACCAGGACCTTCTCACGACGCTCCTCGTTTGCCTCATCGACCGGGATTTGGGCCTCGAGCTCGCGAACGGCGCATGGTGGATATACAACGGCAATGGGGTGGTCCTTCTTCCTTGCTTCTCGGCGTGGTCCCCAAAGCTTCTTGATATGGCCCTGTGTCCAGGTTGAATTCGTCATGACGGCGTCAACGGAGGCACCCATCCAGGAGTAGATGGCAGCGAAAGCTTTCCAGTAGTTGCGCTTGGCCATACCCTTTGCGCCAACCCCTTTGCCGGCGTTCACACCTTGGCCGCCAACCGATGTGCTTGGGTCGAGGGAATCCAACATGTCGGTGGATATAGTGGGGTAGTGTACATACGCGCCGGTTGGCATGTCTGGGAACAGCATCTTGCTCAGGCCAAGCACGAAAGCGTAGCCCATGGTGTCGATGAAGATGTCGGGTACCAGGAGCGAAAAGGCATCCCATCCCAGGATCAAGGAGCCTAGAGATTGCCCTAGCAATGTGACGTGTGGCCAGGTGGAAGGAAGGACCCAGTGTCGCGTCGATAGGTAGAGGAAGGTGATCGTGGGTGGGTGAATGTGTATACTAAATGTATTCTGCAAGTTGTCAGTTGGTGGTTTGAGCTAGGTGCCAAGTGGGGATACTCGAACATACCTCGACTCTCGAGAGCATCTTCTCCTTTGTCACTTCGTGGTCGCCGGTGTACACGACACACCTCGCCTTGGGCCATCTCTTCTGTGTAGCGCGAATCGCAGCCCACAGAACTCGTTCGCCTCCACCACCAGCATTGCAAAAGGGATGAAAGAATGCGACAATGCCATCCCAGTCCTGTTCACCCTTCTCTCCATTTTGCGCAGTGCCGACCGAAACTCCGCCCTCAATAGTCTCCCAGTCACGCAGACTATTGTTACTACTACCGCCACTGTGCTGGCTAGAGTTCTTCTCCTGGAAGATTTTCTCGTTGTCCTCAGTGATTCGTAAGATCAAAGCCCGGCGACCATCTGTCTTGCGTCGCAGGTACCAGCCTAGTGTTATGCCCACGGTCTGCGATATGATTCGGAAGAGGAGCGGGAGGCCGTAGTTCCAGAAGACTAATGCAACAAAGGGCGTGCTTACGACGGCAAGTGCCGTAAACACGAGCATCGAAGATGCCATGCTGCGATGAAGAGCTTGTTTGTTGCGACCTGTGTCACTGGAAGGAGCGTGGTGAATTCGGTAGGTACGGGCGTGAAGTGAAGCTGCACTGGAGTCGTGAATGAGTGGATCTGCATGCACGAGTGTGTGCAGGCGAACTGCTCGTTAGATTTGGTGGTCTAGGCAGTAAATCTAATGCTCTGCCTGGGATACCACAGAACAATTTACCGGGACATGAACCCATGGATTCCGGTCAGACGGAGAATTGGGCGAAGGGATAGTGTCGAATGTGGTCACCAGTTGAATCAGAGTTCGAACGGGATGTTCCAGAAGCCGCCGAAGCAGCTCTGGAACTGACCTGCTGACCCACTAATGTGGCTTGACGTCGCTCGGTGTGCACGGACCCCTGAACCACGGACGGCAAGTGGACCTGGGAAATTCATGTTGAACGCCCACCGGAGAATTTAGTTCAAGATTCGTGAGCCTCCACAGCAGCATGGCAAGATCCTGGTAGCATGGCCCGTTATGAGCTCTTATACTCGTTTTGGCCCGCCCCAAGCGGCTAGGGTCTCTACACTGCTACGATCAAATCAACATCGACTTCGACCACTTTCGTCTCAACTCTCACCTTTGATCTCACAGCCAAGGAGGCTCACCCCACAACCAATCATCTCACAACGGCGCCCCTTCCATTCTGAACTCGTCAACACAGCTGTTGGCGCAACCCAAACAGCTCTCCTCTCTTTCCACTCCGTGGTTGGGCCGTGGTCTCTAACTATTCCCCTCATTGCCCTCACCGTCAACATACTCTTCCGCCTTCCATGGACCGCCTACACGCAAATCATTGTTCGCCGGCGCGAGCGTGTCAGCCCAGTCCTACAAGCATGGAATGTGCGTATTCGGGCAGATCTGAGCAAGAGGCGGATCCCTCCTGGCCGGGTGGTGATTGAACATAAAGACAGACACGCCAAAGTGACTAAGAGAATCTACAAGGAATTAGGATTGCAAAATTGGCGCCTGTACTTGACGATGCTTAACATCCCGTTCTTCGTTCTCGGTCTGGATGGCATGAGACGGCTGTGTGGTGGACCGACAGGCTTGCTGGGGAAACTATTCACGGGTGGTGTGGATGTTTCCAAGACGACGACGACGACGAATGACGCGGCATCGGCCGCTAAAATAACCACAGAGGCCACCAAAGCCGGCGAGGACTCGGCAGCGACTTTGGTAGATTCAACAGCTGAAACGGCAACAGAGGTTGTCAGTGGGGCCACCAACTCCGGCATTGAGCCCAGCCTCATGACCGAAGGCATGCTTTGGTTCCCTGACTTAACAGCCGCAGACCCCTACGCCATCGTTCCAATGGCGCTGTCTGCCATGCTTGTATTAAACATGCTGCCCAAGACCAAGGAAAGGAGGGACATACTGTTCTCGCTCCCCGCTTCTCCTCCACCGGGCCTCGACGGCATTGCGGCCCCTGGGATCACCCAAAAAGACGAAAAGCCGAGTTGGCGACGAGCAATACCCCGGGGTTTGATAATTCTGGCAGGACTCATTGGGCCTTTAACAATGAACATGCCGGTGGCACTGCATTTATACTGGCTCTCCAGTTCGGCTGTTAACTTTGGGCTGGGGAAGTTGTTGAATTGGTACCTGCCTATTGGAAAGGGGGCGGTCCGGAGATGTGCGGGAACTGAGGGATTTTTCATTCTACCGAAACGAAGCAAAAAGACTGAAGGAAGAGAGTGCACCTAGGTCGGACTTGTAGAGGATACTGGAGACTGTGTTCATAAGTTAGTTGTATATGTAAAATAGCGGTATCATGTGTCAGCAGTAGAGCCATACCAGCTTGGTGTCTGTTGAATCAATTGGAGTGATAGAGATAACAGCGCTTTACCGGGTGGGAAGGTACAGTTACTAGCATTGGTGACTTTCATGGCAATCACCCAGGTTCCCGAGTTACTCTCAAGACTGAGGATGAATTGCACAAATTAGCCACGACCGGCAGCAAGCCTTTCAGACAAAACCTGTCCTTGTTTCTATTGTCTCACGTTATATCATCATTAGCTTATTGAAAAGCAGTTCTCATTAAAATAGACCTGGCGAATGAAACCCGACTCCAAACTCCCTGAATGCGGTTGCTGAATGTCCTACAAGCCCCTTTCCACTTCCAATTCGTACAAATCAGGGATTTCTCATCCCAGGAACACAGCCAGCAGGACAATAGTCAATATGACCGCCAGAATCAGCAGCAAACAGCAAGCCTTGCTCCGAGCGTTCTTCTGATACCGCGCCGCGCTCCTCAGCTCGTAGTCCGCACCCTGCGTATCGTCCCGCACCTGGATGGCCCGATCCTCGATACCGACTAGCTGCTCGCCCTGCTCGTTGACAATCGTCGCCACCTGCCTAAACAGCACATTCAAGTCCGTGACGCCCTCCTCGATCTGCCGGATCTCCTCCTCACGCTCCTGGATCAGTGCATCCTGGAAATCCACCTCATCCTGCGCCGCTAGGTGCTGGTCCTGCTGTTGCAACTGCAACAACTCCCCATGCTCGCCGCTGCCTCGGCCTTCCCCACCGCCGGGTGATTGCGCATCGTCGAGCGCGGCCTTGGCCGCGCTCACGCTCGCGCGCTGCTTTTCGAGCGCTACCCGCTGCAAGCCTTGGAACTCCTTGAGGCTCGTGCCGAACTCGCGTGTGATCTTCTGCTGGCTGTACTTTTGGCTGGGCGTGATGTCGTTGCCGCCGTCGCTGTCGCCCCACTTCTGCAGCTTCTTGACGCCCTCGCCTACCTCCTTGAATTGGTCGCGCGACTCGTCCAGCAGCTTCTGTACACGCTCACGCAATCGGGGGTTGTCCTGCCGTGTGCCTAGGCGGTCGATCTCGTTGCGCAGCTTGGCATTGTTGCCTTGCAGGTGGAAGAGCTTGTTCGAGAGATTTTGGGATAGGCGCGAGAAGTCGGGGCTGTCGGAGTAGGCACCGCCACTGGAGCCGTTGTTGCGGCCTGAGCCGGACTCCAGAGAGGAGAGTTGATCGAAGGACATTGTGGTTCACCTATGGTCTAATGGATGTTCTAATGGAGAGTGATGAGTGGTAGGTAATGAGAGGGTGGTTGAGGGAAATGAATTGGTCTTGATTTTGAGGAACATCGAATCGGCAAGCCTCTAACCTAGATTGAATGTTAGATGCGGCGGGTGTTACGTAGTTGCACCGCCACAACGTTCGCAGCGACAGGCAGCCCAATTTCTTTAAACGTGTACCTTGTATGTATATAGCGGGGCTTCCATCCAAACGAATTTGGTGCCTGGGGCGCGGTCGGGTTGCTTCCCAAGCGCGCTGGAAGCTTTGAACATTTTTATTTACTTACATGTCAGGCCCCAGACAGCATTTCATCATCCCTTCGTCTACGACAAGAGTTCCAGCAGCTCACCACCAGCAAAACCCATCCGGCTTTGAGCCATGCAATGATTCGATCTTAGACTGGAGCTGCAATAATGGCTCCCCCAACCGTGCGAAGGGCACCCTACAGAGACTTTCTGCAGCCCACTTTGCAGAGACGCTTCGCCTCGACCGCCCTGGTTCTGCTAGCTGTCGCATACGTTGAGTCGCTTTTGTTGTCCCCGTGGAACTCTTGTATGTACATTGTTCACCCTGCGGCGGAGTACTCCTTACTGACCTTTTATTCAGTCCTTTGGTCATGGTTTCCGATTGGCCCTGCAGGTCTGCGCACCCTCATAATCTTCAGCTGCACCATCTTCATCGTCATACTGCGCATAGCGCACCCCCACCTCGGTCTACGAACCACGAACTCTCCCATCAGCACGTTTTACCAACATGCACCCTCGCTCGCTACCTCCGAGACGATCCTCACCTATACCATCTCGGCTTTCCTCTTCAGTCAGGTCTATCTCTTCTCCATAGGTGAAAAGGCGAACCTGCAATGGATCGTATACCACAGCGGTGATCGAGCCCGCGTGAACGAGCGCGCTCTGTTCTATACCGTCAGTCTCTCACTTTTGGGGCTCTTCGAAGGATTCATGCATCTCTTCTTGGACTATGACCGCCTAATTCTCGGGGCAGTCAAGGCAAGAAGTGAGAAGACAGCTGGCGCATCGCCACCGAAGGCAGAAGACCCGTTTGAGAAGCTACTCAAACAGGCACCTGTCTTGTTGATACGATCCATCACAACATCAATTACTATCGCGTGGACCAATTACATCGTCGGCTATTCCTTGCTGCGGGGATCGGCTTGGGGCTGGGCCATGACATTCTTGCGCCCGTTCTACAATCTTCCCAAATCAAATATCCCGCCTAGCTCCGCGCCGTGGAGCTTTTGGATGCTCTGGCGGTCAATCTTGGCTGGGACTTTATTGTGTCTGTTGTGGAATTTCAGTAACACGGCCTTCACTTATCGACTGGCAAAGGAGCCGGTCAAAAATGGCAAGCCGCTCACGGCCGAGTCTAAAGACCCCAATGGCAGTTTACTAAATGGGTTGAAGAGCAAGAAGCCACGCATTGCGGTAAGTTTTCCCGCCCATGAACATCAAACATTTCTCAGCTGACCTGAAAAGGCCTTCGCAATGTGGGAACTAGCGTTGATAGCCCGCGACTACGATGAGAGACGGAAAGCCATTTTTGAGGACATTGACCGCAAAGATGGTCCCATGTGGTCACAGATCTATGCGCTCTGTCTAGAAACGATCAAGACACTCGAGCAGCGTGTCGACGCATATAGCAAGCCTGCTGCCACAGAACAGATCGCACCCACCAAACCAGAAGAGAAGCGAAAACACATTGTTGAGCCACCTTCCAGTGCAGACGTGTGGCTCAAGGCCCAGCCACCATCGTCCTATCGCGGCTCTCTTGGCAAATTTGTAAATGACGTCGTGCGCTCACCGGGCAAGAAGCCATCCGAGACAGTGGTTCCGTTTGCCATGAAGACTGTTGCAGAAGTCAAGGACCACCTGCTCACAAAACAGCAGCAGGAGCACCTAAATCCCGAGAGCATTTTTGGCGCTGCACAGTCAATCATCCAGTACTTGGTGCAGGTACCGTACGTCGGCTACCTCTTCCGCCAACCTTATTCTAACAGACTGGCAACTGCTGTCTTGGGCACACCTTATGGGGATGCAAGTCTTTATATTAACTCGGTCTTTGCGCTCAGCCAACTCGCAGTAAAGAGTCTGGCCGAGGACAAATACGGAAACGTTCACCGAGATGTCCCCGCTATTATTCGGACGATAACCACCGTTGTGAAGAAACTCGAGGTGTTCGAGGAGAATATCCCTATCCACTGGACGGATACGACGGGACAGCGAAGATGCGAGCCAGTGGAGGCAGTCTTGGACGCACTGAAGGACGCCCTCGCCAGAGTTGTGGAAGCTTTTGAGCCGTACGGATCCGACTTGAGACTGACGAGAACGGACTTCAGACTTGCAAAGGAGGCTGCAGAAAAGAAGCAAAGAGCCCCAGAATTGGCACGGGTTGAAGGCAAAGAGCAGGAGATGGACGCAAAGCGGGAGGAGCCGGAGACCGGCAGGCGGCGTCAGAGAACACCTGAAATGAGGCAGTTGAGCTAGTGGCTCGAAGGTTTCGACTGGCATGTAACTCACCGTGTGGTGCAAGTCTTCTCGATCACCAGTTTCTACGTTGCTCTTTGGCGGTTCACTGAAGTTGACATAGACCTCTTGGCCTGGCCGCTTGTCTTGCCGACAGGATGGGCTGTGTTGAGGCTGGCGACGTGGATCTCGAGAAGCGACGCGGTTGTGATAAGGCGATTGAATGAAGTGGCCCTCTAATGGACTACGATGTGGCTTCATAGAGCTCCCCGCAGCAAGACGCGCAATCCGCAAACAGCAGCGCGACCATGCCTTTCGACTGCCAATAAATCGCAGTTGGGTGGTATATCCAGGTCCTGTCATAATACGGAAACATGCAATGAGATAACGTGTAAATTGGCTCTAATCTTGATGTGATCTATGCCCATCCTTCATTGTTTGTGCACCAAAAAGCCTTGTCAATTATTCATTGTACAAATTACCGTGGTGCTACACCATGGTGCTATTTCCACAAGACGTAACTGGATCTTCTCCAGGCCTCTCATCAAATCGTCAGCTCACCCAGGTCGGGCAACAGCGGGGAAACATTGGACAAGGCGACCAATGAGGCGGCAAGCGCAAGCTGCGCAACCCCGGCAAAAGGCGGATATTGAACAGTCGCATCCTGGCACTGCCAATTTAAAGACGTCAACGGCCCGCCCTCGATCGTACTCCCCCCCCCCCCCGATTCCTGAAATCAGCTTTCGTGCATCTTTCTCCCCGTCTTAATATCCAGCGTCACCCTCTTTTTAATTCGGCACGTATACGTGTCCGGCCCAAATGTCTTTTCTACCGTCTATTCGTTGATCGTATTCCCTACTGCACCCTATGTTCTAATTCGTACAGCTTAATGTGGACGAGAATAAGATGCCTCGAGGCTGCAGCACCATTGTCTCGTTTCAACACCTGCGATCGTCGACATCTCGATATCGACCATCTGATCGATACCGTACTGTACACTTTAATACCAATCCGCGCCGTTGCGGTTTCGAACTCCATCCCATACCATCTCGCGAACCGAATCTGAACACGCCATGACAATTACTTCGCTACCTCTAATCTACCGAGTCTAGCGAGTTGGGAAGAAGGCGAGGAGCAGCAGAATGTCAACACCCCGACTCATCTTCCGCATATTTTACTCGCTTATCTACACATTCTTTTGTCTACTGTTGGCCGCCTTGATCCTCATCACCCCTGCCGATGCCGTCGTCCAAGCTATCCGCGGTACCTTTACATACAACAACGTCGTCATCATCTGCATCGTCTACTTGGTCACAACACTCGTTGTCTTGTTCGTCTACTCGCTCAGGCTGTACATCACGAGAACTGTCTTGGCCGGTATCCCGAAACAATGGATTCCGATCGGGAAGGGCGACGTGCGCAAGGATGTAAGGAACATGATTATACGCGACATCGGAAGGAGTGCGGCTATCGCTTATGCCGCGCGACCAAAGATTGGCGACCACGACTGGCATGATTGGAATAAGGGAGACGGTTGGGAAGGTGAGAGCATGCTGCAGGACATACCGGAGGAACAGGGTGACCTCGGACCTTCCACTCCCAGCCGTACCGGCAGTCCAGTTGAAAATGAAAGGTACTCGTCCACAACCCGTCCAAAATCTTTTGGTCGGCAGTCAACAACGATAACGCCGTCGCTAGAGAAAGACCAAGGCCTTCTCACCGTTCCTTCAATCTCCACATTCCTTCCGGGCCCCAGCCTGAAGTTGGTCAAGAAACCCGTAAGCAAGACCTCAAACATTGAGGATGATATGGGCATCGCACTGCCACCCACACTACCTGTGTGGGGCAATGTCGACCATCCCGGCTGGGGCAGTCCCAACAGTCCCGACCTGCGAAATGTACAATACGGTACCGTGCTTGACGAATTACCAAACCTCATCGAAGCGAAGGCTGTGAGTCTCGCGCCGCCTGATCTGGAAGCCGGCGGGATTGGGGCCGGAGCAACGCTGAATATGGAGGCGGTCGACGTGCTTGGACGGAGTCTCAATATGAGCATGCGTGATTATGTGGTGCACCTAACGGGTTTGGACGTGTTACCCTCAGCGTCGACGGACGAACAACCAGGCATTACCAGGGATATCTCCGAGTTCCTTGATACCTACGAGCGCGCACGATTTTCGGGGCGACCAATGACGAGCGACAGATTCAGGCGATTGATGCAATTGTTTGCCGAACTGCTGCGCGCCATGCGGCCTCTTGATCCTGCAGTCCTGGATACGCTCGATCAGATGGGCAGTGTCGACATGTACAGTGGTAGCGACGAGAGCGGAGGGAACATCGACGACGATGCCCCAAGAGACACGAGGACGGCGAGTCTCATCTCGGGTCAAAGCTCTGCTCGCAACTTTTCCGACAGGTGGAGTTTCTCAAGCTCAACCGGGAGCAAAGCAAGTAATTTAGGTAAGATTGACAAGCATCGGCAACGGCGACCGAGTCTACTACCCAGGAATTCGTCATATGGCACCGCACCGACAACACCGAAGAGCACGCGCAACTCTGGACTCTCAATATCTAATCGCCCAGCTATGGAGAGGAATCCCAGCACAAAGAGCGACTCGACTGACACCTGCGCGCAAACGAGACGGCCATTCGGTGCGTCGACTTTTAGTAGCGATGTGAACAGTCTCAGGTGGGGTAGCGGCGGAAGTCTGGGTAGTCGTCGGAGTGTGCGGAGTGTGCGGAGTGTGCGGAGTGATGGCAGTGGAGGTAGTGTAATCAGGCTCGCAAGAAGAGAGGACCAACTCAGCGGGGTGGATTTGCCGTACGTGCTGAGCGTGGGGGAAATGGTATGAATACCGAGCAGTTGGATATCGATTGTATGAATATCCTGGGAACTCGAATTGGTTGAAGCCTCAAACCGAGGAGTTTGATGAGAACCTCCCGATCCCTTTCGACGGTATCTGTACGAAGTAGTGTGCATTATTTTGGGCTGCGGCGTCATGGTACCGGCGTTCTCACAGATTAGAGCAGGCAACTGAAGTTGGTCATATGTTGCATCGCACGGTTGGGTATCGGCATGGAAGGGCACAGCATTGGTTGGTATACCAGTTTTTTCATATTTTCTAATCTAATCCTTTTTGTCTTGTCCATGCTGTCTCGAGCTGGAACATCTCAAAAACCCAACCCTGGGATGTCGCGACTCGTGAGCTGGTGGTGAGTTGATGGATGGGTGTCGGAATGAGCTTGGACAGAGGCATGGGGAATGAGTCGTTCGAGAAAGAATTAATCACCGAGAAACTACAGCTACACAAGAAAGCTGTATGCGAGGAGCGGTAAGCACCACCAAGTTGGCCCCTAAGCAGTGGGTGGTGTCCTCGGTGTTTTGTATGCTTCCGGCTAATAGGCAATGGAACAAAACATTGAACGGCAGAAGAAACCTTTCGTCCACGACAGGCCGACATTAGGGTATACCATTATCAAGAACCCCTATCACGGCCACGATCATGATGACAGTCGCGTTATATCAGCACCTCGAATGTACAAGGGCTCTCGGCCTGCATATGGTTCCGCTGTGTAGCGAACAATTAGCACGTGGCCGTTCTGTTTCGGGTCTGGCCTGCAAACGGACCACTATGCCAGCTGTATGTACCCTGTAAGCGACTTACACGAGATGTCGCTAGGTGCCATTGAGCCTCAACATAATCATGGCGAGTTCGTTGTCAACAGTTGCGCGACGCTCAGTAACACTCTGGTCAAAACCCTGGCCTCGGTATGGAAGTGCTGTGACCGGGTCGCCGCCACCATTCTTGGTTCCGATGTACTCGTTGACTTTGCGGATGGACCTATTTATCTTCTTCCTCGTGGAGGAGGATGGCGACGACGACTTGGAGGAGTGGTGGTGCTTGGGCTTGGTCGGGGCTTCTCTGTATTCACACCGTGTGTAAGCAGTGTTGGTGGCAATTGGCACCAACTAAAACCGATGACGATTAAGATGAGGTTAGACGGCATGCTGAAAGCCCTACAGACGTTGCTAGCTCCGACACATTTGAACCCGACTACGACGATCTTGGAGACTTCAAAGCCAGTCCCTTTGCGGCCGAACGACCGGATCGTGAGTGCTCATGTCGATGATGGCATTCGTTCTGTGTAGCATGGTCTCTTTCGTCCTTCACCACTGGCATTTGATCATGAGAAGATCAATGTCTACCGTCGGGCACACCTAAGTAGGTATGGACAATCCAAGTCCTCAATGGGGCAGTCGATGCAGTACGGTAGACCGCAGTCCGAGCTGAGAAGGAGCTCCTGCACGCTGTTGAGTTCGATGCATGCACTTGCTTCAAGCATGGCCAAGCCATGACGTCGACGTATGCCTTCCGACTTGGTTATTACCATGCCAGGACGTCGAAATATACACATGAACTCGGCCATGGCAGCCATGAAAGTCACATGTGGACTTGGACGCGACGACAAGGATATGCGTTTGGCTTCAGAGGAAGGAGGGCAAGGAGATGGGTTTGGTAAGAGAGTGGGCTCAGTCGGTCGGATCGATGATAGATGAATGGGACTCACCCGCCATACACGGCACGATGGGACGTGACACTGCCGTCTCGAATCGAGGACTCGGATGCTGATGGTCTGTATAAGACAGGTGTGAGTCAATAAGATCGAGCTCGTTACATGAGCAGAGTACGGTTCGCCATGTCCTTACTTACCTTTCCGTGGTAGCTGAAGTGTGAGAATGAATAAATGAACTCGTGCTTGCGACTCTACATGAGACCAGCGAAAGGCGATATGACAAAGATAGCCCGCATGTAATCGTCAAGGTCAGGATTCCCTCACAAAACTAAAGTAGGCCTATGGCTTTATAGCGAGTGATGCTTTCTCACACAGTGAGAGCAATGGGCAGCACTATTTGGTACTTCGCCTTTTATAGGCAACCTGCCGATTGATGCGAACCATACTGCGAACCATACTGCAGTCAACAGTCTTGAGACAACTGATTTGTGCGAACCATATTGCGATCAACAGTCTTGGGACAACCGATTCGTGCGAATCATATTGTGCTCCGCAGTCTTGGGACAATATCACGTATTTCTATGGTCGTAAGCATTTTCGAACGTCTTCTATCAGCTTGCATCGACTCCCAATACTATCTCCCAAAGCAGGCAGTTCGGTTGTTTTGGCATATGTAGATTCCAAAGTTTCACTATCGACAGATAAGTCGCATCTCGGCCGAAAAGGGATCGGCCTAAAGGAGGATGCCCCTAGCCTAGATGCCTGACGAAAATCCAGGATCAATACGAGTTATCTAGCGAAAGAGACTGGTAGTGAGGCGAAATCACCGGTAAAGAACTCAAATGCCGACCTGCCATGAACGCAGGCGATTATTGCTACGTGAAGTGGGGCGTACAGGGAATGCCTGAACGCGACAGGCGAGTTCTGGATGGAGAAATCCCCTCCTCTTCTTATCGATCCATGCATCTGACTATTTCAGACTCACTCAACGGCGGCTGCTTGGACTTATAAGCTTGCATCAAACACTTGTATTAATATGGCACAATGAAATCGATATATGTGCTAAGCCAACCAACCCATCTGCGGCCACAATACTCAACGGCCCATGCCAAAATCGCCAACTTCACGATATTTTAACACAACGTCACTCTATAAATACTAACTACAATATTCACCAATTTCTACCAATGTAACTAAACCACGTTTGAGACTAGGAATTGCCTATGGAGGCCACCACTGCCAAACGGACTTGACCGAAAGGTCCGACAATCTAATTCACTCTAACCTAATTGATGAAGCTCAGGGGTGCCACCAACACGAGCTGCAAATCTTTGCCATGCTGACCAATCATGGCGTGTGTTAGTCGCTCGCATGATTGGTTTTCGGAGAATTTAGATCTTGTGAGATGCGGGCATCCTGTGTCATCGGCCTAATAATTACATGATCTGCAGCTGTTCAGGATACGCCCCTGAGACCCCGGTGCGCTTAGTTCGCCAAATTATTTTTCCGTCGAATCACCTTGTCTAGAAGTTCGGAGGCAGACCTATACTACGTATGTTACTTAGACATGCATTAATTCTCCGAGTGACACACTTAGGACAGGGTCGTCCTCGGGATGACCCGCTCAACTGAGATCTGTTGATGACCTCGCCCAGTGAGCGGTCATTTGAAAGCTTATTGCTGATCACTCCAGGCTGCATATTGGAATCGATCCTTCAGGCATGAGCGAGGATAGTGCCATCCTCACGTTGACATGTAGTGCTGACCAAGGCGAGTCGACAGATATCCGAGTTGGTGGCATCTGCGGGAACACGCACCCGGATTGAATGAATATTCCGGTCTAAGACATCATGTTCTCTAGCTTTTTGGTAGTGAGTACGTTGGTGCGAAATTTAATTAGTAGTCTGTCAACTGTTCTTGCGAACATAGGTCTTGTATCTGTAGCTGGCATGGTTGTTTGCTGACACTCGTTCTGTATAAGAGTGCCCTGGGATGAACCCCGCACTTCGCAGGAGTTGCAGGGATAGACCTGTTGTACCGATCCCGACAAACAAACTGAGCACATTGCCTTCCTAACTTCATAGAACTCTTACCTTAGAAAATGGGCAAGTCTGATGGGTACTAGATATGCGACTGCTCTACTCATGTGGAGTATAATACACTCTAGTATCCAAGGGTTGTGGGTTTTCTCTATGTCAGTCAGCTACTCGGCTCGGTTTGTATTGCATAATGTGAGATTCGAGTTTTCTCATGATGTCCTCGATACATCCCATTTCTTCTATCTCCCAGGCCGTGAGCTTGAGGTAGACCTGGTCGGCAGAGAGGGCAGGTACTTTGAAGGCATGCTTTACAGAAGCGGCAGAAGATGATTTATAGACAAGTGAGTAGCTGAAGAATGCTCGTTGCAGACGCCCAGTTCGGCTGCAGAGACCTCATACAGCTTGACAGAATAATGATGGTCGAGCTTCGTCAGGGAAGGCTCCCGTTCTTTCTCAATGACAAATTCGATATAGCTTGAGATGAGAGTAGTCATGGTCGAATGTATTCGGTGCAGACGGATTATGTTTCGGGTTTTCTCTGGGGTAGCCCATGTTGGGAGGGTTGGTCCTTGAGAAAGGGCGACACTTTTGACTCCCACTTCGTCACCCTGGAGGTTTGCGGCTTAGATGCCTTTAAAGCCGCAGACTCGGGCATGTTGGAGCCTGCAGGGTAGATATTGCCTTTCTGCTTGAGAAGGGGACCACCGGTTATATCGACTTCCTCCTCTTCATTGATAACAGCCAGTATCGTAGGCAAGCACGATATGAGGGTTATATATTTGAACAGAAGGAATAAATAGTGGATTTGGCGACATGTGAACTTTTGGTGAGAGGACCATGAATGAAAAAGGAATGAGTTAAAACTAGACATACCCAGCAATGAAACAAGGACAGTACAACGCGCCTAAAGCAGCATTAAAAGCTTCGGGGCGAATAGCATTGGCGATCACTCGGAACATGACCCAGCGTCGTGTTGCCACAAATGCAAAAAGAAGGGTCGTGATGCTTAAATGGCTGCATGGAGGCCCTTCGGGTCGTCCAAATAGGCGATAATCTTTGCCGGTATATTGGCGGCCATTACCTTTCTCTTGGCAGTAAGTTTCTTGTATCCACTCGCATGAGAGTGGGTTAGAAGATTATTGGAGTGATCTGATTTTAGGACGACATTCGTAGCGCCCTTGGCGACCAGCGGCTTGAGGTCCGTAGCTTGAAACTTGGTGGGATGTGGATCGTGCTCCGTAGGTCGGCGCTTGACTGAGCACGTAATAGGGTCAGTCGCCCGGCGCTTCGGGGATAGAATCGACATGGTGAAGGTTGCAATACGGGCGAGAAGACGGGGTTGGAAGGACATATGTAGTGAGTGGGTAAGGACTGAGATGCATTGTTATTAGTGGAATGATATGTTTTCCAAGGGGTAATTTGAGGCTTTTGATTTAGTGAAAGGATTTCTTGTTGGTTTAGTAAATAAATTTCAGTAGGCTAAAGAAGGGCCTCATGGAGTCGTTGTGACCTCGATGTGAACTTCGACACAACAGATGGTGAAATACCAACCACCACAGCCCTGTAGATGGAATGAATGCTCTTACCCCGACGGAAGTGGCGCAAGAAAAGGAAAAGCTAGCCAGCCAGTAGTCACGCCTCCAGAGGGATGTTTTTGTGTTAGTTGATGTTGTCTGAGTACCTTGGCGCCATGGAATTAGGTGTGCAATTCATTGAGCGGCTTCTCAAGTAAGGTTGAAAAGCTTGTTCTCAAATCGGGTATCAAGCAGTTCCAGTTTGTAGGAAAGGATTCTTGGGTCTGGGAAACTACAGGAATTGCCGATTTGAGTGACTGACATTGCCTGGTGGGTGTCATCGGGGTGAATAGAGCAAACTAAGCCAGCCGCCACATGCTAGTATCTTTATCACTAACTTATATGTAGGGATCTATGTACAATACCAAACAATCGATTTAAACGATCGAAAAACAACGCAAAGATATACCCTTAATTGTTCTCGCCTATATCATATGATTGTTGATTCCAGTCTGATTCTGACGATATAGAAGAAAATTGAAGACCAGCCTTCTTTCGCTCGGTGCGCTACTGGGAAGGATTCCTCCAATAGGCCATCGCGGTAACTGGATCGCCGCCACCCTTCACCGTGTTCATATACTCGTCAACCTTCTCTTTGGACATGGAAGCCTGAGACGTCTCTGACGAAAACATGTGCTTTGGCTTGACCGGTGTATCACTGTTGCCGCGAAACATGGTCAGTTTACGGAGGCATTGAGTGATAAGAAAATGCGAGCAGGTCGTCTTGGAACGTACCCATCATATGCTGAGCAGAGAGACGAATCGCTTTCGGAGTCATCTTTGACTGGGTTTCTATAGGGAGACATATTAGTTACACCACTTAAATAAATTTGGGCCTAGGATCAACGTAATGTACCTGTCCTCATTAGACTCCGGATTCGATCCTTTCATGATAACCGGGAAATGCCGGAGCGAGAGCTAGAGCTTAACTGTAGAAACAGTGAGGCAATGTCTCTTCAAGAAACAATAGATTAGGAATACGTCTGGGTGGTATGTCGAATTAGGAAGAGGGAGTTGTCGGTGGTAAGAGTAGGTGGACGCACCGTAAACGAAAGGGAACAGATTTTGGGGATTGGGCAAAGATGCAAGCAACATTGTATAATTAGTAGTGAAGCAGCCAGGTTATATCCAGAAGGAATAATTCATGTGCAACGACAGCCACCCACCATACCTGACTAGCCGTGGGGTAGATAACACATCTTCCGCCGCATTCAATTATAGCACTACGGAGGTTCGGTCGGAAACATGCATGATGCAGGGTGCCGAACCCGGGGGGAACATCTGTCGAGGTTTACTAGTTTGAACGTCAATTCCATAGTAAACACAAAGCAACCTGAAGTCGTCATACCACTAGTACACTCAAGAGACCACCATGCATACTTGTCTTATCACAATGGAAAATCATGCGTAACAGTGCCTTAATATTTTGTTTCTGTTCCTCACATCCCGATACGAAGGTTCATTACCATACGGACTTCTCAGCCGAACTTTTCGATGTGGAGCTTCAAGAATCTAGATATAAGAGTATTGTATATGTGTACCAAAGCTGATAGACGTACCTATAAGTACACCACGTCAGAACTCTGCGTCTCGAGACAACGGCCTGTCGCCACTCGGGCGTTCTTTTGTTTCTGCAAGATCCCGTTCTTGCGGCCCAACCTGCTTCTACTGATGATTTATGCAAAGTGTAAACCTTGGAGTCGAGGCATACAGGACGAGACGCGCTACCCACCACTCAATCCTCAACACTGCACGTAATGGGCGTGACTATCAGAGATTCGGGTACCCGAGGGTGGCATATGCAGGTTGCCGCAGGTTGCCGAAGTTTGTCTCACAACGGTCGTCGAATCGAACAAATTATGCAATCTGCCGAGGTCGCAGAACAACTCTATGCCAACGAATGACGGATGCTATCAGGCTAATTGGGGTACGGTATCGTAAGCAATGAAAAACCAAAGCAGCCAATAATCCACTCTATTTCAAGAAGCATGACGGGGCGAACTGGCACTAAAGGCGGCAATGTACTGGTCTGCGGCACAAATCCTTCCTGCCAACTTTTTACATCTGCCTCTTGGTCGCAAGTTCATCAGCAATACATTGTCGAGGATAATGGAAGCTAGTGCACAAATTTTTTGGGTTAATCACGTCCATGCCTGTGTATTGTCTTCATTTTTATCGAATTGCTCAAGACTTCTGCGTTCACTGCCCCTCTTCCCATCACTACGCGTCGAAACGAGGGGCGAGCACCGTGAGGGATTTACGCACTCGCCTGCATCGCACTACTACCCAGTTCATCACGACCTGGATCATTTAATCGTTGTCAAATACGTATACCATAAGAAAATTCTACATGGATAACGGCTACGTGCACTAGGTTAAACCAACTGAAAAATTAGTTAATCGACTAGTGTCTATTGATCCATGGGAAGTGCAAGAGAATTTGCGAGACGTAGTGGCGGACATATTACCAACATTACAGGCGGGGCAAAGCAAATTCCTGTCTGTATGTTGAGAAGCCTGCACAAGGCAAGCATCCGCCAACTTCGGCACCGTCAAGTGTGCTGTCAATGAAGAGTGAGCGTGTTGACGTATCTTCGGATAGCAATATCAGATATGGGAAACTTGGAGCAGATGTTACACGAAAACCGCAGTTTTATACAACCGTGATGAGCGCTTAACACTCCAAATGCATACCAGAAGCCTCTAGGCCCGCTAGGTGTTTCCATAGACTCTAAGGAATGCCTGTAGTGCACTTAGTGCTGTAGACATTAGGTTCGACATGAAAACTGCAACCCAATACCGGTAACTGTCCTCTGTTAGCTGCATTCGCTTAAAGTACCAATGAATATATGTGGTTAGTCAAAAGACCCTTGAACAAGCTCAGGGGCTTTTGCATTTTGCCTTGGTGAAGCGGTTTACAGTCAATGAGAACTCATCTAGACCGAGAGCACGAGGTAATCTATTAGGAGTCACATGTTTGCGCACCCTGCCCCCTACGTTGCTTTCACCTCTGTGAAGGTACATCGTCGCGACCTTGCCCTCCAAATCCATACGACCCTATGTAGCCATAACGCAAACCTTGCAACCGTCAAATGAGTTGATAGAATGTTCAGTATCGCACAATTGTCGTGGGCTTCCACGCACCCATCCATCAGTTGCGAGGCAGGAAACCCCATTTGATCCAGCTCACGCCGGAGAACCCGGGGAACATCATTCGTCCCCTCAAAACTTCACCTGAACATACCATGAAACACAACTATGCGGGTATCCAACCGAGCAACAAAAGTGACCGAAACCCAGGAATGATAATTCTATGCTGTGTACTTTCCATTGGCTGGGAGACAGACGGATGACTCCATGAGATATGATGATTTCGCCCGAGTCTTGGGCGGGGGGAAATTATGCTGACCGATCACCTCAAATCCAAGACAACCACGGCGCGTTGCACCATGCCGTGAAATAATTTCAACCGATCCAATCCTATCCTCGACCTGGATTGATCGGTCGCTCTCCGCGATCCACTACCGCAAGCCTCGGATGGGTCGAGTTGTCATGTCTCGTGTCTGGCTAGAACATAGCCAGATTGGGGATTCATGGCTCCAGTTCGCTGACTGGCGCCGGAATGCTTGAGGCTTTGAGAAGTCCATAAGAAAAGTTGTCAATTCGATGCGTTTTCATGATAGTGCCTTGAATAGTGCGATGCAAATTTTGATCTTGGCATTCATCTGTTCGCATTTCTCTGACTCCAAATACTGAAGTCTTGCTGTCATGCACCTTCAGCCCTCACCCCACAATCCAAACCTGGTCAGGCGGGCAATAAGATTGACCCACGACCTTGCGGCGTTTGGAGGGGCGAAGGGCAAATGGTCATCAGAGAATGGCGCCGTTCCAGGTGTGAGAACCATGGCTTTATGGCCATTGGCCACAGGCAGTCTGTAGGAAAGCAGGCATATATATAAGCGCTGATCTTATGGCGATGTTGGCATACAATGCGGCTTCCCGTGAACCCTTTATTCTGACAGGTAGACCTTGCATTTAGACGAGCTAATCTTCGGATTTGGCTGAGCTAACTGAATCCCCACATTGATCCAACCATGGATTAGAAGTGTAATTACTGTCTGCAATGTTGGACTGGTCTGCGTGTGCCGCTGGATCTTTCAGTTAATCAACTCCTGGATGGACCGGTCCACCCCAACTTAACTGCAACGCGCGAGAAATAGCAATGATTCAAACCTATTGGGCATTAGATTGAGGTTGGATGCGGAAGATTAGTTAGCTTTGAGTGGAGTGTTTATCGCCGACATGTTACCTAGAAAGAAATATTCCGGGGATTGCTACATACCTAACCGCATTGACCCCCCTTTGAAGCGCATTCCCATTTGCAATACTAATTTCCACCCAACGCGACGCTCCCTTTTCTCTTCAACCACCTTTTCTCAATAACAACAGCATAGTGAATGACTAGTATTTGGCAGACAACTATGTCTAATTCTAAAAGCCGTATCGAACGCGCCAAAAATCTTGAATATCTGGGCCACAATACCAGACCATCGATGCGCAAATCCGGCATCTCACCACCAAAGCAAATTAAACTTGAAGCGTACCTAAAAGCAGCCAAAGAGTTCCTCTGCGACACACCGCAGAAGTTGCAGGGCCTACTTACGCACTTACGTGATATTGAGAGGGAATTTATCGGTGTTCATCGTTGTCTATGCGGCGTACTACAGAAGGCCGGGAAGGGCCTCGACGTGAGTTAGCTCACGCGATTACGGGAGAAACTTCATAATTTCAAGCCAGATGTACGTCAGACCGTTAAGAAGAACTGGGTATTCTGTAAGGGTGCATTGTTTCCCTAGAATATGCCATCTTTACCACTGTATCTTGATCGCTTTGGTGGCAAAACCAATACATGCAAGCGCGCCCGAGTCAACAAGGGTAACGAAGACCAGAGTGGTACCATCTGGCTGGACGGCCTACTATCCTACGAAGCAGGGCAGTCAATAGCACTCGATGATCAACCTGTCTCAGTATATCATCTTCCTATACCGCAGTAGCAGGAACAGCACAGGAGAAAAAAGAACAGATTCTCAGCTGTATCGGCAAAAATGGCGGAGAGCTGTTCGAGATCGACAAGAGCAACTTTGCCAACACCTGCTCCGACCCGAGACTTAAGACGACCAAAAGACGCTCGCGGCTTGGTGCGCGGAGCTTACTCCGGGCTCCGCTTCTCATTCGAGCATGAAAATTGGTAAGGATTTGATTTTTAACCCTCCAGTGAACCGAGTCTGTGGCCATGTATACTTACCCTCGGCAGGTCATTTGGCCGCGAATGACGATGGGCAGCTGGCCTGCGTGGGACACCCCGACCGTGCCTGGAACAGACCCGAGTGCCAGGGCAAGCCGAATGGGGTGTTGCGGAGTGGGAACTTGTTTTGTGGAGCCTAATCTTGGTGGAAAAATGTGACGTCACATTGGGTTTCTGGGGTAGGAGGATAGGAGACACCAGACTTGGCAGAAGAGTCTACCCCTAATTGCATTTCTGGCGCCTGATATGATAATTGACAATGGTATACCTAGGAATAGATTCCGGCGAGACACCTTGACAACACAAGCAGAAGCCAAGAAACTTGCCCGTGATAAGAAGCATGCACACGTCTCGTTGCAATAGATCAAGTTCCGCAAGGCCGTAGACTATTCCTGATGATGTTCACGTAACCATTGTGAAAGATGCCCATAGTTCAGTCTTAATGTAAAACATTCATTCCAGCTTCCGCATCTATGAGTCTCGAGTCGTCTTGGTCATCCCACAAGAGAGTATCGTTTCGGTCTTGGACAAAATATGGCTCAGTCTTCCACAAGTTATGAACGGACAATAGTCGCTATTGCACACGGACCACACCTTAGACATGAATCTTGAAGACTTCGACTAGATCCCTGTCAGATAGAGGATTACGTAATATTGATCTTCTAGAACAATACATATCTTCCTTAAATGAAGTAGAAGACAATTGTCAAGACTCGCTCTGTTGAACAGTCTCGCACTCCACTTCATAGTATCCTCAGTATGAATGACAACACAGCGCTAAATGCAAGTTTGCAGGGTCAGTTTTTCGACGGATTTCAACCTTCAATTAGAATCTACGTAATAACCGCCAACCAAGGCCTGTCTCGAAGACATCTGTAGGCTGTAATTGGCCTGTCAATCGACGTCTTCTAGCTTCTTTTGCGGCATCAGAAAAGCTCTTTTTGGCTACTCTACGTAGTCCTTCACGATACTTGGCGAGAACTCTCTGTGCTTTAGCTACCTCATCTTCAACCTTCCTCTTCACCATCTCTCTACCTTCTGCGACGGATAAAACTCCACCAGATTGAAGATGATAGTTCTTCGTAGCGCGCCGTTGTTTTGATATACGTTTGGCGTACTTTGTACGGCTAAGATCGCGCTTAGTCTGTATAAGCTCGGTCGCATTACGAGGGACCCTTTAACAAAGCGACTAAGTCGATAGGCTAGATCTGGACTAATACCAAGCTCTGGATCAGTAAGACAGTTCGTAATCTTGCTAGCTACTTTATTAATTTGTCGAAAAGTAGTAGGTGTGCCTTCGTATGACGAAGATGAAGGGGCTGGTGGTGGTGATGGCGTCTTTGGTATACGTTCTTCAATCTCTTGTAGTATTGGATGAGGGTAAAATGGATATATACCGGTTTTCTTGAAGGCTGACTGGATAGTATTCGCTTTGAAGGTCTTTTTGCGTACATCTTCGATAATTGAGAGGAACTCTAGCTTGGTTATATTGGTACATCCATCCCGTACTAGCTGATCGAGGGACTTCGCATGCCAGTGCTTATATGGCTGAAAAACAACCACATCTAGTGGCTATAAGAGATGAGTAAGATGGGGGGGCAAGCCGAAGGGTATAATATCGTGGTCGTTGCAGTACTGGATAAACTGCTTTGTATGGTGGCTGCCGTGGCCGTCTAAGATCAATAGTCGCTTTCGACCTTTCTGCGTTTTCTTAGAGTGTTGTTCGAAGTGCATAAGCCACTCGAGAGATATCTCGTCATTCGAATAGCCTGTATCTACCGGCCGTAGCTTCGTATCTGGATGAAGGTCTTGCGCGTACCACTGAGCCGAGTGGATAGTCCCCGTGAGTATGAGGAAAGCTGGTATTACGTCGCCAGCAGCAGAGATAGCTTCAATAGCTGTCGCTGTCTCTCTATTTTCTGGTAGGCAGAAGTAATGGGCCCTCTTGCGCTTAGTGATGATAAGTTGATCCTTACCAACACCAATCCGGAAGCCAGTCTTGTCCATATTCCAGAGATCAGAGGGATAGATTCCTTCTTCCCGGAGGACTCTCTCAAGCCGTGTAAAATACTCTCGTATAGTGTCGAGGTTTTCAGCAGTCTGGCGGTTTGAATGGAGCTTCCGCTGGGAAGCGTGGAAGTAGCTATGGCGCTTGAGGAAACGTGTAGTCCAGTTTGATCCGACTGTTGGTGGTGGCTGATTTGGTAGAACCTGGACTCTCTCACGTAATATCGTATTTGCAGCGTCGGTAACGAATTCTACGCGAACCGCAAGATTGATCCTATCAAGGCGGTCGATTTAATTACAGAGGGCCTTTTCTTCGGCTTCAGATAGTAGTTTGTTGAGTCCTCCGTGGTTCTTAGTCTTCCCAGCTTGCTTGACACGGTATCGGAGGGTCTCGCGTTTTACGCCGCTTTCTCGCGCAATCTTGGCAATTTTGGCTTGAGGATGCTCTTGCATGTAGAGGACGGCCTCCTGTAGCTGTGAGTCCATTGCGATTGGAAAAAGCTAATGAATTGACGAAGATAGGATAGGTTGAAGTTGAAAGTGTCGAGAAACTGGCCAAGTTGGTGAGCTCAAGCGAATCCGAAATAAGTGGGGTGTGGCACGGGTATATCACGCGTATTCCCATACAGAAGCGTCAAAGGGTCCGCCTAGCACCAAGAAAAGGGGAACCCAAATGGGACCACATCATCAGCCTCAAAACCAATCCCTGCCACGACCTCCTGCGAAGACTGTCACGGTTGCAAGACGAGCAAACATTGCATCCGGCTCAAGCAAATTTACAAGTGCGTCTGTTCCGGAGCCTCAAAAAACTGGGAATGGGTATGTGCAAGAAATAATCGACGCCATAGTCGGGTCTTTTCCCCCCTGATGTTAGGTTTGTGGGAGTATGGCGGAGATCAGGGTATGCCAGAAAGCAGCAATCGACTACTAGGGAGTCCGAAATAGCGAGTTGAAGTTGCGCAGATTCTTCTTCGTAGGGTCGTTCATCAGTTTGGGGTTATGAAACATATGCTCTGCTGGAGGATCCCGAGAGCGGTCTGGTCAAGGATCAGATGGCCATCACCGTTAAGCGCGCTACTAGTAGGTTTCATGGTACATCGAGGGTGACGCACCGTTGAGGCCGAGGAGCAGGTAGCCTGGAACTCTGAAGCTTTGAGAGGCATAACGTTGTTAGATAGAGTTGATCTCCATCTTCTCTACTGCATCTTGCACTGTAAAAGCCTCCGAACAATGGACGCAGCCTGGAGTTTTGAACATTTCAGATACCACGTGAGCAGTAGCGTCCTTCGAACTAGAAACGAACCCTGTGGAGACCTCTTTCGTTTCTTATGCTCCCCGTCTTTCCGAGGTGGTGGAGCATTCCGAGGCCGCACTTCGCTTGCGGACCGGATTTGCCAGTCTGGGCATTTAAGCTTCCCCCTTGGAACGCATCATCAACTTCCGGGAGTCCGAGCTATCCGAGAGTATGGGACGACTATGCAGTTGATGCAAGGCTCTTTTGTTGTTTTCCCAAAGTTGGTGATGAGGTTGTATTGTCATGAGTCGTACGTCCTTGGCACGGTGATAACTGGTTAGAGCCATGGTCGTTCTCCAGGTGGATTGTGAACACCTTGGATCACCTGAAAGACGTCAAAACTCCGAAGAGTGGCTGATCATAGTTGAATTGTAGACATTGTTTTCTCAACTGAATCGTTGAAGAACGACTAGCTTTCCGTCATATTGCAACTCACCCAGCGGACACGAAGGATAAACCCCTGGAGAATCGGAGTCTCGGGCCCGTAATTCTAGCAATCCTTGCCGAACGCAAAATCTAGAACGTTAACGCTAAAATCCCCATCCCAAACTGGGTATCATTTTGCCAAGCTGGCCCCAGCCCAAACTTTAATCGCATACTTGAGACGAGCTCATAAGACTTGAGGCGAATTTTGAGACGATAAAGTCTTGGTGTCGCAGAGAAAATCGCAGCAAATCTGTATCGGTCACAACTTTGTGTTCCTGGAGCCACCCCTTCCAGTCGCAAATATGCCATCCGTTATGATCTGCAGATGGGTAGGTTTCTGCTGAAGTCTATTCTTTGGATGGCACGATGTTGGGACGAAGACCGTTGGGGAGTATAGATGATAGTATATAAGAACTAGTTAACAGCCTCCTAGACAGCCTTCTCTATCATCACATCAACACATTCACTTCCATTCTTGTCTTTTTCGAATTCTGTGGCCGGCTCACACTCTCTTTCTGGTTTATCCTCTGTATTAAAAATACTTTTTTTTATACCAACTCTCTTTCAAGTCGACCCATTCCACCAAGTTCAAGATGAAGTCCCAAACCTCCGTCATGCTTCTCACCGTGCTGGCCGCCGTGGTACAAGCCGTCCCCACGATTCCCGCCTTCAGGAAGCTGCACCGCCGTCAGGTCGCCAACGCCACAGCCGACCTCGTTCTCCCTGACGGTCGCATCGCCGCGGACGCCGTCGCCGAGGACTTCAACGTCCTCGCCAGTGTCTTCAAGAGCGCCGTGGTCAAGGGCGATGGCCTCGTCTTCAGCGATCTAATCGTTTTCCCCGAGGTTGCCTCACCCTCCATCTTCGACGTCGCCACCAACACCAAGGCCTTTGAGATCACCCTGTCGGACGCGTCCATCTTCATACCCGAAGGCGGCGAGGCCCAAGAAAACATCCGCCGTGCCGATTTGCTTCCCAGCATTCGATCCACGCTGGACGATGTGGCCACCACTGGTGTCCGGACTATGCACTTTTCGGTCCAGTCCGATGCTGACAGGCCTTTGAACTTGACCCACGACTACCAGATCATGAACCTCGAATCTGCAGATTTCACTTTCCATCAGATTGATGTTCGTACTGGTGGCGATGCCGGCGAGAACATCGTAGTCAACGGCAACTCGCAGACAGCTGGCGGCGCCCCGACTTTGTTTACCACCCCCTTCACTGCGGGCGAGTTCCAGAACTTTGCGCTGCAGATGGACTTCGACGCCAAGTAAGTCATCATAGACCTCATCCTAGATGTAATCGGTACTGACTCTTCAACCAGCACCGTCCAGGTCTTTCACAGCACCGGAGACGCCCCGCTGGAATCTGTTACTGAGGCCGTTGCCAATGGTACGTTTCTATCCCAGATATATGCTGTACTAATCAATTCGCTAACTTACCGCAACAGATCTTGCTGGAAATGGCGAGTACCACTTCTCTCTGCAGAAGAACCCCGTTGGCACAGCTGCTCAGCCGACTGGTATCGACGAGGGTATCATCTTTGGTGGTATCTTTATGGAAGCTGACACGGTTACTCTTTCATGAGCAACCACACTGGGCTGGAATATGAGATGTCAGGAATGAAAAAGGGCACCATGATATATTAGAACTAATGATAGAGACATCGATATCTTTAGCAGTAGCCTCCAACTTCGGTGTTGGTGCTAGACATGAATGAGACTTTGGGGCAAATTATTGTTTAATTCCATTTTCCGGCTGCATGGCAACGCTGAACCTGCAATGATCTATATCTCTAGGATCCATTACATCGTGTGAATAACCAGGTTGGTCAGGTTCCGTTACTGGTGCATTTGAGAATTGCCTCATCCTAATGTATCGCCCACTCAAATACAACTCGCACACATATGCCGCCTGCCGTCTGCAGACCTCAGATTATAATTGGCAATCATTTCTCCTTTTTCGCCTCAGCCTTCTCAAGCGGGTCATCGGCAGCAGAAGTCTGCTCTGGGTCGATGTCATCCGCCTCCTCACCAATAGCCGCATCTAGGGAGTCCTCGCCTACCATTCCGCTTGCGGCAGACGGGCCCTTTTCATTCTTAGCCTCGGCCTTCTCGATCGAATCATCCGCATCAGTGGTAGTTTCAGGGCCTGTAGTCCCGTCAGCTTCCGCAGCAAAATGAATTGTGAATGATTCGGGGTACCTTTAGCGGGAGATATTTTGCTTTTCTGGCGTTACTTGTAGAATTTGACCTCTTCTGCGAATGTTCTACGAGTAGTACAGTTCAGCAACGAAATATATAAAGTTTAGTCGAATTATTGTAGAAGGATTCTTTCGACTGAGTCAACCTCCCCCTTCGCAATATTTATCGTTGCGATCGCCAGTGTTCTTGTAAATCTTGTTCGTTGGTGTTTGTGTGCCGCTGTGATGTCACTTCCTCCTCGGCCGAGTGTAGGGTGTCGCACACAATTATCCAACATGAGGCTGATTGGTTGGGTTCATATTGAGCCGTCTTCGTACATCTCATGCACGACATTTCGATGCTGCTCTATGCATGCTCACAAGGTGTTCCCAATAGACTGGATCGATTTTCCGATTGGATCGTTTTGAAAAAATTTCGACCAATGTCGATCCGATTGGTAACGCAGCAGGAAAGTTAGGACGAAGGTGATTTCATGTGGTCATGTTTGCAGCACAACTGTTGACTGTTAGTTATACTGCATACCGAGGTCCGTCCGAGTAGATAAAACCAGACAATACTAAGTGCGTACCTTTGATATCATGACGATACCCCTGTCACCCTTTATATTTTCGTTCAAGGCTAGAATAGCAATATATTCTTACACTTCACGGGAATACATCTCCGTCACCCCTCGTGGCTTTTGCATGACCTGCAACATATAGTAAGTCTCTAACATGATACATAAAGCTTATCTTATCCTCGACCTTTTAATTATATCTAAAAACGGACAACGATACTTGTAAAACTAAGTAGCTCTGAATCGTTCGGGTTGATGTATGTGCTCGGCCGGTGGTCGTTTCCACGATGTGAGCTCGCCACATCACGCAATATACAAAATTGAGGCTGTAATCGTCTCGGTCATTTGTTTGCATATCGTAACTGCATTCTAGGTTCACTTGCGTCAAATGATATTTCCAGAATCCCCAATTCTTATAGTGACCCCTTTTATTGCCGTTTACGCTCAGCCCCTTTTCTGCACAACTCACCATGCATTTCATGGAGCAAGTATCCTCCATATTATTTCGTACAGTTTTCCAGATTATTATAATGCCTTTTTCAACAAAATAGAAGCAGATTGCAACAAGCTTCTCCTCACCTAGGAAAAGGCTTTGAGTTGGGCTTGCCAAGCACACTTCGTGATCGTGTTTCACGCCAAGGGGCACGGGCCGACCAGCCACCAGCTGAAATACCACTCCTCATTTTGAGCAAATATTGCAAACCACGACCCTTGGTCAATCTTTATTCTTGAATAATACCACCGATACGTACATCTGCAAAACCCGTCACGATGTCAGGCGAATACAATCATGAATCCACCCCCCTCCTCCCCGCGACCATCCCGCGCCGCATCCCCACGTTAACCAATGGTGTCGCCCACGAAGGCGAAAGCGGCCGCAGCGGTTTCCACCCGCGGCACTTCTTCCAAGTCCTGTGGCGCAGCTCCTGCACTGTATCCATGCTGGTCAACGTCCTATGGCCCTTTGTACCTCTGGCCATCATCCTGCACTTCGTCACCAAGGCCCACCTATGGATCTTCGCCATGAGCTACGTCGGCATGGTACCTTCGGCCAATTTGCTGGGGTTTGCGGGGCAGGAGTTCGCACGCAAGATGCCCAAGGTGGCGGGGATTTTGATCGAGACTACGTTTGGGTCTATTGTGGAGATTATTCTGTTTCTGGTGCTGATTGTGAAGCATAATGCTGAGGAGGGGAATGGAGATGAGGGGAATCTCATCCCTATTATCCAGGCGGCTATTTTGGGGTCCGTTCTGACCAATCTGTTGCTGTGTCTGGGCCTCTGCTTTTTCTTCGGTGGTATTCGACACCAGACTCAAAAGTTCCATGCCATCGTTTCTGAGGTAGGCAGTGGGCTTCTGCTGGTGGCCGCCTTCGCCCTGCTCATTCCGAGTGCGTTCTACTCGGCCCTCAAATCCGAGACCGTCCCCTTGCTCGGAGCTCTCCATGAAACCTTTACCGAACGAAAGCTACAGGAGGATGTCTTGAAGATCAGTCAGACTACATCGATCGTTTTGATCGTGGCGTTCTTCCTCTACATCTGGTTCTGTGCAAGCAGTCAGCACAGTATCTTTGATGAAGTCATCGAAATGGATGAGCACAGGGATGCGGATCGAGAGGACGATATGGCCAAGCCGAAGTTCACCATGACTGAGACGATCATCGCTTTGCTCGTTTCGATTACCTGTGTGACACTGCTCCTGATTTTCCTGGTCGAGGAGATTGAGCATGTGGTTGAAAGTGGTGTTCCAGACCAGTTCCTGGGTCTCATTCTCCTACCACTTGTCGAGAAGGCCGCGGAGCACTTGACAGCTATCGATGAAGCATGGGGTAAGTCTCTAATGAACTATTCTCAGCCTGAACATTTACTGATCATATTCCATGATAGACGGTGTAATCAACGTGGCTCTTTACCATTGCCTCGGTCCCTCGATACAGACTGCGCTTTTCAATGGACCGCTTGTCGTCCTGGTCGGTTGGGCGTTAGGCAAACCCATGGATCTAAACTTCGAGATCTTCATGGTTGCACTACTGGTCCTCTCTATTCTAGTGGTTGGAAACTTCCTTAGGGATGGTGACAGCAATTGGCTTGAAGGTGCCCTTCTTGTTGTAAGTACATTCAATTATCGGTTTACCGCGATGTACCTTTAACGAACGCCCGCAACAGGTCGTTTACGTGATTATTGCCATTGCTGCGTGGTACTATCCCAATCCAGACGTGGCTGCCTCAAATGGGCTCGAAGGCCTCGATGGTGTAAAAAACGTGACCATTAGTGTGGAGATGCTGGAGCAAATCCGGAAGCTGCTGCAACAGACTTAGGAGATTCTTGGGTGTTGCTCGAGTCGGACCCTTAAGGTGGTATGGGACTGCTTCTGGGTAACGGGACTGGTTATATATAGCACTTGACTGTACGAGATGTTTCAAGAGGCGTGTAAGTAGGCATAGATATTACGGTCCTGTACCTTCTCATAGAAGTAGCATGAACGAGGCCGGTATTCAGGGCTCGGGCGTTGTAGGTTCAATAGTCTCAAACCCAGACGCGCTCCTCTTCAAGGTAGGGGAATACTCCGTCTCATCAACCGTGCAAATCGTAAACAGTGTCGGTATGGACTCACTTCCTTTATCTTGCTTCGTTTCGTCGAAACTCTTTTGTCGGTGAGCTCATGATTGGCCCGCGTCAGCAGCGATATCGATCCACAAGAAGCGAGACTTGCTTCCGCACTTTAAGCCACATGATGAACACAAGAACACCATAATTACAAGTAACAACGCCAGCCTAAAAAGTATAACCGCCCGTCCAGACACACCGCCCGAAGCCAGCTTGTCGACACTGATAATCTGAGAGACTTTTTCAGCACTGATGATCGATGAAGATACGGTTGAAATTCTGCCCCCAGAAGACGCTTCAAAGGGTACCGGCCTCTTATTTGAGTTTGGTGCGCCTACAGTGCTCGTTTAATCGGACCAGGAGCCTCCCAAATCGGGGCGATCAATGTCCAGCGTGCATTCTTTACCTGTTCATATATTTAAGGAGGAGGCGCATGACGATGAAGATGAAGCAGAAGAACTGCACGAGTTGCTCCTTTTGGACTGGCCACCGCCGTGCTGTCCACTGCCGGCCTGGGAATAACCTCCTTGGTTTCCGCTTGGCGATGGGGAAATGTCATCGTCGCCACCTCAAAAGACTCCGAATCTTGGCATAGCGGTTGTGGATTGTTGTGCAGGAGGAACGAGCAAAGGAGCGGTGCGGGTTTGTAATTGTAGAACATTTCTACTTTGCGGTCTTTGTCTAGCGCGTTGCAGTGCAATGTTCACACTATGGCAATTCCGTCGCGCATACATTTCGCTTTCATTTTCGTTGGTCAGTCAGGGCTGAAAGCGACATTACCCAGCATGTATATCAAGCTCCTTTATCCCAAAATGCTCGATTATACGCGTTGTGATGGCAACATGCTTCATATTTGGGTGCCGGATATGTCATTGATAGTCGGGCGCAGAATTCCTGTGTCAGATCAGATTTCAACCCCCTGAATCCTATGAATTTCGACAACCACATTCGGAATCATGGGTAGATCGTAGTAGATGAGATATGATTTGAAACATTTGCATCCTATACTACGTCACAGCAGCGGTTGAAATTTGCAGCTATCATGAACAAGGAGGTATTAGACTTGTTATTAATAACAACAAAGCATGGAATTTGACATATCGGATCTCGCCAAGTCCAACGAAGCGAAAATGATTGGAAAAGGCTTTCAGTACGAAAAGAGTTCCTTTTGACCGCACACTTGAGTCAGTTGCTGATACACCATAGGTTTCGATTACGAAGTTCTGACAGTTGGCAGTTGCCAAGGGTTTGGTGCTCAGGGTCCATCCATCATCAGTTAATTGACTATAGTAGCTATGATACGGAAAAGACAGTTTTTTGGAAGTCGAAGGCTGGTGCGGTCCGAAAATAGGTCAGCAAATCGAGTTACTAGCAGTCTAGGGGATAAAACCGGATGCATGTATGTATACATTTTGTTTGACTGTCTTTGACTATCTTGGTCTTGGGTTGGATTAGAATTGCGACTAGGGTTATGACGAGAGTTTCGGTTAACGACAAAATGATAAGGTTTTACATAGTCATTGGCTCCATGTAATATACGTCACTTTGACGAATGGCTCTGGGTATCATCATTTCCGATAGGAAATAAACATTTGCCGGAATTCTTGCCGTACTGCCCGCACCTGGCATAGTCACACGGCCCACATCCGACACTTCAACAAACAAGGCCAGCTTCCGAACATTTGGATTTATCTCGAGTAGTCATATTCGTTCGCGCCATCGGTCAGCGGCTAGTGTGATCGGTAGTTGCATTGACACTAGCTTTGGCCTAAAATTAGTAGAGCGACCCTTTTTCCTACGTTAAAACGTGGTGTACTCCACCGTCAGTTTCCGACAAGTAACAGAGATAGCATCATATTTATCGAGAGTTAAATCTAAATAATTGCTGTGTCTTCTAATTGCGGTCTTGGAACCGCAAGTCACACAAGCCAGGTCGGCTCGGCCCTCGCGGTTAGCTATAGTTCCGACGACTGCAAGACCCAATGTAAGTCAACCTCCTGAACTGAGAAATCTATCATGATGGGCAGCCAATGGGCAAATGCGCTGCACATTACTGGTCAACCGACAATAACCTAGCAGGGGGGGTCCACTCCTCGGCTTTCCCAGGCGCTCATCATTACGAGCTGGGTTCTGGGTTATGGGGTCAGGGATAGCGAAACGTGGGGAAACCCCACTAGTTCAATATAATGCTGCGCGAAAAAGGCATCTGGGTCTGCGGAGATCTCGGCAGGGTGTGGATCTCCTTCGCCTTTATGCGGTGCTGTCCAGAAGCATGGTGTTGATGATCATTCTCAAGACGTTAAAAGGAGATCTGCCCTTCGAGTAACTGACTAGTCAGGCGACTGGAGATACTCACATATACGCTCCAGAATTCGTCAACTCTGCTAACAGGGATCTGCGGTGTGTTTAAATACACGGCAACATAACCTCTCAAACAGTATCACCCTATACGAAACTATACACAACAACACTGCTATCATGGCGCTCTTCAACCTTATCTTCTCTCCCCTCGCCCTCCCCGCTACCTTATTAGCCCTCCTCTCCCTCTACCTGATCCCGTACTTCTTCACCTTCTCTCACCTACGCCGCATCCCCTCTCCTTTCCCCGCCCAGTTCACCAACTTCTGGCTCCTCTACACCTGCCGGCGCGGTAAACGCTACGCCTACGTGGACGCCGTGCACGCGCGCCTGGGGCCTGTAGTGCGGATCCAGCCGAACCACATCAGCATCGCAGATGACGCGGCAATTCCGCTCGTGTACGGGCACGGCAACGGGTTCCTCAAGTCGAACTTTTATGATGCGTTCGTGTCGATTCGGCGGGGTTTGTTCAATACCAGGAGTCGGGCCGAGCATACTAGGAAACGGAAGGTCATTTCGCATACGTTTGCGCCTAAGTCGGTGGGTCAGTTTGAGCCGTATATTATGGAGAATTTGGAGGTTTTTACGAGAAAGTGGGATGGGATTGTGGAGAGGACGGGGAATCATAGCAACGGATGGGCGCAGGTGGAGTGTCTTGAGTGGTTTAAGTAAGTTCACTCGATTTCCTCTCCCGCTGATATGGAATATAATGATGGGATTTTTAAAGGACGCAATGGTTCATGGGCGATGATACGGGCTCTGACAGTGTATAGCTTCGTAGCATTCGACACCATCGGCGACCTCGCCTTCGGCGCCCCCTTCGGCATGCTCGAAGCCGGCGCCGACATCACTGAGATTCGGCACTCACGCGACGCAGCACCCATCTACTCCCCGGCAGTCGAGATTCTAAACCGCCGCGGCGAAGTATCTGCCACGCTTGGTATCTATCCCCAGCTGAAAGCCTACGCCAAGTGGCTCCCGGACCCCTTCTTCAGCAACGGTCTCACCGCGGTACATAATCTCGCCGGTATCGCCATCGCCCGAGTCACAGAGCGCTTGGAAAGTCCGCCAGATATCAACCGCAAGGATCTCCTTTCCCGTTTGCAGGAGGGCCGCGATGATAAAGGGGAACCACTCGGCTTTGAGGAGTTGACTGCGGAGGCGCTGACGCAACTTATTGCGGGGAGTGACACTACGAGCAACTCCTCATGTGCGCTGCTGTACCATGTGACAAGGACTCCAGGTGTACTTCCCAAGCTTCAGGCAGAGCTGGACGCTGCTATTCCGAATGATACGAAAGTCCCCTCGTATGAAATGGTCAGGAACTTGCCTTACTTGGAAGCCGTCATCAACGAGACCCTGCGTCACCATTCAACCTCGGGAATCGGGCTGCCGAGGGAGATACCACCTGACTCTCAGGGGCTGCATTTCCGCAGTCATTATTTTCCGCCGGGAACAGTGCTGAGCGTGCCCACGTATACGATCCACCACTCGAAGGAGATTTGGGGCCCGGACGCTGACGAATTCCGGCCGGAGAGGTGGTCTACTATAACGGAGCGCCAGAAGAATGCTTTCATCCCTTTTAGTTACGGGCCTCGATCATGTGTGGGGAGAAATGTGGCGGAGATGGAGATGAAGATGATTGCCGCGACGTGGGCGAAGCGGTACGATGTCGAGCTGAGGCAGGATCTTATGGAGACGCGCGAGGGGTTCCTTCGCAAGCCGTTGGGTTTGGAAATTGCGCTCAAGAAGCGGGAATTGTGATAGCATCACATATGGACTTAGGGGATAATATGGGCAAGAGCTTTCGTCAATTGATTCATCAGAAGGCGTGGAATTGTTTATTATGCATAATAACCCATAGCATCACTACCTTGCAACATAGTGCCTTGGATGAAGCGAATCCACATCAGCGCTCCAAGCTTTTCCCTCTATGATCATCTGACTCGTGACTAGTCCAGCACCAGGCGCATTTTGTATACCCCACTCGTCAAACCCAGTAGCAACCCACAAACCTTTGACATCCTCCATCGGTCCCACAATCGGTCCAACCTCCTCTCCCTCCTCATGCTTCCTGATTTGCGCTTTATAGCACGCCTGCCTAGCAATGACACCCCCCTCACGCAGCTGCTGCGAGACACCGCTGATGGCAGTAATGACTTCGTCGCACTTTACACTCTCCACCTCTACCGTTTCCACAGATGACGGGAGGAGCGAGTCGTAGTAATCTGGTCCACTCGAGTACGCAGTCTCGAAGCCATTCAACGAGTCTTTGGGACGTGGGTAGATGTCGGCTTCAATTTCTCCTCCTCCCTCCGTCTCGATGACGGGAAACAAAACGTGCGAGGACAGGTCTCTTGAAGGGTTGAAGACGACGCTGTGCCCTTTGGGGGCAAGGAGGTGAATAGACGGGATTAGTTTCGGTGTCCAGGGGCCGGCGGCCACGAGGATGTGCGTAGCTGGGACAATGGTTTCGGCTGCGTCGCCCGTGACAGTCACGGATTTTACGACTGAGCCGGTGTCGTCGTAATTGATGCGCGAAACGGATGTGTTTAAGATGATCGATGCACCACCTGAAATGACGGCACTTGCCATGGACTGCAGGAGGAGTTTCGGGTGTGCTTGGGCTGAATCGACCGGAGTCCCGACTTCGGTGTAGTCCTCAATCGAGCCCGGGAGAAGCCAGTCGAGATTCTTAGGCGCCTTGCCGGAGACATTAATATCGGGTTCTTCAAGTTCAATCTTCAGCTTGATTTCAGCGGCGTGTACACGTCTATACCCCCATTTATCGCCACCCAGATCCTTTGCAAGCTCGGCATGCAGCTTGAAGCTTAGGGGCGCGAGGCATTTGGGCGTCGCCCATGAGGCGAGGAAGCCGCCGGCTTTACCTGAGGCGCTCTCACCGAGGTGACCTGCTTCTATGACTATTACAAAGTCCTTCTTGCTGTCGTACTGAGGGTGCTGGAGAAGGTAGTAGGCGGTGCTGATGCCGACGATGCCCCCGCCTTGGGATGGGGTGGTTAATTGACGTCATTGGGCAAAGAAGTAGGATAGTGGAGGGCGCACCGATGATTATTATCTGCTTAGCATCACTTGGCATCTTGGATGATTTATGAACAAGAATTTAAGCAAAGAAAGCATGATTTTGGGAGATTGGTATCATGAGGGCGTGGTTGGTGGAACGAATGGTCGTAGCGGGGCTGGAAATCGACTCCCAAGAAGATTTACCCTTGGACAACCCCTCGCGTTTGTCTCTATGCATGTTTCAATGAAATACTATTCACAACTGCAAATTTCAGTTTTGATTATCCTCCCATTAGTCTTATGTAGTACAAACGAGGTCACGTCACATATTACATAGGGGCTCAGGCGTACTTATATTATACTTTGAGGCGCTTAGCTATAGTCCGAGCTATATACGCCAAACACCCCCTCCAGCAATTTGAGAACCATCAATTTCCTATCTTCCGACCATCGCTGCTACCATAGTCCAGAATGCTACCAAAGAATTCGGCAAGCATACACCTTTCCTTGAAGCGGGGATTGAGAACTTCTTCGGAATATTCAGACTTTATCTTCTGCAGCCACCAGAACCGCAAGACAAACCATGATAATGATAATGCATCTGCGCATGCAGGGGCGATAGGCTCGAGATACTTGTACAGGTAGAACGTTCCGTGTTCTCGGCAGTCGGGACAAACTCGCATGCCCGGGAGTAGGAATTTTTGGATGAAAGAAAAGTACGGTTCCGTCATTGTGGGCGAGACATGGGCTTACTGCTGTTATTCCTGAGGAGGTTCGGTCATCGGATTCTTGTTTGTAAGCGTATACAATAAGGGGTACCGCTAGGAGGAATATTTAGCTTCGGCAATCTCACAGATTATAGTGAGACATCAGTTAGCAGTACTAAGTTCCACTTTAAACAATAGCGGCCTTTCCTCTTCGTGGGAGTGGAGAGTTTTAGGATATTTCCTTGCGTTGATACAAAGTCTTTGTCCAATATCTACGAGGTCCGACGGGGCGTCTTTGCTCAGTTCCACAATGATCTACGACAAGGCTGGGCATTCTACCCCAGGATTTTGCAGTACTTCGATGAAACCCATTTGCACTGCAGTTAACTCATGACTTTTGCATTAACGTCACCCACAGGTCATTGCCCCACACGGGTCTTTGCCCAACTTTTCAAGAAATCTTGACTTTCCATCTTTACTTATATAATTCTTCCCTTCCACAACATGGCACGCAAATCTAGTGAAGCTAATCTTCAATTAGCCATCCAAACTAAACGACGCGATCCTCACCTAAGTTGGAACAAGCTTGGTAAAATCTTCAAAGTCGACCATAAGACATTGAAGCGCCGTTACGAAGGCGTACAACCATTACACATTACTAACATGTCCAAACGGAAAATGACCGAAACCGAAGAGAATACGATTACCCGACGCGTAATTGAGCTAGATTCGCGAACTTTTCCTCCCCGGCTTCGATACGTTGAAGAAATGGCGAATATCCTCCGACGCAACCGCGACGCGTCACCCGTCGGCAAGAACTGGGCCTCGAGCTTCGTATGGCGACAACCAGACCTCCGGACGCGTTTAAATCGTCGAATAGGTTACCATCGGGCATTCTTCGAAGATCCTGTCGCGTATCGCGGTTATTTTAAGCGTGTTGCCGACACAATAGCGAAGCACGGCATCCAGCCGGAGGATATCTACAACTTTGACGAGACGGGCCTTTTAATGGGCATGATCTCAACCGGCATGGTCGTTACGAGTACCGAAAGACGTGGAAGGCCTAGCCAAGCCCAGAAAGGCAATAGGGAATGGGTTACTGCCATTCAGGCGGCCAATTGCCAAGGCTGGGCGGTGCCGCCGTACATCATCTTCGCGGCCAAAGTTCACCTCGCTTCGTGGTATCGCGACACCACATTACCGGGCAATTGGGTCGTTGATCTATCCCACAACGGATGGACAACGAATGATATTGGTCTCAGCTGGGCAGCTCACTTCGATCTGCACACACGCGATCGTACGAAGGGTGTCAAACGCCTCCTGATCCTTGACGGTCACGAAAGCCATCACTCGATGGATTTCGAACAATACTGCAAGGACCATGGCATCATTACCCTTCCTATGCCTGCCCATTCATCCCATAAGCTCCAGCCTCTCGACTTGGTGCCTTTTAGTGTTTTGAAACGGGCGTACGGTATGTTTGTTGAGGGTTTGATGCGACGGCATCATACCCACGTTGCGAAGGAGGATTTCCTTGCCGGTTTTTTGGAGGCGTTTGGCGCTGCTTTTACTGAAAAAAACATCAGATCTGGTTTCGAAGCAGCTGGAATTGTCCCTTTTGACCCCAACAGGGTTATATCTGCCCTGGATGTCGCAGAAGTCGCGCGTACACCCTCTGCCGACCCAGAACTCCTACCCCCTATTTGGACTTCTAAGACACCTACTACCACCCTTGAAGCCGAATCGCAGTCAACGTTGATTAAGAATAGCGTTCAGAGGCATCAAGACAGCTCTCCGACGCATATTCTTCATTCAATTGACTCGATTGCAAAGGCTACGCATGCAATGATGCAAGAGAATGTTATCTTGCGTCGCGAGAACGAAGAGCTTCGCCAGACTAACCATGTGCTAAGCAAACGTCGCAGAACCAAAAACAAGCAAATCCAGTATGGTGGGCCACTTAATATAGAAGACGCACAAGTTCTACGGGCTATTAGGGGTGATACGGGTTTGGAAAGTGAGGAAGAGGGTGAAAGTAGTCGTCCTACAAGGAGGAGGGCAACGGGTGCTAGGCACTGTGGCATTTGCAGAGGAACTGGACATAATGCGCGAACTTGTCAGGCAGATGTAGAAACAGATAATGAAAAGAATACTGATTAATTTCTTGGATGAATACGGGTTGTTGTTGATCTATCTAAGATTAAAGGTTGGGAGGTCGTGAAAAGTTGGGCAAAGACCCGTGTGGGGCATTGACCTGTGGGTGACGTTATCTATGATTACAATACTACCTATAGGCGCTCTGAAGTTTACTCTCTACTCTCATATCTAGCAGAATATATTACCACATCGCTTGCTCCTCCCAGTTGTAAACTAGTGTCTATATTCAAGCAGTCATACTCACTCCTTGGCACACTCAGACAGTGTACCGGAAGAAACTCGCGTTGTCGCCCTTCTCTCTCTCCAAGGCCCGCTCCTCATCAGTGTACTCAGACGGAGGCTTGTACTCGCGGTCTCGGCGCGCGTTCTCCTTACGCAGGTAGAGGGTCATAAAAATACAGAGGATAAGCGACATGGTTTCGGTGGCAATCAAGGTACCATGGCCGGAATAGAACATGGGCGCATCCTTAGTGCGGTACATGAATCCGGCAATGGCTCCGCTCAGGTTTCCGAATCCGACATGCATGGCTAAAGGGATCAATCGTTAATTAAAATAGTGTCTCGGGTGAGTGCAAAATGACAACATACCGATACCAACTCCACGCTTGGTGGAACCACCGATGTTGTTCCCGTTCCACGCGACACTTTGCGGGATATTCGGGAACATACCCATAGCAGCAAGGAAAGTTCCCGCGTATTTCAGCCTGTTGTTGCTGGAGCATATCTGGAAAATGAAGCCTAAGATGGCGACAAGGTTGAAGAAGATCATGTAAATACCGCGCTGGCCATGTCGATCCGCCAACCAACCGCTACCGATGCAGCAGATACAGGCGGCGATAAAAGGAGGTACGGTCATGAGCTGAGCCGTCTTATCGTTGGTGTATCCTAGATTCTTAACGATGGTAGGCAGGAATATGGAAAAGGAGTAGAGAGGTATGGAAATGCCGATCGAGATAAACATGTGCACCCAGATCTTCCAGTCTTTCAATGCATGCCAGAAGTACCGCATGTCGAATTCGTCGGAAAGGGATGAGCGGTCTTCTTCCAGCCGGCGGAGAACTTCGATCTTCTCCTCGGCTTTGAGAAATTTGGCCGTATCGGGGTAGTCGTTCATGATGAAGAAGGCGACGATGGCTGTTTATAGGGTTAGTTTAATGGCGCGATCCGAAATCAGAGGAGTGAGTGGGGGAATTTACCGACAATGATGGTAAGTATTCCTTCAAGAACTGCAAAATTGTCATTAAAGTTTCTAAGGAATTCATTATCGGTGCTGCTCACTGAAGATCCAGGCCCATCCACGACGACCACCGACACCGTCCATTTCGACGATACCACGGGCTAAAAGACCACCAAAAGCACCAGCCGCTGTAGCTGCCGAGAAGAAGATGGCCATTCGTAAGCCGCACTCATGCCGCTTGTACCACAGAGTAATGCTACACAGACACAGATCAGAAACATGCAAATGTGGGGAACGGACAATATCATCATGTAACTCACTAGTATGCAATACCGGGAAACAGACCTGCCTCCGCGATTCCAAGTGCGCATCGAGCAGCGATAAGACCAGCGTAATTGGTAACCGTCCCCATGGCAGCGCAAGTTACACCCCACAAGACCATGATGAAGGGAATCCAGATCGAAGGACGGAATCGCTTCATGGCCAAGTTGGACGGGATCTCAGCTGCGACATAAAATGGGAAGAAGACGCTGATGGCAATGTTGTAGTCGAGGCTCTGGGGGTTCATTCCCAGCGACGACTCGAGCCCGGCGAGACGCGCATTGCCGATGTTGGTGCGGTCTAGGAAACTGAGCAGGTACAGCAATGCGAGTAAAGGGATTAGATTGTAATCGATCTTGCGCATCAGCTTTTTGGTAGATAAGGTGTCAAACCCGCCACTGGCTCGCTCAACGGTGTTGAGTTCCTGTGAGTTAACTTTGACTTCCTTGGTTGCGTCAAAGCTCGGTATGGATGAGCCCTCAGATTGGATGGGTTCCTTGACGTCCATTGTAACGAATAATGAACAGATTTCGTGATTGGGAATGATAAAATGGAAGTGTAGGAATCAAAGAGGTGAACGATTCATGAATTCAAAGGACAAGTGAACAGAGTGAGTGTTCACTGTCCGAAAATAGTTATGTCTTGCCAGGAAGTCACAGGCAGCGGTAGTGCCATGACGACGAACGGTTTTGTGAGAGTCTCCACGACATGAAAGAGTTCTCTGTAACTTCTTTATCAGGACAGGGGGAAGATAGTTCTGTGCATTCGTCCGGGACCCGCAGGATGGGCACCTCTCCAGCAGGTTACAGTTGGCCAGGGTTAGAAATTTTATAGCGCAGTAAAGTTAATCAGGGTCAGAAATTTTCTAACCCTGGCCAAGTCTTGCCAAGCTACCGCTAACGATAGTCTAACTAAACAAATCATTACCACAGTACTAGAGAAAAGCTTATATACGGAGTAAATATATAGCTACAAGTATCTACTATATACTACTAAGAATAGGCTTTGGGAAATATCTATACGATTGTATTCCTACACATAAAGTAATCTTTATTTACATATATGTCAGAGAACAGAATGCCATAGGCACCAGTGGGTGTCAGGACACTGAACGCAGGACACCGGCGGGCCGCCGGAGCGGTGTTTCGGACAAAAGACTCCCGAATCATGATTACAATCTATGTGAAGCTTTGGGATGACGAGAGTCAAGATCCTTGGCATCGCCGACCCTGCTGTTATGCCGGGTCCAAGCGGCGGCCTAGCTATCTATATAAGGACCATCTCGAAGTAGGATAGGGAAGGAGTTGTCAGAGCCACAAGTGTCATCCGAGGCGGGCCGGCTTCCACCAGGTAGGAAGCCGTTTGTGGCGGCTAGAGAGCCGCTTGTGGCGAATGAGAGCCGTTGAAGCCGTTTGCAGCGGATAGGGAATCGCTTGGTTGCAGATAAGGAGCCGCTGTCCAAGATATTGGCCGAAGTCGGAGGAACACAGACATACGGAAGCAAACATCCAGAATCCAAGAGAGAACCTCGGCTGGCTATAAGTAAGGAGTCGAGACGGAGGAAGATAGAGAGGGCAGAGATCAATGCATCACCGTGGGCACCCCTACCTGAGACCGCCAGTGACCACCCGGTGCTACGTAGGAGGGACGCCCGTTACTCCCCATCACTCTGTACTATTGCCTTCGGCCTAGCCGTACCCTGACAATATATCTATAGATCCGGATACTACTACGTTTATACAGTATAGACTAACATTGTATAAGAGTTATATAAGCGATATAGAGGTTATATATATACTATATATATATTGAAACGGGGTCAGGCGGTCGGTAGGATATACTCACCACCTAACACACGAAAAGACGGCTCCAGCACCAACAGATCCTATCTGTTGGTCGGATGTGCCTCTGCTACTGGCCACGAGATAATTCACAGACAGGAAGCCTGGCTCTGGGAATCGAATTGAAGCTGTCAGTGGCACTGGGTCGGTCTGATCAGGACAAGATGAAGGCTTCTGTAGTTGTCAAGGCTAGGATAAGAACAGAATAATGGATTGGTGAAAGCTACGTCTCAGAGCACATGTGTGTGAAAACGAATAAACTCAAGATTGACTGACTGACTGGAAAAGAAAACAGAGAAGATGATGATAATGATCAGGATCATGTGGGGCGAGGTGGTCCTCGGTCTCAGTATCCTCCCCGCCCCTGTCACCCATTTGCACTGATGTCCGGCCTGGCCCCACTACAATATATTTCGTACTTACTAGAGAAACTTAAACTATATTAACGTAGTCCACAAGCGAACGGGTCACCCAACCGAACGGGTCACGCCCATAGCAAAAAATAGAACTAAACTTCCTAACTTTACCACGCAACTAATTCTCGATGGATTCTGCTCAAAAAGAATCTCAATTACTCCTTGCAACTCAGGCTATCAGAAATGACTCAACACTTAGTATCCGACGTGCTGCAACAATCTACAAAGTCTCGAATACTACTCTCTAGGCGCGTCTTCAAAAACGTCAATCACGTCGCAATATCGAAGCCAACGGTCGGAATTTATTATTATTATTAAAAATAATAATATTAAATACGCCGTAGGTGTTAACCCTCGGTACCTCTACAAGTACTCCCTTAAGGGGCTATAGATGATATAGCGGGCCCTTAAGCCGCGTCGGGCGGTTATACAGGTAAACTTGTAGCCAAACGACTACTAAACCTCCTGTCCCTCCCTAAGTCTGTGCTACAACCCCTGCCTGAACTACCGATAAGCGTGGTAATGTGGCACTTAAATTCGTCCTCAGGGGTGGGATGCTGCTGATGTGCAGAAGATGCTCGACTATTTTTTTGTCGCGACAAGTCGTAGTATCTGCTAATTGGGGTTCTCGTCGAGCGTATACATCTCAACCATACGCTCAAGTGGATAGACCGTAACGTGGTCTAGACGCTCGCAAGAATCGCGGCGAGGGGGCGTGCTGCGCGCCTTCTATCGTGAGGGGACGGGTTCGCCGACGAGCGTTATCGGATAGGCGAGGTCCGATAAGGGGTCGGATTAACGATTCGAATTCTGGACCGGCTGTCGAGTTATATTCCGCCGACGTAGTGCTTGACGGTCGACTGGCTAGGATGCTCGTAATCCTAAACTGCACCAATCTCCCTATTATCGCTAGGTAGGCGAAGTCAACAAGGTGGGCAGCGCGCCGTAAGGGTTGACTAAACCCCCTTGTGTGTCAGCTGCGGGATTCGAACCCGCGACTCGTCACCAACCCAAGTGGGGGGGGCTCAAATCGGGACTTATCTACCAGCGAAGTGACCAACTACACCAGCCGACTATTATTATTAAATACGCCGTAGGCTCGAAGCCCCCGGTACCTCTGCTAGTACTCCCGTATGTCAAACCGTGCCCTAATGGCTGGACTAAATACATACGCTGCGTCGTCGGTTCGCCCTATTGGCGACTGCGTTGCGTTCACTACCATACTACGTTGGTTCTCAACCTACCAACAAAGTCCCCCCTGAGAAGATCGATGCTATCTGGGCCTTGAAGCTGTCCGACCCGTCCCTAGCAGCCACCTTACAATAGTCCCACTAACTACTGGTTCTCCTGTTGCCGTTGCGAGGTCTCTGCGAGAGTATAGTGGCCGTGGTGCGATGGCGGCCCGTAATCGTTCCCTCGGTCCTTCCAACAGCCCGCAAAAGAGGATTACGTGCTCTGCCGTCTCAGGGGCGTCGCCACAGCGGCATAGCGGCGAGTACACGCCAAAAGCCCCTGTCTTGAATAAGAAGGCTGCTAGTCCTATTTTTTCCGTCCTGATCTGGCACAGCGTAGACGCTTCCAGTCGGTTCAGGCCGAAATACTTGCCCCCTTTCGGTATCTGCATCGAAGGGCCCTCCGGTTCCTCAGCGATGGCGCGTCGCTGGCGATCGTGATGCTCTGCTCCGGTGAGCCATCTCTTCCTCCAGTGGCCAAGGAGGGCAGCCGGGACCTCCTTTTCCTCACTCATCCACTCGGAGCCCCGGGCCTCCTTCTCCATAGTGTACTCTGCCGGTCGGAGTAGCTGCGACGTGTCACGACCTGGGTTGCATCGTATTGGTAGAGACCTCGATTAGGTGCTATCGACGAAGATTCTACTCTAAGGAGCGAAGGAAAGAAGATCACAACTTAGGTTTGAGGGAGCGCGACTAAGTCGTCCACGCTTGGCGAGGCTCCTACAAGGGTTATGGTTGCTTCCCATCTGACACTGCCATGGCAGGTGTTCCAGCTGTAAGTCACCTGGTTGTAGTGAGTCTGCGAGGGTTGACCTTCACACGACGCCTGCTTCCTCTTCGCCGGCCTATCCTGCCGGAGTATATGTGACGCTTTAGCGCTCGCGCTGCGAAGCAGATTTCTCTTCCCGCTAAGCCGTAGCCGTTCTTCAAACTTAGCAGCCCGGGCACTAAGATAGAGGTCTAGTGGCGGGATTGCTGCTTCTGCTTCCAGGTGGCGAACCGGCGTCGCTTTGTGGGCGCCACAGACTACCCGGAGGCACTCGTTCTGTATCCCCATCAGGCTCTTAGCTGGCCCTGCCGGTTCCTCACTTATAGTATGCCACGCAGTCGCCCCGAAGGCGATCCCGCTACGGATAACCACCGTATATAACAGCCTCGCCCGTATAAGATCGCAGCCCCACGACATATTGACTAGCTTTGTCAGGGCTAGCTTTTGAGTTGCCATTTTTGTTTTAACACGCTCAACATGGGCGTGCCACGTCAGTTTGCGGTCGAACCAGACTCCTAGGAACCTCGCTGAGACTACCGGCGACACTGTGGCGTCCCCAAGGCGAATACTTTGCGGCAAGGGCTCTCGGGCCTTAGTAAAGTGCATTAGCTCACTCTTGTCAGGAGCGAACTCCATCCCGTGCATCACTGCCCACCGCTGAACGAAGTTGGAGGCCCAGTCGCAGGACTGAGGATGGGCCTCGCAGCTCGAGAAAAAGTCGCTGGTCGGAATTTAACAAAACTAGAAGAAAATACTATTATTCAAAGGATAATTGAGCTAGATTCGCAAGCATTTCCTCCCCGGCTAAGTGCTGTTGAAGATATGGCAAACCGACTGCTACGCGACCGCGACGCGTTACGCGTCGGCAAGAACTGGGCCTCCAACTTCGTTAAGCGACAACCACAGCTCAAGACGGTATTCAGCCGTAAATACGACTATTCTCGGGCCTTATGCGAAGATCCAGAGCTTATTCAAGGCTGGTTTGACCTTGTGCGCAATACAATTGCGAAATATGGGATCGCCGATGCCGACATCTACAATTTCGACGAGACCGGCTTTATGATAGGTCAGATTACCGCATCGATGGTTGTTCCGAGCTCTGAAAGGAAAGGCAAGCCTAGGCTAGCCCAGCCTGGCAATCGGGAATGGGCTACGGTGATCCAGGGCGTCAATTCCCAAGGCTGGACGGTTCCGCCATACATCATTGTCAAGGGCCAATACCACCTCTCTTCCTGGTACGAAAACGACGCGTTGCCGAAGGACTGGATGATCGCCGTGAGCCCAAATGGTTGGACTACGAACGAATTGACCGCAGATTGGCTAAAACACTTTGACAAATACACCAAAGGCCGGAAATCGGGTGTATATCGCCTTCTTATCCTGGATGGCCACGAAAGCCACCATTCCGACGCCTTTGAGCAATATTGCAAAGAGAACAAGATTATTACACTTTGTATGCCTGCCCACTCTTCTCATATC